TTTAGTTTATAAATTAATAATTTTATATAAATATATTAATAAGTTATATTAATAGTTATAAATCCGTTTTTTAAATAAAATAGAGCTTTGTACGGCGTTATATATTATAATTAATATTTTTAAATCTTAAAAGCTTTAATTATTTAAATATAAATTAAATAATATTAGCGTTTTTAATTTAAAATTTAAATAAAAAATAATTATTTTTAAATTAAAAAGTATAATTCTAGCTTATTTAAAACTAGTTTATATATTTTCTTTATTTATTAAAATAAAAAAAGCTATTTTAAAAATAAAAAAGAAGTCGTTTTTAGTAATATACGTAATTTATATCCGTATTATCTTTTTAATTTTTTTATTATATAAAGCTTTTAATAAACTAAAATAATTAATATTAAAAAGCTAAAGTTTATATAATAAATAAGAAAGTATATAAAAAGCGATAATACTATGCTTTTTATAATAATTATCGAATTTAATTAATTTATAATTATTATAATTATTAAAGATTAAAAGCCGTTTAATATTTTTCGTATAAGATTTTATATATTTTTTAAAATATTTTAATTAATTTTAACCGATTTTATTTATAATTTATTTATTTTCGCTAAGGTAAATATATTATTCGGGAGGGAATTAATTATTAATATATTATAAAAAAAGGTAATATTAATTTTTTATAATAATATATAAAGGTAACGCTTAGTTATTTATATATATATTTTAAATAATAAAAACTTATTTTTAATTACTAAACTACTTTATATAAAGCTTTTGATAATAATTAAAAATTATAATAATTTTTATATATAAAAATGTTCCTATTAAAAAGCCCGTTTTATTAAAATTATAAATATTATAATCGTATATTTTATATTTCGTAATCGTATTTTATATAAAAGTAAATTAAGTTTAAATAATTATAAAATATTTAATTAATACTTTTTAATAGTTGATTTTATATTAAAAACGCGTTTTTAATTATAATTAACGTTATATAAAATTCTTTATTTATTATAATTTAATATATATCGCGTTGTATCTATTAAAAAAGTAATCAATTATATTTTATATATTATTAAATTACAATAAAAATCTTAAATTAATTAAGTTAATAATTTATTTAAAATTACGGTTTTTTTTAAAAAAGTTATTTTTTTTAAATTTATATAAATTTTATATTAAAATAATAAGTCAATATATCGGTTATAAAATATTATTTTTAAAATATTATAAATAAAAGCTATTTTTTACATAAATAAATTTAGGTTTTTTTTAATAGTTTAAAATATAAAAATAATACGATTTTTATTTAAAAAAGAATTTATAATTATATATAAAAAAAATAGATATTAAGATAGAAGGTATAAAAGGGAAGGAAAGTGGGCGACTTGTTATGATAGGCGACTTACTATGTATATACGTTAACTTTACTATAGTTCGTCGTGTTTATTAAAATAGGTTAGCTATATACCGTGCCATAGTTAACTAGCTTATGGAAAAGCAATACGAGCAAAGGATCCGAAGCTAGGGTAACTTACTAAATTAGTTTAAGAAATCAGTCTAACTGGGTCTTGTCAAGGTTATGCATGCCTCCCATTAGCAGGCTTTAGCAGCATCTAGGGTAGGTAGATCCACAGCAAGACGAACGTGGCCGCTAGCTTATCCGCGTTAGGTTGTTCCGGATCTAGGGGTGGGGACTTACCGCATGTCTGACCCGAAGGCCATAAACACAGCGCCTAAGGCGGCCCCGGCTGTGGTCCGCGTCGCTTATTGCGCTGCTTAGAAGTCGGCTCTCCCTCGACGTCAGATCTAGATCTATAAATACTCTACGGTATGTCTTAGTTAATTGCCTTGTATAATTCCAAGGCCGTCTGCTATACCTTGGCCGTTGCCATCATCCCGTCGTCCGATCCGCATGTCCACATTTCATCCACATCGCATCCAACGCATCTATTCTGTTTATCCCACTATCCTATTTATATCCCATCCACCATGTTATGCTGCTATCCTCTCAGTCTCTCAGTCTTCCCCCCCGCCCGCCTTTAACTCTTTTTCCCTCACTCCTCCATCCCCCCTATTTTTTTTTTTCCCCTCTTCCTTTTTTTTTCCCTCCACCCCTTTTTTCTGGTTTTCCCTTTGGCCTTCCTTTTTCTTCTCCTTTTTTTATGGGGGGGCCCCCCCCCCCCCCCCCCCCCCGCTCTCCCATTTGAAGTACCTCTTGCACCAGCCTTCCCTGTGACAGTACCTGCTGATGCTGATGCAGCATCTTCAAGCTCGTTCAGCTTGCATGCAAATACCTCCGCATGGGCCATCGTCCTCATCAGCCTGTTGAAGATCCCACTGATCAATGCCGTCGACACCAACGCATCCACGTGCAGCACTTTTGAGCTATTCAGCCCTTACGCCGCAAATTTCCCCGTGGGGGCCAACGGCAGCCAGAAAGACCCGTGTCTTGACCCTTCGCCCATAGCCACATTCAGCATCACAACGAAGAGCTTTGCCAGCGCAAATTGAATCAATGCGAGGCTACTGTCTCGAGGAACCTGCATGATGTCACCACCGTTTATTTACTAGGCACAGTGTCCCTTTGGACTTCCGTCCATCAATACTAATGTGTACGATGCATCTCCACCTCGAACCCGCTTTCTGCCTTGATCAGTGGCCAGTGAAGCTTCTTGGCGGTCTCTAAGCGTTCCCACATACCAGGTCATCCATCCAACCGAGGACTTGTGTAGTCGGCTTAAGTGTCTATTGGCATTGGGTCAGCATGTGGCGTTGTTCATTTACATGTTTCCTGTGAGAAAGTCTTTCCAACTCATCGTCCAACCGCCCGCCCTGTAAGGGTAGCCGTGATATATGGAACAACTCCACCGCCAAGTCGTGTTTTTACTGCACCGCACAATTACTTAACGTTCAATACGACGGCCGCCACAGTAAGTTAGCTGATTCCTACCTAATGTAAAACGATCTTCGTTCCCCCTCCAGACCACAACTCCCACTTCTGGAGTCCCTTTGCCATCAGGTTACACACACCCCTTCCTGTCCCGTTTCCCCAGGTTGTCCAACTGCAGCCCACCTCACTTCAGATCACACACATGCAATCATCAACCATGAACACAAATGGCCTATCCATCGCCAGCAGCATAGTGAGAGCGCAATCCAGGTCGCGGCCAGCCAGTATTACGGGCCAGGCGATCTCATGGAGCCCTACTTTCTCCCTGCCGCCGCCGATCACGTGCCGAGTCAGCATCCCGTTCCTTAACAGTCTCCCATAGCTCCCTATGTTACGGCTATTACTATTAAGATCGACTATATCGGTTTACAAGAGTAGCTTTAGATTTAGCTTAACCGCGAGTATATTAATATAAAGAACGACCCCCGGCAGCCGTAAGCTAAGGGGATCTAGCTTAACGTGATAATTAACAATATGTTTCTAACTATTTAAAATCACCTTTCCGTTATGCATCCGTGGTATATAGGTATGAGTAAGAGGCTACTAGACGTCTTAAGCAATCTCAGTAGCAGGGCGTTATGGCCGCCTGAGACGGAACTAGACGTTCTCCTATTCGGCAGCAGGCCGCTGAGGTTTAGTAGAGAGGACAGCTGGGCTTAATTACACAAGCACAGGAAGCCCAGGCCGGCGGCTGAAGTGAGCATAGCCGAGAAAGAGGAGTTCTCGCGGAAAGTTACAAAGAGAATGTAGGCGAGATCCGCAGCGCAAGTGCGTAAGTTGGAAAAGCTCTGCTAAAAGAGTAACTAAGATGGCGTAAATTACTAGCAGGTCACTAGCTCCACGATTATTCAAACCATTACCAGCATAAGTTATATTATCGCTAGCAGTAGAAATCTCAGTGCCTTTTTGTTAAGAAAGGTTTTGAAGGGCATCTACGAGGAATCGTTTGCCCTGAAAAGCCCCCAAAGTTACCTTATTCGGACGGAATCCAGCGATTTGATTGGTAAGCAAGAGTCTTTAAAACAATTAGTCCAGGCCCCGATTAGTCCAGGCCCCGAAAGGGGGGCCGCTTACGTACGCGTTAGCGTGTCCCGTCCAGTGGATAGGTACACAGCAGGTGCGGCGCCCTGAGCGGGTACCTTTCTTAACAAAAAGGCACCCTTAAGGCAACGCTAGCTGCCGTTCCCCAGTAAATGTTGCATTGAAGCAGAAGTCTATCTAAATAGTCCGTATCAGTCGGCCTTTAAAAATCATGGAGAAGGTTAACCCTAAGTAACCCTACTATGTAGCTCTGTGCTCAGGATGCTCAGGATGAATGACTCATGGAGTCTTTATAAAAACGGACCTCGCTCTTCAGGTCGGGACCGAACATACTGCTAATTACTCGCGCTTTGGTAACGGTAGTAAGGAAGTTGGCTTCGGACCCGAGGCCTGAATGCCGGCCCGAAACCCGCCTTGCGTAAGGGATCGGCCGCTACTAGGACAACCCGCGAGATCCATGTCCTGGAACCGAAACATCTCGCTTTCGGGTAAGCTGAGTTTTTTGCCGCCACCCCATGATGTTCCCCCCCTTTTCTTTCGCCGGAGATATCGGAGCACTGTTATGATGAAAACCACAGTCCTAAGTTACTTCTTATCTTTCACATCTAAGGTACAGGAAACTATGGACGGCAGATTGGTGGCATCCCACCTACTCCAAGGTCGAAATACTGTCGCAAAGCTAGGCTCTTGTGACACGTGTAAAAAGTACGCTCCTGTCCGTTACTTTGCCTCCCATGAAAGCTAACCCGGGACATTGCAGGAGAAAAACAAAGTGTATGCAGCCACAACCCTACCGTTGTAAACCACCGCGCAATTAACCCCCAGCTTGCAGGTGATATGGGAAGACCATGCTGCGACGCATGTGTCACCCATGGCTGGACCTGCTCTTACAACGTCACCCGAAAGAAACCTGGTCCACGTCAGGGTTCAAGGCAAGCAAAGACTGTTGATGTTCAACGTCGCTTAGGTAACGGGCTACCACATTGAAGACCATGCCAGCAATATGACTGATCGCCTTTTAGATCGAATTGAAGGGCTTTTGCAAACCCAACGGGCGGCCAACGACGCAGCCTTGTCAGTAAGCCCTGATGCTCGCTCCCAGAGGGAAGAACGAGATGGAACAGAGGAACGATCTTCCTTGGAGCCTCCCGAGACGGCGCCTGTAGCTGAAGTCGAGCCGGAGCTGGTGAGAATCCCATGTCAACGGTTGATCGACGCCCTTAGATGGACAGTCCCTGTGAAGAACAGTGCTCCGGTCGTCGGGCCCAGCGCAAGTCAGACCTCTGCGTTGCCAAATCTGATCACAGCAGCACATCAATTGTCATTAAGTTCAGAAATGGAACTGCACCTGTGAGTTCTCCCCTGAGCCCCGAGCCAACATTCTGGTCCTGTCAATAGTCTCATCGCGCTGTTGTCAGGCTCTCGCTCTTTTTTACCCGGGTGACGCTGCCGGTCCCCGTTTTCTGCCAAGAAAAGTTTTACTCCGACTACAACGCCGGATGTGTGCCTGGATTCCTCCTCGAAGCCATGTTCTCTCTCTCGGCTCGGTGTTCTGAAGAGCCTGAGATACTCGTCCTTGCCGATGGGAGTCAGGAGCTTTTAGCACAGCAATTCGCCGCCAAAGCCGGCCGCGAACTTATCAAAATGACCGGAAAAAATTCCGAAGCTTCAATTGCAGAGGTAAAGGCGACTTTCCTTCTAGCATACCATGACTTCACGCACCTGCCATCGCGGAATGCGGCCGAGAATTGCTTGAGAGCTGTTAGGGCTGCTTACATGTGCGGTCTACATCAGTTGGATAACCCGAATGGGTCGTCAAAAGCACATGGATGTCTTTCTGACATAGAGAGGGAGGAGGGTCGATGCTTGTGGTGGAGCATCTTCTCCTTGGACACGTTCTCGAGCTTGATATCACAGGTGCCCTCAAGCATCGAAGACACGAGCATTGTGACATGCTTACCAAGTACCATCATCACCAATGCGGCCATGAACGACGTCATTCAGCCCTCGGAATCATTCCTTGAAGACACCATTGAAGAGATTTGGGGTCAAGGAGGAAATGACGAATCTCATGGCGCCAAGGTGCAAGCCATTCTGATCTATGCGGTAGCTCTATCGAGAGACGTCCTCGCTGTTCGGCGGCTTTGTGTTGAGAATCCTCGCTGCAAACTGGAATCTCGTCTGGTTCAGATTCGAGAGAGATGGGCTTCCCTGCATAGGACGCTACCCGCTTGGTTCTTTGCAACCACCCGCCATCCGCTCGACAGGACTGTGGAGGACCATCGTAAGCGTCTAGAGGTGTTGAACATGATCAATATGTATGGCCTAAAACCTTCCATTTGCAAGTGGATATAAGCTAATGTGGACAGACTAGGAGCGATAGCTTGCTTTCCCCCCTTAGCCATTGGGCTGGAAGGGCCAACGGCGACGACCGATGACCAGAACTCGTTGCAAAGCAGATGGAAAACCTGCATCGACTACGCTCTCAAAGTCGCAGATGCGTACAAAGTTTGGACTCCAGCACACTTTGAAAAGGCAGACCCAATAATGTTTCCAATAACACGATTAGCCGCTTGCCTTCTCATCTTTGAGCTGATGAATTCGGACCCTGGCCTTGCTGCAGAGAAGCTTGTCGTTTTGGACTCCGCGGACCTTATCATGAATTCCCTGGATCTTTCTTCCCGACCTTCCCGACCTTGGAACATCGTCGGCGCTCTATTACGTAAGGCCCCTTCACATACCTGAGGCCGTCACTATTGACAAATCTGTTCTCAAGGTTCACTGGAAGAGCTCCGAGCGCTGTCTTGGAGAAAGATGAGTCTCGAGGCAATCTTTCAACTTCTGAAAACGGTCGCTTCCCCTCAAAAGCAGTCTGCAGCACGCCAGACAACTGAGGCGGCTTTGTCGACTGTCGGCCCCCCTGGGATCCTCCCTGAGACACACCCCCTCGGAGATTTGACTACATCCTTGATGGACTTGAGCTGTCCACCCCTGTGGTTGCCGCAAACCGAACCCGCATTTATGGACGACTGGTTCCAGCAAAATCAAGCCATTGACTTGGAACTGTGGAAAAATTGAAAAGCAGGACAGATCGAGCGCACCTCTAGTTCCTTAGCGCCGTCCCTTGCTTAGCACGCGATGCCCCAAATGTTGGCACTCAATCACCGTGTAGGAGAACACAAAAAAGAACACGAAGCAAGAAGCATGTTGTATTTCAAAGTTGCGACTCTAGTCTATGAGATCCATGAACCGTGCCACTCCGAGTCACCAACAACATCTGGAGGATTAATTTCAGTATCATTCCCCGTAGACACTGTAAGAATAGGATCTTTATGAATGTCATCCTTGGCAAGGGCGACAAGTTCAAGATGAACAGGATCTTGTGAGCTCCAGTAAAGCACGTCGCTGGCGGACCTGAATTTTAAGAACATGGTAACGTTATATCCTGGAAACTTGTGTCAGATGTTTTACGGCAGTAGTTGAAAAGTCCCGAAAGCTGGACCAGAACAGTTGTATATGGAAGCATCTATTGCCAACAATAGAAAACCTACCTTGAGCTCGGTGTGGGCGTCCCGGAAACGGTGGTTTGGTGGCTCCCGCAAAAGCCTCATCGATGTAGCGCTGACCGGCTTTCTCGGCCCGTCCCGGAATGGTCTTGACGAAATGCACCAACTTGGAAGCTGCCTGAGGGGACTTCAAGGACCACAAAGCCACCAGATATGTGGGCTCAGCGATGTTTGCTGGGCTTCTACTGAAAGTTGGCAGGTTGAGCCAGGTTCTAATTCCACGCGCTTCCCAGAGGGGAATGAAAAACAAAAGGAAAAACAAAAGGAAAAAAAAGCCTTACAGTTGACGGCCAAAGAATTGTAGTATAGTCTGATAGCCTTGGCGATACTTTTCGTTGACGTTTGTATCCTCGAGGTCTCCTCGTGCGGCCATCCAGCCATGGATTTGGTCGTCAAAAGTTTGGACATGGTTGGGGACCTGCAGATTGGAGTGGAAACCAGCTACTGCTGCGGCATCTTCGTCCTTTGAAGCGAGAATACACATTGGCACTCTCACGTTCTTAGCATCCTCGGGATCCAACATGGCAGGGTGAGCTTGAGCGACTGCTTTGAATAGAGAGTCCTCGCCACTACGAAGCGTAACGACCTAGGAAGAAAGGAATTTTAGCAAATCCACCAGATCAACGACGCTACGAACTTAGGTACCTTGCCACCCCAGCACATCCCAAGAGCAAAGACATTCTCAATTGACGCGTTAGATTTCTTGATGCTCTCAACGATTGCGGGAATTCTTTCAACAGCTTTGGAGGGATTTCCAGTGCCGCTGAAGAAGTTGCCCAAAGCATCACGATGCTTCTCAGTCGTTGGCGGGTACCACGAAACATCTGCGGCCTTTCCCTCAAAGAAGTCAGGGACAAAGACACGGTAGGAATTGTTCCTGTCGCTGAGGGCGAGGATGTCGGCTCCTTGGAGTGTCTGGGGGAAGAATCCGAAAATGTCGAACACGACGAGAATGGCGTTCTTGGCCGAAGGAGGGCCCGTCACGTCTGTTGCGCATGGAAATGTCAGATTGTTTCCCCTGCATTGTGGAGGGTTTCCAGTGTTCTCACATGTTTTCATTCCTGCAACATTTTCATAAGTTCCCTTTTCTCTGTAACCTTTCGAGATGACAGGGGGGATCGAGCAGCAGGCGGCTGAGTACGACATGTTGTCTAAGGTGTCTTGGGTGCTTAGGTGTCTTGGTGTCTTGGTGTCTTGTGGTCTTCTTTGTTTGCTCGAATCAGGCCCGCGGAAATAGATGACTTTTTAGTCGGCAATGTTGTCAAGTAGCCGGGAAGGGACCTAGACGATTGCACTGGCTTTAGGGTCCTAAGGAAAGGGTGGATTGCCGGCAGAAAGAGATGCGGCGGTGCTTTGACGGAAGAACTGGCCTTCTCATCGATCTTCGGCGCAAAAAGACCCGCCGATACAATCCCGAAAGTGCTGGGGTATCAGACCGAGCACGAGCACATTAGTCATGAGTTTCGTCAAGTGGGTAACACGGAGTTTTACCGAATCTAATACTGCGCTTGGAATTTTTAGACTAATTACAACCACAACCATCGCCAAACCAGTTTCAGCGTATCTATTGGTTTTGCAATAACACGAGTTTGTAAATCTGACCACAAAGTACTCCTGTAACATCAATTGGTACTGATTTGATTCCGTAAAAGCCTTCGATAAGAAACAGAGCATTCTGTTGAGCTGTTGAGAAATACTTACTGGCTGTCGCCACGGCTTCACTCATTTATTAAAGAAGGAAAATAAATGTTCACCTTCTAAAATAAAATAAAAGACGTCTTAAAATTTCTTTAATCAACTTTTTACTATTACAAATCATGATACAAAACCCATCCCATATTCCAGACAAATGCTTGAACAATTCCTCGTTTACAAGCTGGCCTTGATCATGCGGTCAACCATATGTGCTGGGAACCACGGAGGCGCTGCCACCATCAGCCAAAATTACCGTTCCGTTAGTGTACCCACCAGCCAGTGAGGCTAGGTAGAGCATTGCGCCAGCTGCTTCCACCTCACGGCCAGCCCGGAGTACTGTCGCGCGAGACGCTGGAACCGAGCCATCATCCTCCGCCTTTGGATCCGTCAACTTGAACAATGCCATTTGCTCCGTTAGCTCGGAACGGAAACCTGTCAGTTGGTTAGAATATTGAGCAATCATCGGAAACTCTCCCAGTCAGCTTACCACCGAGTGCCAGGGCGTTGAACCTAATCTGCCAGGGTGCAAAATGAGTAGCCAAGCTCTGCGTGATTTGTCGGACGCCAGTTTTGGAGATGGCATAAGCGAATGATCCAAACAGGCCTCTGCAGTAGCCTCCAACGCTAGACATGCTGATGACTTGGCTTTGAACAGGGAAATTGCGTTGTTTGTTCCCCGCGTCGAGCAAGAGCAAAAATGAGATAGCCGTGTAAAAGGACGCAGTCACATTGACGTGGTACGTATTTGTCCAGTCGTCCATGTCTAGGGACAAGAGGTATCTTTGGTTATCTTCCAAAGTCGTCAAACCTGATTTATCATCGCCCATGCCAGGGCCAGAGCGACCCGCACAGAGAACAAGCAGATTGATGTACCCTTCTCTCGCAGTGATGTAGTCAACAGATTCCTTGAGAGACTCCTTCGAGGTGACATCACCGGGCAACGGAATGATGTTCCCATATTTCTGTAGGAAACATGAGAAATAGGAGGGATGTGCTGGCATCAAGATAGACATACTGCTTGTTTCGATGCTGCCTCCAGCTTCTGCCAATTGCGACCAATTATGTACACCTTGGCGGCCCCGTTTGCTTCAAGAGCTTTGGCAAACATAAGACCCAAACCTAGAAACAGTATTTAGCACGCACCACGGTAGGTTGTTCGTCGGGAGATCCGTCTTACCAGACCCACCACCGGTGATCACAGCAACGAGACCAGTGACATTGAAAACATCCCAGGAGGGTGCGTTGGCGTGAAGGGTCTGCGACATTGCGTGGTCGTTATCTTTGCGCCTTACAAAACTGATGGTCTCACAGAACCGCTGTGGAAACCTGAGATACTGAGAATATATCTATGAAAGAGCGTTCACTCATATAATATTGTTGACAAGACCGGAAAGACCGATGCTTCCTTGCCTAGTCACCTGGACGGAAAATGGTTGAATTACTCGCCGCGGAGATAGCAATGTGCGGCTGGGGACTCGGTGAAAATTTATTTAACGTGAAGATCTACTAGCCAGGCAAGCCTTCAGTTTGCAAGAACGTCACCTGCAAGACTCAGTGGCACTGCGGGGGATCGTGCTGGGACCTTGAATAGCCATAGGCTTCGGGGGATTTAATTGCCCCGGACTTACACCTTCACCCAATGAGAAGGCGCGGAACGGGCTAATGGTTGTTACCGACAATCGGTCGCATACCTTCAGCTACGGAACGATTTCCATCTTCGCCACTTGAAACGACGCAGTGCGCGAAGTCCGAACTTGATCCGTTCGGTTCGGGGTATTCGAGATGCGCGGACGGATGGTCGGGCGCGACTCCAGCAGGCCGCCTCCGAATTGCTTCGCTTCAGTTGAAATCGATCACTGGAAATGCAGCGAAGGAAACGTTCCTCATGCATTGAGAAAAGTTTCAAATTATTTCGGCCACAGATGTTGAAAAACCTCGTAAAAAAAATTAAGCACTGATTTAAAATGGGCAAACTACTAGATAGCTTTTGAGAAAACAACGAATCAATTTTGGGAAATTAGGCTTGTCCCATTAGTTTTGTTCCTGAACCGGTAATAAGTCAGGAACAGCGTCCCACGCCTGGTCGAATCCCGCGAATCTGATCCATGCCTCTGTTGTATTATGTCCCGCTCGTTGGACTTGATCGTTGGGAAGCCAGCTCTCCACCAACGCTGTTGCAGCTTTCGCAAAGTCGTCTTTCTTCATCCGGAAATCAGGCCGATCATCAAATCCGCAGCTGACATTCTGGGCATGAATCAGAGCCCGTATGATTTTGCAGCCATGCCCATCATCTCGGTAATTCAGGCTGCGCTCAATGGCATCAATCCACCCGCCGGGGCCTTTTCGCGGCGTGTAATTGCGAATGTGAGTCAAGTCGAGCTGCGGACAACCCATACCTATGTACAGCATAATGGTGTAGCGTCCGAACCAGGAGAGAAGACGAGCTTTCCCTGGGCGACCGATCCAGTCTTTCTTGACGATAGAGTCCATAATGACGGAGCAGTTTGTCGGGTGCAAGAGGAAGAAGTCTGCCCTCGGCTCTTTACCCCTTCGTTGCGCCCCGGCCAGTATGTATGCTGCACGAAATTCCCAATTAGCCATTAGCCAACATGCGAAACAAGTCGACATACCAGTTGCGTTGCACAATTCCGCCGACCTCATTTCAACCTCATGCTCAAGCACGAGGTAGCGACTGGCGTAGTCAAGCACCTGCTCTCTAGTGCTATCACTCAAAATTCCCTGATAATCCATGAGGTGAAAAGGATCGTTGCCAAGACAGTCAATAAGCTTCTTGTTCGCTGCGCAAAGATCCAAAATATCGACCAGACTGAGGTGGTCCGGCCGGCGTGAGGCGCACTCCTCAACTTCCAACAAGGCTAGAGCCACGTCGGGATCATTCTGCGTACAACCCATCGCTAACCCTTCACAGACAAGGAAAGGGAGATCGAACTCGAGACCAAAGCCCGCCTGGATGAGAGGATGAATGAAGCCTTTCTAATTCGTTAGCAGTGTCAGAGGACGGTGGGATGTTATAGGATGAAGACATACCCGTAACGAGTCTTGAGAATATCTCTGTGGACCAGTCGTCTCCCGAGAACACGAGTTTATTCACGGCGGGCTTGTACCCATGGTTCTTGAATTGGAGTCTGAAGAACTCGAGGAAGTTATGATACTGATTAGGATCGCCAAGATGGCGCTTGAAGGTTGTGAAGTCCGAAATTGTGTACACCAAAAACACGTCAGCGGTGCCCTTGTCTTTTTGGTACGTCGCGTGGTTCTCGAAATGGCTTCGAATATTTTCGGCGTTGGCTCCCAAAGAAAACAAAGTCAACGCGTGGTGAGCAAGGTGGTTCTGTGTATTCGATTAGAAACTGTGGTAGAGCCAGGACATCTGCGGTACTATTTGGAAACAAGACTGACATGCATCAAGACCTCGCGGACGCTGTGGAAATAGACGTGGTGTTTTTCATGATTCAGCACGAGCAATTGATTGACCATGTTCCATGCTGCATCTGCACCGTTTGGTGGAGGAGGCGACCGCAGCCTAGGTTGCAATGTAAGAGTCATTTGAAAGATATGGTGCGAGGTTGCCTGTCACAAGAACTTAGAGATAGGTCAAGGCCTGTATGCGAAATCGTAGTGGGGAACGAACAAACCTTAACTGCTTGTAAAGGTCGCGGCTGTAGAGAGTAGATTCAAAATAATTTCAACATGCTGTACAAATACCAAAAAACAGAATATCACTGACTCAGATCATCTCGTGCAGTCCATTGCATCATGAATACACCGAGGCAAATGGAACAAAAAGATTCTCCGATGGAATGGTGTCTGAAGCTTTGCCAAGCACTCATGCGTCGTAATCGTGCCGTGTTTAGATGTTGCGAGCCGATAAACGCCGAGCAATTCCGGGGCCGGAGAAGTCCAGTACATTTCCCTATGGCCGATGGGTAGTGGGGATCAAACCGGGCTGAGATGGATTATGTACGCAATGGTTCCACTGCTTGGTTTCATAAAGGGGCAAAGATTTTTTTTGCAAGCTTCCTTCGAGTTACATGACATCATCTGACAGCTTTCATCTGGTTTGATTTACTTCACATCTGCCACACGCATAGTGAAGAAACCCCAAAGTGTTCAGTCGCAGAAAAACGAAAACACTATATTAAGTCTGTTGCCAGCCTCTGGCCATAACAACTTGATCAGTAAATAACGCCATCTGACATCAGCCAGACGCTAACTAGCTGCAAATACAACAATGGACAACCAAGAGCCTATCGACCAGCGCAAAGCGACCAACCTTAGCCTTCTCATCGTTGGCGCTGGCGTAGCTGGAATGCTGCTCGCTCTCGAAAGCAAACGCCTCGGGTTTTCCCCCACCATTTTAGAACGAAGGCCCGAAATTGATTCCGCAGGTAAGGTTTCCCCCGAAATGTTCTTATCATATATGATGTGGAAAACGAAAGCAATATTTGTTTTAACGTTGCTTGGCCATAGGGGACTTTGTAGTCATCGGACACAGTGCTACTCGGGTCTTTGACCACTGGCCTCGGCTCAAAAAGCGGTACGCGGAGCAATCATACGAACCCGAGGTGTATTATAATCGCCATACTGGCGAGGCCGTCATCGGGCCATCTCCACTCAAACCGACGACCGGACGACCTCTCCTGAGGCGCCACTTGATTTCGATGCTCGAAGAGGCTATAATACGACAGAACATTCCAGTGAAGTACAACCAGAAGGTGGTCAACTACTTCGAAGACGATAACTGCGGAGGGGTTGAGCTGTCAACTGGGGAGCGGATTACAGCAGACATAGTGGCCGCCTGTGAAGGGGTTCACTCTACGTCGTGGCAGCTCACCACTGGCAAGAAGCCTAATACGACTAGCAGCGGTTCTGCTGTTTATCGCACGTCCGTACCTGCGGATTACATCTTCAATTTGGATCCGGGCCTGAAAAAGCAGTTCGCTGTGCGCGACGGGAACCCTTACATGAAATGGTTCAACGGTCCTGGCATGCACGCACTCGTGGTTTCTGAGGGGAACATGATCTGCTGGTCTGTTCATCATCCGGTAAGTTGAAGTTGCTGCACGCTGAGCCTATTGGATGTTTGTGCCTGACCGAAGACGAATACTTCAATGGAATCAGGAGAACGCGAATACCTCTACGGAGTCATGGAGCGCAACGCTCGACAGCGCAACTGTCGCCGAACAATTGTTGGAAGAGCATCCGGACTGGTCTCAGGATCTGATGTCCCTGATTAGAAACACTCCTAATGGGACTGTCAACGACTGGCTTCTTCTGTTCCGTGATCCCGAACCAACATGGGTCTCACACAAGGGCCGTGTTGTCCAGGCTGGGGATAGTGCCCATCCTTTCCTGCCAACTTCCGCCAATGGAGCTACGCAAGCAATGGAGGATGCGACCACACTGGCTTCTGCCCTGAGGCTGGGTGTCGATTCTGGTGCTTCCGTCAAAGAGAGTCTAATCGTTTACAACACGCTCCGGTAAGTCCGCATCGGCGACCTTCTCGACCCTCTCCACGCTTGGAGATCGGTAGGACTCCAGGATTGTTAGGTCCGTTTTGCTGACGAGTTATTATAGATTCGAAAGGACGTCTTGTGCACAGCTTATGGGAGCTATTCACCGCCAAGCCCACCATGATACAGACTGGGATGAAGTGCGCAGAAACCCGGATATTTTACTCAACACTGGGCCAGGAGCATGGATCGCGAATCATGATCCTGAGGCATACGTGATCGAGCAATTTGAAAAGTGCCTTGAGAGTATCCGTAACGAGCAGCCTTTCAAGAACACAAACACGCCATCTGGATTCACGTACCGACCATGGACATGTGCTGGTCTGCAGCGTTATAAAGAGGGTGACCACTTGTTCTTGGAAGGGGACTGGTTGTAAGCAGTGAACATCTGGGACAAAATGGATTTCCACAAATGCCTTTCTGGTAAGAAAGGTTATTATATAGTAGTACACAAATCACCCCTCCGGACAAAAAAGCTGCAATTTACACTTTGTAAAGCACTACGAATATTCCCTATTCGGACAGAATCTAGCGATTTCGTTAGTAAAAAAGAACCTCTATCATCGCGTTTTCGATGGTTTTGGGTCAAAGCCGTTGTTTAAAGCAGGTATAAAGCCGTGGAGATTTCCAGCAGTAAAATAGAAAAGAATAAAATTCAATTGAAGCCACAGCATCGTGATGTGCGTCCAAAATGGACGAAGAAGTTTACAGGTGTTTTTGTGATGTCGTTCCAATCCCCACATTAACCAGCCAATCACGTAACAGGGTCATCGGCCAGAGAGCCCAACCACGCGATGGAACGCAGGCAGGGAGGAAAGTAGAACAAGGAGAAAGGATAAGAAATTTAGGGGCAGAAATGTAAGATTATATAGAGAGGACAAGAGGAATCAGTTAAGGAGGTTAGATAGAAGGAAGTAACCAATACGTACAGCCGAACATGGAGCCATTCGTCCACAACGCGCAGCATTCCATCTTGATATGCACGTCTTGTCAGTATGCGGTGGTGGCCAACGAAGTGACGGCGCATTTGCGGAATCACCATGGGTCGATCACCGCCGAGGCCAGGGGCAAAGTGGCCAGATTGGTCGGCGATATTCCCAGCATCGTCCGCAGCCAAACCGAGCTGGAGTCGTTCCAATACCCAGACGCCACGGTCGAGCCCATCGCCCACATCGCACCACCCCAAGTCGATGGGTTGCGTTGCTATTTGTGCCGTTATATGTGCCGCCGCGCCCGGAACTTGCAGGAGCATTGCCGGGCAGAGCACGGATGGGAGAATAATTGGCAGAAGGGGGGCAATGTGCGTAAGAGGGCCAAGGTAGCCAGGGATATGCCGTGGACGACGGGGGTGCCGTGCAAGCGATTTTTCCTATAGCGCGCCGGGAGCCGGTGGTTCGAGGTCGGGCGGGGTTTGGGGTTGCCGTTGAAAGCAGCGAGTCGGCGCAGCGGGGGACGGACGACCCAGCGTGGTTCGTCGCATTACACGACGAGCAGGAGGCGAGGTTCGAGGCCGGCGCGCGCCAGGAGGTCAGCACGTTCGACGAAAAGTTAGAGCCGAACGGGTGGTTATACCGCGTCGGGTGGACGAGGGATTTGGAAGGGTTGAACAAGACACAGTTACAGGACGCCACGCGACCGATCGAGGACGGCAAGGAGACGTTGCGGGCCGTTTGGGCCGTGTGGGCTGTGTTCAACAGTACAAGCGCCACGGCAGCACCGCACAAGGTCGGGCAAGACGCATTGTGAGAGGCGGAGCGGAGGGAGGTCGGCCAGAAGCCGGTATGACCGTTCGACAACCGCATGGAGGACGACACATGGCAGCGGTATAAGGAGGTTTGGCGCAAGATGGTGAGCATATAGTTCCGCATGGACGAGTGGCCGGAGCACGAGCGGCCGCCGTACCGGTTCACCATACGGCAGGGGTCGTTGTGGGATGCATTTATCAGCCGCGTCGAGGCGGACGTCGGCGGCAGGCAGGCTGGTCAGGCAGGGGAGGTAGGAAGAATGTGTTTGGACGCTATTATTGCGTTTATCGAGGACCTGTAAAAGCAGAGCCAGAGGGAGCGCGCGATGATTGGTGCGTTGGCGGTGTTGGGCATCCGCGAGGATGGCGGGTGGTACCAGGCGACGGAGTACGCGACGAATTATTCGGCCGTGATCAAGGTGACCAAGATGTTTGTTGTGTATCATGCATGGTTAGAGCGGCACGACGAGGTGGCGGAGTTGACGATAACCAAAGGTGCCGAAGCAGCATACGAGGAGGCCACCAGCGTGTTCCATTTGGTGCGTGACAAGGTAACCACAGCCAGGACCGGCCGAGGTATTCGTTTTTGCACGACGACCGCAATGAGGGGTGGGCAGGCAAGGGTAAGGGGTGGATCGCACGGCAGATGACGCGGGGTCTAAGGCACGACGGCGGGCGTGGTTGGACCGGTCCCGGGAGGCGGCAACAATGCCCAACAACGGCAACAGCCACCACCCGTACCGCGAGAAGAGGGTGCGGGCATACGAACAGGCGTTTGAGTCGTTCCGGGAGCGGTTATGGATGTTAATGCACATGGTGGCAGGGCAGCCGGCGCAGGCATCCGAGTTGGCGGGCATCAGACATAGCAACACGGCCAACGGCGGGGTGAGGAACGTGTTCACACATGACGACATGATATGTTTCGTCACGTCGTATCACAAGAATGACCGTCAGACGGGGACCACCAAGGTGATACACCAGTGTTTGCCGCTCGAGGTTGGCGAGTTATTAGTGTGGTATTTATGGTTGGTGTTGCCGTTTTGGCAGCAAGTGCAGGGCATCATCCATCAGACAGGCCGGAAGAGCGCATCTTTATAGGCGGATGATGTTGTTATCAAGGGGTAGGGAGCCAGAGGGGCGGGCGACGAAGGATGTGACAACAACAATGAGGGCGAGGACGCCCGTGCTGGTAGCATCAACAACAGCAGCAACAACAGCAACAGCAGCAACAACGAGCAAGCCGCGTCAAGCAGGGCGCCATGGACGGATGGACGGATGTGGACGTCGGACAAGTCGAGGCGGATCATGCAGCAGCACAGCGAGCGGTTGGTGGGCAGCAAGATTAACATCAGTGGGTGGCGGCACATGGCCGTTGCCAGCGCTAACCGTTATTTGAATGGGGCATTCGGGTGGCCCGAAGACGACGACAACGACGAGGATGTAGGGGTGGAGGACAGCCCGGTGGATCTACAGGCGGGACACGGCACGCACGTGGCGGGGATGATATACGGGCGGTTGTACCAGGAGGCACCGTTCGGCACGGCGGCGTTGCGGGACAAGTTCCGGGCGATCAGCCGGCAGTGGCAATTCAAAGAACACAGCAAAGATCTCTGCACCCTCACTCTGGGATTAGACGCAGATCGGAACACTGAAATCGCCATCCACAACATACACAACCCGCAAAACCACGACAACCGCATAATGAGATCTTTACAGCAACTACGGAAAACGCTAGAAGCCAATCACCACATCGAACAAATAGTGGTAGGAGATTTCAAACTTCACCATAAGCTATAGGGAGGAAGCGAGATCCGGACACGAGATGCCGAAGCGAGAGAATTAATAGAACTCATAGACGACGTTAACCTCGTCAACCAGTTGTCCGTGGGCACTATAATGTACATGGAAGGGGATGGCCGCTCAACGATAGACCTCTGCCTTTTCACGGTCAGGCTAGTGGACAGGCTCATCAAATACGGAGTAGATGACAACGCAAACCATGACTCAGACCACCTTCCCATCGCAACATCGCTAGACCTAACAATTACGCAACTACAACAAAAAAGAAAGAGAAATTAGAAGGCTATAGATAAAACCATCTTCATAAAAGCTGTCAAACGGACTCTTCCCCCACTAAAGAGGCCGAGGACGAAAACGGCCCTAGACATATACCAGTGCTACTTGCTTTTCTTCAACTAAGCCGGCACACTCGTCATTAGCATAATTTTAACCCAGGTTTTTTAGGGATGGGCTGCGCTAATCAGGTTATAATTGGTATATAGATTGATATTAATACATTGAGTATATATAAATATAGTATCCTAATAGCTTGAAAGTTCTCTCTGAGGCGTACCCAATCGTTATAATATAACCCGGAATAGCCTCTAACCAGTCTCCTACAATAATAACATCTCTACGTTATAAATAAACCGAATAAAACATAAGCATCCCCGCGAGCGTTATTACGCTCTTTTAATAATATTAATAATATTTTTACATCAACATCTCCTCCTATTATTACTATCCCCTACCCTAATATAAGCTTATTAAGGATAAAATACGCTATATTATAGCCATTCTCACAAACGCACAACCCGCTAAAGCTAGGCCTATTATCCGCGGCGCACCATCCTCCGCCTTTACCCGCCTTCTTACAGTTTAACGGACAGGTGCTCCCGTTCGGGCAGCTAAGGACGCAGTAGTATGTTCGTTGGACGCCGAGACAGCGGGGCCCATTGCCAAAGTTGCACGGGCCCGACTATGCTGCTGGGCAGTTGCTATCGGCGTTGGCGGCGAGGACCAGCGCCGGGGCGAGTGTCACGGTCCAGAGGGTTGCCAGGACGGACGGGAAATGCATCTTGATATGGGTTTTGTTAAAGACAGATGTACTTAGGATTAACTTATGTTGCGAGGGAGGTCAGATAAGATATAAAAGGTGGTATAGCAGGCTAACAATCGATAGTAATAGACGATCTTTTAGCATCTTATATATGCTACTCACAAGCTATCACGCCCCAGCTCGTTGTAATAAAATATTCAAAATCGGGACGCAGATTCCCAAACAGGGTATATTTCACTGAGTAAGTGAGAGGCGTTGACTCGGGGTTTAATATATCTTCAACTTACCTTAAACCTTCCCCTTAAGCTTATCTCAGTAGCTGCCCAAAGCTCTGTGACAGCACGAAAGCCTCTTTTTACTGCCGGTCGGATCACGCCGAAGCCCTCCGAAACGTGGTCCAACACCAGAGCTTCACTAGTGTAGGTACGGCCCGGTTATCAGGCCAAAGTTTAACCCACCTGTCAGGTACCGGTGGGGCGTGGTCAAAGCCACCACTCTCCCACCTTTTTGACCAATAGGAGAGCCCCATTCACAAACCGACAAGCATCACCCACCACCACCCTCACCACTGACAAACTATCACCACATCAATAATATAGCCCGCCTAAAAAGTATCCATCTAAAGCATTAATGTGCGACGGCGAACGGTATGCTATAATAGCAATGACATGAATCGCGACCACTGCACGGTCCACCCACATCAACTCATTTATAGATAGTCAGCGTCAAAGAGAAGCTAATTCTGAAAAAGGGAAAAAAAGGGTTTAGATTATGTAACATCAGGCCTACTTCCGGGCAAGCCGATATAATCTAAAGTATATATATTATCACATTGAGAAAACCAAGCAACCGGTTTAGCATCCATCTAAGGTGCCGATCAGGTTCGGCATCCTCTGGAGCTCCTTCGTCAGGATGTAGAGGTTGTGCCTCATGCCCACTTCTCTCTAAGTGCCGGCCGTCTCGATTCCTCCCCCCTCGATTCTTTCCCTCCGTTCAACACCTTGTTTCTCCCCTCTTCCTTGCTCTACCCTCGACACGGGTGGCACTTAGTGAGAAGGGGTTCCCTCTAAGTGCTACCCCTGTCGACCCTTTCCATCTCTTTTGTCGACCCTTTCCTTATTCCCTTACCTCACTTCCTCTCCCCCGTCCCTTTAATCCTCTCCTCGACCTTCTACCTCTATACTCGATAGGGGAGACACTCCGGGAGAGGAGGTTCTAAGATGATTTAAACAGCTTCAGCCAAAACTTTTAAAAGACACCCCCGTAAACTATATTTACTTCATTAGAAGATTTAAGGTTAAGAGAAAGGCCTTAGGGGCTTTTTTTTTCTACCTATAGTGGGCTGCCCGAACAGCCGAACGGCGCTGGCCCTAACCTAATCGCGCCGGTGCCGTTCCGGCCCGCTACTTTTGCTGTGAGCATGTTACTTACCTTCCTTTTAACATAAGCTGGCCGTGTGAGCGGGGTGACATCATTTTTTTATCCTGACTTACCTTGGCCTGACCCCGCTCGATTGTCGCTGCTCGGGTTTCCCTAAATAAGTTAGCCGTATTACCGGAGCGGCTTATACAGTGTGCTACATGAAAAGTTTCATCGAGAAATTACACCGAGCTGAGCTATCCGACCCATCAAGTAGATGTGATAGAATCGTAATTCCTCGTCTTCACATACTTGCCCAATCCAACAACCAGCCGATTCTTTGTCGCACGGCCTGACATCAATCATTCCCATGTCAGAAATTCCAAGCGAACCCCCATCCCGATCCTTCAAGGGCAAGGTGGCCATAGTCACTGGAGCTGGGTGTGCAGGTGATGGCATTGGAAACGGGCGTGCTATTTCCATTCTCTTGGCCGATGACGGCTGCAACATTGTGTGTGTCGACAGAGATTGGTCATGGGCGCGCAAAACCTGCGACATGGTAGCCGCGAAGCCCGGGAGAGGCGAAACTCTTGCGTTGCAAGGGGATGTGACCTCTTCGAGTGACTGCGAAAATGTTGTTCAGATGGCATTACAAACATTTGGCCGGGTCGATGTTTTGATCAATAACGTGGGAATTGCGGGAGCCGCAGGCACTGCCGTCGACGTCGATATGGAACAATGGGCAAAGGACTTCGATGTCAATGTTTCTAGCATGGTTCTTATGGCTAAGTATGCTATCCCCGCCATGCTAAAGAATGAGGGAGAAAGCAAAGGTGCAATTGTCAACATGGGCAGTGTCGCTGGGTTAAAGGGGGGCACTCCGCATCTATTATATCCGACAAGTAAAGGCGCGATTGTCAATATGACCCGAGCGATGGCTGCCCATCATGCAAAAGACGGAATTCGTGTGAATTGTGTTTGTCCAGGAGTAAGGCTTAACCCCCATACCTAGCGCTCTCGACAGAAACGATGAGCTAACCATATGGTGTGTTACGTGCATAGATGTTGTATACGCCTATGATGTACGCTGGCGGAATGAGTGAGGAAGCGAGAGCTGCAAGAAAGGCAAGAAGCCTTCTTGGGACGGAAGGGAACGGCTGGGATGCTGCTTGCGCGGTTGTCTTTTTGGCCAGTAATCATGCAAGATGGATGACTGGTGTGATTCTTCCAGTCGACGCTGGCACCACTGCAGCTGTCGGAATAGGAATGACCAAGGCTGCCAGCGTGAATGGCTAGTAAGAAGCGATTTGAATTAGCGTTAGTGCAATTGCCAAAGTCACAGGGAATTATTAGAGCATCGGATGATGTGCACTCATACTGCAGTCTCAATCGACTTCCGAGTCTTAGGTCCTTCGTAACATCAGATTAGTCGTGCATAAGAGCAACTCTAGCCTTAATCTCTCCTCTTTCTAAACGTTCCAAGACATCCGGGAAATCACTTAGTTTCGCCGTCTCAACCCTAGGCCTTATTTTCCCTTCAGAGATGAGTTGCAGAACATCCATCAGATCGTTCACCTGACCTCCATAAGAGAAGATGTAGCTAAGTCGCTTCCTAGTCCCAATCTTCATGTGTATAGTGTTCTCAGTATCGAGACTTCCAACGCACAATAGCTTCCCACCTCGACGGACTAAAATTTTGGGTAAGATAGATATTCTCGATATGCAGATAAAAAATAATGAGTTATTGTTGGTCTCACCTATCTGTTGTGCATCCTCAAAGGTCTGATGCGTGCCGACAAAATCGAGAACAGTGTCAATCTTTCCCGCCAAGCCTTGCTCAATGACAAAATCTTGAACCTTTTTCCCCGGTGGAACCAAGTCTGCCCGGGCAACCCCAATCGCGGCTGCTTGATCGAGAAGACTTTCCCTAATATCAGAGACAATGACTCTTGCACCAATGTTGAGGACAATTTGGAGAGCATTAAAACCTAGGCCTCCGAGGCCGAAGAGAAAGACAGTCTCCGTTGGTTTGACCTCACCTCGTCTATGAACGGCGTGATAGGCTGTGGTCACGGCGTCGGTGGCAACCGCAGCCTCAGCGGGCGAGACTCCCTGAGGAACATGGGCAAGTCCACGTACATCGATGGCTGCATATGGTGCATAGAATCCATCTTGACCGATACCAGAGTGATGCCCAACTTCACATAGCTGAGGCAATCCTCGTGAACACTCGTCGCACTGGATAGCTCCACATCCTGGGACGGCATTCAGAGCCACAATATCGCCCTAATATTGACATCAAGCTCAGCTTAATATATCAGGTACATAAAGAACAAACTCGACTTCCATAAAGTACTTACCACCTTGAATGTTGTGTCAAGAACCTGATCTCCAACCTTGACGATCTGTCCGCAGCCTTCGTGACCCTAGGATAAACTTAGCCTGACACAGAATCGGAAACAAGGTAGCCTCAACGCTCTTACAAGAATGAATTTCTGCTGGAACCACTCAGGTTGCTTCTCGATGGTGAGGAGCGAATGATCACTTCGGCAAACTATTGTGATTGTCGTCGAGTAAGCAAATATGCATCCAACAGCCAGTTAGTCCTTTTCGCTTACCGCCGGATGCAAGCATCTTGCACAACACACCAGTCGGAGGTGGCACAGGAACTGCTACTTCTTCCCAGACCTAATCATATTTTGAATCAGCAGCTGCATTTTCTCAAGCGAGTTTGTCACGCACAGGATTCGGATCGCCTCTGTGCTTTCTCCAAGCGAACATAGTCTCGGGGACCGACATGGCCATGAGCTTGTGAGGATGATTTGACTATCAATTCTGTTGATTGCTAGTTTGTTTTACAACCAGAATGTTGAAACACGGAATTGGCTATGGTATTTTGACTTTTTGGCAGGGTTATTCTAGTCTCAACGTTGTTTTTACACACAGACCGTCACTGCACCTCCCGGCTTACTCATATGAGTACAGCCGAAGCTTGCCGAAGCACAAGCCCGCTAGTACGAACTGAGTTGAGTCAGCCCAAGTTCAAACCTCCTCGATATCTCCAGAGTGTTCATTGATTGAAGTCGGAACCTTGGCAATAAGGAATCTGAACAATAAACCTGATCTCTTCGACATCTTCTTCTTTCCAGTGTAAGCATCTTGATTCATTCACAACTTGCCTGCGCGACGCTGCTTCTCGTGGTATATCAGCAGTCGTCTAGGTATTATTGCCCGAAGCCCGAAGGAGACTTGGAAATTGCCACAATGACGATGTCTCCCTTGATTCATTTGGGAGGCGCTTTCCTGGCCTGCACGTAGTCTTGATTTTCAATTACGGAACATGACCTCGACCTGACTATGGAAACAATCGGGACTTCGCCAGCACGGTCTTCTGGGACAGCAGGGACGACGCAGTCTACCGGCCAAATAGGTACGCCTCAAACTCCGCTGGGGCAATTTGATGTCCCTTAAATGACTCAAGTCAGTCACTGTGAAAATTTAACGTTAGGAGTCTATACCCTGGCTTTGATGAGCTCTTTGATTCGGTGTGCGATTCATAGATGTTCCCTAACGCTAAGAGCCTTCCGCATTTCTCCCACGTCGCCAGTTTTGTTGAAGCGACCGTCTTCTGTGTTGACGAAAGTTTCGCGATTTGCGGGGTCGTCATTGGGATAACCGAGCACGACGCTGGGCGACCTCACCTACACCTCGCCTAGCTCATTGTAAGCCTCGACACGCTTGCCGCCAGTATCGACCAGCATAACCTCAAAACCCGGCAGGATCAAGCCAGAGCTAGCAATGACAATGTCCCTGGGCGCATCGGAAGTAACAACAACGCAGGTTTCTGTCATCCCATGCCCGAGAGTAATCTTCCACAGTGGATACGAGGACAGCAGAGCGTTGGTTGCCTCTAACCTCAACGCTGCCGCGCCAACCATTACACGCCTTATAAATGATATGTCATATTTCTTCATTGTTCCGAAATTGTTGATGATTGCGTTAACGCGCGGTGGAACTAGATAGAGGTTGCTGATCTTGAACGTCTCTATTGTGCGCAGATATCTACCTGTGTAATTAAACTTTGGTAGCACAATCACCGTGTCGGCCCGATAAGCTGAGGTGTTACATGTGATGATAAGGCTGTAGATCAGAGACTGAGGTAGGAGACTGCAGCTTTCTGAAATTTCGGCAGCTTTTGCAGCTTTCGATTCAACGGGTATAAGAGAATGGACGGTGCAAAATGCTTTGCACTTTGATGTCATAAGCTGATGTGTAAGCTCTTCTGTGTTATACACTGCGTTTGGCCGTTTACAGGGGAAGAGACGCCTATCAGGCCAAGGACGGCCCAAGACAAGCCCATTAGGTCCATCCACAGTCAACAAGGTCAGAACACATTTTTGAAGAAGCAATAACCCTGAGCATCACTGGACGTACAGTGTTTAGAGAAAATATGCCAATTGCCTTGTCAAACTTAATCTCCTTATTGACACTCCATCCCAATTCCTGTCCCAATGATCTCGCCAGGGTCTCGACGCGATCTTGCTACACTTGAGCCGATGTGCTGCTGCCACTCAGTCCGCAAGTGTAAGAGTCGACAAACTTCGCAAATGAATGTCGTCAGTATTGCTCGTTGAAAATGGAGTCGCAGAGGGGGGCTGTATTTATATGTTTGGGAGATCAGAGAGCGATTGATCGGGAACAAACAACATCCTTGCAGCGGACTTGTTCAGCGTTGAGAATAGATCCCCGACCACAAAGGATAGCCCCAAATCATCTAAGATGCCCGAAAACCAAGATGCTTCCTCGTATCAAGCTCTTGTTTGTCCGGTTAGATCTGTCTCAAGCTCTGAAGCAGGAAATAGACGGCGAGGTTCAACGACATGTTAATCCCGATTGGGATTGCCGACAACCCCCACAACCCCCAATGTGCTCGCCTCTGGTGATATTACTCGATCCCGGGGCCGATCTTTTCAGAGTCCCACTAGAGTAGACTCGGCTCTCAACAAGGCCACCCAGCCAATGCACACGGATACGGGAGATGGGCATGATAGACCGGCTGCCCTGGTTACAATGATGCGCTCTTGGCCTTGGCGGAGGGAGATACTGACCGGTCCGTTAGTGTTGGTTTTGCAACAAGCACGGGGCCAACAGCCGGCTCTGACGTCGGTGGTAAATTGGCAATCGGTTTCCCGGCCACTCTTATCCGGATCAGTCGTCAGCTTCAAGAGATATCAGTGAAGGCGATCGTCGTTGAGGTCGTATCACTATTTGTCAGACAACTAATTACATGTAGTAGAGCCGCGACAAGATTTCATCCGATGAAAGATCTGACAGTTATATTTGTCGTAATATACTCTTACAATACGTTTGTAGTTTTTTTTTTCAATAGGAATAAGGAATCGAAGGAACTTTGGTCAACGCTATCTAGCTAATGCCATCTCAGAGGGGTTTGGCCATCAAAACGAGCCACTGCCATGCTTGGAAGCAACAAAGTCTTGTGATTTCCGGTATCTTATGACCGCTGGATTCGCTATCAATTGCTGTCTTACTCAGCTCTGAGTCGGTCTCGGGTGTAGGATAGAATCTTGATGTCGCGGTGACGACGTGAACCTGATGCTGGAAGCGGAAGTGCCTCCCTCTGCAAGCTACTCTTCAAAGTCTCCACGACAAACAGTTGAGCCAAGGAATGGCGTAATGAGATTGCATTTTACATATTTCCTCCTGACAAAAATGTGAGTTCCTTACAGAAACTTCGAGACAAGGTGAAATCAACAGAGCTCCCCGGGCAGCATCCTAGTCTGTAAAAAGACTAGTTTCTTGGACAAGCTCAGGGGAAGGCCTGCACCAAGCCTAGCATGGCAAGTTTTGCGGTCAAGACATTAGGCGAATGAACGCGTAGGCGAGTACGCTAGCCCTTGGCTTCTGGGGAAGCGCGGGTCGATCCATCCTCTTTTCCGGGGTATGTTCGTCCATTACGAACGTTCTCGAGCCCGAGATGAAACACATCTTATGACCCCGATGCCTGCAAAAGAGAACCTCATCAGACGATGTTTGCATTGGCGTATTTCCTCTCATCTCGTTTATTCCTTCAAAAGGCGAGACGGTGTTGTTGTAGTGGGACAAAAATGAGTCGGGCTGCTGCTTGGAGCATATTTAACGAAGACTAGTTTTTCTTGCCTGATTTGTATTTGCATCTGATGAGCAGAGGACTAATGTGGCCTCGATCCCTCTTCAAGAGGCACTCAATTGCAACCTCGGGATGGTTTGCAGCTGTAGCACATATAACTCGTCTAGCCATCTTTTCGACTTTCAGGAAAGTGTGCATTCTTTAAAACCAAAGCCGACACTGGATAGGAGCATAATTCCAAGCACAACACTGGCAAGTTTCATGCCGGAAACAGCGGAATCAGGCTCGGCTGACTGAAAGAGGAAATCAGTCAAAACCACACATTATATAATGGATACCCAATTAACTAACCAAGGCCAGAATTCTCTTGGAGGCAATTTGCTTCTCACAACCAACCGAAGTGCCAGAACAGGTGCGGCGTAGTAGATATGAAGTTTCGTCAACACAGGAGAAGTAGGGACGTCACGTAATTCCTCCGTAATGCGCAATCCCCCAAGTGAGTCAGGACGCAGTAATTACGACATTAAGCCCTTGGCCTAGACCATTCTTGATGAAAGGGCAATCAGGACTGATGCTTCTTGCAGGCCAACTGTATTTTTGATGAGATACATGAGTGGAAGACCTGTTGTCGGATCGAGGACCTATTCAAGTTTTTAATGGAGAAGAGACAAACAACCATGAACGGGCATCCTTTGGCGGCAACGCAAATGATGGAGAGCCCTATTCCTCACAAGATCTTCTTCCGTGGCCCAGGTATCTCTTCGACATGATGGACGGCGGCGTCGAAAGTGGTGAGCCCGTATGCGCTTTGAGTGAGACTCGTGAACCACACAATTCCACCAGTCTAATCTGTGCAAGTGATCTAGGCCCCGAAGACAAATGACGAGGGCTGAAAACGGAGTTTGTCTCTGGTTCCATTGAAACGACATGAGCAGAGAAAGTCCAAGAACGTAAACAACCCGGTTAATTCGACCCCAACACAGTCGTTGAAAATCGCGAGGGTTTTGACCCTCCAACAAGAATTGATGCGTTCAAGACGGTCAGAAGTACTCTCGTGCCTAAGTAGATAAAAAGCTTTACACAGCTGGTCTGAGGTGCCGTCGAAGTTTTGTCAAAAAGCAAGTCTATTCCCACGATGGATTCGGTTGCCAAAGCTATGGTGAGAGCGGACAATGTCCACCATCCGAACTTCCGAGGGCGTTGATCCAGGCGCAGAGGTATGATATGAAGCGACCGTCTAGTGTCGGCCACAGTCGTGAGAACCAATAGGCCTGACCCATGTTGGTCGACATACTGCTGCATGTCTCTCTTAGGGAAACGCCGATGCAGGTGTTGCAGAAAGTGGCCAAGCATATGCTCCAGAGAATAGTGATAGGACCGCCGTTGGTGAGGCCTATTGCCAAACTTTGTGCGAAAACCGACCGAGTTCCCGGAATGTTAAAGACAAACTGACAGCATGCTCCACGTGTCGAACTTGCGGCTGAGAGCTTGTGAATGACCAAGTTTGGCAACATCACCTGCATATTGGGCTGCTTGGTCGGGCATTACCGAGGGCTTTAACGTGAGAGTTGGGACTCAACTCGGAATCCATTCTGGTCAGATATTTTGAGGTTTTCGTAATATATCAGGGGATAAAGGTAACAGCAGAGGAAAAGCTTGGTTGAAGAGTCGAGATTGTAACATTCTCTTGTAATAGTTGGCATGGTTCAAACATCATAATCTACCCTCACCTACGGCAGAGCTCCCCTTCTTACATATGTTTCCCTCGTCCTGGTGTTAGATCTTCCCTCCTTTAAATTTGATAAGACTTGGACTGCTTGGCTAGTGCTGGCATCCAAGGGTATAACAATCATTTTGGAGCCGGGATGTACGCACGATGCGAGTAGGTTCATCTACGGGGGAGTAGCCGACTCCTTATGCCGGTAGCTCATGGCTCTCCTCCCTCCACCAGCCGGGTCGGTTCCACTGGTCATCAACGGGCCTAGCAAGATTCCCTTGTCTCGGTCATCCCCAAATTGACGGTAATTATCATAGTGAAATTGGCACATATATGACCACGACTAGAAGAAGCCGATGAAGAAAAGCCCCGGTGCAATTTCTAAATGGCACGACATTTATGTAAACTCAATTCGGGAAAAACGAGACTGCGAGTCTGTCTACAGTCGTAGCTGCTCGATGATTACAGACGGTAGTAGAATCACCGGACAGAACTCGCTCCCCTATTGCTAAGATTCCAATGTATCTTTAGACCTCTTTAGACCTCAAAGGTATGTCTCATTTAACTTGATCAAAAATATGACTTCTCGACCAGTTTGAACGATTTTCCTCCACTAAGAAAATGACCAGGCCCCTGACTTGTCTCGATAAGCAGTGGTGCATCCCTTAGGCTTTGGTATGTCGAAGTCTGCATCTCGACGTGCGGTATTGCCAGCGTAGATGATAGCTGGCAGGAATGAGTGTCAGAATGCAAGCTAATGCAAGATTTTAAACATACTGTCGATTGAAGAACTGCGAGTTGCAGCAAAGCTCATTCGCGAACATGGGAATGTTGACCCGACCAGATACAACCGTCTGATTCTGCAGGAACCCACCGAGAGCGAATATGCAGATTTCTGTGCCGGTCGAAGGCCTCGACTTGAACGGCGAGCTTTTGCTATTTCCCAGCAAATAATGGTTCTTGCAAAGCTGCCGAGGTCATTGCCAATCTGACCAAGGCAAAGGTTGAGATATGGCGGGCTGTGTCCGAGGTCGCACCCACTTTGGCTCTCGAAGACCGCAACTTCACGGAATAGATTACCCAAAATATCCCGTAGATCATTGTGGTGTGCCGCAAGATCGGCATCACCGATTTGTCCAACGTCTTCTTCTATGCCTGGGCGATTGGTTTCGAACCGTTCGGGGTTTGATCATCGTCTCCAGCAAGGGTTGGCCTACTACCGTAAGTTGTCAATGGTCAACTAATACTCGCAGCTTCCAGGCTTCTCTGTGGTTGTGGACACCGAGATGGAAGATGTTCTCGCTGTCAACATCTGACATGTTAATGAAGGCCGTATTAAGATTCTGTTGGAAGAGCACAGCTAGCTGCCGAACTTTATCAAAGACTCATATGATGGCACTTGGCTGAAGCCAACCGACATCGCCCAATTGCAAAGTGTTTTGTTCCAAATGTACGGCAAAGAGCTCCCGGATGGATTACAAGATGCGTGTGGGTTTCGACCACCGGGAAGGCATTGCTTTCTCTGACGTACGCGTCCACGGTTATCATCAACAATAACAATAACAACAACAATAACGGGATCGTACACTGCTTACAGTCTAACCGGATCCGCGTTTTTGAAATGGTCTTCCTCACGGCAACTCGGATCCGTCTCACCAGCGGACATGCTTTTGACATTGGCGAATACGGCAGCGAACTGATGGCGAACTGATGACGAACTCACTTAAACTTGACTGCAATTGTAGAGGTGCATTTTACTACCTCGATGTGGTAATGACAACATCCAAATGCTAGCCAGCATTCATCTCAAACACGATTTACATCCACAAGATAACGGGCTTCAATATAAACACACCGACTTCCACGACGGCAATATTATTACGGCCCTTGACCAGGGGCTCATCATTTCCCAGATCGTCACGGCGGTCAACCATGAACATGCATTCCACCACATCTTTACCCTCGACGGCACACACAAACTCGAAATCAAGCTCGCAGGGATACCAAGCAAGTATTGCATGCACTCATCAGAGTCGGCAGCTCCGTACGGCGCTGAGGCTGCGCCTCAGCTGAACGCACATAATCACCAGTATATCTTTTCGTTTGGAATTGATCCCGAGATTGATGGGTGGAACAACTCCGTCCTGTAAAGCGACACGATACCCTCGGACAAGCCCGTGAGGTCACCGGAGAATCCATTTTGCGATGGGTTCCACTGCAAGAAGACGCCACTGCGTACGTCAGAGAAGGGTGCTGCAGTACTGCCAGGACAAGAGTCTCTGAGTAGTGTCGTACAAGGGTCAAGAGCTTTTCCCAGACGGGAACTATATTTGCCAGTCTATGGGTGAGACGCATCCGCTCAACCAGACAATTATATTGTATGCATTGTGTGGTACGGAACGTGGTACGGAACGCGTCAATCGGGAACACAGATATCGTGTGCTACATACAGTTCGGTCTCACACACTTTGCTCGGACGGAGGATTTCCCAATCATGGCCGCATATCCGGTGAGTGTCATGCTGCGGGCCTCGAATTTCTTTGAGAAGAATCCAGGACTTTGGGTTCCGCCGTCGTCGGTGTGTGTAGTTCGGACGTCCAGGGATGCTTTCAATGAGGCGTAGGGACACATTGTGTGAGATGAAGGACGGCGGCGAAGAATATGTTTGACTGTCCTATTTCCGTATCTATAATTGTATAAGGGCGCAAGGTGGATACCGATGAATTGGTAGGTACCATAATATCATTTAGTCACTCGAAATTTCATGTTTGGCCACGGCCCAAAATGAGAGTCCGGTGAATCGCACTGACGGTGGGTGAGAGGAGCAACACGGAGATTGAGACCAGGGTTTGATGATGTGACAAACAGTACTCGGTACCGATATCCGTCGTCGACAGACTCGACAGCACGTACCCTCATGTCGAGTCCGTCATTGAAGCGGTCTGCAGAAGGCGCATGAATCTCATCGTTCGGTCGGTTCCTTGATCCAAACGTGGACGAGGCGGATGACGACAGTCGGGCAAGGCGACGCTGTACCTAACAGATTAACGTGCTTATCTTCAATGAGTTGGCATCCCAGGGGTTGCATCGTTGTATCGGCATTGTTGGCGGTTGCTCGGGTGTCAATGACTCAAGTAAGATCTGGCCAAGTGGACCCAATGAGATGTTCCGCAGCGGCAGCCGCAGCCTCCGCTGAGGTGTTGACGATGGGAGATTGCATGAGATAATGGGTGGGATTCAATTGCTTTGCATGTGCTTCCTTCCCAAATCCCCTGGCTTGGGTACCTCCATACCTTCCGTAGTGTACACCTCGTACCTGAGGCAGCAGAGAATTTCCCCTCTTCTCCAGGGAATTCTGCCGTCTTCTCTCCGGTTTAGTAGTAGAGGGAAGGTAGACACCCAAGCACCTTCCCAAGTTGTAAGGTAACTAAGTGCCTTATTGTTTGGGTATCTCGGGTGCTTGCCGCCAAAAATGCTAGCCGAGTGGAAAACTCTTTGCGCCCAACGGCGAAGAAACAAGGCCAGCCGCCACCCGCCAGTGGCCATTGAGAGGCCCCCACGTCTTGACAAGAAAATCCTTCCATCCATTGACAGGCCCGTTGGTCACACAATGACAGGTCCCTGAGAGCCCAAGCACCCGAGCTGTGACCTCAGGCCATACCCAAGTATCTTTGTGGGTTGTGGCCTGCTGGGAGATACCTTCAGGCTTCAGGGGCATGCCGCATACACCCACTACGCCCAGTTGGGATGGTTTTAAGTGGTCTCAACGGCCGGGCTGCCAATAATCTGGAGGGTCCAAAGCAGGGGTCCAGCCACTTAGAAAGCAGCTCGCTCCTTTCCATCACCACATGAACAAGTGAGCAGCAGGTGCAAGCCAGCGACCCACGATCATAACGGTCCCAAAAAAAAAAAAAAAAAACAGACGGAGAGAATTGACAGGGCAGGTGCTGTGCTGTGCAGAAAATCGCCCTGACCGCCTTTCTTTCTTTGTTTACCTTGTCCTTTACCGACATTTCCCTCTTCCTCCTCCTGCTCCTCCTCCTCACCGTTGCCTCATTCCCAAGGAACCTCAAGGAAAGTCGACTCACCGACGTTCATGGGTCTTGCCTGCATTGCGCCTCTCCCCCAAATCTTCAATCATCAACCAATCTCATCCCACTTGCCTGTCTCTCTGCCTTGCCTCGACTGAACAGACGATTGCCCCCATCTTAATCTGACGACAATTCTCCATCATGGGCAACGTTGTCTCAGTCTTTTCACCCAGCAACGGTCACCAGCTTGAGGGTTCCGCTGCAGAGCTTGAGCAGAAGCTGGCCGACCGCGAGGAGACCATCACCGTTCTCGAGGATGACCTCTCCAAGAAGGAGAAGCAGTACAACTCCCTTTCCGAAGAGGCCGATGACCTGCGTAAAAAGATCCAGGACCTCGATGCCCAATTGACCTCGTCCAAGCAAGACAACAAGTCTCGCATCGCCACTCTCGAATCCGAGCTCGCTGCCAGCAACGACAAGATCAACCACCACGTCCAGGCCAACGGCGACGCCAACACCCAACGCGCCAACGAGCTCGATAACGCAAACAAGAAGCTTGCTGCTCTCCAGGAGCAGCTTGATAAGGTCCAGCAGGAGAAGAAGGCTCTCGAGGATGATCTCGCCGCCATCAAGGAGCAGCTGGCCGAGGCCAAAAAGGAGCGCGAGACACTTGAAGTCTCCCTCCGCCAAGAGCTCAAGGCCCTCCAGGACCGCCTGACCGATGCCGACCAGGTCCGATTTACCCTGCAGGAGACCCTCGACAAGATCAAGGCCGAGGCCGAATCCGCGACCAAGTCCCTCGGCGAGAAGATCGCTGCCGTCACCACCCTCGAGGGCAAACTTTCCGACCTCGAGGGCGAGCACTCCAAGCTCAAGTCCGATACAGAAGCCGAGCTTGCCGCTGCCGGCGACAAGTATACCAGCCTTCAGCAAGCCCTTGACAAGCTGAAAGCCGACACCGATTCGGACCTCGCGGCTGCCAAGAAGGAATTGAGCGATGCCCAAGAAAAGTTCACCGCCCTCCAGCAGACCCACGCCGAACTCCAGACCGGCTCCACCGCCGACGTGTCCGCCGCCCAGAAAGACCTCACCGATGCCCAAGAGAAGCTTGCGGCTCTGCAACAGACCCTCGACCAACGCAAGACCGACGCTGACGCAGACCTCGAGGCCGCCAAGAAGGAACTGCTCGACGCCCAGGCCAAGTTCGCCGAGCTCGAGAATAACCACAACAAGCTCAAGGCCGGTTCGGAGGAGCAGGTGGCTGCCACCAAGAAAGAGCTCGCCGAGGCGAAGGAGAAGGTTGCTGGTCTTCAGCAGACCCTGGATGGCCTCAAGTCCGACTCCGCGTCCCAGTTGTCGACCACCCAGAAGGAGCTTGCCGATGCTCAGGAGAAGCTTAATGCCCTGCAGCAGACCAACGACAAGATCAAGGCCGATTTGGACGCAGAGCTGACCACTGCCAAGACCTCTCTCGCTGGTATCGAGGACAAGTACGCTAAGCTGCAGGAGACCAGTAAGGTAGAGCTTGAGTCCGCCAAGAAGAGCGTGGCCGAGTGGGAAGACAAGTATAAAAAGCTGGAGCAGGCACACAAAGAAGCTCAGTCTACCTCTAGTACTGAGCTCGAGTCTGCAAAGAAGACCTTGGCCGAGTCGGAAGAGAGATATTCCAAGTTGCAGGAGGCTCACGATGCCGAGCTTGCCACTGCCAAGAAGAACATTTCCGACTGGGAGGAGAAGTACAGCACCTTGGAAAAGGCCCAGAAGGAATCACAGTCGGCTTCTGGCGCTGAGCTGGAATCCGTGAAGAAGAGCTTGGCGGAGTCTGAGGATAAGTACAAGACACTGCAGCAGGCGCAAGAAAAGAGCCAGTCAGAGTCAAGCGCCGAGTTGGAGGCGGCTAAGAAGAGTATCGCAGAGTGGGAGGAGAAGTTCAACACCCTGAAGCAGACACAAGAGAAGGCCCTGTCCGAGAGCAGCGCTGAGGTAGATGCTGCCAAGAAGATTACTGCCGAGTGGGAGGAGAAGTTCACCGCCCTGCAACAAGCCCAGGAGAAGGCTGCATCTGACTCCAGTGCCGAGCTTGATGCCGCAAAGAAGAGTGGTGCGGAGTGGGAGGAGAAGTACAAGGTCCTTCAGGAGACCCACGACAAGGCGCAGTCCGATACTGGGGTTGAGCTTGCTTCAGTCAAGCAGAGCTTGGCCGACGCCGAGAACAAGAACAAGTCGCAGCAGGAATCCCACGAGAAGGCCAAGGCTGACATCGAGGCGGAGCACACTGCCGTGAAGGAGTCTCTGTCCGGCCTCGAAGAGAAGCACAACGCGTTGCAGCAAACTCACGACAAGACAAAGGCTGACTCAGCTGAGGAGTCTTCGCGCTTGAGCAAGGAGCTGGCGGACCTGCAGAGCAAGTATATCGATCTCGAAAAATCCAGCGAGAGCGTCAAGAAGGACGCATCTACCGAGCTGGAGGGCGCCAAGAAGGACGCAGCCAGCTGGCAGGAAAAGGCCGAGAAGTCGAATTCTGCTGTTGACTCTTTGACCAAGGACCTCGAGGCCTCTAAGAAGGATCTGGCTGCCGCCGAGGCCAAGCACGCGACTGAGCTGCAAAAGCTGCGCGAGGAGCTCACCAAGGCTGCCAGCGTTAACGGCGACAAGCCGGCCGCAGAGCCTGCAGTGGAGGAGGCGAAGCCCAAGGAGGAGGTTGTTGCTGCATAAGTGTAAATGGAATTCCGGAGATGACTGGAAAAACCTGTGTACAAAGGTGAAGGGCAAATCGGCTACGCCCCAGGGGAAGGACATATACCAACCGAGATACCAAACAAGAGTGCCATGAAGTTGTACTTAATAAATTAATCCCCCACACAAACTAGATACGAATGATGACGCGTGAATTCAACTATATGCTCTCCTCGAGAACCTAAATTCCATGGATTTCAGGACCCAAGATGGACGTGATGGTATATTGGCTTCACAGATACTAGGGGCTACGTGCCTTTGATCAATGTAAGATTCAGAATGCGTCAGAAATAGACAGTGGGGTGTTTTGCCAAATTGAAACGTCCACAGGGGTTTAACAATCACCATACAGTTTGTCAGTGAGCTTCAAGTGTCACTGTCGTATTTACTACAGGCATGAAAACTTGATTCCAGCACCGTTTTAATCACTCAGACTCATTGAAGAAACACTGGCGCTAAAATCTCACATCTAATTTGTTGCGGATGCAAGCCGACTGATCGCATTTCGAATTTTCATGTTCCTGAGTCTACGGCAGCTCAAATACCCCCAAGTCAGAATTGGTAGAAGTTGGATTTTGATTCTCCCTTTTGACCGTCGAAGACGCATGACTGATCAGCTGCCTCTGATTGGAGAGTTGAGATATATTTGGAATCGAACCCAACATCTCGAAAGCTTGAGCTTGCTCAGGCTCAAGCGGAGGTGTCGTGTGAAATGCCTTCGTCTGTGATACTTGGCTGTCCCGAAGAGAATACTGGGACGTGGCTTGCGAAAGCGGATGGAGAGGTTTCTGCTGAAGAAAATGAGCGTCATAGGTCTGAGATCGCAGTGACTGCTGCAAGTTAGGAGTTGTTGCCTGGGCATGAGGCCAAGGGTGTTGAGCCGGGGTGGTAGCGCGACTTCTGATACCCTCCTCATCATCCCCGGGGATATATGGGCTCACCCCGCTGCTTGAGGGGTTTAGTTGGTTTAATGCTGTACCTTGGGCTGACAAACTAGGGTAAGGGATCTGTGAACTCGTTTCTTCCACTTCCATTGTTTTTGATGGTGATGGAGTCAGAGGGCTGGACTGGTAGAAACGATTGCGTTTGTGTTGGCTCAGCATTGAAAATGATGGTGATGACCACGCTCGAAATTGACGCATCAAAGAAGGCGTAGATGTGGAAGATGACGTGCTTCGTGATGATATTGCGTGCCGTGCCATGTTTGGGACAGACAAGCCATCTATGCTTTGGCTATCAAGCCCCGTCGATTGATGTTGTCTTGATGTGTGGAGGTCTGATGGCCGTAGCCTTTGGACTTGGTTTTCCAACGATATCACCGAAGGAGACCGGTGCTCCAATGGGTTTTCCGAGTTAGAGAGATCGCACGTCCCATTTATGGACGAGAGGGAAGACACCAACGAAACTGGTCGATGAGGAACCTCGGAGTGGGATAACCATGGTGACGCAGACGGGCTCGATAAAGACGGCGTTGACGATAGCAGTGGTGTCATGTTTGCGTAATCCCCGAACAAGAGGGAGATTCCATCTCCGTCCAAAGAGTCAATGACTGCATCTCGTGTCCCTCTACAATTAAGCATGTCCGACGCATCGCTTTCTTGATCCAGAAACTGCTTGGGAATATCGATTGTTGATAATGCGGGAAATAGAAAATCGGTAGGAAGTGTTGGACAGCCTCGGGATATTGACGAAAGAGGTGGAGCCGATGGCATCGTAGCAAGACCGGATGACACAGGAAGCAGGGCCTGACTGGCTAGCAAATCGTGCGCTTGGCTTCGCTTTGGATAATTGATATCGTTCGGGTTTGCCGGTATGGGGCTCGTGGATCCTAAACGAAAATCAACATGAAAGCCTTAGTGGTGATATGCGAAGGAGAAACAAGCGTCAGTACCTGAAATATTGGCTTTCCCCATCAAGTCTCCCAAGAGAGCAACATTGTCAAACAATACCGTTGGCTTCTTGGCCGCTGTATCATCGCCCATGTCGCCCTCAGATGACGGCGCAAGTAGTGCGATCTGTCGCAGGAAGTTCAATTCTGCAAGCACTGATTCGCGATGCCGACTGATAACCGGCCCTTGTCCTTTGAACTGTCCGGAGTCCAATAAAGTCCAGGACAATCTACTTCTGAAGGGTGTCTTTCTATTGTTCAATCTTGGGCGACTCTTTTCCAAGATCTCACAGACCTCAGCTAGGCCCTTGTGTGTTGCTTCGACGATATTATTGACGCGCTCGAGAACTATTGGGCGTCTTTGAAGAAGGGGCAGTAACTCGTTGCGAATTTCGATGAGATATTGTAAGTCTGTATGGCAGGTCCGCACCAGCTCCAAGCTGTTTCTGACTTCCTGTGGGACTTGATCTAGCTCAATAGCAAAGAGGACGTTGAAGTAAGTTGCGCGAAGAGCGCTGAGGGGATCCATAGCGAAGGACCAGTGCCGCTAGATAATCATGCGTCCAGTGGACCGTCACATCAAATAGTTGTCGGAGATGGAGCAAGTCATAATTCGAGCAAGCTTCTTGGCTGAAGTGCTTACAGATTCCATACTGCCGATCCTCTATTCACAAGGGACAATGGGGAGGCGCGATAGCGGGTGGATTTCGCCGCGGGCCCGAGAATGAGCACAGCACGATGCAGACTGGGTCAGAACCTGGTCTCCATGTCTGTTAACACCGCCGCAAGCATGCCCTGATTTTGGGACATAATGCAGGCTCCAGCCAGGGTATGAAGCAGGCTGCGGTATGTTAACGCTCCCTTCAGGAATACGGCCACACCTTGTTCGAGTAAGCCTATCAGAGTGCTGGGCAAGATTGCCAATGAGGCCAGAAATATCCTCTGAAATAGACCGCTAACAGATTTCGGTAGGAGCCTCCGCCGTCGAATCATCCAAAAGACCATATTAAGCCTCTGTAGCTATTAAGTGTTGAAATCTGTGATACAAGGCTTGCATGAAGTCCGGAGCACAAGGGCAGACAGGCAGACAGGCTAGCCGGGCCGTGGAGAAGGAGGGTGGTCAGGTGGACAGCCACATGCATGCGCTGCGGTGGCGCCCGAAATTATCTCTTGAGATTGTGACGCGCAGTCTCATTGGTGCTTGTGAACAAGGAAGCAGAAATAACAATCTATGGTATACCTAGGTAGGCTAGGCGCTTGACAGTCCGTTACAACTTTACTATGAAGAAATCTAAAAGCGCTCGTGGCGTGTGCTTTTCGAGGGGTTAATCAGGCTGGGCTAAGGCTAAGCCACGAAAGACAGTTCCACATTTTTGTCGATCTCCATGCCTTGTCCTTTTGTCATTTTCAAACTTGAGCATTGGTCGGAGCCAGTGTGCCAGTAGAAGTACCTTTCTTGGTAACTTCTGTAGCCTGCCGCTCCTCACCACCTCGTAAATCAAACTTGTGTTACCACAGGCGCCACAACCTGATGAGGAGACCGGTACAACTTCCCATCCTTGTCGCTTGACTTATCAAGACCAGGGAAAACGACCAGCATCCGCAATCCCGGGTTTCCTCGGCCCTGGCCATACATGAAGTGCCAGTCGCTGGGTTGAGACATGACCAAATACCCAAACCTTGCACACTCCAAAATAACTTCCTGGAGGTGGTCGGCTTGCTCCTGCTGCCTGGCCTGATCTGAATGAAGAAAAGGCTGAAGGAACATTTGAAGAGCAGCGGCAAGATCAACAGCCTGCTGATCTGCCGCTGAGTTGGTCAGCGGGAGGGGGGTTCGTTGATTGCGACTCGGGTGTATGAGAAACGCTGATAATCTCCGCCACTGCGATAATGCGAGTAGTTTGGCTGGTTACGGAGGTTAGCCTAAAGTCTCTCTCAGTGCTTTGTGAGGCCCAATACGGGCTTCTCACCTTTGGAGTTCTCGTGCTGGCTGTCACCTGGAATCGACTGGAGAAAGTTCGTTACTGGTTCAGGAAGCATAGGGAACCGGCTTCCTGAATTGAATTCGATACTGTTGAGAATGACTCCAGAAACAACGTGCTGAAGCCCAACTTGTCGACTGACTGGATTAGCACAGATGGCGGCCACTTTCTCCAGCGTTGATCCAGAAGTCTGAGACAAACCCAGGCCGCGCAGGCCCTGGACCAGAGAAGACACCGAAGAGTGCAGTGGTTGCATATGATAGTGATTTTCGACGTGGGAGTGTACAAGCTCGCTCAAAGAATGGAACTCTTCGGCAATGTCCTTGTCAGGTGTCGCATCTAGGAGGAATTGGTTCAGGTGAATGTCACTGCTCGAATGACCTGCTCCAGGATCTCCGTAAACCTTTGACTCTGTTGTCAATATAGGGTTTGCTTTCTTGACATCTTTACCATCTTTAAGCTGCTTTCGACGCAGGAATGCGAATGCCACAATCGCTCCAATCAGAAGGCCACCGATAAGGCATCCTACAGATGCCCCGGCGAGGGTCTTTGACGAGATACCAGACGGAGACGGCCGAGGGCTTGTTGAGGCGCTTGTTGAGGCGCTTGTTGAGGCACTTGTACTGGACGTGGGCTGCAAATCCGTCGTACTATCAGCCAAAGGATACTCCATGATAGTAACCAACACCGCAATAGAGCCTTGCGCGGCCTCCCGAAACCATGGAGTAGCGATGAGAGTTGTGTTGGCCACTCTTGTAGGTAAACCCGTGCCGTACGCGACTTGTGACTGAGACAGCGTCCAGTTGGCAGATGCATTTGGAATTGCTGCTATATCCAGCGTTGTATTTGCGCTCTGGCTCGATTGATCCGCGGTGAGGCTTTTTGATGATGGAGGGGCATTCGCCATTTTGACTTTAAAGAAACAATGAGTCCATGTGCGGAGGGGAAAAGACGAAAGATTAATGGGATGCAATGGAAATGGTGATGAGGCGGGCTACGCCGCCTCAAATACTGTCCGAAATGACTGTACACATCAATCGACTCGTTGTCACTTGCCACGCCCAAGCAGGGGTAGCACCTCCACATACCAGAGAAAAAAAATCACTATGATAAGACCGCAAGACTCGCCGTCTGCAGGCAAGTAATGCACACGGTCGTGTGTGAATAACAGTCATGTTCGCGAAGGCAGGCTGGGGCAGGCTGGGGCGTGACAGCTGACAGGGTGGTGGGAGACGGTACTGTCTGATCTGCATCCCTTGCGAATAATACGCCCCCGTCATATTCCGGTCTCTGCCGACCATAAAGGACTTCATGGCCCGGGGAGTTGCAGCCAATTTCATGGAATCGCCACAACGGACGCAGCCTCGTGATAGCGCGGCAGCATGCAGCAGGATTCTACCCATCTGGACTCTGACTGCATTATATTGATTTCCAGTCGGCGCCTCAATACCTTCCTTTAGCCCAGGGTCTTGGTAGGGTCTTGGTAAGCCGAAAAAAGGGACAAAGAAAAATGGCTGGGCCGTGTACATGCAGCCAGCCTTCCTGCCTGAGCCGTGGTGAGTGTCTCAATCGGCGGTTAAGTATGCTGATTACGCTGCTGCTTGCTGTTGATCTGTTACCGTGTATCAACCGCATGCCTCAATCGACGAGATTTTCTCTTTTGAGACGGATCAGGGAATTCTTTCTTTACAAAGAGCTCCGACACAGTGAAGTCCCGCTTGACCTCCGCATATCGATCTGGTGCAATTGTTAAAATGGCGGCTAAATCTGATATACTCGTATCTGTCGACCTCGGCACCACATATACAGGCAAGCCGCTAATATTTCAGCCTCATGAATGAAGCTAACATTGAAAGGGGTTGCCTGGATGACACCCAAAACACCGATTCAAGTCATCAACGACTGGCCTGGCAGCGGAGACCGTGGAGAGCGAAAGGTCCCGACAACTCTCATCTACAACGCCGATGGTAGCCTCTCATCGTGGGGTTTTATGTGTGCAGATGATGATGAAACTTTACCAGGAAAAATTCGACGAGAGTTCTTCAAGATCTTTCTCGATCAAGATACTTTGGCTGCAGCACAGAAGCAAGGCCTTGAGCACTCTCCGCGAAGTACTTTGGACGCACAGCAATACATCACCGACTATTTACGTCAGATATACGGACACATCAAAGAGACTATAGAAACCCAGTGCGGGCGACGTCATTTTGGTGGTTGGGCGAGCATGACGGTCACTTTCTTATTCAGCGCCCCCACCACCTGGACGAGAATGGGAGTCATCAACGCTTTCAAGGATGCAATCAGCAATGCCGGATTTGGTGTCGAAGGACCTAATCATGCGGCGCAAGTTGATTTGACAGAGGCAGAGGCAGCTGCAGTTGTAACTCTCAAGACAAGCCCTGTAGAGTTCCAACTGGGAAGCCTCTTTCTTACGGTTGACGCAGGCGGGGGCACCACCGACCTCGCGTTAATGCAAATCACATCCACTGATGGTAATTTCCCGCAAATGTCGCAAATGGCAGCTGTGAGGGGGGTCGGAATCGGTGCATCACTCATCGATAGGGCCTTCGTTCGACTGGTGGCCCAAAGGCTAGCTACTTGCCAGGATGCCCAGGACAGACTGCCTATCGATTGCGCGAATAGAATGGCGAGGAGTCACCATTTTCGAACGGTGAAACACAAGTTTGGGGAGAGGGCCTACATACAACCTGTGTACAAGATTCAGATGGAGGGTGTTTCTCATGACTTCAGTCATCATGGGTTACGCGTTGAAAATGGAAGGATGGCATTCACCAAGTAAGTGTACCTGCTACAAATATAAATGTTTCGCTGACAAGAGTGCAGAGAAGAGATTACGTCACTTTTCGAGTTGCAGATTGAAGGCATAATGAGGAGAATCAGAGAACAGCTGGATTGGCTAGGCGACAATGATCAGCCACAGCAAGTCGTATGTGTTCCAAAATCAGACATCCGGAGATGAGTACAAGTCTGACATTGACAGAATTACATGGTCCTATCTGGTGGCCTTGGTAGCTCAGCATACGTTCGTGACAGGCTCCAGCAACAATTCACTAGCTACCCGCACCGGAATGCAAACCAGATTGCAGTCATTCCTTGCCAGGACCCTCAACTTGTGGTTGTGCGCGGTCTACTTCTTGATCACCAACAGAAGATGGAGTCTGGCAATCTGCCAGTACTAGCTACGCGAATAGCCCGAGCAAGTTACGGAATCATTGTCCAGGAAATATATTCGCCCGCCAAGCATTTCAACGAAGATATCGTCAACGACTTGTTCGAACAGAAGCAAAAATGGGCCATCAACCAAATAGAATGGCTCATTCAGAAAGTCAGTGCAGTATGCCTACAACTTGCATCTTAGTCTTGCTGATGTCATGGCAGGGAGACGTCATCAACCCAAGCAAGCCATTGGTGAAGTCTTTCGATATTCGACTGAAAGCGACGGAGACAACGAGGTCTTGGGACGCCAGAATTGTGGTTTCTCACAATGAAGTCTCATTTCTGCCCAGCAGCATGAAGCATGGTAAGTTTGGGGTTATATACCACAGGAAGATCGATATGTCAGCGTGAGACAGTGAAAGAAAATAACTGATATGGCTGAATAGCTGGAGCATTGAAGCTTTGCGAGGTCAGAAGCAACCTCACGGGCGTGCAACAGGAGCAACTTGTACTCAAACAGAAGCGAGGTACATGTTTCTCCCGTGGCTTTAAGTTCTATGTATGTCAATTTGATATTCGAGTCATTGTGGCGCCTGCAGACCTGCGATTCGAGCTCTGGTTTGCAGGTCAGAAGTTTTCGGGAAATCACGACCCCATCGCGGTGACATGGGAGAACTAGGGTTCTAGCATGACGAGTGAAAAGTGATCGAAGGTTGATTGGGGAGTGTTTGTCTATGGCCGCTAGCTACATGTACGTAAGCTAGGTATCTTGTTTTTCAATTGGTGATATTTGCTATATTACGGACTCGGGCACGTGCGGCGATAGAAGCCGGAACTAGTGCTGGTGCGTCAGCGTGTCAACCTAACCATTCGCGAACTATTTACACTGGTCCAGTTATCAAAACCTCGAGGAATAAGCCTAAAGTGGTATAGTCGGAGAAGGATCGTCACGGGGGGGAGGGGGGATAATCGGTGGGACACCGGGGATCCAGGTTTCCTCGAGGATTGCGCCACATCCGGCAACTGATCTGCAGCCCAAGGCATACAAAGGTATTTTGTAGGACGATGATCGCCCGCATTGCCATCGATGGCGTCCGTTCAAGCTTTAATTCAAGCTTTCGGCACCGTGAATAGCGCGTGCTCCTGCTGAAGATCTAGGTACTTGTTTCGAGAAATCAACTTAATTCGGAAACGTCCGCAGCAAGACCCTACGTTGTGCCTTTCTCAACCAGAATGACTTCCCAAGTATCTTTACATTTGGTATCATCGTGATTTTATAAGTAGCCAAGTTCCCCAACGACATCTGACAATTTTCTTCATCCTTTCCAGACGACAACGGATAAGCCAATTTTACACATACAAATTTTTACAATGGGCACAGATCCAACGACTTCCTCCATATCGAAGGACAATCATCAAACGGCACCGCCTCCCTATTCCTCCATTGATCCAGATGACATCCGGGAACCATCATTGGGCTCGTTGTCTTCCGATTCTATGACTCCGGATAGTTCTGACCGAGACGAAGAGTGTGAGATGGAACCCAAATCAAGCTGGATGCCTCAACTGCATCAACGGCTCAACGCCCCCGGACGTTTGTGGGCCCCACTCCAAGTGAGCATTCTTATTCTTGAATATCTCATTCCTGGTTCCTACTCATTGCTGACCACTCGAAGAAACCAGTCGTCATTCCAAGAGTGGATTTTGCTCGTCCTCTCAAAGTTCCGTTGCCCTTCATGAGAGCTTACAGCCATGACCTACAAGCGCACGGGATTCATGGAGGAGATTTTGGTGCATTCCTTGACAATCTGACCGTAGCCCAAGGCGCGCCTGCCCCTTTGGCGATGCTAAATACGGCCGGTAGTATTGTGGGATTTGTGTGAGTCATGTCGAGATCAGGCCTCCGCACCGCACTGCGAATGTCGCTGACATTCCTAGACCCAACCATTGGGCACAACTGGCGGGAGGTATAGTAAACGTGACCGCTGGACTGGGCACAGCTGCCACGCGCATTATTCGGACCAAGTATTTCTTGGACAAGGTCAACCGCGACTATTTCGAACCCAGAGGCCTGAAAGCGTCATTATGCAAATCGAAAAGTTTGGCAGCCAAGCTGGGCTGCGGTGAACAGCTCCCGGAGCTCTTGTAAGTTACTCCTTCTATCCACGGAAGCAGTTTGATAATTTTAACCAGAGTCTTTCATGTGTAGACCTATCACACCAGAGACTTGTGATATGAATCTGCAAGACCGGCGAATGCTGACTCTGGAGCCATACATTGCCCCCCTTACCTTCGATGTCCCACCGCCCAGCAAAGAGCGGAACTTTGTCGATAGGATGACCGAAAAGCAGATCGAGCGGACTCTAAAGAAAAAAGCAAAGAAGAAGGAGAAGAGATCGAATAAAATTAGAGAAAGCAACCTGAATCGGCCACGCGATGAATCCAAATATGTTGATCATTTAGATGGCAGCCTCAACGACAAAAAGGTCTTGAAGTTGGAAAAGCGCCATAGTAAGAATCAACGAAAGATGGAAAAGGCCGAAAGAAAAGCCGCCGAGAAGATGGAAAATGCAGGCCCCTTTGAGTCCAAAAAGATCAAGAGGAAGCAAGAAAAGAGGATTCGGAAAGCCGAGAAAGAGTGCAATAGGTTGGAGGGAAGGGAGGAAGAGATCTTCTCAAAGGCTGCCAAGAAAAGAAATAAGAGACACGCAAAAGATGTTCGGAAGGTGGAGAAGATTGAGTATCTATTGATAGAGTCTTTGATGGGATTGACGAGTGGAAGCAGCCGCGGTTAACTCGGTAGTGTCGCGTAATTGGGAGTGTCTAATAGACCTAAAGTTCTTTCAACCATCATTCTGAATAATCAAGTATCAATCTATCTGATGTAATGCTTGACGCAGGTTTCAAGTGGAGTATATGTTGAGCCATGGCCCATCTGCCAGTAGAGCCAGACGAAATATGTCCGAGTTGGAGCATGAGCCACAAGCCGATTACTTCGTCCGACTTCCCCACAGCCTCGTAAGCCATCTTCATCGGAAACAAAATTGACGAGCTTGAGATATCTCGCAATTTATCAAGATGGTAGTCCACACTACGACATATGAGAAGGCCAGATTCATGTATCCTGCCAAGTAGGGGGCTAGGATCCCCTTCATCTCGTAGCGCAAGATTCAACCCGTGAATGAGTAACAATAACAGGATCAAGGTTCCATGGAACAAAGTTGAAACGCTGGCATTGTAAAGACTGTGATATTTTAGAACAGTGTTCCAGGCTGGCTGAAGGGATCCGTCGTGTCCCGACCGTATTGGTGTCGTAGTGGCTGGGGCCCGGATTAGATCATACTGATACAAGGCAGTGGGCGCCCAGCATTCCTCCCATGTTTCCAGGTCGTTGAGAACTTTCCGGGCCTTCTTTAGTAGAGGAAATAGTGCTGAATTATGAGAGGTCCCTGTTGGGCCAGCAAAAATCTCCTCCCGTAAGATGAAGAGTTCGGGGCAATCAGCGACAATATCCAGAAGCAGCTGTAGTGGATTCTTCCGCTCGGGGTTTTTTATCCAAGGCAAGCCCTTCCACGATGACTCTGAAAGAATGGTACGTTTTCGCATGACAAGAGCGGCGAAAATTATTGATGGTCGAGCTTTTTCCAAAAGTATCAAGCACGGCAACGGCTGCATGGATTTGGGTCCTCGGAATTCAAGAAGCTTTTCAAGGCCGCGCGCGTGTCCGATCCAACCATCTTCACGATTGCCGACGATCATCTTGATCCCCGTTAGTATTTATGTCTGACGCGCTGTATGTTCGTTATGCCCCCCGTTGAAGCATGGTGCAATGAAATGACTCACCTCGAAAACAGCCATGACTATAACAGCCTCGAGAACATCGAAAGATTGACTTTCTTTAGAGTCACTTAGCGCCCTGTTGAGAGCCTGGAGAGCAGTACCATATCTGTGAAGGCCATGCTGCAAAACTTGCGGCTGCTCCTTGTCGATGCCGAAAATAGTCGTAGAAAGTGCCACGAAGCATTCGTTGGTCAATGCCCGGCTCGTGCCAGGTTTCACCACAATTTCCTCGTTCTCGCGCAGCAGATATGTCAGCGCGTATGAGACGTAAACGTCATCCATAGACCCTGGCATCAAAAATGACTCTGCGATTTGAGATGAAACAACATGGTTCCATTGAGGGAAAGTTGAGTCTGTCGTTGTCTTCTCTTTCGCAGTCAATACTGCCCGAGAGATGCCACTGACGCCAAGGGTCTGGCGGACTTGCTTGGCCTTGCTACCATTGTATTGAATGAAGCTGAGACCACGAGAGCCTCCGCATTTCAAGTGGGCTTTAATGCATCTTGCGCACTCGGGAGCGGCGAGATCTAAGTATCGCGGATTAGAAGATTGGTTCATAAGATCCCATATAGGGTGGAGAGGACGGCCTTACCACACTTGACACGCCTCCGCCGACAGTGGTCACAGGCCTTGCTTCTCCCTCCCACTCCGACCATTTCGTCTTTGTAGTTGAAAAGGGAGGCAACGCGACACTTGGTAAATTCCAGGGCATTTTCTCATGGAAGTGATGTGGCGTACGCCGGTGGGCGCGCAGATTGCATCACGTCCTTCGGCCGGGCTTGCTCCTAAGCCTAGCGCTACGACAAAAGCGGCCAAGATCATTGAAGTATTAGCATCCAGCGCCTATTAGGTGCAGATCAAGGTGATCAATAGTAATATCCCTGGCATAACCTCAAATGCTTAGTTCTTACTTGCTATTAAATACCTTCGGCAGTCTGCTTGGAGATTCGGGCTTGAAATGCGACTGCGTAATGCACATGATACGATACCTTGATGAGAAAGTGATTGGCTTATACTTCCTCGACCAAGAGCTTCTCTGATACCTCCCTCAGGCACCGAAGGCCATGATCCTTGTTACTGTTGGTAGTTCTTTCTCTCAACTGCTTGACTTGACTCCATTGCGGACACAACATCTATATGAGCCATGAATTGCAGCGGTAATCGCGATGGCATCCCAACGCATCCTGGCCACGCCGCCCTCCCAGGGCGCCATGCTCGATCGCCTCGTCGACGCTGTCCGCCGCTATAATGCGCGCCAGCCGCGCCTCTACGTCGGGCTGGGCGATTGTAATCTCGATGTGGAAATGCCTCTGCTTCTCAACCCGACTGGCGCGCCCGTCGCGTGCATGGAGCCGCCCGACGAGTTCGAGGCCGTCAACGCCCACTTTTCAGCCCAAGTGCACGCCTTTTTCAACGCACTGCACGCCCTCGAGCACATGGCAGTCGAGCAGTCCCCCGACGAGCCTCACGAGCCGGGTCTCATCCGGGAAGACGGCGGCCTACAGCTCGCCATCCGCATCGTCAACCAGTCCTATGACATCTACCCAGACTGCTGGCACCGCATTTTCCACACCCGCCGCCTCGCCGTCCAGAACCCGGACAGCCTACCTCTCCTCAACCGTGTCACCCAGCTTCGCGTCTTGCCCGCCACGAATTACTCTAATGCGCCGGACATGCACTTCGTCCATCTGCGGCCCGTCTCTCCGCGCGTGCCCCTCGAGCTCGCCGCCCGCCTCCCCCACCTTCGCGAGCTCGACTGCCCCTGGCTATGGGAGCGCCTCCCCCTTGCCTTCTCGTCCCAGGCGCTGCGCATATGTTCCCGCCCGTGGGAAGGTCCTTGGCGGGATGCCCGCATCGAGTTCGGGCGCGGCGTGCGCCAGCTCATGCCCCTGCTGCCATCCTCCCTGACCAAGGCCCGTCTCTGGTTCTGGAGGCTCAACTCCTGCGGGGACGACACGGATCAAGCAGTGCATATGCCCGACCTTGTCGATGCGCCGTCATCGTCGTCGTCGTCGTCGTCGTCGTCCCCCTCTGAGTTTGAAGGCATGGACCCTGTGTCTCTTGGGTTGGGGGACCTGGGGAGTCGCCTGGAGGAACTGAGCATCCGCGCACTCATCACCCCCGACCTTTTCCGTTCCTTATCATGGCCGCACATGCGGCACCTCAAGGTGGAATTCCACCCGTGTGCGCCCGACGGTAGGTGGTACTTTTCCGGCCCAAGAGGCGAAGATCCCCATGCCATGGGTTTCGCCATCACGAGAGAGGAACACTACCCGCCGGGCCTGGAAGACGCCGATGAGACGCACGCCTTGCTGTCCCGCGAGGAAGACGAGTTCACGGGCGACGACGAGATGTGCCTTGAACGTCGGCCTGACATGTTTCGCATCCTCCCCATTGCGGAGCGCATCAACCCTCTGCTCATGGCGTTTGCCTTGTCTCTGCAGCGACAAAACATGCCATTCATTCAAGACGCGGAGATGTTTACGTGGCTGCTGTGGCGGCCGTCTGAGGAGCGGGCTCAAGAGTATCAAGGGAATGATGATGCGCCTCCTTCGGATGAGGACCAGACCGTTATGTTCCGATGGGGTGTAAGATACGATGCGCCCGACGGAGATGGGAAAGGAAAGGTGACGTGGCAGGTCGGTGAGGACTGGAGGCCGGGAGACGAACTTCTCAAGGCGTTTGGAAAGCTTGTGGGCGGGGACGGGGAGAATATGGAGTGGGAAGTGTTTGATTTTGTGGAGGAGAGGGAGCCGGAAGCCGAGATCTTTTGATTAAAGAATCAACAGGGCAGGCCATCAGCCACGCCATGGCCAATAATTCGTCAAGCAATCGCTACTCACAGCTGGGTTCCAAGCCAGGAACTTCTTGAGGGAGATGCCGGTGCATGACAAGCCATCCGTCACGAGGGCCCATTTAATGCTTTTTGCGGGCGAGCCCGACATGACGAGCCCCGGCGGCGTCGGAGAGGTGTTTGTCGTGTCGTCGCCCGCGGTCGTTGCAGCTGTGGCGTTCGATGTACCACGAGCCGCAGTAGCGAACGCCCGTTTCAAAAGCGCACGCCGGGTCCGAGACGTTTCCGAGCCCGGGATTCCACAAGCCAAAGGTCTCAAGGTCGAATTTGTAGATTTCCGCAGCGAGAGCACAGTTGTCGGTAAAGTGCGAGCTGGTGAGGTCGTCCTGGTAGTCGTCGCCGGCAAAGTAGCGCAGCTGCCAGAACCGAAACTGAGTAGGTATACCAACACCGTTGGCGACTTCGGCCAGGAAACATAGCGCGCAAGGTTGGACGGCTCCCCCCCAGAATCTCGGCACTCCATCCTTGTCATCGGATAAATTAGTCTTGAATCCTACCCCTCCTCATTATTACTAATTGCATGGGCTTGGTTGAACCTCGGCCCTGCGCTTGGCTTTGGACGGCTAGTCTTGGAACCAACCATTTTACACATCTTTGAAAGGCAACTTCAGCTTTCCTTTACTTGTCTACATTTCTTTGAAGATCTCCTTTCAAGCCTTTGGGACACGCAAAATGTGTGACTTCTCGCAATACGGTGGCCCTAGTAAGGAGTGGCTGGCGGTGGAAGCTGGTCTTCCCCCTCCGCAAACCGACATCTCTCCATCGGATCGCAAGAATGTTATGAACAAAGTCCGCGAGGAGTTGGCAGTGGAAGCCATGAAGGCCATGGCAGACAAAATCCAAGTACACGACTGGACAATTCCCACTCGTGACGGAGCAACACTCGAAGCCCGAACTTATCGATCTGAAGCAGCGGGTGATGGGCCTTTGCCTGTTTATCTGTACTTTCATGGAGGTGGATTTCTCTTCGGAACCCTTACCTCGGAAGACGCGACTTGTTCTCGCATTGCCATCAGCACAAACGTGCTCGTTCTCAACATAAACTATCGCCATACGCCCGAACACATCTACCCGACGGCTTGGAATGATGCCGAGGACTCTTTCATTTGGCTACATGCCAACATCAAGGAGATCAACGGCGATGCTGCGAAAGTTGTGGTTGGGGGTATATCAGCGGGTGGGCAGCTTACAGCTTCTCTTACCCTCGCTCAGCACCTGGGCAAGACTCCCCCTGGGTTACCCCCGATCGCTGGCCAGGTTCTCATGATCCCCTGCTTGGCTCATGTTGATTGTTATGAGGGCCTGTTGAAGAAGATGAAGAGTCCGTCTGTGTCATCCTACCCCGAGAACGAAAACGCGCCAATCTTGCCACGACCCATGATGGACCTTTTTATCGGCCTCCTCAAGATTGAGAACCCAGACCCGAATGACCTGCGACTAAACCCTGGCAACGCAACCCCGAATCAGGTGAAAGGGCTACCTCCGACAACCTTTGGAATTTGCGGCTTGGACGCACTAAGGGATGAAGGCCTGCTTTACGCTAAAATGCTTGCAGAGGCTGGGTGAGTGACTTTACACCTCCGCTGTGACTAGTTTGTTCACTAACCCCTCTCACAGTGTTCCGACAGATGTTCATGTCTTCAAGGGTGTTCCTCATGGGTTTCGGCGTTTTGGAGACAAGTTATCCGCGTCGAAGCACTGGGACGACACGACGGATAACGGGATTGCTTGGGCATTGACAAACCCGATCGCGACTGGCGAGTTCAAAATTCATGAGCACTAAATGGGTGTTACATGTATTTTATACATGTTGCAGTGCTGGGCACATTCATATCATGTCGGACTTTGTATCTTAGCCATGATACTATTGAAATTAAACGAGCTTCCTGCTCTTGGAAATTCACAGAAATTTCTTTGGTCAACTGTTTGGGATTAGACTTTCCCGAGCAAGCAACTGGAGAGGTCGTATGTGAGCTCGAGCAACGCCAAGGAGAAGATACAAGGCTGGTTGTGCCAATGTATTGTACTACCTATTGAGGCTTATTTGGGCCCAAATGATCTTCACAAATTCTCTGGGAAAAACCTAAAGGGACCTTTCCCGATGATCAAATTATCCAAGTACAAAATCTGAATAATTTCTAGCCTTCACCTCGTCACATCGCTTTCTGTAGCCAGGTGCGGGTCCATTGTATCGTGTCATGGACCTCTTCTGCTTGTGAGCCAGGTTTTTGTTGACACCCGTCATCCAAGAGTCGACCTCGTTTGCCAAAAGTCCTTCTCCGCATTTCCATACATGATCCGTCCACATGCGCATGCCTTCATCTGTAGCCTCAACAGATGTAATGTTATTGTCTCGAGCATACCGAATCAAGTCTGCCACCCATTCCACGGCGTATTCAATGCTTCGGGGGATATTCCCGAACATCTGGTGCGGTCCCATAACCATAAACATGTTGGGGAATCCTTTGACAGTTAAGCCAAGGAAGGTTTGGATGCCCTCGCTCCAAACATCTGTGAGTTGTGTGCCCCCGACGCCCTGGAAGTCCACAGCCCGAAACGAGCCAGTGATGGCGTCAAAACCGGTTGCGTAGATTATGACATCAAACTCAAAATCCTCCTCGTTTGTCTTGATCCCCTTTTCGGTGATGTGATCGATGGGAGTTTCCGCAATGTCTACCAAACGGACGTTTGGTTGGTTGAATGCCTCATAGTAGCCGCTTTCAAGTGGGACTCGACGAGTGCCGAAACCGTGATTCTTGGGAATGAGCTTCTCGGCAACCTCAGGGTCGTTGACACGTTGGCGAATTTTGTTTGCGTGAAAATCACTGTAGAGTTTATTCGCTTCTCGGTTTGTATAAATGTCGCCCGAGATGCTGAGGACCTTGGCGAAACCAGGCTGTGCATAAAGTTTCTCCCAATGCTTCAGGCGCTCTTCTTCTTCCATGTCAAAGACACTCCTCGCGTCACCCACATGTATGAAACACGAGTAAGAGTCCAAGCACTGTCGGAAGATCTCAGGATACCGCACTCGAATATCAGCCATCTCTTCCGGGCTGATTTTTGTATTCCGCAGTGGTGCAGTCCAATTGGGGGTCCGTTGAAATACCGTCAAAGAGCCAACTGTCTTGACGACTTCTTGGATTGTCTGGATAGCAGTTGCGCCTGTGCCGATAACGGCCACGCGCTTACCTTCGAGATTGGCACCTTCTCCAGGCCATCGGGCTGTATGCCATGCTTCTCCCTTGTAGTCATGAATGCCAGGAATGTTCGGCAGCGTAGGTTCGTTGAGAATGCCCATGGCCGTTACTAGGTAGCGACAGGTGTAAGTGCCGCCATTGCCATCGGTCAAAAGCCATGTCTTTGAGCCTTCCTGGAAGCGAGCTGACTGAATCCGCGTATCAAATTGCATGTCCTTCTTCAAGTCGAATTTTTTGGTGAGGTACTGGATGTAACGTAAAGTTTCCGTCTGGGGCGAGAAATGCTCAGTCCAGTCCCACTCATCCAATACTTCTTGAGAAAAGGAAAAGATGTAGGAGTAGCTCTCTGAATCAAATCGAGCCCCTGGATATCGGTTCCTGAAGCCGCGTTAGCTTGGGTTGCACATCATGTTCCGGTCAGGTGCCTGTACCAAAACCAAGTGCCTCCTTCTGCGGAGCCAGCTTCAAGGACTTTTACTCTCAACCCGAGTTCTCGAACTCGATACAACGAGAAAATGCCGCTAAGGCCGCCACCAATTATCAAGACATCGTAGTCGAGGTCTCGATTAGCGAATTGAAAGCTGGATGGCGATGTGCCGTTAGGCTTCGATTCGGACCCCTGTGCCATGGTTGCAACGACTTGAACACTGAAGTGAGCTGTGACATGCAAATGTGTTCCCGAAGTTTCCGAGCCTGGGCTTGAAGTAGCGATATAGAAGTATGACTCGATGCTCTGTGGGCCAATTGTGGATTGGGGCGTTGGCACAATGATAATGAACCATGGGTAGTTGGGCTGCAGAGATCTGAGGCCTCGAGCTTGGTGGGAACACAAGAGGGGATTCGCGGGGGTGCCGGTGGTAGAATGTCACCCAACCTGACCACGGAAGACAAACAAACTTCGGGTCGGCGCGCTCGGTGGATTCGGCTACCCCAATAAGGAAAGTGCCGAAATGCCCTAGCGCCACCGCAATGCAACGCTCAGGTGAATCAAAAGCCACAGTACAAGGAAGGCGACTCAGAACATTCACTCCACGTGCTGAAGGGCCTCCTCCATTCATCTGTAACTATCCATAGCCAAGGTATGGGATGAGCATGCCGAAGATATGCAGAGAGATCTCATCAAGTGGCCTTGCCTTCGTCTGTATCTCTGTTCCTTAGAAAAATTTCAGTTTGGTCACTGGGAGTAAGACATATTTTCGGGGCACCAAGCATGTTAAATAGTAAGAGAATAATAGGACAGAACAAAAGTAAAACATACACTGACTCTGCATATACCCACACAAGCTTTCAGAATTTTCTTGTGGGGATCTATAGGACTCTGCATATTCTATAAATTGGACCCAATATTTACAGCAGTCCTTCAGAGTCCCAGTACGACTCTAAGTCGCGAAAGAAGGACCATTTAACTTTCTCACCCCAGCCTTTTGATTTCCAATCGTTAAGCTTGCCGGGGAAATGAGGCACACCATCTCTCACCGTCGAGTCATGGGCTATAATGACAAAGATGTTCTCGTTACAATCCAACTCTTGGAGACATTCTACGGTCCTTCCCACCATAGGCAGGTCCAGACCAAAGGTTGCATCGAAGAGCGTATCTGTGGATGCTCTGCCCCTAGACTTCTGGAGCTCGTCCCATGCACTTCCCGGACAAAGTGCGGTATCTCCGTGCGGCCGGCAAGGATGCGGTGAAATTGACGCGGGAACAGGCAAATGCTTTGATGGCCTGAATATTCCTGCGTAATGACAGACGTCACCTCCAAGGAGAATGAACGTGTCTGGGCCTTGAGTTGTCCGGGCTAGTCCGCAAAGATGGCCCACGGCATGGCCTGGGCTGTCAAGCAAGTAGAACGACCCGTCTCCGAAGTAGTCGAATGCCGGAAACCGCCCGATGCGAATGGTCTTAGGCCCTTCTTCAAACGAGATTTCTCTCAAATTTCGGCCACTTGAAATGGCAAAGACTTGGTCAGCCATAAATGTAGGTTTATAGTGAGATTGGGGGGGTGCTAAAGTGACTTACGCATAATCCTTCTCAAGTATTGGAGAGTTGGGGTTTGCAGGTGCTCCCGGAAGCATTGCTGCCTTGAATCCCGGTCCAACGATCAGGTCTGTCGTTTGCGGAAAAGAAGATGGGTCACCAATATGGTCCCAGTGCCAGTGGCTGTATGGCAAGATTAGTGGACCACAGGTTAGAAGAGAAAGCAACAGACAGGAAATCGTGTGTCCTACGTACCTCCAAATCACTGCCTCGACATCGTCCGCAGCAACACCATTTTCTTCCAGAATTTCCACCATATTTTTCTTTACCTGAATATCGTAATTCGTGGTTGGCAAGTAATCCGTTATGGACGGCGCATAGTTGTTGTAATCCTTCCTGATCCCCAGATCCCATACCAGCTTACGGCCTGAAGGGTGCTCCACGAGAAAGCAGAGAGAAGGAGACGTCTTGAATGTTTCCAGCCCCGGAACTTCAGGTGCCATAAATCGTTTAAGGATAGCAGGGCCAAAGTTGACAGGGTTAATCATTTTGACGACCACCGTCTCTCTCCCTTCTGGCAATGGAACGAGGGGAGCTTTCGATGGCATAATGGCGCTTGGTTTGTGTGGTTGTGAACATACAAGGAGGCTTTTCTTGGGGGCTGTGATCGGATTTTGATCAATGTTTAGAGATATCCGCCTGGCTTTGAACGGGTCTCAAGTATGCAATCTTTTGTTCGGGTTGTTTGGTTGCTGGTATCATGAAAAAGGTAACCGGCATCAAGGGGCTTAGAGAAGGGCCACGGGAAGATCTGCCGGCCCCTCAGTAGCGCCGAGCTATGGCCTTGCGGGGGAGAATTTCCAGGTTGTTTACGGGCGCTTTCTGAGGCCGGTTACCCCTAAGCGGTGTAGCTATTCGCCTTATTCTACAACAGCAAGGTTCCTTGTCGCCGGTAAACCGCCTTGAATTAATACCGAGATGCCATGTCAGTGAAACAGCCACCTAGTTCAATGAGTGCCACCCTGCGATCCAGACACCCGGGATTAGGGACCACATTCTCGACGCAAAACGGCTGATCTAGCACCCTTCCCCCGTCAACTTTTCTAGCCTGCATTGCAATTTACTTTTCGAGAAGTCTCGTTTATTCACGTCTCCCCACGTTAGAGGCCGCGTTAAGACAGGCCTGCTTCTTTTATAATATTGCCCTGGTTTTCCTCGCACAATGTGGCCATCTCTTCGGGATTTCTTCAAGTCGACGTCCGAGTTCGAGTTTCAGCAAACATGTCTGATCCCGCCAAGTCTGCAGAGAGTGTTCAGCAAAAAGAACGACCAGGTGGAATAGCAGAAGTGAAGCCCAGCGTCACTGTTGACACTGTTCATAATGACGAGGCACTCAAGGTACTCGAAGGCTATGCTGGTAACATCGAGTGGACAGAGCAAGAAGAGAAGAAACTCAGAAGGAAAATAGACTGGAGGTTAATGCCAGTGCTATGTATGACATATGGGCTCCAATACTACGACAAAGCCATGCTGTCGCAGGCGGTAAGCAATACCTCGTGCTATCCCATGGACCCTGGCTCTTTTCTTCGCAACAAGACGCTGACTTGTTGTTTTCTAGGCTCTCTTCGGACTACGAACCGACTTGGATTTGACAGTTGGTGATCGATACTCCATGTCGGCTGCCATCTTCTATCTCGGATTTATCGTTGGTACCTATCCAACCATGGTCTTGGCCCAACGATTTCCCATTGAGCGAGTTGCCTCGGTCGTCGTCACTCTTTGGGGCCTCACCTTGCTACTTACGACTGTATGCACAAACTATCGTGGCCTCTACGCTCAACGATTTTGTCTCGGGTTGTTGGAAAGCGGCATCAGCCCAATGTTCATGCTCATTGTTGGAAGCTGGTACAGAAAGAACGAGCAAGCGATGCGAATGGGGTACGTCAACCCCCAACAACAGTGATCGAGGAGAGATTGCGGGTATGCTAATCGTCATACACAGTATCTGGTACAGCTGCACAGGCTACGTTGCTATATTCTCCCCGCTGATCAACTTTGGCTTCGGCAAGCTCAACGGCGGAGTCTCCTCATGGCGATACATGTTCTACTTTGCTGGGTCGCTGACGATTGTCTGGGGTCTTCTCCTGTACTTTGTCCTCCCTCCTGACCCCATTAGAGCAAAAGGCTTCAACGACAGAGAAAAATACATCTTGGTTGCACGATTGCGAAGCAACAACTCGGGCGTCCGTAATACTCACTACAAGATGGAGCAAGTTGGTGAGATCGGTCTTGACATCAAGTTTTGGCTGATTTTTGCCATTGCGTTCCTCTGCATGATTGCGAACGGACCCATCTCGACATTTGTTCCCATCATCATCAACGGCTTCGGCTTCAGTACTCTCAACTCCCTTTTGCTCAGCATACCGATGGGTGCATACGGGGGTACAATACAACTCATCATGCCTTATCTGGCATACAAGTATAAGAATTGCCGAACGTGGATTGTGTTTGGCGCACAGATGGGAACCACTCTGGCCGCTCTGTTGTTGTGGCTATTACCAAGGTCTGCCAAGGGGGCTCTCCTATTTGCGGCCTACATCTTACCGTCCGTCGGAGGCGGGTATGCCGTTCTTATGGGTCTGCAAATCGCCAACACGTCAGGTTATACTAAACGCTCCATTGCTTCTTCCGGTCTCTACATAGGGTATTGCCTCGGTATGCCAAGCTGATCTTTCTTCCCTTCACTTTCTTACGAGTACTGATACTGCGAGTAGGCAACTTCGTCGGGCCGCTGGTCTTCCGGAAAGAAGATGCTCCCAACTACGCCCCTGGCTTCATTGTGGTTGTGATTACGTCCCTAGCTGCGGGCGTTCTCGGCCTGGTATATCGATACGTCTGCATCTGGTATAACAACAAGCGTGACAAAGCTGGGATCATGGAAGGCTATGACCACGCCTATGAAGACGATTTGACCGATATGAAGGTATGTTATCTTAATCGCGCCCTAGTGTCTTCAAACATACTGACCACGTCGCAGAACCCACAGTTCAGATATATTCTGTAGCGGAAGACTGTTTTGGGAATGCTTTTGTCATGGAAGTTTGGTGCATCTGCTTTCTGCCGTCCGTAATGTTTCGGCAGAGAAACAGAACATATCCAAGTAAGGATGAATTAGTAACATCTGAAAATTACCAAGTTCCTTGATGTGATATTCCCTCCTGCGTGCCTAGTTGTAGACGTCCGTTCATCCGTTCATCCGCTTCTTCACACAGGAAGCTTATCTAGCCCTAATGATTCCCATAGCTCCGGAGATATCGCGGCGAATTCCCCATGTAGGTCGCCGGCGTGCGTATCCGGCAATAGAGATGAGGTGGAGAGCACAATGATTTGAACAGGAGACACGTTCTGTTCAAAGTTCTCCAGGACCCCAGCCGCCAACCTCCCGATTAAATACCACTATTACTTATAAACGCCATCCTCAATGTGGAAGAAAGCCACATAAGAATTATAGTGTCTTCCTGGCCACCCAATGGCCCCAAGACCCAATACCCGACTGATCCTCTACCCTAACCCCCTTATCTTATACCTCTCAGAAATCCAAGATCCGGACTGCCCCGTTCCCCGCATTTCTCCGCAGCCGGCCCAAGCTCCAGTGCTTCATCTCCGCACCATCACCTGTCTGGACTCAGGCTCAGACGCAGAGTCTCCTCGTCTCACTGCAATCCGATCCGTCACTTTCAAGGGAGTCTCGGAAATTAAACTTTGTCTTTCGTGAACAGCCTTGCCGAGAACAATCTGCCCAAATCCCAAGAGCTGCTATGCCGGAGACGATCAGCGAATGGCTCCCTTTCGATGCCTCGCGACCAAAGCGACGGCGGGCCGAGCTAGTTTGCGAAGTTTGCCACGGCAAGAAGGTGAAATGCGATCTACAGGTTTGTATAGAGACGCCAAGTGCTGTCGAATCGCTCTGACCATGTTTAGGCCAGAACTTCTGAAGGCTACCAGACCTGCACAAATTGTGACGTTTGGGAGAAAGAATGCCATCTTCGGCCTTCAAAGCGAACAAAACGTCAATGTCTGATACGGCCAGCCCATTCAAGCCGTGTCCCTACACCACCAGCGACTTCGGCTTCTGGCGAAGCGGCAACAGCTTCGCAAACGGACGCGGTTGCTGATGCCATTCATGTTCTGTCAACAGGCTTCAATGAATTCGTCCCGCCGCCTCCACCGTCTCGTTCTCGCTACTCAGCATCAGAGCAGCACAGACAAGCCTCGTCTCCTTGTTCGTCCGCCCCAGTTGTGCGATCTCAAGAACCTCATCTTGCTCCATCGCCATCTCAGAGATCTCAGAGCAGCGATACACGCACTGAGGGCGTTGCAGAGAGCCATACGGGCGATATCGATACTGGTTTCTTGCAGGTCTATGCCCCCGAGAACCAATCATACGCGGAAAAGCAGGCATTAAAGGCGTCCTTGGAGCACAAGTACATTCTCTCGAACCTTCGTGAACAAGATCTCCTGGAAAGCTTTGCAGAAACTTATTTCGAATATTGCTATGCCTGGTGTCCAGTTTTGGATTCCGAAACCCTTGAAAGCGATATTGCTCGATCTCCCCTCCTTGCCAACGCGCTAGCAACTGCAGCAAGCAATGTTCAACCCCCTTTGGTGCCTTACGAGGGACCGGCGGAGTATTACAAGAAAGCACGCAGGATATTCTACGAAGATGAGGAATCTGATGGGCTAACAACTCTCATGGCTGTCTCTTTGTTTTACTGGTGGGCTCCACGTCCCCCAAGCACAGTCCATCGACATTCATCATGGTGGTGGACATCGGTGCTCATTCGTCACGCGCAGCAGATGAATCTTCATCGTGAGCCCACAGCAAGCCAAGTCGTATCCGGCAACTTGAACCTGGGCCTGCGAAGGAGAATCTGGTGGACGGCATTCGTAAGTGGCTCGAAAACTGTGGGCTCGTACATGATTTGCTAAGAGATCATCCAGGCTCGGGAGCGTCTGACTGCCTTGTGCCAGAGTAAGCCAGCCATCATCGACCTCGATGACTGTAATATCCAGGAGCCCAAGTTATCCGACTTTCCAAGCGACTCCAGGTCTCAGAGGAAAGGGGAAATATTCATCCACTGGGTCCGTCTCTGTGTCATCATTGGGAGAATTGCCAAAACACTGTCGCGTTCGACGCTGCCAACGGCCGATATTCCGCCCGACCACCACAGACAAGAGCTGGTGGGCTGGGTTAAATCTCTCCCTCCTCACTTGCAACTTCCCATCGGCTCAGCTCGCACTCAAAATTTTGACAAAGATGTGCATCAGTTGCACCTTCCGTATCTCACTACCATCATTGTTCTTCATCTCAAACGCTCAGCCAATACTCTGCCAGAAGCACTCCCTCCAGCCATACTGGCAGCATCATGCATAGCAAGAATACTGCGCGATATCTTGTCTCGTGGCAACACTCGCTTCTTGATGGCGATTACTTGCTGGTACTGCGGAACAGCCTTCATACCACTACTTCAGGCCTGTCAAATCCCGCACTTGGAGAAAGATGCCAACGACTGTCTTGACATTCTCGTGCGGGCAGCAGACCAGCTTCAAAGCATGTGGGGTTCTGCCAATGTTATTAGACAAGGTTTCTCACGACTCAGAGGTACAAAGCCAGGTACAATACGAGACAATGGGTCAGAGGCAGGGACCAACCAACCCATCGATGGTGGGGTTGGTGTCGCCACGCCTGGTCCGACAAATATGGAGGCAGTGCCGTTGGAAAGAGAAGGCCTGGAAGACTTCGACTGGACTGCCCTGTTCCCATTCGCTACGCAACAAACTGGAGGAATAGCTGGCAGTCTCTTGACTGGTTGGACACGAGGCACAGCAACAAAAGGCTTTCCTTCCCCGGATAATGCGCTTTTTCATGAGACACTCGTCAATCAGTTTGAAGATTTGTTCGAGCCTTTTGTAGATTATCGTCTAGATTTCATGGTTCCAGGATGAGGGCTGGTGTAAGGAGTTATTCCAGTTTCTGCACATGCTGGGCTTGAACCAAATAAATTTTGTCAAGTGATCCTCTCTGGCTATATTAAGGACAAGAAATTATTTTATCGCCAATACTACTTTTCTAATCTAGACTGAAGCGTTGTCCAAAACCTCGGCCTTCTCCACGTACCATGAAAGATCACTCTTTGAATCCATCTCCCACTCCGTGAATCCGTTTCCCATGAACCTGAAAGGATTTGAGGTACGGTAGTTAATTTTGAAATCCTCGCCGCGGATGTTGCTCAGCATCCGGTTGAAAAGATGGGCACTACCGCCGAACAGGGCTGTGACCCTACCATCGACACGATTCCTTTTGTACCAGCTCTTACAGCCGCCGCTCCACACAAGTGTCTTATGTACTTGGTCGCTGTACTTGATGAAAGCATCAACAACTTCCTGCTTGGGCTCAACGTATTTAATGTCCTCTGTAGCCATCTTCTTCACCCATTTCACGAAGTAGTCACCTGTCCAATTCAGAGACTCCACCAAGGACCCATGGCCACCTAGGCAGTTAGGTCCCATCATCATGAAATAGTTGGGATAGTCTGGAACAGCAACTGAGACATAAGAATCGGGATCCTCTGCCCATCTTGTGGCAAGATCGATATTCTGCTTCCCAACGATCGGGTATCTTGGACGGTGGGAAACGTCAAATCCCGTAGCGCAGACAACTACAAACTTGTCAGACACGCAAAAGAAGCGTGTAAGGCGAAGGTAAATGGTTGCACTTACTAACGTCACACTCGTAAAACTCTCCATCGGCTGTGTGAATACCGTTCTTTGAAACGCTGGTGATAGCACTGTTGGTGATGTTGCAGTTTGGTTTCAAAAAAGACTCCAGATAACCAGGCCCAGGCGTGATGCGACGGCAACCTAACTCCCACTTTGGTATGAGCTTTTCACATAAATCTGGGTCATGGCCTAGCTTTTCTGCCATTTGAGCCGCTGCTAATTCCATGCCTTCTTTGTTGTTTTCGCCCTTCATGAAGATATAGAAGGATTTATTAGTGCGCGAAATGATTCCCTTCCTATGCTCGAGGTGGTACTCAGGGTTATGGAAGCGTTTCCTCTCCTCGTCGGTATATCGTGGGTTGGGGTCAGGGTCGTCCCTTCCAAGGTGCTTGGATGGAGGCGCACGATAGTATACCCAAGCAGGACCACGAATGAAGTTCATGACGTCAGAGCCAGGTAGCTTGGCCATCTGAGGAACGATCTGGATGCCGGAAGAGCCGTTTCCGATGACGGCGATTCTTTTATTGGAATAGTCGAAGTCGTGGTCCCAACGAGCAGAGTGAGTAATGTGACCATCGAATTCTCGTAGACCGGGGACGTCAGGCCAGGATTCATGAACCAGCACACCTTGTGCAGAGATCAGAACGTGGCAGAACTCGTCACGCCGTTCTCCTTGGTGTTCGACCGTAACTTTCCACTGCCCGAGCTCTTCTTGCCATACAGCGCCAACGACCTTGGTATTCAACTGAAGATCGCGGTCAAGATTCCACTTTTTGACTGTGTTTTTCATGTATTCGAGGATCTCAGCTCCACTCGCATAGAACCGGCTCCAGTCTGGGTTAGGATCAAATGGAAATGCCTAGAGATATGATTAGCTGGCTTTACTGAATGATTGATGCAGAGTACTTACATAAATGTGCGCCGGAACATCGCACTGCACACCAGGATAGTTGTTGACAAGCCAAGTACCACCAACTTCCCCGTGTGTCTCAAAGATGGTGTGTTCAACAATGTCTCGCATCTCTGGAAATCTGTGCTGGAACTTATGGGCCATGAGGAGCCCCGAGAAACCAGCGCCAATGGTGAAAACTTTGATCTTCCGTGGAGTGTAGGCAAACTTAGTGTCAAGCTTAAAAGGGTCGTCGCAAACGCCATTATGTTTGCTTGCTGCAGTTTGTGGAAATACCGTATTACTTTGGACGACCTCTGGCAGTTCCGGTGCCGGCATTCGTGGAACGTCGCTGGTCACGAGAGATGGTGCGACTTGGTCAGGATCGACCCGTGCCTTTGCTGGTGCTTCTAGGGAAACAGTCATTGCTTCTAATTGACTTCAAAGGATAAGTTGGGTAGAAGAGTTTGATTTGAAGTAGGCGACAAAACCGACATGTACCAAGGCGGCTTTGTGAAACGAAAACGCACGACCTCAAGTGATTGAGCAAAAGGCCAAATTCTCTGAGCAATCCTATTCTTCGTCTTTATGGGAGAAATATAGGTTATATCTTGAAGCATGCCCTCCGCTCCAAGGATCCCCGAGATAGTTCAGTCCGCGTTATCTTTATTGAGGACGGCACATACTATGGCAAATCCAACGCCGATTGACCCCATCGGATTCATATCATATCCAGCTGAGCTACGGCACCACTCACGCAATGATTTCCACAAATCTGACCGCCATCTTCGGATTGCCGCGTACGAGGTTGCCGAAGCCTACGCTACAAGTCGACCATTTTCAGGATTGCCGCCGGCTATCCCAAAATGGTATCCCAGTGGGGGATCCAAGGAAGGCTGGGGTAATACTCGGGTTCACTGGTCTAATATAGACTCATAATATCCTTCCTTGCGTTAATTCCGGCTTGGTAAAGCCGGGAACAACTGATTGCATTGGAGTTGCATTGCATTAAAAGAGACATTGTGTCAATTATAAACTGAAATTCTGTACACCGTTGGAATACTGGTCACATGAGAGTAAATTTGAGTTTATAAATTAATCATTCAACTCTCCCCATCTCTCTTTTCCATTGTTTTCTGCTGTGAACCGTCGCTTTGAGCGATCGAAACCAGAACACGCCGCAGCCATGCCCTTACCTCAGTATACCTACACGGGTCCAGTCAATCACTCCATCATCCCTGATCGCAAAAAAATCAAGGGAAAGTCAGTCATAATTACGGGGGGTGCCAATGGAATGGGCGAGACATGCGTACGAGCCTTCGTTGCAGCGGGTGCTTTTGTTACATTCGGCGATGTCAATGCCAGGGGCAAAGACATTGAGAAAGAGTTGAATGCAAACGGTGTATGTTGCAAGTTTGTTGAGTGCGATATAAGGCACTGGGATCAACAGAAGACAATGTTTGAGACTGCCAAAAATCAAGGTCCCGCCAAAAGTGTAGACATCGTCATTGCGAACGCTGGCATTAGTCGAAGTTCAGGAGACAGTCTATGGAATCTGGACGACCCCAATGGAGAGCCAGTCAAGCCTGACCTCAACATTGTCGATGTAAACCTCAAGGGTTCCTTCTACACATGGAAACTCGCAGTTCATTATTTCAGGCAGCAGCCGGAGAGCGACGACCGAGACCGATGCTTCATAATCACAGGAAGTATGGTGGGCTGGATTGACTCGCCCGGAAATTGGGAGTACACATCCACCAAATATGGCCTCCATGGGTTCATGAGAACTGCAAGACGCTCTAGCTGGGAGCAAGGCATCCGAATCGTCTATGTGGCTCCATGCTGGATCAGAAGTGCAATCCGTACTGCCGAATATGAGAAATGGTTGATCGACCATGGCGTCGAATTTGGAGAGCAAGAAGACGTCGCAAACTGCATGATGAGAGTCGCTTGCGACAAGTCTATTAACGGTCAGTTATGGGCCCCAATACATTTGAGCTATCATCCCCTAATACAAACCATCATCTAGGGCGCTCGTTGATGATTACACCAAGAACAGTTGCAAAAGAGGGCTACATGGATATTGACCGAGACGACTACAAGGATGCGCCGGAAGACCAATATCTAGACAAAATGCAAAAGGCCCAACTTGTCATTATCGAGGACAAGTGGAGAGACGATTACAAGGTCCGAGTGTATAAGGATTAGGGATCGACAAAGCTGATAGTCATCTGCATTGTTGACTAAAGATAATTGTTAAAATTTTGGTAGAGCTGTCAGAATTTTCGAAACTTGCAAATCAAACTGTGTCCATTTATGTATACATGCACTTGCAGCCGCGGTATGAAAAAGGCGTGGAGACTTTTTCTACCTTTTTTCTCCCGTCTCTTTACTTAAGATAATGACAATGCCAAACAACGATCCTTCACATATGATTCTAATCCGTCACCATGACGCATGGAATATGGGAGTGCCGCTTATTGACCTTGAGTTGTGCCTTGCCGGTTTTATTTCTCTCTTTAGCTCAATAATGATTGAATTCAAGCATTGGCTGCGGATATTGAATCGTACACCTGCACTGGAGTTTATTACGTTCGTTGACCAAACTGTACAGTACTATTCAATCCATTCTCTTCCAATCATTACAGTTCCAGCTTTGATAAGTGCTCAAACCCATGGAGTATGTCAATATATGTACCGTTAATGATTGGATAACTCGATTCAGCTCATCAGGTATCGTTCGTACTGTTGAAACCCGTACAGCCAATATGCTCGCAAGTCCGACCAAGACAAACATATATTATCTTCTTGAGAACGACTCTGATGCCAACTCAGCTGGTGGTGAGCAAGATGCCAGCTCAACCGGATCCGCTTTTACTGGGAGCTCATACGAGTATTGCTGATCAGCTGATGAAACTGGCCAAGTTTTCGCGGTTTCCTTCTCGAGATTCGTTCGGAACTTGGCTGTATCTGCGTCTTTCTTCTTTTGCCTGTGCCAGAAGAACAAGGCCCCAAGGCAAGCTATCACCACACCAACACCTCCACCCACGGCGCCACCGATGATTCCATTCTGAATTCCCGATGTCGAGTTGCCAGTACCGGTCGCGGATGCTGTAGGGGTCGGTGTGGAGTTCGTGGAAGATTTCGAATTTGAATCAGCAGAAAGATGTGCGGAGGAAATGGCGGAGGAGATTGCAAGGGTGGCAAAAGAGGTCGGAGAGGTTGTCGGACTGGATGAAGAAGCGGAAGACGAGGTGATCACCGCGCCGTTCACAATTGATACTCCTCTCCCTGCCATGCAGCAGATAGCGGCTTCCTGGCCATTGCCGCAGCAGTAACTGCCGTCACTGCATTTAGTAACCTCAACATCCATTCCACTGGCTGGTATACCATCGTCTGATTCTTGATGATTGTTAGCCGTCTAGTTATCCTGAGAGGCCTCTCAACAGCCACGCAACCAACATATGGCTCTGGATGATTTCTGCCATTCAACCCGATTTGACCACGATTTGAAACTTACCGTAATCGTCCGTGATACATAATTTAAGGCAGTTAGGCGATTGCCATGTAGGATCTGTGCAGCTTTCCCGCCAAAGCTGCTTGTGTTCCTCGTTCCAGCATAGGCCGTCCGCCTGGCACTTGTCTCCGGCGATGTTGCAACACATGCCGTGCCCGGTGCTTTCGCAAGACGCATACTTCTGGGTGTTGGCGTTGGTCAATGCATGTCTATTGGTACCGTTGGGTACGAAACATGCTCCCTGACCCGTGACTGTGCCTATCAGAAACATAAGAACAGCCGTGAAAACACGACGCATGGTGACACTAGGACGTGGGGAGATCTCTTTTGCGAATCCAAAGCTGGAATATCGAAGGGAAAAGAGCGACAATAATGGAGACTCTAGGATGAAATTGAAACATCCCATCGTCGTATGTAGCCATGCGGCGCGGAGTGGCTGTGAGATGTACCTCTGGTTCCGCAAGGTGGGTGCATACAGATATATTCAGCTTCATGTCGCAAGATCCTGGATAGCCCACCGAATCAAGAGAAGATACTCACCTCATTCTCCACTGTATTTGAATCCTTATTTCTCGGCATCTGTTTCTCAGTCACTCCTGACCCTAGTCGTTTGCCTGTTTGCGCGTTGGATGTAACCATGAATCGCGCTCTTCGCGCATGGGGCTGTCGCTTCTGTGCCAACCCCCGAGCAACTTTGTGTGTATTTTGGACTGCCAAGAGCCGCAATTACTCTTTTCAGTAAGAAAGCCGTGCGCTCCATGCTGAAAGGGCAAGTAGAGCGCCCACGGCTGAATGAGTCTATTCTGGAGAATTGAGAATTCCATATTAATAGTGGAAAGTATGCGGGCCGCCCCGTTTGATCCTGCCGCCAGGTTTCAGGCTTTTCTGTGCAAATACATGTAGCGGCTATTTCCATCATTCATAGGGCAGGTGGACAGTCACCGGTAGTAAATATTTTCCGGACATAGAGTCTTGGATCCAGCAACTTCGAGAACTGACAGGAGCAACTAAAACAAATAGTATTGGATGAAGAGACTGAAAACTCGACGGGGTTTGCTAACAATGCGGTGAAGTCCTGGGATACAAACCTGCAGGACAAAGTCCGAGTCCATGGCAATGTCAGACGAGAATCTTCGCGATGAAAAGTGGCAGCCCATCGGCGAAGACGTCGAGCTCAGCAAAACTCAAGTAGCTAGTTTTCTAGCGTATTAAAAAGAACCGTATAACGTGAACATGTCAAATTATTCTAGCAACAGCTCAACAAATTCAAATGCAAGCACTCGTACGGCGTCTGACTTAAGAGCTGTCCCAATACGAATGCGCTGGATTCATATCAGTTCAGACAACCGATTGGGGAGCATGTTGACGCTCGGTGATCAGCACGTATCAAGAAACCGTTCGTGGCGGAGATCACTGATCAGTTTTGGCTACCTGGAAGTAGTCACTACAAGAATTATCTACCATGTTTTATACAAGCATCAATTGAAAGTGAGCAGAACAGAAATTAAGAAGAGTAGATAGGCGTCGATGATTGAAGGCGTTGAAATAATTGAATCAAGCTCACAGCAGGCTCACATGATCAGCTGCCCGTCTGTCCACGAAAATCGACCGCCTCATGAATTATGATGGCAGCATATGATTTGTGAACAAGAAGAATTTATGGAGCGTTTTCCTCAAAATCTGGCCTTGTGATACCTCAACAAACAGTCGGTCTTGGAGGCATGAAGCATCCAACTCCAGAGTTGGATGGCTGCAGTACTGTCCATCTACATTGCGTTCGCGGTAATTGATACATATATGCACTGCGGCAACAAAATCAGCCGACGGAGTGGTTTGCCGTCGCGCGGCGAAGACCAAAGATGCAAATTCCTAGTTCCGGCTGTCGTGTGTACTTCTTCCTTACGAGATTAAACCAGAGCAAGCTACTGAGCTTGGCTGAACATTGCCGATCCATTATTTTTCGATTAAGGCCCGTACGGATACAGAGGCACATTCCACGACTTCAAAAGTTCCTTGTAGCCTTGGATCCATGCTCTTTTCCTAATATTTCCTCATCAAAATATTTCCGGCGGATGATTTCCTATGCTTAATTATTTGATACAGTACTGCGTGTTTTCTTCTAAAGCTGGATCCTATTCAGGTCCTTTCATCCGGCCAACGAAACCAGAAGCATCACACATACTAAATTGTACGGAGCTTCCCTGGTAGCTTCACTTGTGCCGGCTCGATGCTGCCGAGGAGGCACCAAAGATACGTCGGCGGTGCCGGATTGCCGGTCCACCTTGGCGCCGCGTCAAGATACCGTTCGGACCGGCCCCACCGAGGCACCAGCCAAGTTGGACGATGAAGTCACCGTCGAGCTAGGCGTAGCACCAGGCGGCACCACTACCGTTCGTTGGCTTGGAACATTATTTGATCACTGTGACTTTGGGGCTACGAGAATGGGGGAGAACTTGCTCTTTGAGCTACCAAACAACGAGCTTTCTTGGACTGCGCCACAACGAGACGCCCCCGGTGCTGACGTGTTTTCATTACCATAGCGCTCTCAGCCATGTCCATGACGTGCCACCTATTTGGCATGACCAGAAAACAGGACAAGTCAATAATGTCGTGTGCCCAGGACTCGTGGTAGACCGGTTGATATAAGGTTGTGCAAGCGGCTCGTTTCTGGCACCGTGATAGAATACTTAGCAACCTATACTTCTCTTCTACACTAAAACGCAGTGTACAAGATTCGAGCATTCGACGAAATCAGCCACAGACCTCATCAACAGAGTTCATCACCCTTTCAAGACTATTATCCCTGTCTGCGCACTCACCTGTCTTAACAATGGTCAGCTCATCTCAAAAGTCCAGCTCATAATAGCACCTCTAAATAACGACTTAGGCCGGACGCGGACGACGACTCGCAACTGGCGCCATTATCGGCATTGCTATTGCCGGCTTCATCTTCATTGCCTTTTGGATTTCATGCTGCTACTGCTGCTGCTTTCGAAGCAAGCGAAAGCAGCGCGGCCGCCAGCCGGACGCAGTGGGCGGCGGAGGAGGTGGGGGCATGTTCTCTCGCTTCGGTCGCCAGCGCCGCGGCGGCCCAGCCATGATGGAGTCCGGTTACGGTCACGGGCCTGGTCACGGACACGGTCGTCACGGCCATCACGGCATAGCGAGGCCAACGCCAACACATGGATATAGATAGGTGGCAGATAAATTTGAAACAAGCATTTCACTTGGAAACGAGAATCACAGGATCAAGTGTTACGGTGACACATGGGGCGTTAGAAACATCGGGGTCTGCAAGTATACCCAATGGGTGAATACTGTTTCTTTGATAGAACCGTGGCTTTATTGTAAGACCGGTGCGCTCAATGGTACATTAAGTATTCTGCGTGTCTGGGTATTATGGGGGTGTGTGAGTTAACATTTATCGAAGAATCAAATATGCTCGGTTTCGTGTTCACGCTTCTGCTCGACTGCCTCAACCCTGCGCTCAAGGTCGTAGGACTCAACAGTCTTCATGTCCAGGGTCGGAATGAATAGAGGAGCCTCGGTGAAGAGATATCTCATCTCTTCCAAAGGACGCTTGGCAGTCTCGGGTAGGAATGCCCAGAAAAAGAGGGCATTTGTGAAGTTGCAAACCTTTACAGAAATTCGTTTAGTCACTGTCACTTGTTGAATCTCACAGGAAGTTGAGTTTTCTGGTAACTTACAATGAACAAGATGTACCAGCGCCAGCCAATGCCGTGCTTGTCATCGAGAGCCACAGAGGTAGTCTGGCCGATGAGGGTGTTGAAGGCGTATGAGGTCATAGTTGCGATGGAGACGCCCTTGGAGCGAGTCTTCATGTCGAAGATCTCAGCCGGGATGATCCATGAGAGGGGACCGCAGGTGGCGCTGAAGCTGAAATTGTAAAGCCAAGTCATGGCGATGAAACCCCAGGCGGAAGCCCCGCTGGCGTGCTCGGAGCCAGGAGGGAACTTGGCGAGAAGAATAGTGGCAATGATGAAGGTAACGCAGTTGCCAAGGTTACCAAAGATCAAAGGCCAGCGACGACCAGTCTTATCAATAAGCATCATGCAGGAGAATTGAGCGACGAGGGCAATGACGGAAGAGATGGCCTGATAGCGGAGGGTTTCGTCCCCGGCGATGCCAATCTTCTCATAGATGGCGACAGAGTAGTACTGAATGGCACTGACACCGGTCATCTGAATAGAACCTTGGAGAGCGCAAGCTAGGAAGAGACGACGGAAGCAAGACTTGTCGGTGAAGAGCTCCTTGTAGGACTTTGCGGAACCCTCGTGCTCGGCGGCAATGGAGTCCTGGATCTGGTCGAATTCGGCGCGGACCCAGGCATCGTTGACGTCGCCGTGAGCATGGAGCTTAGCCAGAGTCGCGAGACCCTCGTCGACACGACCGTGGTCGATGAGCCAACGGGGAGACTCGGGGAAGAAGAGAATAAGCAAAGCCAAAATGCCACCAGGAATACACTGAATACCCAAACTGACACGCCATTGGTTGTTGTCGTTTTCGGCGAATCCAATATACGTTCCATATGAGATCCACGCAGCTGCCAGAGCACCGACACCAAGCATGAATTGTTGCAAAGCAGTGACTCGTCCACGAATGCTAGGATGGCAAAGCTCGGCCTGGTACATGGGAATGATCATGGTCAAGAAACCCACACTGTAGGGAACGCAGTCAGTATTGCTCTAGGGACCTTTGCCGGATTGAGTCGCGGAATTGGCATACCCGATACCGGCGAGGGCACGACCAGCATAGAGGAAAGCGAGAGACTGCGCAGCGGCTTGGAGAGCGCCGCCGAGAACGAAGATGGAGGCACCGATGAGAATTGTCTTCTTACGGCCGAGTCTGTCACCGGTGGGGCCGGCAAGGCCAGCACCGATGAAGCCACCTCCAGTAAAGACGGAGACGACAGCGCCGCTGAGAATGAGTTAGTCATGGAGGCTTTGCGTAGGGTGAAGAGAGCTTTCGGTGAAGGAATACAGTGATTCAAGCGGTGACATACATCTCATTGGGGTCTTCGCCGAACTTGGTCTTGAAGGAGGCCGAAGCAATGGCGGAGGCAATGACACCCAAATCATAGCCGTAGTTGAAGGAACCGAGCGAGGCAAAGACGCTCACAAGAAACTGGTACCACTTGGGAGGGAGTGCCATGATGGGCTGGGTATTGGAGGGGGTGGGGGGGTGGGTGGTGAAGGACTCTCGAGCAGGTGTCGTGTAGTGCTCGCGTGCTTGTGCTCGTCAGGGAGGCAACTTCCAAGCCCTGGAGAGGGGAGCTGGAGATTCGATGTTTCAAGGTCAAACCAACTCGTCGAGCAGCGATGGAGCGGTTCCGCGTGTTGCAGCGGCACGAAGGGATCGTCGCGTCTTTATAGAATGTTTGGCCGACCCCATGTTTCCCCGTATCTACTTTGTCCCGAACTTTGCATCGGTTGGGAGCATCGAACAGTCCAAGTAGTCTTTCGTGCTCCCCCAGAGCCATAGACAGCTTGAGTACAACAGGCTAGCGCAGCAGAATGTTAGGTAAAGTTGTTCGGTTGGTGGTAAAGTTGCTGGGGGATGCGAGAGTGGAGGCACGATAATCCCTGGCTCGCCATTTCCGGGGGGTGCACTCGACGGCATCGGTGACGGTCCCCCAGCCCCAGACTGGCCCCTTCCCTTGCCCCAGGTTACGCCGGGGGTGTGCGGAGATGTTGCGCTAGCTTGCTGGTTGATGGCGCGGGCTGGTGGTGTCTGTTTGGTGTGTGCCTGGAGCTGCGCATGTCAAGTACCAGGAAAAGGCGACAGAGTTTAGGTCGGCTTAGGGAAGCGCCCATTGGGTAAGCACGTCAGGTTCACGGCCAGGATCTAATTACTACAATCTCCATAATTTTAACCAACGTGGGCACGCGGGGAAAGGAGCTAGGTTTGGAGCTACACTGCGGAGTGTGTGGATGATGTGTGGGAGTCGTATGGCTGCTCGGCTTATCAACACCGACGAGCGACACGGCAATACGTAGTAAGGTGACAGACTGGAGATGCAAAAGGCACGGCGTGCCAGTACATGTCTCCGTGATGTGATCAACAAGATGTTGGCTGTTGTCATCTGGTCATCCGAGTTGCTGGAACTGACGGTGAGGGAGGGAGAGCCATAGTGACAAGAATCAGTCACATCATACATGACAGTTCGGCACAGATGGCCAGAACTTGAACGAGCTTGGTCACAGCACAAGTGAGGTTGCTGAGGCTCGATCTCCTCTTTCAACCGCGTGCAGAAAACGAGTCTTGAAATTCTTTCGGCCGTCTTGTTTCCTTCCCGTAGAAACATCGGCGAGCGGGGAGGGAGACCCCTCTTACATTACCTACCTTAAGGTTGGCTGCAATCGCGTGTTAGTGTCCACTGGAAGCTCGGCAACGCGCTTCGCAAAAGCAAAAGACGTCGACTGCGCTTCATATCCACCCAAGCATCATCACCTCTAGCCTCTTAGTTTTGGGCATGGTTTGCACCCACTCTATTTCTCTGGCCTGGGTACGGAGAAGGTATATCTATATTGGTCTTTTCTTGACTCCGTGATGACCTGGTACCTTATGTTGTCTCCATAAGGTACCTAACCTTAGTAAGTACCTAGTACACTTGCTGCACGATACTCCTGGAGGTACGTGCTTCTCGGACGCAAATACAGTTGACCGGTACGTGCCGAGGTGAACCCATTTTGATTGGGCCGATGAACGATTGGTCCATTTTGCCCCATTCTTCACAGCCAATGTCGTCACTGGGACGAGATTGGAGGAGAATCAGGCTTTCGCGCTTGGCCCATGCGCCCCAATGAGAGCGGTTACCGGAGCAGAGTGGCTCCCCATCGGCCGGCGGTGGATCCGCTTTTCCCTCCTCCTCACCAACTCACCTCACCTCGGGATTTGGTATCAAAAACTACAATGGCTGGAAAATATTCCGCTCTCACTCGGCCCTCTACGCAGATTCAGGCCCAATCACTCTTTTGAGTCTTTTCTACGTTGCCTTTGGGCCGTGGCTCTTCTTTAGCCCCCGTCTCGACCGCCTACGCCGGTCCGAGTCCTTTTCGCCTTTCGGCGACCGGCCCACCCGGCCCGACCGGCCTAACCGGCCATCAGGTCAATCAGCCCTCACTCGCTCACTCATTCCTCATCGTTCCCCAGCTTCGGCTCGGCCTTCATGTAGACGACACCCGGATGTGGATGATTATGAATATCTGGCGGAAGAGATAACAGAGGCATCGGCACGAAAGCCTCCCCTCTCCCGCTTCACGCGTCTACTGCGTACTGCGTAGTCTGTAATTATTATTTGCTTCCCACCGAACGAACCACATACGCATGATACCGACGTCAACAACCTGCAGCATCAAGCAACAAAAGACCGGCTCCCCATTTCCCCATCCATCAGAATCTCCAACTATTTCCCCATTGTCCCCTCGTCCAGTCTGCCCCCAAAGGACCCTGTTCCAACCCCACCATCCCAACCCATCCCATCCCTAAGCTACCTTGTCCCGTCCCATCCCTCAGCAGACCATCGCACACAGTCTAACCCAATCCTGTGCCTCTCGGAGCCGACTACCCCGCCCCGAGACCCCGGCACCCGCGTTATCGTCGACCTTCTCCGCATCGTATCGTCCATGATTCGTGCGCCTGCTGCACCACCTGCCTCTCACCTCACGCTGTTGGAGTCGAGACTTCAGAGCCGCATTTGCTTTCCTCCAAATTATGCTGATAAGTGGTCGATATCGCTGAGAGCCAAGAGTTGTCTCGTCGAATCGGGGAGCACCCCTCCTCAGATAGCCCCAGTCCGACTTCTTGGCCCGGGTATCCCATCTCTGCCTGGGCAACTCGTGCAGGAACTGATGCCAATGACTGAGTAGTCAGGCGCTTGGTCTGCGATCCCTCCGCTGCCGACCCAATATCCTCCTCCGCTGCCGACCCAATATCCTCCTCCGCTGCTTTTCTGCCATTTCCCTGCCCGTCTCCGTTGTTTCGCCGCTTGCCCCCGCCCCTGACGAGCTCAAATTCCGACCTCGATCCCGTGCATTTGCGGCCACCATAAACGAGTCCTGTCCATTTTCCACCACTCATCGACCAGCTGTTCTTTTTGCATAAAATTACCAGCTACAGGTTGACCGGACCACCACCGCCGCACTCACAGCCGGACAATTAGGGAGTGCTCTCACAACATACGTATCCAGATCCAGCCATGGCGACCTTCACCAAAATCGCAGAGGATGCTCGTCCCACCATCACGCTGAACCCCTCCCATGTCGTCTCCAAAATCGATGACAATGTCTATGGCGGATTCACAGAGTAAGCTCCTGCTGCGCCACCGCCTCCCTCTCCCCCGAGGCCTCTCAATTAAATACACCTCATCTACAGAACTCACTAACACACACCTCACAGGCACATGGGAAGATGTATCTACGGTGGCATTTACGACCCAGGCAACCCTCTTTCTGACGAGAATGGTTTTCGCAAGGACGTTATCCAGGCATTCAAGGAGCTGAACTGTCCCGTCGTGCGGTACCCGGGTGGTAACTTTGTTGCCACCTACCACTGGATCGACGGCGTTGGACCCAGGGAAACCCGTCCCAAGAGGTATAAAGAGACTCCCACCATGAATTCCTTGTTACCAGCATCGGGATCGAGACCCTTCAGCATAGAATCCATTGAGGGTCTGGACTCCTACGTAAGCGGCCCACGTTTGGAGTGCAGCAAGTGGCTAACATGCGTCCACCGCTTAGGCCCGAGCTGGCTTGGATTGGCGTCGAGAGTAATGAGTTCGGAACAGACGAGTTCATGAAGTGGTGTGAGATCGTTGGCGCTGAGCCTTACCTAGCGCTCAATTTTGGCACCGGCACGCTTGATGAGGGTATGTCAATCTCCAGGCGCCACTAGGCAGGACTCTTTTTGGCCAAAATCTAGACCAGCAATGCGGTTCACTGATACTCACACGTTCAGCTCTTGCGTGGGTTGAGTATTGCAACTCTGACAAGGACACTTATTACGCCAACCTCCGCCGTAAGAACGGACGCGAGAAGCCCTACAACGTAAGACAGGAAATCCGCTCCAATATCATCCAAGGCGCGTAACTAGTTGCATCTCGCTCACCCTCTGTCAGGTCAAATACTGGGCCCTGGGCAATGAATGTTGGGGTCCATGGCAGGTCATGCAAATGACCAAGGAGGACTATGCCAAGCAGGCTTACCAATGGGCTAAGGCGCTCAAGCTTCTTGATCCCTCTTTGGAACTCATCCTCTGCGGTGAGACCGGCTTCAGCAGCTGGGACACATACGTGATCAAGGAATGCATAACATGGAGCGTGCATGGCCTTGGTGGCAGCACCACTGCGTCTTTGATCGACATGCACAGTATTCACCTTTACACCGCGTCGGAAGACCATCTAAAGAATGCCACAGGTGAGTTTTGCCGTCAATTTCTCGTCACATTGTTGCGATGGACTGTTGACGTTTCTTCCCCCCTGAACAGCACCCAGAGCCGCCGAGCGCGCCATTGAAATCACCGGCAGCCTCATTGATCTGGCCCGCATTGAGAATCAGGTGCCTCCCACGTGTAAGAGACAAAAGATTTGCTTTGATGAGTGGAATGTATGGGATCCCGTCAGAGCGCCTGGTGAGGAGGGTGCTGAGGAGGCGTAAGTCGACCCCTCTCTGTCAACCCTTATAATCCATGCAGGCGATACATACACTGACACGAAACCGCAGCTACACTCTGTCCGACGCTCTCGCTGTCGGTGTTTGGCTCAACGTATTCGTCCGTCAGGCAAAGTATGTTGGCATGGCCAACATTGCCCAGTCCGTCAATGTCATCTCTCCTTTGATGACCACAAAAGAGGGCATCACCAAGCAGACCACTTGGTGGCCTCTGTTGCTGTTTAGCAAGTACATGAGAGGGTCTACCATTGCCACTCACGTCCGCGCCCCCGAGTACGAGGGTGATACTGAGCCCGTTTGGATCCGGGGCGCCATCGAGACCCCTTACCTCGACGTGAGCGCTACCATTGACGACAACGGTTTCGTCAATTTGGCTGTCGTCAACGTTCACGAGACCAAGGGATTCCCCGTCGACCTGGAAGGTATCAAGGAGGGTGCCGATATACAAGTCTACACTGTCACCGGCGAGAACGTCAAGGTCGTTAACACCGGTGATAAGAACCCCGTTGGTATTACTGAGAGCAAGTGGGATGGCAAGGGCCCGTATGAGTTTGCCAAGGCCTCCGTTACCCTATTGAGATGGAAGCACTAGAGGGACTGCGTCGAATGAGACGGGTATTGGAGAATTGGACACAGCTTCCCGCGTGACATCTGTGAACTGGCGCATGATTTGGAATGGACTTAATCGATGCAGAGTCGGAGCCCGCGAGGGTGATGGGCCGGCAGGTCCAGCATCATGAAGCATGCATGCATCTGCAAATATCTGCATACAGGATCAAACAGACGGCTATGAATTGATGCAGGTGCCCTTGACTTGGAGCAGCGCAATACGCATGACCTCTCCGGGGGTGATGGATAAAAGTTTGCTTAAAGTAATTGTCGCCTCAGCGGGTGTGCCTCTGTATTCAAGACGAAATTATCGAGGTTGACGAGGCCGGGGGGTGAGAAGATGAGATAGAAATACTTGAGCGTCTCTGCGAGCCAAAAGCTCTGTAACACTGTTAGTCAGGAACCCTTGCTTGCCTTTGGCTCATAACAAGTTTGATGACTTACTTCCATTGAATCAAGTTTCTTCGTTTCCCCCTTCACGGTGACGTCCTCAATGGCCGAGTTGGCATACTCAGTTTCCGTCGCATTTGCAATGGACTGGAACATTGTCCATGCTATTTCCTGGTACTCTGGGTTTCCAGTCATCCTGTACATCAGGAAAATACTCTCAATGGCCTCCGGACGCAGAATATAGCGGGGGTCCCGCGCGTGCGAGAATCCCTTCCTCAGATCAGATGCGCCTTCGCGCTTCCACCGTTCTTCGTCCCATGCACAGCCGTCCAGGGTCTCGCAAGGAACCATGCCAAAGATCTCTGGCATGAGACCTGTTGGGAACGAGTTGTACGCCCATCCACAGCCGCGGGCTAGTCGTTCGGCTAGACCCATGTGCTCTTTGATCCCGAAAAGCTTGCCGCCCAGCCCAAACATGCCGCCTACAAAGCATGACAAGTGTTGGCTCTCGGGGTTTCGCCTCACGTTGCCTTCGGCAAACGCTGTCCCAGAGAATAGGATATCGTCGTTATCGGGGAGCATAGGACGGAACAGGAGGTGCTTCTCAACGACGTGCATCGCATGACGATACATCTTTTCATAGGCCGGGTCGGTTCCCCCAAGTAGCGCATGCATCTTGGGCAGATATTCGTACAGAGAGTCGGCGAGTGCTCCCAATGTGAACTCGTTGTGTTGCAAGACGCTTTCATCCCGAAAGTTGATGAGGGCTGGCCACATGCCAGGGAGTTGAGTCTCTCGCTGTGTACTCTCGAGGAACAGCTTGACTCTCTCGATTGCGTCAAAGTACTTGGGGTCTCCGGTGACTTGCGAGAGTCTTGTGAATTCGAGCGACAGCGAACATGGCGATGCAGAAGGATCTGATGTACCAGCTACAAGCTTTCCCTCTTTCGCAGCCTCAAAGTCCAGCCAGAAAGGAGGCATCCTGTTCGGGGTGTCAAAGGCCGCATACAGCATATCGCCCAGTTCAATGGCCTTGAGTAACAGTACGGGCTCCCCGCTGAGGTCGTACGCGCTCAAAAGACCTCCGAGGTGACGTATAGTAGTCTCAAAGACGTTGACGGCTGTTTCCTTTGTGCCATCCCAGTCCATGGCCCCAATGACAGACAAGGCGGCGTTGAAGTCTTCGCGCAGGTCCATTATCCACAAGGTGTCGAGCGCATCAACCAGAGTGGCCGCATAACCGCCAAAGGTATCCTTTCCCTTGGCGGTGACTGGCGTCAACTCATCGAAGCCCCACGCGTACTCCTTGTAACTATTCCAGCTCTTGACAAAGACGTCCCGTACCACCTTTCGTCGCGACTCGGATTTCGCATCGTTTAGGCGCAGGCGCTTCGCACCAAAGTCGAATTGGACTCGCGGGAGGCTCTTTAGGCGTTGCGTAGGCAGATGGTGCATCTTTGACGGGGATATCGGGTACTTGTGTCGATGGTTGGCCCAGTCGAAGCTGCTCTTGACGAGGGGAATGTTGACATGTTCGCGGACTGGTGGCGCGCTGGAACGAAAGCTATGGAAGGCGAAGAGAGCAAACAAGATCACGGCGATGATTATGACACGCCGTTGTCGTCGGTTGGCCATGTTGTCATGTCGACAAGGGGTTGTCGACTATTCGTGCTGTTGTTGCGCTTGCTCCAAGGGAGCTTCGACTCGAGAGTTCGCGACAGGGTGATGGAAGCCATGAAGCAGGGCCACAGCTTTGACGGCAGCTTCACTCAAGTCACCGACATAACCCAGGGGCATTGTGTCTCAGGAGCCGCCACGTAGCGCGTTGAGCTGGGTCCCGTTGGGACGAAATTATCCGTAACCGTGTTGGCTTTCAAGGCGGAGCGTTTCGGGCGCGGAATGCAACGAGCTACAGGAACAATAGGAAAAAGAATGGGGATTGAATCAGGGGTAATGTGGGGTCCGGGATCGGGGCTAATGCCGGTTCAGCGCCGAGTCAGGTCCGGACTTGATTGTCCCGAGTTCCCGCGATGCAGGTGAGCTGTCATTGAGGTTATGGCATCTTGATGTCGGCATGTAAGCTCTTGAGTTTCTTCCTCGACACGAGGTCAATGATGTCTGGACGAGGCAATCGACAACTTTTGTTCGCAGTGATGGGAGGCAGGCTGGGGGTTATTGACCTCCGTGTTGGTGCCTCGCTCAATGAGTAGACAGTAGTTAGTTGAGGCACGCCAATGGCACTCAATGCGTCATTGTCAGGTTTCATCGGACACATCACGCTGGGAAGGGCACGTCAACTTGCAGACAATTACCCGCCACCCACGTTGAATTGTATTGAGGCCGCCATGCAGCTTTTGGCAGTGTGACTGAGCGCGGTGAGGTTTTCTCGTTGTGTCGTAGGTTGGCGCCATCCGAGCCGCCAGCCATCGATGGCTGAATTGGAGCGAGACCCTTCATGGTTTGGCTCTACCGAAGTGCTCGGTCTTTTCCAAGGTTCGAGCAACCCTACCATTACTTTGTCGGCGTTGTCAGTCGTCGCACTGTTCTCGAAGCTACACTTGCCGCAAGGTCGCCAGGTCAGGAGTTGGTGGATATGACTCGCTAATAGCACAACTGAAGTGTCACCTGCGTGGCAAACGATTCTGTTAACAGACCAATCCTCACAATCATCTCCATCACTCGGTGTCTGACTCTAGCCAGGGTGGTAAGATCACAGGTAATTAATTCAGCGCCGGATGTCTGGCAAACCCCAATGAAAAGCTAAAGTAGGTGGGGTTTACTCGGCTAGCACACCCAACCAAGCCGATAGGTATGAAACTCCCATAGCAGGCTAGGAAGAGATTAAGGCGCTATAGATTGTATTCCGAATCATCAAACACGTTCTTAGGAACTTGCCGAGCGAGAGGAGCCTGGACGACATTAAAAAAAAAATTCGCAAAGGATAGTGGAAGGCGGAGACCCAAAGAAAGGCCAGCAAAGTCCTGGCCTACGGATGGCAACATGAGGCGCTCGAGGTGTCCTCGAAGCCATGGTCCAAGGATAGCCACGCCCGTCCGTTTTGTCTAATCTAACTAACGGGCTCTGAAGAATCCTTGGATTTTCACTAATCATTTCAAGTGGCTGCCAAGGCCCAGAAAGAGTCATCAAATGCCCAGTATACGATAGAGGATAAATGATACGAAATATTTGACAGGCGGCCATGTTTTGCTCTTCATGGTATGTCCTCTTATGACGAGGGCTTTCACCTTCATTGCAGATTACCCGCCGGCTTTGGACTGGTGGTTCCCAAGTTCCCCTCCTCTATCTTTGTGAAGACACCGCGTGAATGCTGTCCATCAACTAAAAGGAGATTGTCCGCCGCTCTTTGTGCGTCTGCGCACATCTAAATGCCATCCTTCTATGCCACCCAGTCGGGTCCGAGATAGGACAAGATTGAACAGCATCCCTAGCTTCAGCTTGCCTGCCACGACTGCGGTCTGCATCCTACGACTCCGATACTAATCTGCAATATGGTCTAACCTACAACAATGTGACGGATATCGAGGCATCACGGCCGCCTTCCATGGATCGGCCACTCAATGATCCAGGGAAGAGCTACTAGACGTATACAACAAAATCCTCCTATGGATACTGCTAGAGCGACAGCCGACTTCACAGGTCGAGTTGAATAGTGGGTCAATGAGCCGATAACACCGTGCGAGCGGACGTCAACTCGATAATTCAACACATTTTCTGTTTGTTGCTCCCTGAATACCAACATTCTTCTGTGAGTCATTATTTATTACCGCTTTGGGTAAACCACCTCACCAACCATAGTCATTATTCGTTGCTGACTCTTTTCCCAGGCACTACCTCGCACAGGTGCCAGTCTTCCTCAGCCTAGCTACCTTGACTGAATTCTGCGTCATTGTCTGCGTCATCGGCGGTTAATGTCTGTAGGCCGTTACCAACGGTGATGTGGTCTTAGCCACTTGACTTGGGCATCGTATTAATTGCACTCCTGCCCCTTCTCGTATCATTCTGCGGGTACAAGATACTACGTTTCTACGAAACATATGCTTTCATCCCAGCAGTGATCCCCATCGTCTTTGCCGCTGGTTTTGGAGATTCGAGGCTGGCTGGGCAGGCCGAGATGGCCAGAGCAACGGCGCCTGCAATCCTGAGCTTTGGTATGATTGTGGCATCATACATGATCCCCTGGGCCTGTATTGCTTCAGACCTAACGACCTGCTTTGGCCTAAGGGGGTATAGAGCATCGTGAGCACTTTCCGTTTCTTTTGTGTACCTCTAATATCTCACTTACCAACCCAAGATGCCGCATTTAAATTACAGCTATCTCGGCTTAATTCTAGGTATCTACTATCCTCAACTTCTAATGACGCTAAGCAATGCCATTGGCGGTGCCATCCCCAATGGGCCTGAGTGAGAGGAAGTATATGCCGAGACCCTAGTCGACGGCGTGCTAGTTGATATCCTGTTGCCTGCTGGTGGGTTTGGAAAGTTCGTCGTCATTTTTTTTGACTTTCATACTCTTCGGTCGGCAACATTTCCGGTACCCTCTACGCCATCAAACTGAATTTCCAAACGCTGGTACCTCGGCTATTTTGAGCCCCTCGATACATAATTTTGGTCATCTTCAAAGCTATCATGATACCCGTCGTGTTAAGGCGGCAGATGAATTCTTCTTAAACTTGGAGAACTTTGTGGCTTTGATCTGGTACCGGTCTGCCTCCCTTGTCAACATTATTTTGGTAGAACATTTTCTATTCCGCAAAGGAGACACAAAGCTTTACAACTATCATTTCTGGAACGTTTCTTCAGGTCTTCCTAGTGGTGCGGCCGCACTTGGGACCGTCGTCCTGTGCTTCAGTCTCGTTATCCTCTGTACGGCCCAAGCCTGGTGGACTGGACCGATGGCGTACAGTACGGGTGATTTGGGGTTTGAATTTGCGTTTATATTGAGCGCTCTGCAACTGTGCTATACTTCGTCAACCGCAAAATACAAAAGGGCAAAGGGTTTTACGGTGGTATCGATTGCTAGTTGTCAAGAAATCATGTCTCAAGTTCCGCTTTCATCAGCGCATTGTTCCTGAACAGAGTGGTTTTTGAAGCTGTCATCGCCGCCTAATAATACCATTAAGAGTACCCTTGGTTTTGGGATTATGACAAAATCATCATTGCTAGTGAACATATCTTTTACCTCTAAGCCGAGATCTTCTGAAAGCCGTGTCACACGAGAGTTGCATACTCACTCCCTCTTACCTTAAGGTAGACAACATCGTTCAGTACCTTGAAACAGCAGGAGTTTGGCTATGAGCATGCGCCACCTGACCTTAGATCATCGTCTTGTTTTAATACACCATCGAGTGCTCAAATGAGCTTGAGCAATACATCATCAAAAGCCGTCCTCGCGGCTGATACACATTTCCACTGGCAGTCTCACAAGTAGGAAAACAGTGTTCGGAATATTACAGAAAAGTAAGTGTAGGAAGGTAAGTCTCATCGCCTTTTTAAGTCTTAAGCCAGCACGACCATCCTTCCAGTTTTGGTTTCTCGTTCTGGATGACGAAGCGATCCTCAAATGTACAAATACCTGCCAGTTCATCTCTAGTGCTCAGGGGAAAAGATGTTGGGATGTGTCACTCAGCCCCCTGTGCCACAACAGATCGTAGGGCAACGGTGATTTTCTTAAATCCTCCGAGAGGGCCTATCTAGTTATGTTTGTGAACTTCCACATTGCCATTTTTTCTTCACGTAGAAAGTTTGACGTGGGTCAATTTTCGACAGCTGGGAGCACTGGTTTTAACTTTCAAAGTTCGGACCAGGCGGCATACGATTCATTCCCGGATAATATGAAACAGGGGGGACTGGACTAAACCCCCCATGAATAGCAGCAGTCGTGAAAGTTCAGCCCAAAGAGACAACCATAATAGATTTCTCACAGAATGCTCAGCAGGTCGGCTCACCCGGGAGCTGGTTTGCACAGCATCCAGATCGGCCGGGGTTACCCGTGTGTTTTATGCCTGACGTTTACAGCCCTTTGAGGCGCTTGCTTATTGCCCTCCTCGGCCATACCGGCCCTTCATCATGCGCCAGTGCTGCGAGGTGCGAGGTACTTGCCGGTATCCCCCATGTGATAACTCTGCATCGTATCTATCTGAGGCAATGGACAGCCCATTTAGCGGGGCTGCTTCAGGCACAGCAACGCCAATGAGAATAATGGTCATTTATTCTCAACACAATGATAGTATGACTGCGGCAAGTAGGCAGTGTTCGAATGGCGAAACTATCTTGTCCGAAGCCGGTGTAGGGGCTTGGGTCAGATCTAACGGCACTACTTCCTTGCTGTATATTATTAGAAGACTACCCTAGACATCTAAGCCGTCTCTTTAGCAGTAGTCGCCTTCTCTCATTCAAAATCTCCCGGCAACATTCGCCAAATTATCCACCAAGGAGTCTCATGAGACCGAGGCGTGTTACCTGGGCCCGATGGCTTCCATCCAAGATTACCATGTGGCAACGGGATTAGACGAGCCAAGGTACCCAGAGCCAGTGGCCTTGGCGGAAAGAAGATCAAGAGTCAGCAGCGACTCTTCACGACACTCGCGGACATCGAGCTTCTCATGGTTTCGGCTTAGCGCGGACGGTCGTCCTTGGGGGCCGGTTGACGAGCTCAGTCTCTACATGGGCACCGCGTTCAGCAGCATACCCGACGACGATAAGTCGACCCGATCGCCTTACTTCGCCCCTCCAGCTAGCAACTGTTCAACAGTGTCGGAGAAGGATCCGTCATACGTGGTTGACTGGAAGAAGCCGCAGGACACCGAAGACCCGATGCGTTGGTCGATGAGGTCAAGCTGGGTGCAGATTCTGCTTGTGAGTATTTCAACGCTACAGGTGTGAGTCGCCTGGTCTCGGAGCAACTTGTTTCATTCGTTGCGCAAGTGCTGATGTGGTTCTCTGTGAAGGGCAGTTGCATCTTTTGCTCCCGCTCCCGCCGTACCGAGCATTCTTGAGGAATTCATGACACCCGGAGGAGTTCCAACTTCCCCGGTTGTGTATATCTTCAATCTCAGCTTTTTTTTTTTGGTCCAGTGTAATTCCCTTAGATCCTCTTTCAAGACCAAGCCTCTTGAAAGCGATGAGAGACTTCAGTCACCCACCACCCAGAGACTGAAAGAAGACAGTTTAGCGGCACCCATGTCGTTGTACGGACGATTTCCAGCATACGCCATATCGAATCTTCTTTTCCTTGCCTGCCACGCAGTCTGTGCTGTCTTGTACAGCCTTGGCGTCTCGCTCGCCTTTCATTTCCTCTGCGGAAGTGCCGGCTCCGCTCCGCTCCCCAAGGGGGGCAGTACAAATTGCCGATGTCGCACATCCGGCTTCGCGAGGTCGCGCCGTGGCTGTCTACTCCATCGCCCTACTGCTGGGTCCCATCCTGGGACCCGCATCGGGCGGGTTACTAGCCGAGTACTTGGGTTCGCGTTGGATATTCTGGACGCTGTGCATCATGGTATGTGGAACTAAGGTAAGTCAAACACTGCTGTGGTTGGTTTGACAGGAGTGAAGTCTCTGACCCCAACTCTCTACTCTCCCAGGCAGGCACCCTCAGTGTGGTCATGATATTGGTTCTCCGAGAAACCTCAGCGAAGACCTTGCTTGAGAAACGAGCTAGAAAGATGAAAAAAACGCTCCGGAGGCTCGCGTTTTGTTTCAGCTTTAGACGACGGCATCTCGCCAATGCCCATGATTTCAGTCGGGTTGCTCCTATATGTGTGGCCGGCGGAGAAAGCCATCTTTTGGTTGGTTCCAATGATTGGCACCGCCGTCATTGGCATTGGCATCATTTTTGTGTTTGTGAGTAGAGACTATCGCCACCCGATTCATCTTGTGGATTTCCGCATTCAGAAGCTCGGAATACTGACAACCCATTTAGATTCCTCGCGACCTCGTCGATGCGTTCAGGCCACATGCCACCTCCGCACTCGCTGCTTCCACCATTTTCTGTAGTGTGTTTGGAGCTTTCTTACCCCTCGCCAGCTCTCCCATGTACTCTGGTCAGGGCCTGGGGTGGGGATACTCAATTCTTGTTGCGCTTGCTGTTATTATGGCACCGATACCCTGAGTGATTATCAATAGGAGCAATGTTTGAGAGAGAAATATGCCCAGCGCGTATACTAGGAAGCGTGTCTTATAGAGAATTTATTCTAAGATTACAATAGGTCTGTTCATCGACTTTGCCTCCCAACCGACCTCTACCATATCCAGCCAAAAGTACCGTGAGATTAGCTTCAAAACTCAAAAACAACATTACTTGGCGCCAGTGCCAGTGTCCTGCATGAATCTATGGAGTTGACGGATCTATTTGAGCAGGGAGGTGTATGTTAGGAATGTTTGGTATACCAGGGCTCAGGGCTTGAGTCGGAAGCTTAACACCCATCTAGGGTATGCTCGATACCGTCTCGATGAATTCAAGACCACAGCCATCGTGCAAGTCACTCCTGATGCTCACATAGACGATGAAGATCAATCTTGACACAAATTCTGCTAGGCGGAAATTCAGCGTTCATTCACATGTTTGCCTCTCCTGTCATATACGATATCTTTATACAAAGCAGGGTTGTTTTCCAGCTGTTACCGTCTGGAGGCAACGTTGTCTCTTGTTCTTGTCCTCAACGGTTCATCACCAGTTGACAAGGACTGGCAATGATGAGGGGTACACTACCGCATAGAATGTCAATGAAGGTTCGAGAATCTGTCCGTTGGGAGAAATAAGTGGCTTTGCCAGAGTAACCCGTCGGCCGATCGACTGCTCCAAGTGTGAGACTCCAGCCCAAGTTACGTCACATAAAAGCAGCCCAGGAGTCTGCGTTATTATGCTGGGCAAAAGGGTGGGGCTAGGAAAAGCTTTTGCGATGATGGCACCTTACATGATTCCAAATGGACTCACTTGTCATCCCGTCGTAACACCACTGCGATGATCTAGTTCACCGCAGGCCCTACACGACAGCATCGAAAACACGAAAACAACCGTCAGCCTTGTGTTTCCAAGCAGTCGCATATTCCGAAGCGGCGATGCCATTAGAGGGTGGGCAAAGCCCACATCCAACGGCACCCAGCTGAGACTGTGCAACCTCCCCGGCGATATTGGCGCGTCCAGCTGATCAAAACACAAACAAACGCCGTGGCAAATCACAAGACTACATTGAAATGTTGACTGTGATCGGAGGGCTGCCTAGCCTCCCCGATCTTTCCGACCTTTATTGCACATTTGTGTTGCTGGACTAGCAAGCACGCCCACATCAGGTGTATCGGAATGAATCGTGCCGGCAGTTTCCTTGATGAATCTTTGGCATGTTTCCATGTTCATCCAGGTCGAACGAGGAGTAGAGACAGCCTACTGAATAATAGTCTGTGGAAGAACGAACATGCCGGCTTATCTACGATACGAAGCGGCAGCGGTTCCCCAGCCCCGAGCAGACGAATCGATAGTCCTCGCACTGCGGCACTGGAGACGAAGGACTCTGAGACACCCACCCACACTGTTTGGCCGCAGGCTTCGAGTCACATGGCAAGTCACAACCCCAGGCTAGGTACTAAGCAAACGGGCATTCTTTCCGTGACCGCGTAGCCGCCGCCCAGCCCGTACAGATCCCAGAGCTTGGGATTGTGGCTTGATCTGATAGTTAGGCTGCTAGTGTCCCATTGGGCAGCTTCAGACCATTTTCGTTCACAACAGGTTTGGTTTTGACTAACGACAGATTCTGGGGGTATTATCGGCGCTGAACAATCGTAAGCTACCCTATAACGCGACAGGATCAAACGGGAATACTGAATCCAGCTCTAGACGGTTGGCTCAACTTCACAAAATATGGTTAATGCTGGGAAGATGACGGGACCAAAGCTCCGGAAAGGCATGCATGACCTTGAAATTTCACTCGGCACCCCCATGAAAAGCGCAGAACCAGGCACGTCGGATGGAATAGCAGACGTCACGATGGCCGAGGGGCACCACGCTCCTGCTCCTTGATCAGCAGACCACTCAGCTCCACCTCTGGTTGTCAGACTGTCAGAGCGAATCTCTTGGAGCCAGAGCCTCTGAGAACCACACACAGCACAGTGGAAGAATGTCACTCTGTGGCCTGTATCGCAGTGGATATGTCTGAAACCTGGTGCACAAAATCACGTAAACAGGAGTCTCTGTGAAGTACGCGTCGTGATGGCAAGACCCGAGATTACCGGGCGCCACACGAAGAGAGACAGTAAACCAACCTGCTTGCCACAGGCGGACTGGAACGCGCCGGGAAGGAGGGGTGGGTGGGGATCATGGGGTTCGAGATGATGTGCCAAAGATATCTAGAGCAAGACGATCTTGTGGAAGAGGGTGTGCAGATGGTGGCTGCCAGTGAGACCGTCCCACCCTAGCTACGTAGCATTTGTTTCCCTGCTCAGAAGACACCATGTTAAAGGCAGAATCAGTGCCGCCGTACAGACTCGGATGAGGTTGGCTCGGGATTTGTGTTAAGCATAAGACAATGGAAGGGCGGTCTTATTCGCTCCGGAGAAGGAGTCGGAAGTCGGAATGGCAGTTGAAAGATGATAAGGGTCCCAAATGATACGACGTGGCAGATGGCATCCTGGAGGAAATGATACATGCCGACTCGCAAGGCCTGAATGAACGTCGGGGACCTCTAACAGTTCAACAAGCACAGAAAGAGCACAGAGAAGAAAATGGGCCAAACACCGTAGGCCTGACATGACGCCGTCGTAGGGCTACTAGTAGACTAGTTCCGTGGCTGGCCGTGGCTTGTCGGCCAGCATGGCAACAATATGGGGTAGTGGCTTGAGAGTCGGAAAAGTGATGCGGGCTCTCGGGGGCGAGGTTGGATTAGCCAAGGGGTAAGTCATGCGGCATTCTTCTGGGTCCAGAGCAGGAAGCACAATAAGAGAATCATTGGAGTGATATCCAGCTTCACTGAGAGAAGATTGAGAGTGGGGCGTTGGAGGGCTTACATGATGGTGTGAAGGATCGGGAAGGGTGAGCGGAGACTAGCCGTGATTTGTCTGACTTCATTCTCATGCGGCCGCCACGATGACCGCCATTTCATACCAAAATCATACAGGTGAGTGAATGTAAGCGCTCTATGCCAAGGGTAGCTGCCATTTCCTGTCATGTTTTCTCGGCGCATTTCCCACCAAGAATGAGACAAGTGGTTCTGTAAGCTTCTGAAGACTACACGTTGTGCTTGTAGCATCGGCATGGGGTAGCTGGGATCCAGGCTGCGAACTGCTGCGAGTAACACCGGTCGCATACATAGCCGTCTGATGCTAGCCAGAGAATCAAGCCAGTCGGATAACAGTTGGACATGGCAGTGATCCAGCCAGAAAGTTCACAGAGTCAGCCACTCGACGTGACGCCACACTTGAAGCAGGGAACGGACGACCGTTTGATTTGGTCGATTGGGGAATGCGTGGTGGGCGATGTGGGTGGGTGTAGCCAGTGAACATGGCGTCGACATGATGGGGTGAACGGAACGGGCGGACAAGGTGAGAAATCGACCTAGGGGTTGAAGGAGGGGGTTGTGATGGAGGGTGGGGGTTGGTCGTGAGGTCGTCGAGAGAGCAAACGGCGGGGAGGCTGAGGAGGGATCGGCGTAGGGAATGAGAACCCTTACATCCTTGCTGCGCTGGGGTCCGAAGACTATGAGTTCTTTGAGTGCATGCAAGGTCTAGAAGCATTGGTAGACTAGGGCGAAAAGGGATTCACTGGTCCAGACCGGGAAGAGTGTGGCTTGACCCGGGAATGTCGATGGAGCAGTGACGAAGCAGCTAGTGGTGCCGAGCGAGAACTTGGTTTACTTGGATATGGACGATAGGGTGTGTGAAACAATCCCGAGGCGGTGAGCTGATGAGAGTGATACGCCAGTTGGGGGGGGAGAAGGGTGCGTAGCCGTACAAGTCACCGGGAGAGTCGTCTTGGATTCTTCATGATTCATGATTTATGATTTGATGTAGACGCATCACGTCTGATTTGGAATACCTAGTTTGTTCGGGGTGCGAGGAGCGTCAAAAATTGTCGAGAATGATATCAGAGAACCAAGATAGATGTTGGCTACATGTAGGTTCGGTGACATGCATCTTTTCATTTTCCGGCGTAGACGCGCGATGCGCCGGGCCTTCGCGCTTCCGCCCCTCCCCACTTCCGCCAGTCTTGGAAGAGCATGTCATGGTTCAGACGAGATGGAGCTTCCCATCAGAAGATGCGGGCTCTGCTGGGATGATGTTTCACTCGAGCTGCAAAGCTTCGAGGATGTATCCGTCTTCGCAGGCAAGTAAGGCATTTAACGGGGGGCATAGAAAGGAAAAGGCCAAGCGGGCAAACCTGGTCGTTGCAGGGATCATCAGTGTGGACGAAGGCGGACGGCGGGGCCGCGCGGAGAGGCGAATGAGCCTTGCTTCAAGATTCAGGCTACCCTTATCCATGAAGCGATTGCGACGACGACAAAGGGGAAGATGACCGGAAAGCCGTGTGGTGGTTTGACAGGAAGTTGAACGACGTTGGCGTAGCAGCCTCCCTGCAGCATCGGACCTTTCCCGGGCATCTTTGTGCGATGTGACTGTGTGCCCTCGGCCCACGGCCCACGGGGTAGAGCTTACTCGTGCGAGAAAGCACGACAGGTACGATTTCGTCTTGGCTCGCAACCAACCCGGCTTCGAGGAAAGCCGACGATGGAGGGACAGTAGGTGGCCGCTGCTGCTGGACGCTGCCATCAACAACTCACAAGGTATGGCTGGCGTCATCGGGTTGAGCCAGGCCTGGCCGATGCGGTTCACCGAAAGAAGGCAACTGTCGTCGGGTAACTGCATCATGCTGACCTTGTCCCAAAAGGAGCCGGTGAGACGGGTGGCTACTGCCCGAGGCTGCAACGGGGTCTCAAAGAGGAGGCAGATGCAGGTTTGACTGGGGCAGAAAGGGTTCGGATGGACCGTCGCGGAAAGGGAAACAGGTCAGGAAAAGTGCCCGAGGATTAGGTAGCAAATCCTCAGGGAAGAAGCACTGCACTGCCGGCCGGGGCAATGACAAAAACAGCAGCCACTTGCTGGAGGTGTTGATGTCTCGGCAGCTGAACCCCTGCGAGGAGAGCCAGCCAGATGGCAGAGGTTGGCGGACGGGAGTGTCAAGAAAGACCATCGCGCGGATAGGCAGCGAAGACGGGTACCGGTATGCTCTGCGGGTTTGACAGGGTTTCGTCGGGTTGCTTGATAGCACGCCCTCTGGGGTTATAGGAGAGACATACGTCGGAAGCTGGAGACGCCATCGGCCGAGAATCGGACAAGGTAGCTGGGACGTTGCGATAGTGAGAGAGCACTGGGGTACGAGTACGGCGATATGAAGTCTTTGCCAGTCGCCAGGTTGGTTGTTGACACCAGAAACCAAACATTGGGCGGCGTGGGGGATGTCGAAATGTAACAAGAGCAGCCAGATCAGATCAGTACCGGGGAGGGAGCCAAGACAACGATCGGACTGAGCAATGCGCCGGTCTCGCATGGCCTTGGGGCACCTAATTACCTACCACCTACCCACCTCGCTACTTATTCGTACATGCTTACAACTACTAATTACTGGTTGAGCTTTTGCTGCAGCAGTCAACCCTATCTTGCTCGTCTAGTCTAGTCTTGTCTCTTCTCTGTCTCGTCTGTGTGTCTCTCCAGACTCTGGGCACTGAGGTATTCCCCGTCGAGCGGCTGCATGCGTAAACGCACTCTACTGCGTAGCACGAGCAGCATGCGGGTGTGTCTGCGTGGGGTGGGATTCATCGCGTCGTGTTGCGTTTGATGTCGCACAGCTGCAACTCTGGAGCGGCGACGACTTGCGCTCGGCCCCGCGCCTTGCCCGACATGGCAGGTTAAGCTTGTAGGGGGCAGGCCGCAGTCAACTGCCATGGCCCGTCTCGGTTGCCTTTCCCTCGGGCGACTGACGAGTCAAGATCGTCGAGTGACGGTTTTGATGTAACTCTTTGTGTTTTTCGGACAAGACGTCGCGCTGCAGTTGAAGGCTAAGGTAGTAACGCAGCAGGTAAAAGACCAAGACCCGTGATGCTAGATGGGCTCGAGATAGGCGAGACACTGGGCGGGCCCTCGGGCTTGCGATAGACATTGAGTGAACCCTGCGATGCAAGATCAGAGAGATGAGAAAAAGCAAGTTGTTGAGAGACATGGGCGGCGTTAGGGGCTCGTCGGCATGTGCCATGATTGGTGCCGATAATGTTATTGACGGACTCGGATATCGAATATTCCCACCATTCGAGGTTTTGGAACTCAAATACGACCCCAATGCCTTGGACATCTGAAATGCGAATCCACGATGCACATCATCAATACGAGTGAGGAGAGTCAACTCAGTCCAAAACACGAGACAAGCCGTCAAGTGTTTGCTGGGGCGAATGTCGAAATGTCGCACAGGGCGCCAGGCGCCTGAAAAGGGTCCCAGCATGCTGGTTGCTACTGTGACACGGATGCTCAGTTCAGCGGATGGTCTCACCAACATTGACAAACGGCTGGCCGGCGGATGGCGGACGACAGCCCACGGGTTGTTGGTGTCTAAGCTTGCCTGCCTTGTAATCATTTCAATATCCATGCAGGGGCTCGCAAGGAGACTGAGGTAGACGTGATAAGGCATGCGGGACAAGATCTTTGCAAAGTAATGCTGAAGCCTCGAGAGAGACCTCTTCAGCTGAGCATGCCGACTTGTCTATTGTTCGTCTTGGGTGCATCAGTACGACCGGAATAACGCGAAACAGCGGCAGCAGCAGCAATGTAAGTAAGTGCGGGTGAGTATGAGAGGCTGGCGTTCCCAAGGCGCATGATCTATCCAACACTGGCATCCGCTCTGGCATCTTTGTCCCTGGCTCGCCTCTTCCCGACGCACAGCGGTGATGGGAGGTGCGGGATGTGTCGAGAAGGGAGCCGGTATTTCCAACCACACTCGTTCCGCGCGGCTGACTGCACTTGGCATCGTTTCCGTTCCCCATCTTTTCTATACATGTATCATTGAGATGCCCGCCCCCCCTTGTTGGACCCCTCCATGACGATGAGCCTAGATGTCTTGACCTGGACTGGATGGGTGGCTGAGGGGTAGAGAGCAAGTGCATCATGAGGCCGCCGCGTGATGGAGGCACGCCACCTGCCTGGCTCCGGTCGGATGGTGGTCAAGGAGGGTTGACGATGGCAAGAAGTGAAGTACAAGACATGGTGGGGGTGTGGTGTGTGCGTCCGTGTGTTTCTGCAGGTTGAAGAGTCGAAGAGGAAAAAGATCATTGTTTGCTCGTACGAGAAAAAAGTGTCTTGAAGTGCGAGGAGGGAGGCTCGACTAACATGGCATTTCGGGCATAGCTTGGCGTGGACATGGACATGGACATGAGCATGGGGTTGGAAAAGAGGAGGAGGAGGAGGAGGAGGAGTGCAGCAGAGTGGATGGCAGCATGGGTGAGGTGAGGAGGGGGCGAGGCGGGTTCATCAGATACCTAGATGTATCCGTAGATGCCTACGGCAAATACGGAATAGGAATACTATTGCGCGTAGTTGGAATACCGTGCGGAGAGTATCTCTGGCTTGGGATGATGGGCTGGACTACCTCGCTTTGAGAGACGTGAGGTATCGTGGCCGTACTGCTGTGAAGCGAGACCCAGTATGACTGTCCGCATGGTAAGAATACGTGGCTTGAGAAGAGAGTCCCATGCCATGTTTTGGAGGGCAAAGATGTTGTTTGTATGCGCTCTCACTTATATGAGGGTGGGCGATTCCGAGTCTGCCGTCTGGTTCAATAGGAAACATGCTCCTCAAAAGTCCCATTCCTCTTACTCTTACTCTTACTCTTATTCTCACTCTCACTCTGCACCATCTAAATCTCATTATTAATAGGAGCAACGCCGTCGCTTGAAGCTGCCTAGTCTAGCGGCTTCCAAGTTGGCCGCCAGTTTCCCGCCCGCGCCTCACAACAACATCTCGACGCCCATTTGGAACCAAGTCCCAGCTCACCAGAGCACCGTCGACTGCTTACCGAACCCTGCTCCGAGTGAAGCGCCACGGTCCGCCAGGCCTGAAAGATGACCCCTGAGCATCGGCAGTGCTTTATCTGGACACTGGCATGACTGAACCTCTGCCGCAACGGATAGCTGGGATAATCATCGCCTCCTTCACAAGTTCACCCCCGCTTCAACGCCCGCTGGCACACTCTCCCGCCTATTCGCTACAGAACTAGCAGAGGATAAACATCGACACATCGACACATCGACAAATCGTCACTGCTCTTGGGTCTCGCAGGCTTAGCACTTGCCCCTCCTAGGTACGTACATAATAATCCTGATTACCCAAAGCTCCATATCCACTCCATCTGCCAGACGCGAAGGGAGTGCAGTTTGTCTGGCCACCCAGCAAGATCCTGGCACGTTGAAGCTGTCTGGTCCAGTTGATCTAATCTCCAGCCTCCCAGGTCAAGGCTCGAGGGAGGGCCGAACATCTGATTCGCCGATTGGGTCATCTGGCGGTATCTTGATATCAGCTTCCGCCATCATCGACCCCAGTTGCGACCTTGAACCTCGAACCTCGACCCTCGACCCTCGACCCTCGCTCGACCTGAATCACCTTTGACTCTGGTCGCCGTTCGTCCATCGTGTGCTCACTATTTCCTCTTTGCTTTGTTCCACTTCACTCGCGTCATCTGAGCCGATATTCAGCGTGCCTGACATTGCAGAGCCCATCCAATCTTGGGACCAAGCTTGCCTTCTGATACCTTGGCTATATCTGTCGGGTCGTCCCCTCTCAACCCCCTTCGCATCCAGCCGCATATCCGTGCAGGATATCCGTACTTGAGGAGAGCATCAGATCACCCTTCGGATCGGCCTATCGAGACCATCACTGGCGCCGTCATTGTACACTTGGGCAGAGGAAAGACAGACGGACCCTTCCTTTGCGTTACGCTACAATACGCTACCGAAACCACCGCCGTGCCCCCGCCGCCTCCTACCTTATCCGCCTTGGGGTTTCCCCTCCATCGCGTGCTCCAGCGTCCGTCTCTTTTAACATTAGTCCTTACATAGCACGTCCGGCTCGGCATCGTCGCTCTCTTCTGGCCCAAAGGATTACCTTGTCGTCTTACGGACCCCCCAAGGCGAGGTGGGCAGCAGCTTTCCACCAAGGTTCTCCGTTGAAGATACCAACGACCGAATCCTGACTCGAGACGACGACGGACGCAGCTCGGCTTCAGCACCAAACACCGGGACACTCCCCCTCCCCTGGCCGCTCACTCTCATCTCTTCTTTTTGTTCTTGCTGCTCACTCACTCACTCAGTCACTTACTCACCTAAGCCACGCTGCTTGCTCATTGTATTGCCTCCGTCAACTTGAGTTAGTTCCGAACCGAGTGGGGCAGATTGCGACATTTCACATCCATAACCTTCACGCTCATCTTCCTTCACCTTTGCAAACCGCGTCTGACCGAGACGCACCGCCTTTGCCGCCCGCACAGCATCCTTGTCGCACCTCACACATCCCACCTCATACAACCCACCTCACACATCCCGCCTCATACATCCCACACCCTCTACGACTCTTAGCCTCTCGCTCGCTCTCACATCACACACTACTCGCTATCCTGACGCCGCTCGCACTGCTGTCCGTCTGCCCATCTCAGGTACCGACCGTGTGGACTGGCCTCGACCTAGCTTTGTCATTCCACCTCTCACCTCGCCTACCTACCTACCTGCCTCTTCCCTCAATTGCCCGACCCCGAACACATCCAACACCTTCTGGCGAGACCGTCTGCTTGTTCCTGTGCCTGTGAAAGACTCATACTCTCTGGACTGGCTTCATCGCATCGCAGCGCCATTACTGGCTATCACCAGTAACTATCTCAGCGAGGAGCGAGTGAGGATTACCCCCACCACCGTCTCCGGCCGGCGAAAGCAGCCCGCTCCACTGCAACTGGACCCCTCCACAGCGCCCTCTGCCCACTGAAGGCGCACCGCCCGCGTCTCCCGTTCCCCTCTTCGCCCGTCCTTCCGCCTCTTCCACTTCGCTCCTCTTTTTTTCCCTCTTCTTCCTCCTCCTCCCCTTCTACCGTCCCTCCACCTCCCCTCCTCCGGACAAAATGCCTTCGACCAACGGCTCCGAATATCGCCATATGCGAAGTAACAGCCTCAACATCCAGCAGCAGAATGGACATCCCAGTCCCATCCTGAGCCCAATGGCCTCCAACGCATCCACCGCCTCCGCCGCCAGATTCGATGGCCCGCGCAGTCCACCGAGTACGTCACCCTTCCTCTGTCTCTCTCGTTCTCGTGGACCATTTCTCTCCACCACTGTTTATTTATCTCTCCCCTCTCCCTCTGCTTCGCTTCCCAGCGGCCAATGCCCATCACTGTCTCACATAGGCTCTGTCATGATGGCACGCTGCTGAAGCTCGTCGGCATGGTCGCCTCGCCTTCCCTCCCGCCGGTCGTGTCGTCTGCAACACGTCGCACCGCACCCGTCCTTGAGCAACCTGCGACTGCCACTCTTGTCTCTGCTCCGTTCTGCATCCAGCAGTTCATTCTCGGCTAACCTCTCTTTTCTCTTGCGTTACAGATACGTCCCACGTTCCCTGCAAATTCTTCCGACAAGGAGCCTGTCAAGCCGGCAATGCTTGCCCCTTCAGTCACGATCTGGGCTCCGCCGCCGAGAACATCTGCAAGTACTTTGCAAAGGTGCGTTATTTCACTCCTCCGACCGGGCAGCATCGCGACAACTACCTCATCCTCATGGGTCCCGCCCCTCCATTCTGTCAGGTTGCTCTGCTCTGCCCCTCGGCTACACAGACCACCCATCCCACCCTCGAGCCCGTGCCCCTCGCATCCTGGCAACACCACCCGGCCTACCACAAATCGCGCCTTGTTGGTTGCGGACAAGAGTGCTAATGTGCTTGACTTGACTGTAGGGAAACTGCAAGTTCGGTCCCAAATGCGCCAACATACATGTTCTCCCCGACGGCCGACGAATTAACTATGGCAAGAACGGCGTTACAATCGGCACCTCTCCGATAGCCCTCGGCGGACGCATCAATCCGACCGCAGCCTCAAACTACCACCCAACTAGTGCTCTCACCTCGGGCCTATACCGCGAAGGCGTCCCTCCCTATACCTCGGCTTATCCCTATGGCGGCGACGAAAGACAACAATCATTGGGTCGCCAGTCCAGCCTCGACAACGGACTGCCTACGATCGATACTACCTACTCTCATCCCGGCTCCAACTACGGCTCGCCTCGCGATGACGACGCTTCTAGATTCGGCCTCGGCCTGTCTCCCGTCAATGGCAACGGACTGTCCGTCTTGGATGCGCCACTTCCGGCATCTTTTGACTCCCAAGGCATGTCTAATGCCGCACGATTCCCCGCCGCGCCGTGGCCCTCGTCCGTTCCTTCAAAGTTTGGTATCGAGTCCCCCTCGCCCTCTCTGAGCAACGCCAAAGACTCGCGAACATCCGAAACCTTGAAGATGCTCCACACCTCGGCATTTGGTGGCAGCGAGTATCTGGCAGCAGCCAACGTCACCGCTTCCAGCAGCCCTCCCGGCCAGCCCGAGGAATACTTTGGCAAGCGAGCCATGCATTCGAGTCGATACGCAAAGCCAAAAATGCTCAGCTCGAGCATGCCGAAGACATCCGCCGTGGATCACGATTGGGAGGCCAATTTTGGATTCTTGGAGGAGGATTGCGTGCCGTCCAATTTGCAGGATCTTTTGACGCCGACCGAGAAGGCCCGTCGCGGCTCCCTGCGCACTGTTGACGGTGAGCCGGGCAGCGAGAATGGGACCAAGTTTGGCAGCCCTATCGGCGGCGCGAGCCCGAGTAGGTGGGGCCCGCTATTCCAGCGCCAGAAGGAAGAAGAGCTTGGCCACAAGCATGGACCTTCGGTTTTTGGACATGTTGGAAGCCCTCTCCGAAACTCAGTGCTCTCCAACGAAATGGGCCACGGCGCTGCCATGGCCCGACCAATCGGCTCCCGGGCCGGCAGCGAGTCCATGTCGGCGCTCACACAACAGCTTCAGCGCAACCGGCTGGGCGACGACGGAAGCGGTAGTCCCCATTTGCATCCTTTGGCGGCCACGGGCCGAGCCCCGAGCAACAACGGCGCTGGGCCCATCGGCAAGGAACGGGACCGCACGATGGAGCGTCATGTCTCAAGCGGATCCATCAGCTCCTCTGTTACTGGACGATACACCACACCCATCGATGAGGAGGATCCGGCCTTCGTCTTCAATATGGAGGAAGAAGAAGATCAGTCGTCGGCACGGGTCCGGAAGCGTGGCTCGGCCGGTTTTGGTATCGGGGGTGGATGGAGCTACGCCAACGCCCTGTCCAACAAAGGTGCCGCCACTGGATCCGGCCTGGCCAAGGAGCAGCGAGAGCCCTCGGTCAGCGTTGAGACCGTTGGTGGACGCTGATGCTTTGCTTCGCGGCAGTCGACGTCTTTACACCACCGGCAACTAGAAAAGCATAGCGACGGCCTTGCCAGTGTCACGCTTACGGTGGCATTCATTTTCAACTCTTCGACATTTACACCTTGACGAAACTCTACGAACACATATTTCAGCCACGATTTTCAAAGCATGCATGGGCAAAAGCCAAACGGAAAACGAAAAATTCACTGGTCTACAAAATCAAATGGGACACGAGCAAGGGATCGGATCTACAAGGTGGCTGCTTATACAACAGGGTAGGGAGTTGGTTGGAGTTTTGTCGATTTTGAGTCGTTTTGTTGGCTTTCGAGGATTGAAGATTGGAGGATTAATACTACCAACTGGCTCAACATAGGATGGCTCGCAAATTTCGACTTGAAAAAACCGTGGCCGTTGAAATCTTGGAGACACATGGATTCCTTCGCCTTATCCAGTGTGGATGGGGCGTGACTTCTCGATGCTTGGAGTAGGCAGGGATTCCAGAGTACGTGGAGCGAGCGGAGGAAGACACTTGCGCTTTTAGGGGGGCCAACAAATGAACGGAGAGAAACGTCTGGCTTTGGCTGGCACAAAAGTCACAGACCGGCTGTCTGTGACTCGGCACCGCATTAGAGACGCCTGGAAGAGGAAAAGCAGATACCATCGTCTAATTATCGTTCATTATATAAAAGCTGATTTTATGAGATTGGAAATGGCCGTTTCCTTGACTACCTATTCTGGAGATGTGATTGCACCGTGACCTGAGGCGGGAAGGTTTAGAAAGTTGGTTTAGTAAGTTAGTTCCGTAGCAACCACCCAGTCTTGGATTCTGCCGCCGTCGATTGAGGACTCGGCTCAGCAACTGCCTGCTTGGAGTAGATCCCGAGCTTGTCTGATTTCCTTGCAATCGAGTCCCTATTGTTAAGACTGACGCGCAAGTTGAATGGGTCGCCGAGACTGGCGATAGAGTAGGGAACCAGAGTCACGGAGAAAACCCCATCATGGGTGACGAAAATCTATACACTAATACAAGGCAAACGTCAACAGAGCCCAGAGATGTCCAACTCCAGATCATGTCGCAATGCCGTTTATGCGCGGAGGCCGCGCCGTGGGCTATCGTACGGAACCGTCCACCCACAAAGATAAGCCTTCATGCCTCTCCTTCCCTCTTTGCACCCAATCCCGAGAAAAGAAGAGTTCCTCGAGAGCAGACGCAGCATCTTTCGTTTCCCTCCCATTCTATTTGCGAGTGGCGTAGTGGATGCCCGGGGGCAGGTTATTGTACAGACCGCCGGGGAGACGGATTCAGTGGAGGAATGGGTTTGGGATATTTAGTGGGCATCGGGTTGGCTAACAATGTACTCAACCGCCTTGTCGACTGTGAGGAGTAGGTTAGCATTGAAATGTTCAGACATAAGGGAATGCAGAGGGCGTACTCGAGTGGATGGTGTCGGCGTCCTTGTCGGGGATCTCGATGCTGAACTCCTCCTCAATGGCCATGACGACCTCGACGGTGTCCAAGCTGTCCAAGCCAAGGTCGTTGGCAAAGTGAGCGTTGGACTTGATCTACACGTGCAAACAGACACATGTCAGCTTCTCTGTTTCAATGCAGTACCACATCCCCATTGATGCGGGTTCTGTGCATTGGCAAGTCGTGTAGAGTGACGTACGTTGGCTGGGTCGTTGACCTTGTCGAAACCCTGCAGCAGAGCAAAGATGCGGCCCTCAACCTCCTGCTTGTTCAGGCCGGTGGCGGCAGAGTACATGCGAACGGAAATAGCCTTGGGAGCGGCGCGGAAGGCAGCTTGGGGCGCGACGAGGGATCTCCGGGCGAGGGGAGCGGACTGCTGGACGGCGGGACGGATGGCGCGCGTGGCGGCGGCCGCGGAACGGAGGACTGCTGTGCGGAACATTTTGGTCTGTGTAGATGTGAGGGGGGAGGCTTCGGGAGCTCTGGCGATGGAATTGGGTTCGGGATGGAGGAGATGGAGGTTTGGTTGGTTGGTTGGTGACAGCTAAGCTGGGATTTGATGGGAGCTTCGGGGTGGAGGAGGAGGAGCCGTAAATGATGGATGCCAATGATGATGATAAATTTCTCGTCACCCCCCCGAGGTGTCCCTGGCTAGCTCCCGGGAGCTGCACGTGCACAGTCATGTGACTGATGTGATTCTTTCATTCCGCCTTCCAGCCAGACCAGACGGAGTGAATTGAATGAAACGACCTGAGAAATACCGTCAATATCCTTAATTGAAGTCTCAAAAGCTCTCAGCATCAATTGGCCTGTGTCTAGCGAGTGAAGCCGTCATCGACGAGTCTGAGGCGCTTCTCTTCCGATTGTCCCAACTCCCGGGCTACCACGTGACCCACTCACAGCCAATCAATTGGCGCCCTTTGTAATCCCGCACCAAAGCTCGCCTCTCCATCCCGAATGTCCATAACGTCAAGCTCTCATCGCCGGAACATCCTGCTCCCTCACTACGCCGCCCTCGACCCTCCCGCCGTCCTTAACCCTCGATCCGACCTCGGAACCCCCCAATCTGCCCGGTCAATTGGCGCCGACGCATCCCTTTCCATCGAGAAAAGCACAATGCCTCCCGCGGCTCAGCTCCCCGTCACCATGTTGGCCCTGGCGTCAACAAGGCCGGTCGCGAGAAATTCGTCGGCCGCCATGCAGCACGTCGGCAGGCTGATGGCTGCCAACGCCATGCGCACCTACGCAACGCCCGCCGGTCCCCCGCCTCCCAACTTCCGCATGAAGAGACATCAGACCTGGGACGAGGACCAGGAGTCCACGTTGAACAAGCTGGGTCGCTATTTCCTGCTCTCCGAGATGGCGAGAGGAATGTACGTCCTGCTCGAGCAGTTCTTCCGGCCGCCCTACACCATCTACTACCCCTTCGAGAAGGTGAGCAAATCAATTTTCTGGACTTTTGGGAGCATCATCAGAGAGACAACGGAGGAATTGAGGACGTTGGGAGGTTATGGGAAGTCCGTACAGCGACCGCAGGAAGAGCCGGACCATTGCCGAGATTGGAGGGACACGCAACGACTGGGCTGCCAACGCACGAAACCACATACACCGCAAGAAAGAGAGGGGGATTCGAGGCAAAACAGGCTGAATGGAGAGCATGACGGCTAACAGGAATTGATTAGGGTCCCATCTCCCCCCGCTTCCGTGGCGAGCACGCCCTCCGCCGCTACCCATCCGGCGAGGAGCGCTGTATTGCCTGCAAGCTCTGCGAGGCCATCTGCCCGGCCCAGGCCATTACCATTGAGGCCGAAGAGCGCGCCGACGGCTCCCGCCGCACCACCAAGTACGATATCGACATGACCAAGTGCATCTACTGCGGCTTCTGCCAAGAGTCATGCCCCGTCGACGCCATCGTCGAGTCCCCCAACGCCGAGTACGCCACCGAGACCCGCGAGGAGCTGCTCTACAACAAGGAGAAGCTGCTGTCCAACGGTGACAAGTGGGAGCCGGAGCTGGCAGCCGTTATCCGCGCCGATGCCCCTTACAGATAAAGAAATTTCTATGGTCGAGGGTGTGGAGGTAGAGAGCGAGAAGTCAAGGAATCACACCTTTTTTTTCCTTTTGCAGTTTAATGCCTAAAGGATGGATACATCGAGGCGCGCGTGGGGAGACGGCCGCAGGGCAAAGAGGCCGCGGCAGCAGTGATTCTGGCATGTTGTGTATGTGTACAGACAGGTCAGGATCGATTAGACTTGTGTAAATATCTCTCGCGAAAAGCAAACTTTTCTTTGTCTGTTGACCGCCGTCGCTCCCCAATCTTGGTTGATGGTATCGCGCAGGGTTGAAAATGTCATTGCATTTCCTGCCATTGTCTTCACGACTTATGCCATGTAAATTCGCATCGCATTTGGGCGGGGCGTTTTGGGTTGAAATTCAGAAGATGATTAATGCAATTTTGTAACAAACGTCTTTCCTCCCCTTTGGCGAGTTTACTCGCGGAGTGATAGCCAGAGAAGACAGAATACCCGACCAACGCCTTGCTTTGATATCATGGGCCAAGCTTGGTAAACACCAGCGACCTTCAAATAGCACGCTTTCGTTTCTTTTTTTTTTCCCCGGTTTGATACCGTGAGTTCAATCAACAACATCATAGACATGGCCACGTCCCTACGCATGAGACGATCAAAATGTTTTCTCCCAAGTTCCCCACCAAACACCCATATTTGCGGCCACGACCAGATCCAACATCTTCAACCCCTCGGGGTGGATGATTAGTTTGCCCAGCTTGGCCCTCTTCCCCCGGTTGCCCCCGCCGGCTCTCTCCTTGCCCAGCTTCAGATCGAACGGACTAGGCGGCTCATCCTCGTCGCTACACTCGCCATCTCGATTACCAACCTTGAGAAGCCGGCTGAAGTGCCCGCTCAGCTGCTCTCTCTTGCCTTCCTGCTTAAAGATATCCGTGCTAGGCAAATTGAATCGCAGCTCGCTCACGCTCGCCGAGTACGACGATGAACTCGACGGCGCGAGCGGGTTGCTGAGCCCGCCGGCCGTGGACAGGACGTGTCTGCACTTGACGCTTCGCCCAGCGTTTCCCGTACGAAACTCGCACCGGCCGTCCCACGGCGAGACAAACACGTACCCCTGTGGCCGGAGGCCGTGGCCCGGCTGCGTGATGATGGGGCCCGAATCGCTTCCGTTGGAAGACACGGAGCCCGTCGACTGAGTGCTCAGCTGGCGCGAGTGGCGGTGGGTAGACCTCGCCGGCGGGGAGCCAAAGGGGGCTGAGTCGCCGTCATCCATCAAGCTGCCTGAGCGCGACCGAGAGCTGAACTTTTCGCGAATGTTGGAGGACCAGGATTTGGTGTAGGACATGACGACCTGGCGTGAGAAGCCACCCTCGGGAAGCTGCTGCTGCTGCTGCTGCTGTTGCTGCAGGTGGTTGAGCGCATCCTCCGAGTTCGCAAATGGGAGGGCAGTAGACGTCGATGTCCGGGGCATGTCCACGCTCTGGCGCAGAGGCATGTGGCGGAACTTTGCGTAGCCGGAGGACTCGAGACGGATGTTGATGGGAGGTTGAGGGGCGTTTGCGCGGCGGCGGTCGTGAGCCGAGAGACCTGCCGAGTCGAAGGAAAAGTACTCGTACCCGTCGTCGCCAGCGTCCTCGAGCTGGTGGGAAGCGACGCGGCCGACGTTCCACTGGTTTCCCGAGCTCGGGTCGCGGCGGATGAGGGATAAGGTGTAGGGCACTTCTTTTGTGTTGTGGAAGCGGGTTGGTGAAGGGGAGCGAGACTGTTGGCGGTAGATGGAGGTCGAGCGAGAGTACCGGCGGGAACGCGCGGGCGACGACGAGGGTTCCTGCTGCGGCATGCGGGAGGGGGATTGGGAGGGAGAGGCGCGGTGGAGGTCTGGAGGAGGTCTGGGGCCGAAGGGCGCGTCCAAGTCGGGGGCCGGGGTCGGGATGGCTCGCGGGCCGGCGGGCTTGCGTGTGGGGGCCGGGGGTGAGCGGGAGATGGGTCGCGGGGGGAGCTCCGGGCGATCCTCTGTCCACCGGGATTGGCAGGTGTCGTTGCCGGTGCCGTAGCCGATGCCGTACCCCGTCGCGCTCCCGGTGCCGTAGCCGTAGAACCCAGAGTTGCGGTTGCCGGCAGCCGCCGGATGTGAGCCAGGAGCCGGGGCCTGAGTCTGAGCCTGAGTCTGAGTCTGAGTCTGAGTCTGAGTCTGAGTCTGAGTCTGCGGGGGTAGACGAGCGCGGGCTGGATCGGCTGGCGGTGAGGGTGCCTTTGAGCCCGCAGGGACGGGTTTCCTGCGGATCTGAGCCGTGCTGCGGGTACTTTCCAGGCTAGATCTAGGCGTGTCCGGGTTGCGCAGATGCTGAGATTGCTGAGATCCGGCGGCTAGGGTTGGATGGTGCGGGTGGCTGCCGTCACTGGGGAGTTCCAGGTGAATGTAGTAAAGTGAGTTTGCGACATCTTCGCTAGTGACATTTTTGAGATGAGGTTTTGACGTTGTCAATATGACGTCTGCGAGGTTGATGCGTTAGAAGTGCTATTTGTGAGTGGGAAAATGAGAGTGAACATGACAGACTTACCTCGCGTGCCCGGTACACGTGAGATGTAGAGTGTGAGCGGATCTTGACGTTGCTCCGCTGGTTTGTGAGGGTATTGTGGGGGATTGGCGGCGAGGTAGTTGAGCGAGGCCAGAGACCTAGCCTCGATCTGTGTGGACATTTCTGAAGGTTGAAATCTTTTTTTTTTTTCCCTGCTTCAAATGCGCCCAAGCAGAGGGACGGAAGGTGATTGTGAGTATATTTGGCTCAGTGCAGGTCGGCGGGAGGATTCCCGGGTGGTCAAGTGTTGTTGTGGTGTTGTGGTTGTGGGGGTGTTGTGTGTGAAAAAAGTGGCTGAGTCAAGAGGTGATGTGAGGCGGGAGGTTCACAGCCCACTCCCACTTTAAAGATACTCCCTTGCGCCTTACGAAGAGATACTCAGCTCGTCAAGGGCCAAGTGCCGCGAGTGAGGACAGAGGGTGGGTTTCGACGAAGGGGGACCAGGGAGCTGGCGCTGTCAAATATCACGGCTGGAGCTCGTGTGGGTCGGGAAACGGAGTTTGATGGAGAGAGTTGGTAAAAAGTTGAGCTTAAATGAGGGAAATTATTTATGGATACTTCATCTGGTAAATCTCACTCCTCGGTCTGTCTTTCCTTGGGATTGCCCTGCGCTGGTAATGGGGATGGTGGTGGGCTGGTAAATGTCAATTTGTTTGTTGTACAACAAAGTATCCGTACAATGCGAGTGAGTTTGGTGAGTCTGGCAATGAGAATTTTGAGTGCCGAGCGCTGTAATGAGTATCGCGTGGTTGGGTAAAATCTGAGCGGGACGTGATCGACTGGTAGCTGCAGGACGGGTGGTTGGAACTTGGGGTTTGTTTGGATTACAGACGGCGAGGGCTGGAAGATGAAGAGGAAGCAGAAGAGGGGCGAACGAGGGATACTAATATCGCGCGTTCCTGGTGGGTATCTTGCTGTACGTTGCTCCAGTTGTTTGTTCATGTACAGTAAAGAGTGGGAGGGAGTAGAGCGAGGGAGTGAAAAGTTGTTAGGTCGTTATGCTGATGATGAGGTACAGACACTCTATGGCAAGTATGGGGCGAGTCCGCCCTCAAAGAAGCAACGAGAAAAATAGAAACGCCGGCAGGACAAGGGGAAGCAAGTCCCCGGATCTGCAGTAGCGGCCGGAAGGGCTGTATCGTGCCTGGCAAGCCGCAAAAGGCTTGTCCTCTTCTCCCTTCTTCCAAATTGGCAAGTCGCTGGGGTTTGGCGGCACCGCTTGGGTCGTCTTAAACTGCGGATACCGACGGTCTCTGGGTGAGAAGCGAGCTGCTTGCTTGCTTGCTTGCTGGGCTGAGACTTATCCAATGGCAAAAAGGAGTCGTCAGCTGGCTGGGGCTGTGCTGTGCCGCGCTGCGCTGCTATGCGCGAGACGGCGGTGCTGGTGACTTCGCGGTGCGCAGTGCGGCGTACGTGTCCGTTCCGTGACCTTGGTGTTGGATATCTTGAATGTTGGAGGTCTGGTTTCTTGGTGCCGACGCCGGTGCGCTGTTGTTTGATTCTTTTCCAAGCTGTAAGCTACGCGAGGGAGCTGAAGTCAAGCAGGGAGACTTTGCTCTTGAGCCTCCGATCCAATGCCGTGACGGGTTCGGAGTAAATTAATGGTTTGGGCTTGACAGGGTCCAGAGCATAGGTCCTGTGAAATGAAAGTGGGCAGCTGGTACGGACTAGTTTGTGCTGGTTTGGGCGGGAAATGGAGGATGAGATTTGAACAAAAGTGAAGATGCCCCGTCTACGATGCTGATAGAAAGGCAAGTTCTTTCCCCTCTTTTCACATCTCGATGCTTCAGTTTGAAATTTGTCTGCATCGGAAAGTTGCCTTATGCATGGAAGATCTCCTCGGGAGGATTGGGGGGCCTCGTGCGGGAAGAGAGGGGGCTCGTGCTATTTTTTGCATGCCTTTTTTTTATTAACGCGGAACTCTCCAAATTCCTAGCGAGGGCGAGCGCGTACAGATACACAAACCAGCCATACTCTATACACTGATGGATGAGCTGCTTGGGAAGTTAGGATGAATGGACCACACGGCGTACTGGTCACTACTGTCGAAGAAATCAGACAACGGTCAACCACCCGGCCTGAGCGGCCCTGCCATCTCGCATAGTTCGGCATATGCTTGAGCTAGCGCCAGAGCTTGATCGAGGCTGCTTGTGCTCGCTGACTGGTTGCAGAGTGTCTCGGCTTCAGCGCGGGATGACGACCAAGGGTCTTGGATTCCCTCTCGAGATCCCCTAGACGCTTGAGACTGTCCGCGACTGATACATTTCCTCCGAGTGACTTCCCCGGCCGCATTGAAAATAACCAGTAGTTCATACAATATACACGTCGACGAGGCGATATCGTGGTCTCCAGAGGGTTACATTCCTATGCGGGTAGGGCCAGGAGATGCTGGAGATCAAAGGGGCCCGAGCTGTGAGGAGCTTTCCGCTACGAGGGTGACCAATGCAGAAGACCCTGAAGAGGTTTACCGCCCAGTTGACTTTGACGAATCAACATATCCGCATGAAGGCCAACGTCACTTGGAGCCTGTTGGAGGGCATCCACAAGCCCTTTGGAGCTGGGTAGTCAAACCAGTCTCCTTTTCGAGAGTCAGGTGTGGCAGAGCTCAAACTGGGGGATCCCTTCAGCGCAATCTGCATTCTCCTCCACGGCTCATGGACGGCCTTACGGGCCGTAGTCGGGCAACTCAGTCATCTCGTAGTCACCTTGAAATTGCTCTGGGGTCGATGGGGAAATGACCGCGCAGCACAGTATAGCAACACAAAGTTGATTCGAATAGAGAATTAGGACAAATGCTCGTGTCCACGTAACCTAATACCACTCCGGGACGTCCAGCTTCACACAACGTGACGCACCGCACCGGATCCTCGGTGGTGTCTACGTGTACGTCAACTTCAAGGGTCCAGGTGCGCTGTGGCGTCAATGAGACTTTACTATGTAACTGTGCACAAGCGCCCGCGCATGCCGCGAGACCCTGGCGTGCCTGGAGACGGCCAAGCCAGGGACCCCGACATCGCGCAGGTCGCCGTCCCCTGTGCCTGGCTGACTACACTATGCTGTCTCAAAATCCAAAGACTATCCGCCGAGCCACATTTGCGCCCCCTGGAAAACTTGCCGTCTGCCTTCTTAGTGCCTCAAGTAAGCCGGGACTCTCATCGAGCTTCGGCCTCTACGCTGACTCGGAACCCTACAGCTTGCCGATCAGCGAAGCCTGTCCTTGCCGGCCAGCTGGCGGGTGGAAACTCGTCCAACCTCGAAGGCTTGGGTCTCCCAGCTCGTCTCGCTAACGTGGCTGACTGCTCACCTGTCGACCTTTCCAAAACTTTGTGCCCCTTGTTTCCGCACCAGCCGTTCTTCCGGTCACTTTTGGTGCACCACCTGCGCGCTTATAATCGTGATGGGCGACGTTGACGATGATGTGTACGAGGCAGGTTAAGTTTGATGGTGATGTCACTCATCCTGGCTGGGTGAATATCAATGTAGACGGATATTGCTGTCTCTTGTCTCTCTATGCTCCTTTCTGCGCTATTTTTTGCAGTGGTCGTCACCAGGGATGCTGATCCGTGACGAATCCTTTCATCTCACGCGATGAACACCTCCACCATCGCGGTCACTGAGCAAATCCTCATGATCCAATGCAAGGGGGATAGCTCTGAACACAGCCATCCGAACGGGTCTATCGCCTTCGTGGCATGGAGGTTGAGATCTTAGGTAGGTCAGGATTATCTGGTTGACAATTGTCGTCTGGTGAGAGACTCTGGCCGTTGCCCTCGTCTACTCGTCATCACGGAGAATCCAACGGTCAGTCAACGGCTGTCTTGGGGTCTGATCCAAATCCCAAACGGGTGGGAAAGAATCCCAAGCAGACGGCACGGCAGTTTGCAGGTTGCCACCCGCCGCCAAGGAGGGCCAAAACCGGTCCCGTCACCGCGCAATAAACTCGAATGATGGACAAATGGGCGTGCATTCGGCCCCGTTCGAGACCCGACAACCGGGAGAAGAAGAAAAAAACAGAGTTTCGGCATCCGGGGACAAGAGGTTGAAAAACTGCCCAACGCCAACTCTTTGGCTTCTTGCCTTATTTCATATCATTAGGGATTGTTGAGTGCGAAAACATTCTCTGACAGCAATCCAAGCCCACTTCGTTGGAATCATCGTTTGCAATTGTCTGCCGGCTGTTTTTCCTCTTTCAGCTCTCAACGTACCCCTTTGTTTTGAACAAAGTAAGGAAATTGCTTACGTCACATTGTGGTTACAAGGCAGATGTCCACTTATAAGACTGGACTAGGGATAGTCCGCCGACCCTCGTCCGACTTTTCACTTTAAGGGGCTCTCTCGCCGTATCTGATTAGCAATCACTGCGATTCATGAACTTCTAACGGCTGCTTATAGCGCAAGACTTGGGAATCGCTGATGCTTTAGACGCAACCCCCAAGACTTCCCAGCTTCAACTGTGATGATCAGCAGCATGCGATCAAAGACGCAGAGCGCACCACGTCACTCAAGTCAAAATGAAGTGTGACAAGCCCACGCCATGACTGAAATTTGATCGGATACCATCCAGATGGTTATGATCTCTGGCGTCCCAAGAGCCGCGCTACCACTAGTGAGAGAATGTACAACACCAAAAGTAGATTGGCTTCGTGACATCGTGGTTCGGGCCAACTACCGACTTGGCTTGCGGAGGATCCCAAAGGAGCACCTTTGATCCCCCAGCATTTTGCCAAAGTCACTCATCCAGGTCCTCTTCGGATTCGCTTTCTTCAATATGGCGAAGTGGCAATTCGAAAAGAAGCCTTGCTTCTGCGAAGCGCGAGAATATATAATATGTTCACTCTGAATTGTGAACAACAAATGTAGTCCCGCCCAAAACCCTTCTCTGAGGCCTTCTGCAAGGGCTCTAATTTCCTGCCCATCGTACTGGGTTTGCCGGCACTGGCCCGAGATGTTCAGCCTTTGGAGGCTATAATGCTCCCCAATAAGGGGCCACCTGATTCTAGACTCGGCCGAGCATGGCAGGGCTTCTATTCGGCTAGTGTTTCCAACAAAAGACATAACGCCATCTTAGCCCCTCTTTCACGACAATGAATCAACATGAAAGATTCTTGCATCGAATCTACCAATGTTCCTCCGGAATTCTACACCCCTTGGTCTTGTTGTCAGACCCGCTCCACCACTCTCCTCTGGCCCCTTCAACGTAGCATCTTCTGCCGTGACCCTGGTCTTGGACTAAAAACACACACGATGGGCCGCTGCTCTGCTGCCTTACCCAACAGTAATTCGAATGGAGAACATCCCCGCTTATGCCAAAGCCGGCGGGCCAGAACAATCCCTCACTTTTTGGGAATTGCTGCGTTGCATCAAACTCCTCTCATCTCGTCAACCGGCTCTCGCGCTAGGAAATCTGGGGACTGGAAGCCAAGACTCTGGAAGTCTTGTATAAAGATGCGTCTCCTCGAGCAACAGTCTCTCTGATTCTTGGTCTTTTCTCCAGCACATACATTCACTTCTTCAGCCCTTTTTTTCTTCAATACCACACATTGACATTCGTTCTCCAATCCAGTCCTTCGTTTGAGAAAACCCCTACCGGAACCATGCAGTTCGCTACTCTTCTTTTGGCCGCCCTCCCGGCCACCACCATGGCCTTCCCCGGCCAAGTCCGCCGTGAAGAGCCCTCCAACAACGTCGCCAAGCGTGACTCCTGGGGCGGCGCCGTCTCGTTCGGCCCCACTACCTCCACCATTATCAACGCCGTCACCTACCTGACCCCCGGTGCCGCTCCCCCCACCCAGGCTGGTATGCTCTTCCTCTGGCCCGGCATGTCCAACGGCACCGGCAACCTCGTCCAGACCACCCTCGAGTCGTGGCCCGACAACACCTGGTGCGGCGCCACCCGCGGCCAGTGGTGTGTTCGCGCCTCCGTCTTTGGCGCCTTTGGCCAGATCGACAGCGAGACCACCGCCCCCGTCAGGGGAGACCAGAAGCTCAAGATCGAGTACGACCTCCTCAAAGATAACGAAACCTGGCGCCAGATCGTCACCGATGTTGCCAGCAACAAGGTCATCAGCACCCTCGACCACAAGGACGGTCCCTTCATGAGGGGCTACGGAACCGGCACCGAGTGCAACAACGGCTGCACTGGCACCGTTGCTGAGCAGATCTACTCTGACACCACCTTCACCCTCTCCAGCCCTGACGCCCACTTCGGCAAGACCATTGGTGTCAGCCAGGGTGCCACTTACACCGGCCTGACATCCAGCAATGGCAACAGGGTCTGGAAGATTGCCACTATCAGAGTCCCCAAGATGCACTAAATGCTTCACCCTGCGCTTCAAGAAGGAATACTTTCATTGTATATAGTACATAGTCTTTGACAGACTAGGAAGATGAGCCCATGGCTGCTTCCAGGTTCATAATTAAACCTTTTGCCCCTATTGCTTTCCATGATGGCTGTAAATTTTGCCGAAGATATTAGCGCACCCTAATTGTTTCCCTTTGGAAGATGATTCATATTGAATAGATGATGTGTGAGTGAATGTCATACCATTTTCATACTTGCATAAGGTATATGCTGTCTCGTTGCGTTTCTTTTTTACAGGAAACAGCAATAACAGAAGAATGGCATAGCTTCAGGAAAGAACCGCAAAATCAAGTTTTGATGTTGCTGTCAAAAAGATTGATAACGAATCTTTGGTAATCACAAATTTCAAGTATAATCTTACTTCTTGACTCTGAAGCCAAGAAGCATTACAGTAACTAGATGATACTGGTGTGGACTTTACAAATCACTCTCGCTCGTTCGGTTTTTTCATTTAGATATCAAATGAGCTACAGATGTCTCCGTCAGCCCGAATTGAGTTTTGATGGACATTGGAACTAAATCTGAAGTCAACTCAAATGGAAGCCTCGGGCAATATCATTAGTAATTCATTTGGAGTGAAAAGAAAGAAGCTACTCAGTTAAGATGGATGGGGTCTAGGATGCAATATCTTGCCTTGAACCTCGTGATATCCTCAGAATACTCTGCCAGCAATGAAGAGGACATTGCATCCTCATCACCTGGAGCTATTACTACCTACCTACCTACCTATATTGCCTCCAGGAATCATCCAGCTATGACAGCGATGAGTTGCCTACATCACAAGGTAGTTCGATCGGGGCTCAGGGAGTATTTTTTCAAAAACATGTCTATGAGAGTGATGTACGATGAGCAACCCGTATTCAAAGCAAATTCAGAAGGCTTTACTGCTCAGTTAGTACATCATTTGCAGAACTTGAACGGATGACGAGTCGAAAGTCGAGTGAGTGAATCTGACTACAGTTGTCTGAAAACCCTCGAAGTTGAAACTTAGTACTTCAGCTGCTTTCACTATATAATCATCTGGACGGTGACAGAAAGGTTTCCGTTGATACACTAAAGGTGGTCAGGTGGGTAGGTACCTTAGCTCGGTGTATCGGTGTGTCGATGTGCGCGGTCATCACGTCAGACCACCAAGGTAAGCGGTACGTACCTCTCGGCTTTCCTCACCTCAGTCTCCACACCCCGCGATCTCGGACGCAGCACTGCACCTGCACGTCAAGCTTCCTCCAAAAAAAAAAAGTGCCCGGCTAGCAGACAGACTCCAGCACGCTCCGCAGATCCTCCTCCTCCGCCAAAATGTCGACCGCGACGAGTGCCACCGCGGCGACCAAGGATGAATCGCAACCCGTCAAGAAGGGAGGACCCACGGTCTTGCGATCCATTCTGGCTGGATCTACGGCCGGCGCTGTCGAGATTGGTGAGTCCCTTTGCGGTCCCCGATGACGCACCAGTCGACGACGTGGAAGCTAACCCTAAGAAACAGCCATCACCTACCCTGCCGAATGTAAGACGACCGCGACCGACCCCGCATCGCGATTGACTCTCTGACCCTTCCTCGACAGTTGCCAAGACCCGGTCGCAATTGAACCGGAATCTGGGTGCCGGACAAAAGCTGCCGTGGCCGCCATTCGGAGCGCAATGGTACGCGGGATGCACCACGTTGATCATTGGCAACTCGCTCAAGGCGGGAATCCGTACGTGGAACTGCTCTGCCTCGGCCACAGTATCGTGCTGGCTGACGCTCAATTGATAGGATTCGTCGCCTTTGACCAGTACAAGACGCTTCTCTCCGACGCTGATGGCAACATTTCTGGTCCCAAGACTGTCATCGCCGGCTTCGGCGCCGGTGTCACGGAGTCAGCCCTTGCCGTGACCCCCTTTGAGAGCATCAAGACTACGCTGTGAGTGTCTTAGTCCACTGCATCAACGATATCTCGTAATCGCTGACCCAATGTTGCAGTATCGACGACAAGAAGTCCGGCAAGCCCCGAATGCGCGGTTTCCTCAGCGCCGTCCCCATCATCGCCCGCGAGCGCGGCCTCCGCGGTTTCTTCCAGGGGTTTGTGCCCACGACGGCCCGGCAGGCGGCGAACAGTGCGGTCCGCTTCAGCGCCTACAACGCCCTCAAGCAGATGGCCGAGTCTTACACAGCACCCGGAGAGAAGCTGGGCGCCGTCGGCACATTTGCCATGGGCGGCATTGCGGGGCTGATTACGGTCTACGCCACGCAGCCACTCGACACGATCAAGACACGCATGCAGAGCATCACTGCACGACAGCAGTATGGTAACTCGTTCCGTTGCGCGGCCATGATTCTCAAGCAGGAGGGTATCTTGACGTTGTGGAGCGGTGCACTGCCGCGGTTGGCGCGTCTCGTGGTGAGCGGTGGTCTCGTCTTCACCATGTACGAGAAGAGCATAGAACTCATGAACAAGGTGGATCCCGAGGGACGATACATCTAAGAGGGATTGCTGTAAAATACAATGGCGTTGAGGTTTTAGGTTTTTGGTATAGATACACTATACAGAGTACAGGTTTTGTACAAGATATCATACATGGGGCCTAGGCAAATGACGCATGCCCATACTATTGAGATGGCTTCCTTGTCGCTTTTGGATGCCGCGGGTTGTGTTTGGTGTGTATGTGGTGTTTCTTTGTGATTGTTCCGTCATCATTGAAGTCTGAACATGCCGGACAGCTTCTTGGACATGTTTTGCAACCATCCTCGCGTCGGTGCCTCCTCGAGCTCTCTCAACAGGTCTTCAAAGTATGTCGGCTGACTTTCGGGTTTCAAAAGGTCACCATTGAGGGGGAACTACAGAACTGTCAGGGTTTGCGATCCTGGTGGGCAAAGGGTCCTCGGGCTTACTCTCTTCTTGAAGCGATCGTCGGCGAGGGCGTACAGCGCATTCGCCTGCTTCAGCTCCTTGGCCTCGTCGACGACATTGGGCTTGGTGTATCTCCTCTCGATGCCTCTCTGGATGATCTCGCTGAACTGGGTCTCGGGGCGGAGGTTATCCTTGGGCCACAAGGCTAGGGCGGACCTAAAGTGCCTGTATGCTTGCTGTGAGCAGAAGGGGTCAGTGACGTGACGCGACGGGTGCAAGGGCGAGCATGGAGGCAGAAGGGAGAGACATACACTCGTTGTGCGCGCCATGCTGGCAGCGATATTGGTAGAAGTAGAGAATGGAGGTGAGTCTACCGAATGCCGACGATCATGGTCTCACCGCGGGGGGAGGTGGCAGCGGATGGAGGGGTGGATGCGGCAGAGGTCGAATTCGCGGCAATCCAAATTCCCATCGACGACGTCAAGGATTTCGCTTCAGATGGCACTCGCCAAAGAATTCATCTGTCAGTGCACATGAATGACATTGGGTGGATTAATCAGGAGATTCTGATTGGAAGAAGAGATCTCGAAAGGTCAGGGGGTCCGATAGGCATTGGGAGCCACTTGCAGGAGTGTCAGGGAGGTGCCCACCTGCCTAATGCGAATGATTTATTTGCCTGAGGCCTTCGTTTACCCAACTCCGTCTCACGCTCTTTGTCAGCCCAGCAAGGAGGCAGCCGTTGGCACCCCCGTGCCCCCCTCATCCGTCTCATAATCCCATTTTGTTCCAGCACATTCCCGCGGACAGGTACGAGTACGTACACGTTACCCCCCTAACAGTGATACTGCGAGAGGTCTCCACCTCCACTACCAGGGGCTCTCTACCTGGCGTTAGTGTAGAGCAGTAGCTTAGGTAATCCACTTCAGCGCAGCGAGACGAGCCCAGAACGGGACAGGAGGCATGCCGCACTGCTAGCACTGCAACCTGCTGCTCGGGTCCTGGGCTGACTCTCCGACTCTCATCACCGCCAGCCGTAGACGAACCGAGCCAACGCTGATGGCGTAGTCCTTTTTCCCTCCGACCAACACCTTTTTTTCTTCAGCACAACAACACCCACGCCGTTCCTTTTTGTCGCCTCACCTCTTTGGACTTTCCTACGACCCTCGCGAAACGATTTCTCGCCCCTTTCCTTTGATTTTCCGCCTTGTCCCTTTCGAATAGCAGCCGCCGTATCTCCGATTTTATCCCGCGTCCGATTCCTTGTCCCCCCCGACTATTCCTACATAGCGCTAGCCGTCTTCTCTACAGTGGCGAAAGGGGGCGCCCCGAGTCCTGCGGTTTCAAGACAACAAGAGAGAGAAAACAAAAACTTTCAAAATCATTCGTCAAGATGGCTGGACGTTATGAGCGGGTATGTTATGTTCCAAGGCCGCTTTTTCTTTTTACAATTTTCGTTTTCATCTACTGACTGAGTACTCTTTGCAGGTAAACGCCCAAGACGAGGACGACTTCAATAGCCCCAACTCGGCACCGCCAAGTCACGCGCAACCAGTGCCAAACTCTCCGCCGCCATCATTTCACTCGAGAGCTTCATCGCGCGATCGCGCGGCACACGGAGTCGACTCGACGCTCGCCGACGCATTCGATACCGACGGCGACGACAGCGATGACGACGCCGACGATAGGCAAAGATTAGTCCGCGCCGACTCCACCTTGACCTCCCGCGGCCCATCACGCAACCCGTCCTCCGAGTCAAGACCCCAGCCCGACCGGCAGGTCACCCAGCTTCCTCCTACCACCGCGACGGCGGCAGGCGGACCTACGACGCCGTTTCGTATCTACGGCAGCGGTATTCAAAATGAGGGCGTCTTTTCCAACTTGACAGCGAAGCCCGAGCGGGGAGGCGAGACGAAGGAGGAGCAACCTCCGGTATGTTCAATCTACCACTTCCATGCTTCGTATAGTAGTGGAAGACGGCATGGGACCGGGAATGCGCTGTTCTGACGAGTCTCTAGACCTACGAGCAAGCCGCTGCTGACGCGGCGCCTCCATACTGGGAGACGACCATCCTGGCCCCAGGCCTCGGCGGACCCGACGAAGTCTATATTGATGGGATGCCAGTCGGATCTCTCTTTAGTTTTGTCTGGAATGGCATGATTTCCATGTCCTTCCAGGTTGTCGGTTTCATCCTCACATACCTCCTTCACTCGACTCACGCAGCCAAGAACGGGTCCCGCGCCGGCCTGGGCATTACGTTGATTCAGTACGGGTTTTACATGAAGGGCACGACAGAGGGCGACCACCCACCCAAGATGAACGGTCAAGACGGATACGCGGCACCGCCAGATCCAAACTCGCACAATTTCGACCCCAACGCGGTAACCGGCGAGGGCGGCGGCGGCGTGTCGGACATTACCGGGCAAGAGTGGATCGCGTACATTTTGATGGTTGTCGGATGGTTCATCCTCATCAGGTCCGTCAGCGACTACTTAAAGGCACGGCGCCATGAGCAGCTCGTTCTGCAAAGCCCCGACCGTGGGCTGCCTGTGCCCATTATTGCAGATGGCGAGTCGTCCGAGAGAGTGGTATAGCATTGGCGTTTTCGTGCGTCACAGCGTGACGAAGCGTGGTTGGCTTTTTTTACGTGGATCATTGGGCCACGAGTCTACGTACGACATCAGGCACCGCGCCGTTTCTTTGTGTTGTGCGTTTCGGGTGTTTTTAGGGAACGGAAATGGGAGCAGGGTAATCTACATAGGAAGCACAGCAGCAGCTTTCATCCTCGGCATCAATACTGGGATTTTCTTGGGTACACCACACATGGTCTCGTCTCTCGTGTTTAAATGCATGTCCATAGCATTGCTTTTCTGCGCCAGACTAGAGGTAAACCCCTCAAATTCCTACCAATTCCTTGAGGGGAGAAAGGCATGTGAGCACTCGCACTCCTTTAGTGCTTGTAGCGGGATGATCCGCTTGGCGGGGTCGAGAGTTTCACTCAGCTCCCACTTGCCCGGGCAGCCTGGAGCGCTTATCGACAAGGGTCGAGAGCGCCGGGGTTCAGCGCACATCCACCACGTCTGCGCTGCAATGGGTGCTGTAGCTTTAGCTGTAGTGATTAAGGTAGGTAGTATGGGCATGCTGCGTCATCCCACCTTGAGGAAGGTACCTCATGCGAATCATCTTTCGTCTATTACATTTTGATTTACAATGCGGCGCTTTCTTTCCTTCTTTCTCGCAAAACGTCTGTCGCACATCCGTCTACCTCGTCAATCCTTCACTTCTACTACCAGACATAGCAAACGAACCGCTCACCTCTTAGTCCTAGCAGAGCGCCCGCCACTACGAATATCAGACGCCCTTCGGTACGGAGAGCTCTCAAGCTCCTCCTGAGCTCGACCCAACGGAAGACCCATCGCTTTATACACCATTCACCCGCCACCAACTTCAAAATGGCCTGGCGAAGCTCAGGCGCCACAAACAAAGACCTGGTCGAAAATATGTGGCGGCACGGCCTCATCAAAGACCAGCGAGTAAAGGACGCCTTTCTCAAGGTACCCAGTTCCGCAGTCATTGCCATAGTCACGCCAGGAGCAACATCCTCTGATCTGTTAGGTTGACCGGGCACACTACGCTCCCAGTGCGCCGTACGAGGACTCTCCCCAGTCCATAGGCTACAAGGCCACCATCTCGGCGCCTCACATGCACGCTAGCGCAACCGAGTCTCTCCTCTCGTATATCCTGCCCTCCGATCAGAAGCCCGCCCCACGGGTGCTAGATGTCGGCTCTGGCTCGGGGTACTTGACGCACCTCCTTGCCGAGCTCGTGGGGGACAAAGGGGTCGTCGTCGGCCTGGAACATATACAGGCACTGAAAGACATGGGGGAGAGCAACATGGCCAAGAGTACCGAGGGGAAGGCACTGTTGGACAGCGGCAAGGTCAAATTCCGGGTTGGTGATGGACGAAAAGGCTGGGTGGAGGCGCCGAGACAGGGGGAGGACGCCGGGTGGGATGCCATTCACGTCGGAGCCGCTGCGGTGGAGCTTCACCAGGAGTTGGTGGATCAGCTCCGGGCACCTGGGAGGTGAGCTGGGCCCGTGCCATGACCTGTCAAAGATGCTGACTATTGACAGAATGTTCATTCCCGTCGAGGACGATAATGGCTACGATCAGTACGTCTGGGCCATTGACAAGAAGGAGGACGGGTCCGTTGTAAAAGAGAAGCTGTTCGGGGTTCGATATGTACCCCTGACCGATGCTCCCAAGGCGTGACTTGACGACGATACCAAGCTTTGATACAACATCTATTTGCGATGTACATGACGGGACAGTTAGTAATGAACAAGCATACTAGGTCATTTTCACCATCAATAACATGAACACTGTGTTCTGAAGTACACAACAGACTTACGGTGCGCATGTCACACATTCATCCACACACGACTCGGTCTAGAGAGTCATTGAGGCCTTGAGATGGGCGTTGACCTTGGTAGGGAGCATCAAAAAAGTGCCAGGGTTACTCTGTTGGATCCCAGAGAATATGGACCTGTTCAGGGCTTGCGGGGACCCTAGGCGGACACAAGCTGCATTAGTGGCCACCAAGAACACCGCCGGCAACCTACCTTCAACTCCGTAACGGCCAGCCATATTTTGTGTAACACAAGGATGAGGCTCTTGGAAACAGCTCAAGGCTCACAGCCCCTGGGAGAATTCGTCAGCTTTGAAGGAGACAATGCCCCAAACTTTGCCATCCTCTCCCACACATGGGGGGAAGAGGAGGTCACGCTGCAAGATGTGCGCGATGCCCAAAAGGACATCGGACTGATGGCCGGCTACCCCAAGATCACGGGAGCTTGTCGACTTGCCCAGAGCCAGGGCTACGACTACATCTGGATCGACACTTGCTGCATAGATAAGACGAGCAGCGCCGAACTATCCGAGGCCATCAACTCCATGTTCAACTGGTATGAGCAGGCTGGCGTTTGCTTTGTCTACCTCTCCGACTTGGACTATTCGACATACCGGCAGCCTGAGAACGCTGCTCCGTTGGAAGAGGCCTTGCGCGAATGCCGCTGGTTCACCCGCGGCTGGACACTCCAAGAGCTCATCGCCCCTGACAATGTCGACTTTTACGACAAGAACTGGCATCTCATCGGCTCCAAGCTCGACGGGTCGCTGGGCCCCGCGTTGGCAAACGTCACGGGGATCAACCTGGATATATTGAACAAGACCTTACCCTTGGAGTCTTCGAGCGTCGCCGAGCGCATGTACTGGGCATCGTCGAGGGTCACGACCCGGAAGGAGGACGTGGCATACAGCCTGATGGGCATCTTTGGCGTCAACATGCCGCTGCTCTACGGCGAGGGGATGAAGGCTTTTGCGCGGCTGCAGGAGGCCATCCTGCAGGATACGGGGGACCATTCCATCTTTGCGTGGCACAGCAACTATGAGACTTCTACGCAGGAAGCCGTGTTTGATCAGCATATTTTAAGCAGCCTGTTGGCTCCGTCGCCGGTCGAATTTTCCCAATTTCACTATCTCCTCCCCCTGCCAGCGTTCGGGACGACGGGTCAACAGCCGATCCAGCTCACCAATCAGGGCATCAGGATTTCCATGTATCTTGAGCCTGTAAACGACAAAGGCGGTGATGGTAGTGCGGCGGACGACTTTTACGCTGTTCTGGACTGCGCGATCCAAGGAGAGAACGGGGATCAGTGCCCGCGGATCATGCTCCGGAAGCTGGCGGGAAACCAGTACGCCCGGGTCCGGACGGGGAGCGTCTGTACAGCCATCCCGGCGCCGGATTCGACGAAGCCCGGGAGGGGTAGCTACAAGACCGTTTTCGTCAAGCGGAACCCGATGTACGTGCTTCCCGAGATTTCGGTCCTCAAGGCGGGCTGGAAGATGGGCGGGAATCAGGAGGCCTACCTGGTGGTGGATTCGTATCCAACGGGGCCGTGGGTACCGAGCTTGGGGATCTTGCGGACGGGAAACCCGTATTTTGAGCCAGTGCTTGCTGGGTTGAGATTTGAGTCGCCGACGAACCCGCGCATTCAGGTCGATGTTGTTGTGGGATGGAGGAGAGCGGAGGAAGGTTGGAGGCTATGGTGCCATGCATGCGAGACGCAAGATGATTTGGGCATTGACGCGCTATTTAGAGACATATACTTTGCTGCTTCTGGCGAATTGGATCCTTTCTTCAGAACGGATATGAAGGTGAGCGTCAAGGTCCGCCCAGATGCTAGAGAAAATGGGAGGACTAGTGGACCTGTCAGTGGAAGGAGCTTTGAGATTCCTGTACACGTTAGGTTGGTTGAGGTTGACAGGCTGGGGAGGAAGGGGTTGAGGATCGAGTGTTGTGCACCGTTGCAGCCACAAATTCCTGGCTATCAAAGGACGGGACATTTGCCGTGGGAGGAGTATTGATTGAAGTTGCTCAATACCTGCCGTTTGTAATGAGTGTGACAGTGTGTATGACACGACGAGATTCTCGGCCGCACGCATCGCCGTGAAGTTTGACCACAACTCGGTATCCTCGATGCTGATATTTTCAGACCGGCATCACATGAGCATGTTAGAAAACCCTAAACCTATCACTGGCAGCTACATGTAAGAGAAGAAGTTCATCTGGATATAAATATTGTAAAATAAGAGTGACGAACACGCAAGGGCAGGTTCCCAGACCATCCACTCCTCACTCAGCCACGTCGCGAAAGAGAAGAAACGCACACTGCCTACCCCGTCAAGCAATAAACCACAAAAACGCCTCATAAAACCATGAAATTATATCAAATCCGGTTCTGTTCTTCCTCCTTTGCGGCGTCCGCCTGCCTCGAGTCCAATACGCCGCTGAGGTGCGTGTACGCCATCACCACGTTGCCAATCTGCGGCATGTGCTTGATACTCAGGAAAGCCTGACCGTGGTCCATGCCCTCCAGGTACATGAGCTCCAGCTCCCCCCTCCCGCTCCACCTGCCGGGCGTCGTTGCCCACTCGGGCTTGTCGTGCCGCGTGTAGTTGAGGTCGCCAAAGTAGACGTAGCTCGCCACGGCGTCCGGGTCCGTGACGCAGTCCTCGCCGCCGAGGACGACGGTCGTGCGCTTCCCTTGCAGCTGCGGCGTCCAGAGGATGAAGTCCTGCCAGCGGAAGCGGCGGGCGAGAGTATGCGCGACCATGGGATCCGTGGCGACGAACCAAATTTCCCATTCGTTGCCCCATTTGGGCGTGCGGCGCGTGAAGTTATATGCCACGGCGGGGAGGTGGAGGAGGAGTGATACAGGGTCGATGAGGACGAGGGAGTTGATCTTTGGCGCGATGTCGGGTCTCTGCAAGAACGGGGACGCCAGGAGGGTGCCGAAGGAGTTTCCAACAAATACAAAGTCGTTGTAGTTTTGCTGCTTGATGATGGCGTCCATGCCGTCGACGAGCTCCTTGGTCGTCTGCAGAGGGGGGCAGATGCGCGAGGAGACGGGGAGGATCTCGATACACAAGACGCCGACGTCCTTTGGGATACTCCAGAGCCAGAGTAGGTACGGGATCATGCCGACGCCAACGCCGTGCATGAAGAGGATCGGGCGCTGGGTCTCTGACGTGTGCGGGCGGCAGAAGTAGCTCAGCTTCGGGTCGGCGGACTCATTGGGCGAGAAGAGAGTCATGGGCCGCCATGGGAAAACGGAGAGGAAGGTGTTGCGAGGTTGGCGGTAGAACTTGAAACCTCTGATAAAGAGGACGAGGGTTGCGAAGAAGTCGAGAGAGCCAGTGGTCTTTTTGTGGCGTGTTAGTTGACGGGGTAGACCTGTTTGAGGGAGAATGTTGGCAGTATTGTTCACTTACAAGATAAAACAGCAGGCTTCGGTGCGTGATGGTGACGGGATCAAAGCTGAGGCGCAGAGGGGTTGAGTCTCCGAAACCTCTCTTGATGTTGACTCCAGCCCGCTCTTCGACTTCCGCAACGTACTCTTCAAGTTCCTCGTCATGTTCTTGCGGGTTGCCTTGCTTGTCGAACAATGCCCACATCAACCAGTCCTTGACGTTCTCCCTGCGGATATCGCCAGTCTGGGCGTTGCAATGCCATTTCCGGACATACTGCTCGACGTCCGGGGCGTGATCCAGCCCCTGGTAGAAGAACCGCCGGCGTTCCTCCTGATTCAGAGGCTCAGGTTGGAGACTGAGCTTTTGTAGACGACGGCGATAGGGCACGAACCACGCAAAGTAGAAGATGATTTCGATGGCGCCGACAACTTCGATGATGATGGACACGGGATGGGCGATACCGGGCACGCCAGCAAGGGCGAAGATGAACCAAAAGTAGAGGAAGCAGAGCAGTCCGAGGTACTGGAAGTATATTACAATGGACCTTACGAAGATGAGTTCCGGAACCGACTTCCCCACGAGCATTGTTGGATCGGGGGCCGTTGAACGGCGCTAGTATCTAGTGGCGAAAGGAGGGCTCTCTTGGTCTGTCAGAGTCCCTTGGCGTTAAGTTGACGACGTCTGTCAAGACCAGAATGGAATGCTTGCGCAGCGGCATGCTGTGAATTTAATATTACGGGCAATTTGAATCGACAAGTTTGGGACCGACGTCAGGGATCTACGAAACGGTATGGGTCCGGCCTGCAACTTGGATCTGGCCGAGGGTGATTCTGGTTGCCTTGTCTACGCTTGTGATTTGAATGGCCACTGGTATGGGCTACAAACATGCTCAATCGACCCGAACTTTCAGGCGCGCTCCTTGCTGTGCGGGCAGTGCCTTGGACCGTGGAAAGGCAGGCTGCGAATGAAAGCTGGGTGCTGGAAACGGACGAAACTCAAATCGAAGCGACATGGTGCCATCTCCCAGCTGGCGGGTTACCGGTAGTCGTGCGGACTCGTGGCCGGCTGAGTACTTGCGTCGTAGTCAAGTGTCCAACGAGTCCACCAATGCCTAGACGAAACGTCACAGTCTGTGCTGTAAAGTTGGGTTGGGGAAGTGAGATGCGAAGCCATGCAGGGACCTGCTTGTCTCGATGGAGGGCAGCGAGGTCATTGGGGACCAAGGAATGATCAGTGGGCTCGAAGCCAAATGCCGAATCCAGTTGGTTACGGTTTACGTGAGGGGGGGTGACGGGGGGTTTTCTGGGTCAGAGTCAAGCCCGGAATAGAGGCGGGACGTGGAAAGTCGGGTCGACATGTGCCATCTCGAGTACGAGAGGAGGAGGTTCACGTCCCGTTGAGTTGGGAGTGCACGGATTTGAGCGAGAATGGCCCAGCGACCCAGCGACCTGGGAGCCAAGTCAGATGTGGTCAAGTGTCCAAGTGAGGTATATTGGGAAGACGGGAAAGTGAATGCTTGTAAAGTAGATTCGAATACGATGATCTGTGTTAGTAAACTATGGCCACGATTGGAAAGGTGTTTCGAACACGGCAAACTCGACGAGCTTCATCTTGGGAGGCGCAGTGTTTCGCTGATGGAGACTGAGAGAGCGAAGAGAGAGAGAGAGTCCTTTCGCTTTCGCTTCAGCTGGATTCATCCGAGTCGACCCGCTCTGCCTTCCCAACCAGGCACCTCGGGCGGCCACTCTAGCACACTGCTAACCCTTTTTGGAGCTAGCGGCAAGCCACCAAAGATCGAATCCCGTGCCAAAATCCACTCGAGTCTCCAGGGCCCCTACGCCCCGCGATGAGGAAAACGTGGCTGGACCCGTTCCATCTATCAGAGGCTCCCGACTGGACGCCACCAGATGGAGCGGAGGAACATTCCAACCGTATTCCAGCCCTGTGGACGCCACGTAGCTGTCTTTTCAGGCCAGAAACACCCTGTCTGGCTTACATTTTGGCAGGCGGCAGCGCTAAAGAGTTCGAACCCCGTCTCCAAGATCAGTAATTCGGCCCAACTCAACACTTTCACGGCTCCGCGTGGCTTGAAGAGTACGCATTGCAATCGTGTTCCTCTGAGTCTGTAGGTAGGATAAAAGGCGACCATGTTCTCCCTTTTCGAGTGAAATATGAAGCTTGTCCATCATTCTTGACGACTATTACTCTCAACTCTTAGCATCTTCTCTCATCTCATCCTCTCGTCGATCCCAAACAATTCGGTGGAATTCTGCCACAGCCCATCCGCCCCGATCCGCCATCCCCCACACGGTCTCACTTTTCGCATCCGTACTCGGTCCCGTCCCGAACCCCATCCCACCACAGGCCACTCAACAACCATGTCCTCCTCCGCAAAGACCATTCTCTTCCTCGGAGCCACTGGCGGCTGCGGACTCTCAGCTCTGCGCCGCTCCCTGGACGCCGGCTTCACGTGCATCGCCCTGTGCCGCACGCCGTCCAAGCTGACCTCCGTCCTCCCGTCCGAAAAATACCCCAACCTCCGCATCGAACAGGGCAACGCCCACGACGCCGACGTGATTGCCCGATGCGTCGTCTCGCCCCTTGACCCGACCCGCTTTGTAGACGCTGTCGTCTCCTCCATCGGCGCCTGGTTCGAGCTGCGCAAGATGAATCTAGAGGATGTCCACGTCTGCGAGAAGGGCATGATTGTATTGCTCGACGCCATCAAGAAGCTGCGCACGGAAAAGGGTGTCACTGGAAAGCCGCGCGTCATTGGCCTCAGCAGCACCGGCATTTCCAAGTTTGGGAGGGATACGCCTCTCGTCATTCAGCCTCTCTACAAGGGACTTTTGCACACCCCGCACGAGGACAAGAAGGCCATGGAGGAACTCCTCTTTGCTAGCGACGAGGCCTGGACTGTGGTGCGCGCCAGCTTCTTGACCAACGGAAAGGAGCAGCCGGCAGGAACGGTCCGGGTTGGCGTCGAAGACCCTGTCAAGGGTGTCGAGGAACTGGCTATTGGGTACAGCATTGCACGTGAAGATGTTGGCAAGTGGATGTTTGAAAACATCTTGCAAAAGGATGGAGACGACAGATATGTCGACAAAGTTGCTACTGTCACCTACTGAGTGTTTTTTTTTTTTATTTTTGGTTCTCGCGACGTTTCGGAATTGCCTCATCAGGTAGACATCTCCTTTCAATACCCTAGTTCTAGTTTGTTCGTTTTAGGTACATGTATGATTCTCGATTACGTCTCATCTAATATCTGATTTACTACCTACTCCCGACCGAGCACTCGTTCCTTTTAAAAAAGCACTGGCCCACCAAGAGCCACCGTTCAACTCAAGCCCTCTTTTGGAGTGTTCAAGTTGCGCTTGAGGAAGCGAACGAGATCATCGACGCCTTCGGGTTCAGTAATCCAGTGGCCCCCATATTGGTACTCGTGCCACTCGACGTTTACCGCACCCATGTTGCGCAATGCCGCATAGATGATTCTTCCATTTTCCACTGGAACCACGTCGTCGTCGAGGGCGTGGGCAAGGAAGATGGGGGTGAGTGTTATCTCTTTTGTAATGATGTACCCCAATTTTGGTTTCTCGTGCTGTATGCAGTGGTACTTTCCACAACGAGCCTTTCCGTTGGGATCTAGGACTCCGTAGGGCGAAAGTTCTGGGTAGGCCCAGCTGGAAAAGCCAAAGAGCCCGCCCAAGCCTTCGCAGCTACTCAAGAAGGCCGCGACAGCTGCTGCAGAGCCTTGGCTGATGCCGCCCAGAATCACTTTCTCGCGTGACAGAAAACGAGACTCCTGATCTATAAGGCGGCTAATAAAGTCGATACTTTGACACAAGCCTGGTTCCTGTAGTTCGGGTTTCTCGCCTGGGTTGTCTGTTGACCACATATCGAACCATTGGGTTAATGGGGTGCCGAATCGCTGGGACGGGATTGCCGAAGCGCTAGGGAAGACCCGTTTAAAGGTTGGGAACAGGTCCTGGAGCGTTCGAGGGGGTGGTATGTCGTCTGCTTGTCCGGGACACTGCTGAGCCAAGACTTTTGCCAGGTCTTGGGATATCTCGCTTTCAAAGAATTCTGCTGCAAAATCATTGCCGCTGCTGTCTCTGCCGTGGAGGAGAATGACGGTGTGTGTGTGCTCGTGGCCCTGAACAGGATCGATGGTGCGAATCTCTCCAGGGGCCGTTGCCATGCTTGCATCCATTATAGGTGCGTTCCATTGACGATATCCTAGGTAGGTTGATGTTGAACAAGGGTTGTGTGGGTGATTTGGATGACGGAGGGGAACTTGTCGCCTAATTACGTGCCTACCGTAGGTACCTTACCTTACCTCCGGGTACCTTTGACAGGCAAATTGCCTTGTAAACGCACCTGCGTCACTCGGTGTCCAGGGTGCTTCTTGCCAAACGGGCCTTGGCTACGCTCCCTTAGTACATTTTCAGAATTATCGACCAAATGGGGCTAGAAATAGAAGAATAAGGTAAAAAAGCACGTATTCAAAAGAATGAATGCAATCATGTGGAAAATATTGTAAGTGATCCCGGGTGATCAATGAGTCAGCTGCCGAAACGTAGGCGAAGCGGCACAGCAGCACAGCAGCCGCAGCTCTTTCAGGTAGCCCGCTGCCAGGGGCCCTGTAACGGACCTTGTCTGATGTACTCAGGCACCCATCCCTATAAGAGAGACCCGCTTCGCAACCCATCCAGACATTCCCGCATTCTCACCAACATCTTCTACCACCGAATTCAGCTTTCCAAATTCATTGCAGCGGAGAGTCTTACAATTTCTGAGGGCAAGCCCATAAAATATATAGACATGGACCCTGCGAGAAGGATATCGCTCACGCCGGGGTCGCTGCGCTTGATCAGAGAAGATGTAATTCACTCTTGGTCATTTGCTTGAGGCTACATGTATCTATCACTGGAAGTTTTGCAGGCAGGAAACTTGCTCAATTTTGTTTCATGACTTAAGTCATAACACAGCTCGGTTCTCGGCATCTCTGCTCGTCATATTATTGAATGCTCGTCTTCTTGATTACCAAGGCTGAATACCGTCCTTGTTCACGACCTTGCCGACATCAGAGTCCCGTTCACCCTCCACCACCTGCTTGATCAGCCTGCCTCCCTGGCTTGGTTCACCCGCGCCCATCTTCTTCAACAAGTCCGGATTTCCTCCTAAGCCCGTTGCCAGGGCACCGGGGGAAATGCACCACACTTTGACTCCATCCGCTTTGAGTAGCCAGTGCCAGTTCTGCATGACCATGTTCAGCGCGGTTTTACTAGACCGGTATCCGGCCTGAAGAGTGAAGGGCTTGGGCCAGCCCGCAGGCGTTATAGTCCCTGGTTGGAACGGGAGTAGGCCAACGCTGTCGATGCCATTGAGAGTAGAGAGCCCACTGGTGATGAAGAGAAGGCGAGGATCGGAGGATTTGATGAGAAGAGGGGCAAAAACATGAGTTATGACGTGGGTTCCGGATGTGTTGACGTCGTATGACTTGTTGAGATTCTGGCGAATGGCTTTGATGTCCTCGGGGTTGTAGTTGTGAGGCCCAAAGTCATGGGAGGCGCCTGGATTTTGACAGTCAGTTTCATCCGCAGGTGGTGATGGCGGTGATGGCTGAATCGAAACTCACCAGCGTTGTTGACCAGTACATCAAGGAGCCCGTGCCTCTCCTTCACATTCTTGAAAGCGGCCAGGATTGACTCGTCATCGGCGACATCCACTTGAATGACTTCTAAAGAGCTTGCTGTGGACGGAAATTCCTTCGTGAGGTCGGCCAGCGCAGTTTCGCCTTTTTCGACAGACCTTGATCCGATAATGATGTGGTACGTCCTTTCGGATTGCAGCAGGGCCTTGACTGTCTCGTATCCGATGCCGGTGTTGGCACCGGTGATGAGCACGATACGCTTGGATGACATGGCTGATGTGATGAGTTGATTTAGTGATATGGTGAGATTGGTTACAGAACAATGAAAATTCTGCCTTGGATATGAGCTTTGCTATGAATATCCAAATATCAAAGCAGGGAGTCTGCAGCCCTTTTATTACCCCGCTGTGTGGAATGATGCTAGCCTGAGACGGCTTCAGCACTGGGTGTCGCGCCCGGAGTTAAGCTTGACGGAGGATTCTATACGATAGATGGCTAGATTGCGGCGGTTTCATGTGCTAGTGCTCACCAAGGACTCTTTGAACTCCTTCAACACCAGAATATATAAACACGAAGGCGCGAAGACGCAGATGCCAACGTCGACAGCCTTGAACTGCGTGCTCCGGGCCGGCGTGAGTGGATCTTGTTGTGTCCGGAGCCGGGAGGGTTCCGATCTGGGCATTTTTAACCCCGTTGGGGCCTAAGGGGGTTGTTTGATGAGGGGTCTCGATGACCACTAACAGAATCCCACGTCTAATGCTCAGAACTGCGATAACCTTCTCTCTTGGGAAGACACACTATTCCATGTCCCGCCTAAACCGGGCTTCTACGGGCCCCACCCCGACGGCAGATAAAAAGACTCGGTAAGCCGTCCCGAGAGCTGCCCAATGACGTGAGTCAGTGCTGAAGTCGCCTAATGTCCTTGGAGCTGTCTACGTCGAGGATCTGAAATCGAAATATCATTGCCGAAACCAACAAAAAAACTCCGGGATCTCGCTTGAATAACCCAGAAGAAAGAAACAACAAAACCTATACCCTCCTCTAAATATGGCACCGAAATCCGTTCTCCTTGTCGGCGCCAATGGCACGCTAGGCGCCAAAATCCTAGACTCCCTGGTCGCCGCCAAGTCGTTCAAGCTCAGCGCCTTGAAGCGCGCCGGCTCCAAGAGCACCATCGAGTACCCCGCCGACCAGGTGCAAGTCGTCGAGGTCGACGATGAACTCTCCTACGAAGGCCTCAAGAAGGCTTTCGCAGGTCAAGAAGCCGTCATCGTCAGCTTCCGCCTGCGCGACCTCGACCAGCACCTGCGCATCGCCGAGGCGGCATCCGCCGCTGGCGTGAAGCACTTCATGCCCGCCGACTTCGGCAGTATCGACGCCGATAACCCCCGCGCCCGGGAGCTCATCAAGCTCTACCGCTGGAAGCTCGCCGTCCGTCTGAAAGCGCAGGAACTGGCCGACAAGAACCCCAACTTTGCTTGGACGGGTATCGTCTGCGGGCACTTTTTCGACTGGGGTGTCAAGGAAGGCTTCTTGCACGCGTACCTGGACACGAAGAAGATTGACGTCATTGACGGCGGCGACATCAAGGCCTCTGTCGCGACGCTGCCGAGAGTCGGAGAGGCTGTTGTGCGCATCCTCAACCTGGGAGTCACCGAAGTGACGAAGAACAAGACGCTTTTCATCCAGAGCTTTTGCATCACGCAGAACGAGCTGCTTAAGAGTCTAGAGAAGGCAACGGGGTCAAAGTGGACAATCAATGAGGTCGAGTCTCAAAGTTTTATTGACAAACACAAGAAAAAGGCCGATGCCGGCGACGCTGAGGCGATTGAGGACCTCGTCTTTGCCGTTGGACAATTGGATGCAAACTGGACAAAACGCGACGACTTTGCTATGAAGGCTTTGGGGCTGGAAGATGAGGATTTGGATACTGTCATCGCAGATGTTGTCGCCAACCCAGCAGTCTGAAGAGTCACTCAAGGAACCTTTCCTGTTTACTTCCAAATTGGTACTGACTACGCATCATCAAAGGCTAGAACTGTGTCCCTTGCGCGCTAATTAGAACCCCGACTCCTCACCTCACCTGAACCCCGGTGTGGTCAACCCAGTGAAATGTGTGTGATTTGTGTGAAGTTCTGAAAATCAACATGCACCTCTTCTTTCACAATCTACCGACTGCATTCGGCAGATCCGTCATATCTTCTAGGAACACATCAAACTCAGACCGCACCTGTCCCATATCCTCATCTACGTCATCGGTCCATCGATGAACATAGATGGTCCTTAGCCCAACCTGCTGAGCCCCGCGTAAATCATACGCATGCGCTGCAACCAGCACCACTTCCTCAGGCTTCAGCTTGACGAGTTGCAACGCCTTTTCATAAGCAATGGGGTTGGGCTTGTAAACACCCAGCAGCTGACTGGAGAAGAGCATGTCGAAGCTCAACCCCGAAAACCGAACGAGGTCCAGCTGCAAGCGAGTGGTGCCATTGGCGTGCACAAACACTTCGAGGCCGAGATCTTTACGCAGGCTCTCAATGGCCTTTGCGACTTCGGGCCATGCAGGTTGCGAGTGCCACGCCTTGATCAGCCGAGCCTTGACGTCGGGACTGAAGTGGTCGGCATGGACGGGAGACTGTGTCAAAAGGTTGTCGAGAACCCGCGCAAACGTGATGTCAATGTCCTCGGGCTCGAGGCCTTGCGCATGTCGCTGTGCATTCTGGATGAAATATTGTCTGCGCCACTCGAGGGCGAACTTTGACGCTTCGTCCTTTGGAATGGCAGAGGGTAAGGATTCAACTACGCTGGCATGCCAGTTGAGGCAGGTGCCCATGAAGTCGAAGAAGACCGCCTTGATCTCTGTTGGTTGCTGAGACATGATGATCGATGTGATTTGGTAAAGGTATCTTTAGGGTCAAGAAACAAGCTATGGGCAGGAAAATAAACATTCCTTGGCAGGAGCTTTGATATATAAAGCCATTGAATTTTAGTCTTCTGGAGAATTAGAGATTAACTTCATTCAAAAGTTCCCATTAGTAATTCGACGCCGCCTTGTGAATATGAAAGGGCGTACTATAGCGCCACAATCCTTCGACTCGATGTACTGACCTGATTGGGCGCCGTCGCCATGATCACATAAGCCAAATATGATGACGTGATGCCTCTGATCAAGTCAAGTCGGACGCTGAAGAATGCAGAAACAACTGATTTCAGGTAGCTTTCAAATGGTTACAGATGGGTCACACGTGTAGCAAGCTTGACTTGCCTTGCTATTGATACCATCGTGCAATAGTTAGTATATATATCCAGCCATTGCATTCAACCCAGCAATTGGCCACACGTAAGAAACAAGGGGTTTTCTAGAGAAGTGATTCACCATTCAAATGCGAGCTTCGTCACGATCATCTTCTCAAGGCAATAGCATCAAGTGGTTTCATCGGAGCAATAGTAACCTTTTGCTTTGTTTATGCTGCAACCCATCATGGGCCTCTCCCACTCCCGACGAGCGATGTTGAACTCACCCGCATGAAACCGCCACTGAGGTAGGCAGGATTCACCACTGTGATACAGTCAACATCGTGGCTTATGCAACCCGTGAAAGTGACCCAGGAATGTTTCTAGACTGCTGGGGAAGTGCTGTGGATTTACTGTTGGAACTTCTTGAGACGCTACGCGCATAGAATTTGGGTATTTCTTCTGCCAGAATAAAAACGAGGCGTTGAAGAAATATTCCCCAAATCTAAATACATCATTGAGGTGTGAAAGGAAAGCTTGTAATTCACAGAATCCCATCATTAATACATCGACTGATTAGGGATTAAAAGGTAACACCAACTACCTCGCTGCGCATGTCGACTATCTCGGAGGAATGATGACGGAATTAGAGGCTTCAGACTGATACAAACCATCTTCAAATTCCATCGATAACGTTTTGCTGCCTTGTTCTGTACCAAGACTATATAATACTCAATAAGATCACTACTAGTTGACAACGTAAGAACGTAATCCTGAATATTTCTCTTCAAATTCAAAACGGTGCTCACTTTCTTCCGGGGAGAAACCAGTGGGCGCGGTCTGCAAATAATCTCCAGTTTTTACACATATTCGCAAGGAGACTTGATCCGGTGTTGCCGTCAGCTCTTTCGGAAATGCGTTTTGAGTCGTTGAGGTAGCATGAAATCTGCAGAAATGATTCAAGGATGAAAGTTTCACATTTGGACGTGTCAGTATACCATTCAACTACGCCTCTACGGTCAATTCACTGAAACATGAGAGCCTAGAAGCTTGTTCGTCCCAGGTTCGTCTCCTGTTTTATGCGAGCCGCCCAGAAATAATCCTCGGTATCGCTCAGTCAAGGCTATGCAAAAGACCATGAGGGCGAGACGTGCATAAGGAGTCCGTAAATTAAATCACTCATTATGGCTTACTTAGCTAGGTTTTGCGATTCCATGTGAGCGAACTGTCTTCCATGCATTTCGACCGTCTACGCATTTTCTTGTCGTGACATTGTCATCTTTACCTGCAGCCAGCACAAATTCTTAGTACGGATTTGCATACGAACGCGCCAATTCCTCGATTCTATAGGCCCGCTGTTTGGTGCAACCAATTTCTGCCGGCACTTATCAATCCCGAGCGGACTGCCTGAAGCCAAAGCCACAGTTGTGATAATGGACCTAAATGTTCCACGTTGGAAGGCTCTCAGTTATACATGACAAAGACGCTGTCTACGTCTTGCATATAACCTAGGTACTTCATCTGACTGGGCGCACTATGCAACTGTTTTGGCGCCACAATACAATACGGACAGCTCAGATAAACAAACCCTAGCCTGGAACTGTTAGACCAGTGATCCCAAGCTGCTAAGTGGCGGTAAACTGCGACCCGGACGGAGCAGCTTGCAAGAGGATCCTGCTTGGGGAAATCTGCATTGCCGGGGCGCACGTTAGTAGGCAGTTTCTCCGTCCACATGGTTGTTCTTGGCAATATCAAGCAGATAATGTGACCTTGTATTAAATGACTTGGCGGAATCCTGATTCAATATTAGCAACGCAAGTTGAATGCTCTATAATACCATACTGTCGGATTGGAAGCCCAATTCGACCTCGAGTCAGCGCCAGCGCAGGGGCCATCTGAGGGTCTCTATATCAGCGTTTGACCGGCGATCCAACCAACGGTTGGAACCACTCTTTTCCACTTCACGCAGAGATCAATACAAGAGTAATTGACCCTTCGTCACCACGGTTCGATCGAACAAATCACCCTGTGATTACGTGAACCAACACATACTGAAACGAGGGCCAGCGGCGGCAAACTGCCATTGAAGGGGAAATAGCTCTGGAGTCCTCCCTATTTCGCACCCGTTCCTTTGGCTTACCCCCTTAGCCATATCTCTGCGCCTTGATATCGCAGCAATTGACCGGGGAGTTGCGAGCATGATTGGATCGTATAGGTAATCTGCAGATTGTGATTTTCCCTCAACGTAAGATTCAGAGAGCATGTAGGATGCCGTTCGTGGATCTTCGAGGAGTTAAAATCATCCACGACAGGTCGGTCAATGGAGGATGCATAATTACTTAATATTATTCGTTCGCATTGGCTCGGAATCCCCGATAATGAATAAAAAAAAGATACTATTTGAAACGTGCAAGTGGTGCAAGATTATAACCTGCTGTTTCATATTAAGAGACAATCTTATTCCCACAACCTTAACCAAGCAAGGATATCAAATTCAGATAACAATTGGCAATTATTGCTCCAAACAGCTTGTGGTCAAAAGCTTTCAGTCATTATGTGCTTCCCCAAGGTTTGCATCGTGGCTTTGCTGGCGGCTGTACCCAGCACCCTCGCCTTTCTCGGATACGAGGGCGGTGTTCCCGTTGCAACTTACACCAAGACCAACGGCAATTACATCGAGGTCCCCATGGCCACTGTTTACGACGGTGGCTGGGCCAGATTCGACCATGGCTCTAGTTCTTGCAGTAGTTGCGATTGAGGTAAGCTATCCACAGAAAGCATCTGACAAGCCCTGGTCTTGGACTGACAAAACCGGATAGGTGATGCCGCTGCTGTCTTCCTTCCCAGCCGTCATGCAACTCTAAAGAATGCTACCATTGGTAAAAACCAGAAGGAGGGTCTTCACTGCGGTGGCTCTTGTACTCTCGAGTTTGTGTGGTTTGAAGATGTCTGCGAGGATGCCATCACTCGTGTGAGTAACCAACCAAACGGTAAACCTTCTGCTTAAGCACATAGTTGGCACCCAATGCAGAAGAACGACAAGGCTGGCGACCATACCTGAAAAATTGGTGGCGGTAAATACAAGGCCAGCGATCCGGGTTATCCTGAAGTAGTACTTTCTTCGATTCCTAGAAGCACGTTGCTGATGCTAGGTCAACGTCTATCGCTCTTGCGTCAACGTAAGTCCTTTGTTGCCTAGTCCCATGAGCTACGATATTGATCATGCTGACCTTATACTAACCAAATAAGTGCAGCCGTCAGTTCGAACGCAATATCTTAGAAGGTACGCAATGTCTACGTCGAGGGTGTTACCGCCTACAACGGCAGCGGAGTAGTTGGCATCAACACCAACTACGGCGGCATCGCCATCATCAAGAACGTCTGGACCGATGCCAAGGTCATGTGACAGATGTACAATGGCTGCGCCGGTGGCTGCGAGCCAAAAGTCAGTGATTGCTCTGGACAAGACGCCTCCTCAACGAGCCGAACGGCATTGCCGACAGCCCACACGGGTCTGTCGAGCACACAAATAGCCCCGGACTGTATCATATTCTCAATTTCGGTCTCCAAGCTAGATTTTCTTGCCTATAGTTTCACACTGCGGCCTTTGATCGCTGCGCGCACACAATTAGCTGGATGTTGAATGATGAACGGCCATGTTATCTGCATGTACATTGATCCAACAGGATTTGAACCTTCAAGAACTCAAAATGTGTGTATGTTTTCCTTCGTGTGGCTGTCCCAAAGTCTTAATACCCGGTATCAGATGTCCTGTCTCGACGCGAGCAAGTCCATACCTTGCCCATGTGCCTTACCGTGTAAGACGTCGTCGCCAACAATGCAGAAGATTGGCCGTATAGGACTGTCTGATGGTATCCATATTTTAACTAGCTACTTTCATGTTTGCGCACAAATATTGGTGCTTTTGACCTCTTGTTCCAAGTCTCCCAATTCACTCCTTTAAAAAAAAAAGTTGCTATTGGCTTGCCATAAGCTTGATCCAGCCATCTAACCCCGATAAACTATTTCTAATCCTAATCGGCGTTGGTACAGAGTATCATAAGGATATCATTTGTGCTAACACGTCTCTCAAATCACGTTTATGAGTGCCGTAGTCACAAACTTGGCGCAGCTCTCCAATTTGAGGCGGACATCATGTGGCAGTCTAACAGCAGCATTGGGCCTTTAGAACTTCCTTATATTTGGCGCAATTTTTATTTTTGAGCATGCTGACATAGATTCGGCGTGATGAACAATATGCTTCGGGCTTCGCCTGGTGCGTTGGACCACGTGTAGGCCGAGGGTTCGTGCCAGCCGTTCGCTGGAGCAAAGTCTATTTGCTTTTAAGTTTTCAAGATATGTGGAATGGTGAATATGATTTGAGGCTTTCGCTTGTTGCCGAACGACAAGACTAATGGAACTCTATGTCCAGAGCCTCACTGACCACATCACTAAAAAGCAATGGTGCAGCCGCATGCCCAGCACCCTTCAATCAGCAAGTGGAGTCGCCAAACTGACAATATAGGTGGCGGGTAAAATTCCACGCAAGTCATCATTTATTTTTATTTTTATTTTACATCAAGGGAAACTACCGAGCGATCACGCTCATCAACCTCATCATCGGCGAAACCCAGGAAGCCATCAGCAGCTTTGATGGACTAAATCTACCTTATTTCCATACTGAAATCACTCTTTTCAACTCAACTGAATCCTCCGATATTGCCGCTTTCATCACGACGAATCAAGCCACCCAGACGCAAAAGCCCCAATGCTCTACCAGGCTTAGCACTTTGATTGAAAGCCTGAAGACTTTGATCCATTCGAAGAAAAGCAGTTCAATTGAGAAGCTTGAGCAACAATTTCAACACGATGATGATTTCGAACTATGCGATGGTGAAGTTATGAGACACTGGTGATGGAGGCGGCGGCGGCGGTGGCGGCGGCGGTGGCGGCGTTTGACGCCATTGCGACTAGTCAACGTGTCCCAGGAGTTGGAAATGAAGACTCAACATGTTTTATAAAGGCGAGCTCAAATCATTAGGCTACTCAGTGCAAGCGCGTGTGAGAGTTACCTGACCTCACCTCAGGAAATGAGAGGACCACACCGAGTCATAGGTAAGTTCGAATGTCCCTGGGAAGTTGTCGCCGAGTTGATTCTCTTTTGCCTCTTTTCCCAGCTAGTAAGCGTCTACTATACATGGTGAGACTTCCTGGCAAGGCCAAGACATTCTTGAAACTCACTTGCGGTTTGGTCTAAGGTAATGAATGATACCATCGCCCCAGCTTCGGTCCGAGCGTTGCTGGTGACAGAATGTATTAGTCAAGGGGTTTAGATGAGTTGCGGGGCAGTCGCTTGCCCAAATGTTAACAACGGGCGCATTTTGATTCGAGCGCGTGGTCAGCCTAGCTCGGCACATCATTTCCGCGATCTCACGAACAGCTTCCGCCCCCCCTGCTCAAACTACCCAGCCCTTGCCCACTGCACTGCCAACTTTCTTCCCCCCGCGGAGTGCCGGTTCAAAAGTTTCTTTTAAGGCTGCTCAGAAAATCATGCTATCGGCAAGGATAGAGGCCTCCAAATACATTCTCTTATCATTAATCAGGCTCATAAAGGGCTGACGTACGAAAGAGACTATTTTTAGGGGATACTCTAATCTATCTTTTGAGTATAAAATAGACTCATATACTGGTGAGGTTGACTAGATGATAATCCCTGCAATATCTTGGCAGTCTAACAAAACCTTTTGAACGGCACCTCCGTAACCACCAGACTACTGCTGGTAATACGAGATATTCAAGTGCACCTTGACTGTGACAACTATGCCAGATTTGGAGCCAAGAAATGGGCACATCTTCGCCCGACGTCATGCCTGCAACAACTTCCAGTCCGGGTCGCTTTCAGACAACATGTTGAGTCAATGCCAAGATTGATAAGTCTGTAGTCACGGAGCTTAACCTGACTGCCTCCCACTTCTGTCCAGTCACCTGAGCACCGTCGAGCAACCCGACTCGGGCGCATCGTCTCTAGACTCCTAGTCTCCTCGCCGGCTGCGACTTCCCCGCAATCTAGCCATCAACAGCCGGGATGCGCATCATCACCGGAGATTATGGGGTATACACTAGATTGTGGAGAAACAACGCTCTTCGGGGGTAGCTAATGAGACTACCGCAAGTTTCCGTTGGGCTTCGGTGTAACCGTTCCACCAAGCTTTGCCTTTACTGCTGCGCCTGCTCCTCAAAGCCAACTCCCAATTTATCCGTTGCTAGCATGAGGCTTGCGCAGGAGCAAGAGGAAATGAGAGATCATTGGGCTATTTGTGGGCGCAATTTTCATTAGAGTGTTACCCAAGCCGGCCGGTCGAAGTCTCGGACGGTCCGTCTTGTTCTTGCCGAGCGATGTGGAAGATCATCCCGCACCTGCGTATGTCGGGGCCGGACGACAGGAACGCTGCATTTATAAAGCCAGATGGAGATCCTGTGATACAAACTCCGACTTGATATCTGAGGTGACGACCTGTGGCTCCCTGAGCAATCCCAGCCATGCAATCGCTTCACTTCTGGCTCGCCTCCGCACTCGCCCTCGCGGCGACTGTGGAAGGCCAAAACAACAATTCCTCAAAGGTTGAAGCGGCCCTCGCCGCCATCACCGTCACCAATCTCGCCGATGTTCGTGGCAACCTGCACCTACCTTCCACCAGTGACGGCCTCAATGTCACCTGGGCAAGCAACTCTTCTTCGGTTATCTCAAGCAGTGGTGTTGTCGTCAGACAGGCCGAAGATACCAAGGTAGCGCTTACCGCTTCCATCGACTACGAAGGCAGCTCTCATACTCGAGAACTAGTCGCTTCCGTCCGCAAAGCTGTGGTCCTTGACCCATTTGCAGGTTATGCCTTCTCTTATTTCACTGGAAACTCCATTGCTGGAGAGAAGATCTACTTCGCTGCTAGCAAAGGCAACGATGCCCTGCAATGGACCGAGCTCAATGGAGGTCAGCCCGTCTTGACATCTACGTACGGCACCAAAGGACTCCGTGATCCCTTCCTCATCAGATCACCAGAGGGAGACACTTTCTACCTTATCGCGACCGATCTCTCCATCGGCTCAGGCACGTCATGGAGCGATTCAGTGCGCTTCGGAAGTCGTTACCTCGAGGTTTGGGAATCCCACGATCTCAAGACCTGGTCAGCACAGCGACACGTCTTGATATCTCCTCCTGAAGCAGGAAACACATGGGCCCCCGAAGCATACTACGATGACGACCTCGGCGTCTATCTGGTATTCTGGGCATCATCTCTCTACAAGGACAGTGATGTGAATCGTACTGAAAGTACCTACCATCGCATGCTTTACGCAACCACCCGCGACTTCGTGACCTTCAGCGAGACCTCTGTCTGGCAGGACGCTGGCATGTCAAGAATTGACTCGACTGTCATCAAGTCGTCCGATACCTATTACCGCTTCACAAAGGACGAAGGCGCCAGCGGCACTGGATGCAGTGACATCATCCAAGAGAGCTCGAAATCGCTTCTCGCTACCCTGGATTCGTGGACCATCATAGACTCTTGCATCGGCAAGAAGGCTGGTACCAGCGCCGTCGAAGGCCCGACTGCATTTAAAGCGAACCCGGACGATGTCCACGGCGAGAAGTTCTACCTCTTCGTCGACGAGTACGGTGGCCGCGGCTACATCCCCCTCGAAACTGCCGACATTGGTAAACCTAACTGGGTAGTATCGTCTTCTTACAGCCTTCCGGCCAGCCCGCGTCACGGAACTGTCATTCCCGTCACTGCTGCTGAGCTTGCGTCCTTGACGGAAGCTTCGACCACGCGCCGAGCAGTCAACGCTGACGGCGAAATCCTCCGCTACGACTTCTCATCTGTTGACGGCACCCAGCTACAAGATGCTTCCGGAAACGGCAACCACGCTGTGATCAATGGTGGTGCTACTGTCGTGGACGGTGTTCTCACCTTTGACGGTTCCAATGACTTTGTCCAGCTTCCCAACAACATCTTGTCTGGCGTCGAGGACGTCTCCATCGAAGCTCAGGTTCTCCTCGATGCTTCTCAGGCAACCCCCTACTTTATCTACGGAATTGGCAACACTGCTGCTAATGGTAATGGTGATGGATATCTCTTCACGTCCGGAAGCCCTTACAGAGCCAGCATCACTACTAGCGACTGGACAGGGGAGCAGACGGCAGCTTCCAGCTCCTCTCTGCCCTCAGGGTCTTGGCTGCATCTTGTCTACACTATCACGGGTCGTACCTCTATTATTTACCTCAACGGTTTTGAGGTGGCTAGGAACGAAGACGTCAGTATCGATCCTAAAAGCATCGGTAATGGTGTCACGACTGCAAACTATATTGGCAAGTCTGTCTACTCTAGCGACAAGCTTTTCAAGGGCCAGATTCGCGAGTTTGCCATTTTCAACAGGTCCTTGACCGCTGCTGAAGTTCTCTCTCGCTCTGGAAACGTTGGCGCTATCACGGAAGTGTCTCTTTCCGATGCCTCACTCTTGAAGGTCCCCGTCATCATTAACACCACCGACCACAAAGTCTTGTTCCCCGTCAAGCCGGGCACCAACCTCGCCTCTCTCGCCCCTGTCTTCACCACTGCCAAGGGCGTGACCTCATCTCCTGCATCTGGCTCAACTGTCAATCTGAACACTCCAGTCAAGTATGTGTTGTCTAACGGCAGTAAGGTCGTCGCAGAATGGAACATTAGCGCCGTGGATATGGGCAGCCCTGTCCTGCCCGGCCTTTACGCTGACCCCAACGTTGCCGTTTACAACGGCGTCTACTATATCTATGCCACCACCGATGGAGTTCCCGGCTGGGGTGGAAACACGTTCTACTTCTGGAAGTCTACCGATCTCGTTCAATGGACCCGCAGTCAGGAGCCCTTCCTCACTCTTGACGGAGCGAACGGCAACGTCCCGTGGGCGACCGGCAATGCTTGGGCTCCCACCATAACCGAGCGCAATGGAACATACTACTTCTACTTCAGCGGCCAAAACGCAGCTCTGAACACCAAGACAATCGGCGTTGCGGTGGCTAAATCTCCCGAGGGACCTTTCACTGCTCAGCCGGAGGCTATGATCCTCAATAATGAGGCCGTCACCGCAGGACAAGCTATTGATCCGGCGGCTTTCCATGACCCAGTCTCTGGTAAATACTACCTCTACTGGGGTAACGGTAACCCTCTTGTGGCAGAGTTGAACGACGACCTGATTTCTGTCAACTGGGGCACGGCGCAACGTATGACCGGCCTGGTCGACTTCCGAGAAGGTCTTTTCATGGTCTATCGCAAAGGGCTCTACCATCTCACGTACTCCATCGACGATACTGGATCCGAGGACTACCGGGTGGGGTATGCTAGTTCCAAGACTTTCAACGGCCCTTGGACATACCACGGCGTTATTTTGCAGAAGGATCCGTCCCAAGGCATCCTTGGTACTGGCCACAACTCCATGTTCAACGTCCCAGGCACAGACGATTGGTACATTGTCTACCACCGCTTCGCTATCCCTGATGGCGGTGGTTACAGACGCGAGACAACTGTTGATCACGTATACTTCAACTCTGATACGGGATTGATTATTCCGGTTGTCCCTACTTTGACAAGCGTTAAACCTCAAACTGTTCCTCAAAAGGTCCGGCGCAGTTCGCGAGCGATTCGTTTTTGATTGACGAGGCATCATGATTCATGGGGGAAATGAGCGTAACTTTTACATTGGAAAACAGCTGTAGATAATTGTAGTCTACTATTAACTCAAACAGATATGATGAAAACTTTTTGGAGACTTCGTTTTTCGTTGAGTCCTCTTGTGCCTACACGATGGAAAAGCTTGTCGAGCTTGATTACTTTCGTGCCATTTTAATACCAAAATGCGCAGTCTGTATGCACCGATATAGGTGGAATGCCTTCCAGTCTTCATACACTGATGTCTCATTCCCATACCTCCATTCCATAAGCTAGTCTCTTAGACGGCTGACGTACACTTTGGCGTTTCAGTAGCATACTCGTAGAAGGTGCCACAGCCACCAGGGCACTCTGCGCTGCAAGGGAAGTTTAGGGAAACGGTGGGGGCTTCAGTTGGACAGTAACAAAGCTGAGAAATTGTCGACATTTGCACACACATGGGCCGTATGCAGGTCGCGCATATTGTTCCGGTTGTATAGACTGTAGGGCATGCCTCGAGGCCAACAGGAGTTGGCGGAATGGTTGGGACAGTCTGGGTCAGAAAAGTATCGCTTTCACAGGTCGGAGTTGCAGTCTCGTAGATATATGAGGTTCCCATACAACCAGTCGGTCCCTTTCCTCCACAAGGATAGTCGACTGATTTCGTCGGAACTGTCGATGGACATCCGCAGCGGCTGGAGATGGTTGACATGGCAAAACATGCTAGTTGGACGAATGTGGGACAAACGGTTCCAGTCGACGTCACCGTTGGGCAAAAGACCGGGTTGACTTGAGCTTCAGCTGTGGCAAGTCTGACTGTTCGTTAGCTAAGCTTTGATTATTGTTAGATATTTTGTTGTTCTCACACTGCCATCGCGATGATTACAACGCGTTTCGAAAAGGCTACCATGGTAGCTGTTGGTCCTAGGTAGAGGTTTGTAGCTTGTACTGAGTTCCTGCACAGAGAAGATGTCGCTGTCACTGTCAACAAGAAGATACCCTTCCTTTAAATACTGTTAGGTTTAGTGCCAAGTTGACTGTCTGACATTACACGTGGACATTCTGTCGTATCATGCTGCCGAGACATGCCACAAGTTCATAACGTATTCAAGGTCCACAAAGCCCGTTGCAGCTTGGCTCATTCGGCAGAATTGAACAGCAGTACATTGATACCAAGAATTCGTGTTATTGTTATCCGGCAAAAGTTCCGGCGAAGCTTCCCCGGAGCCTGCAACCAGACAACCTTTTCGGCGGATACGAATTGTCGATGTCCTTGGCCATCACCGCCATGTTGTTTTCAGCATCTGCCCTCACATACCACGCCGATGATCTTTACCATCTGATCATCGATAGGGCAGTTTGTCTCACAGAGAAAAGCCACCTTCATAGGTAGCTACCCCGCAAATGATCATCTCCCAGAGCGGGCCGTTGCTGTTAGCGACAGTCCAAATATAGAGCGTGCGCCATATGTCACAGGAACACACGCAGCCTCGAGTATTTTGGCTGTGTTTGCACACCTATCTACATGTATCCACCATGTAATGGCATAGTTTCAAGCAAGAGTTTTGAAGTATTCCAGAAAATGTTGAACACCCACGTGGACACCTTGGGGAAGAGTGAAACGGATCGTGAAAATCGACGTTTTCCATGCAAGGGTTTTCAGCAGCAGCTCCGCCAGGATCAGCGTGCATGGGAAGAATTGTTTTGAGTTTTCAATCCTGGAGATTCCAGAGTCCGGCTTGGTAAAGTAGAACAACGGTAGAGACGCATATGGAGCGTGATCAGCGGTGGCCCCCCTTCGTTCACCAATGCAGTCTGTGGCACGTTCGCTTCGGGGAGGGATGAACTCAGCTGAACCTTGACATTTATCTCAGTGGCTGTGGTCGGGAGTAACGTCACAACTTCCGGTTGTGAGTCTAAGACATTCAGATCTTACGAATCCCGGGTCAAATGGTTCATCAAGTGATCAGCACTTGATTTTCCGAGCAGCTTAACGCTGACGGCTGATCCTGAAATGAGGCTTTCACGCCTGTCCTACTTTTGTGATGGTCTCAGACGCACGAGTTCTAGTTTGCGTGATGTCTAGTGACTTGGCCCGCTCGCAAACAAGGCAATGTGGCTTCACACCACATGTGTGACCTCAATTTTAGACTTTAGTCTATGTAGTTGACGACAGGACTTCTTGTTCGAGCTAAACTTGGAAACTGTTTCCTATTTTAAACGACTGCCCGGCTTCGGAACTAGCGAACGCTGCCGCATCCATTCGGAACGGTTCGATAGCCGTCGGCTGTGTCCAGGGCGCTAGCCGGAATGAGTGTATCCGATTGTCGCGTATCTCGTACGAGGCGAAGAATACAAATGATATCGGCTCATTTTTTCTGAAGGGGTGGATCAAATTGTCTAGCGTATCTTCGAAGGGCATGAAACACGCGTCCAGTTCAGCCAGGATGTATTCGCCAGTCTTCAATGCATGAATAGGTTGCAACTCTTCCTTGACGCCCCCAATGACGAACATTGTCATGATTTGATCCTTTCCACACAATTTCAACTTGCCGAGTTGGAACAAGCAGTAGAATCATGACTTGGCACTTTCATCGGGGCTATTATACGCCTTCGGGTAGTCTTGGAAACGCATTTGCGAAAAAGTTGAGCAAGCGGTCAAGGAATATTTCGAGAGGTACGGTCTCAACGATGATGAAGGTTAGAGTGTTTAGCTAGTGTTTGAGTGTTTTCATCTAGTTGTCTAGGCAAACAAGATGAGCTATTCTTGTCCGGTGTAGTATGTGGACGGTATGATCGATTGCTGGGTATCTCTGTGCCTCGCCTGCATAACACTCGGTGTCCCCGGGAAAATCAACGAAAGTCGTCGAAGGCCTCTTTCATATATCATTGGGAAGAACGTGTGGTCGCACCTCGGAGTTTAAGTGGTTGAAAGCTGACCGCTTAGGCGATGCTTGGCTCTAATATCTCCTATGGCCTCGGTTGGGCTGGTCATATGAGCTGTTAGTCTTAGAGAAGGTTCGTTTATCCGACTGCTTGGTTCAAGCTGTTAAATTCAATTACGTCAGGGCTTATGTAGCGGGATTTTTCGAGCCATGAGATTTGGCTGCTTGTGAGGCCAGCGTCGGGAAGCGCTACAGACGGGTTGGGACCTGCGGAAGCATACCCAAACTACTCATATACGGTTCCTAGCCAGCACCAGTCAGACGAAAGAAGTTTCGGCTGTGACAATACCGTATTACGCCATATTCGAAATGTAGTATATACAATCTCCTTGCCTCAGGGTGCAACTGACAGCATATTTCACATCGAACATGTAGCTTACCTTAGGTATGTAGTCTGTCTGGTCTAGGTAGTTGTTGGTATCCATAGGTAAACAACAGTGGGAACTAAGATGATACCAGCGAATTTCTAGAAAGGGTACACTTTTCGCTCTTGTTACAAAATGAAGTCATCTCCTTGCCGGCTCCTTCTTTTTCTCGCACATAAATCTATCGTCGCAAATGCTGCAGGATTATGGCCTTTACTGTGAATCAAGAGCCTACTGCCGGATGTTTCTCAGTACCAAAGGCTCCCAGCAGAGAATAGGCGGATGATTCAACCTCCACTAGCGTCAACCTTGGTGACAAGTTCTCTGCTATTGCGGTAAGGTGGGAAAGCCAGATGCGCTCGTCGCAATTGTAAAATGGTGGAGTTCCAAAGAATGGTGTGCCATCTGCTACTAGGATAGGAGATAACACCAGAATTTGTCAATGAAAGCGAGCTCTTCTGGGACAAAACGTAGCCCCTGGTGGATTCCCTATTCTGGATGTCGCGAGAAGATTCCATGCCGGCAGTTGGGCTCGGGTAAGTCGGGGCCTCGAACGTGGGGAGGCGGCCCCGGCATCCCGGCAAACCAAACCGGCCCCACGTCCGATATGTAGCGACTCATTGGCCGTGCTCTCGTTACAAGTAAATTGCTCAGTGCCGAATCGCCGAAGCGGGCTCGCCAATGTGACCAGTTCTCGCGACTAGTAGCGCATGACCGATCCGAAATGGTGAGTTTTTTTTTTGGCTTGGTGCCTCAGTGCCGAGCGAAGCCGGGTGCCTTGAAGCCAACATTATTGCCACGGGCGCCGTCGGCACCTTTTCGTCGCCTGTTGCCACAATCGTCCAGGTTGGAAGAGGGGCAGTGTCTCATCCGCTTCGGGGGTATGAAGACGATTGGACAGCACTAGGGGACGGGGACGCAGCGGGAATTAATGAAATAGGCTACCATCCCGCTCTGGGGCATCGGAGCCACAAAACCTGTCTACTACAGCACGTAATCTTTTGTCCGGCCCGGGGCCGAGTTAGCCGTCGGCGTCGGCCGGGGTGGACCCGTTGACCCCGCGATAGAAGAAGTTAGGGGCAGATCGCAGTCAATCTCGATGGCCTTCCACTACTTTACCTTACCTTAATGTGTACCTTAGCTCTGGCCAGTTTTGAGGGGCCGCAAGCCTAGATTTAGAGTTATCGTACGTACATACCTAGGTTCTTTATCGAGTAATCCACCCTTTCCAGCAGTATTCGGATAGCCCCTATTCACCAACACTCACTGCCTCACTTGGCTGTGTAAATGAGGCGAAGGAAAAGGCTGGTCGTGTTCGGGGAGCTGGGCACACACGTACTCGTGCGGTAGATGCGCACTCGATCCATAGCATTCTCAGGATTTATGCTGTGCGGACCCTCGCTCGCCACAGCAAATGTCGAGTCGGGCGTTGCTGTTTCACTCAGCCCAAAGTGAAAAAGTCTGCCCCCACCGTCGCACGGCGACCCCCCCCCCCGCCCCCCCCCCCGCGCGGCCCCCCGCCGCCCGCGCCGCGCGCCCCCCCCCCCCACCAAAAGTGGGGGGCGGGGGGTCGGGTTTCCCCCACCCCAAAAGAAAAAAACTTCCCCCCCCCGTTAAAAAATTCCCCCCCCCCCCCCCCCCCCGAACAGAGCTGGTCGGTGCGCTGCTCGCGCGGCTTCGGTGTCGATGCGAGGACCGATGTTTGGACGAGAAAGTCAACGGTCGTGCGAGGTTAGACTTGGACTGCGAGACCAGTTTGTTCGGCGAGTGCGGGCTGCTTCTCCCGACCTTTTCCCCTCAAAAGACTTGGGAGTCGGGTAGGAAGTCCGAGAATTGCAAAAACAGGAGTCTACTCGCCACGAGTCAACACCAGAGACTCCCGAAAGAGACGCTTTGATGTCACCCAGCGAAACATTCTGCACACAAATTCAAATCCAATGCAGGCAGACACTCTCTTCGTCTCTGACCAACAAGTCCCAGGTGGCCGCAGGGTCTGTATGTAGTCTGACTGGTTCTATCCGTACGAGGCCAGCGGGATTTCTATGGAATCCCCCTTCTGTTCCAAGGATCCCTTGTGCCGTCTCAGCCTGCCAGTTGATTCGCCATAGTTTTGGATTTACGGCACCATCCCTGTGTCTCATCCGTGGAACTGGACTTCGCTCTCTCAGGCGAACTTCCATTGCAGTCAGATGATGCGCGACAAGGGTGCGTGGTTGAGACCTCTCCTCCCCCTCCCCTCCCCCTCTCCACTGACATGATACCGGTGCCCAGATGCACATGGGCATTGGTTCGTGCTCCCAACTTCGGATGTGCGTGGACTGATCGCTCATGGGAATTAAGATGGCATGCAAATCAGCTATATAGTTCAGATCAAAGAACTTGTTGCCCAAAGTGGTTGGACTGTTCTCTTCCCACCCCTTGCACGTCCACCGGCGCTCTGCTTCATTCTCTTTGGTTGGTCTGTCACTGTACCGTTTCACACGACCTGGTTAAACCACCAGCAGCTCGGTGTCGACATCCCACACTCCCTCACCACTGACTTCTGCAACCTCTATTCTGCTGCGAATACTCTCAGTTTCTGTTCTCTCGCAGTCGACAGTCGTTTCAACACGCAAATTCCGAACAAATTTCGTGAAGTTACAACACATCACACCTCACATCGAGATCACAAAAAGGATGCGTTGCTCGCTCGTCTTCCTCGCCCTATCAGGCGGTGCATCAGCTCTGGTACGTTTTTCCGTCACCACACCGATTCTGACACACACAAAACGGCTCCAATGCTCACATAACGTGACAAAAGCCTACCCTCAATGGCCTCACGGCCCGTCAACCCGTCGATCTAGCTAGCCGCCGCGACGTCGAATTCAAGGGCGCAGCCGCACCTGCGCTGCTCGACGACATGAGTCTCTCGCGCGTCGAGACAGTGACAGCACGTGATGAGGAGGAAAGCGCAGCCACAACGAAGAGGAGTAGGGTGGAGGCGGTAGAGCCGAGACAAGCGAAGAAGACGGGGAGCAAGACGGGGAGCACAACCGGGAGCACAACCGGGAGCAAAACCGGGAGCAAAACCGGGAGCAAAACGCCGAAAAAGGGCGACCCGCGCGTGGCAGCGATCGGTGATAAGAAGATCAACCCGGTGACCGGGTTGACGGACTCGGAGGCGGCAGAAATTGTCATCGAAATCAATATGAAGGACAAGAAGGCGCCCGGCTCGCTGGACTCGAAGGGCAAGCGGATCCCGCTGCCGGGGCTAAACGCGGACGAGACGGACGCTATTGTGAAGCAGGGACAGGCGGCTCTCAAGGAAGCTGGCGCATAGGGTAGTTGTGGGCGAGGTTCTCGCACGAGAGATGAATCATGAAACAAATCCTCCTACTCACCAGACTATTCATCGGTATTCCGTGACTGAATGGATTCAAGTTTCAACTAACACCAGCTTCACGCCCACCACCTCCAAAAATGCCGAACAGTCTCCTTACCGAAAGGTCTCCCATGCCTTGTACCCGGAAATCCCTCGTAAATGTCTTTCGTGCCGAGTCAGTCTCCCGCTCTAAGTTCCAAATTCGTTAAGCTTTCATTTACTCGGTGATGCCGCCCGCCGGCCCCACTGTCACGGACCTGCCGCTGCCCGGTTCGGAAGTCTACCGGCCCAATGTGAGTGGAATATGGGCCCAGTCCGAGGTTCACATGCCGACGCACCGCGGTGAACGCGCACCTGGTTCTCGCCGAGTTTCCCACAGTCGGTTCTCCCACCTCAGTGATGACCATCTTCCGAGCCAAGCCCCCAACATGCCAAGCTGGATTCACCGAGTCCAACATGTCCGTCCCGCGGGTGTTTTCTCCCCTCTCGATCGGCAAACCGACATGTACCTTGGCACACATACTCGGAAATGACGCCAAATTTGATCCGCAAACTCCTTGGTTCGATTGCTGGCATTGATGCCAGACGTTCATTCCACAATCAAATCAGTCCGATATTAGTAGAGGAAGCCGTGAACTTGGGTCATTAGGGATTCATCGCGAGCCGTAATCATTCCATTATTCTTTTGGGCGCTGAAAGGTTGAACGGAGACTCATACATAATGATTTTGAGTTAGCCGTACTTGGCATGTTGCACTCCAAGCGCAGTCGTTCACCAAGTACGCTATTCTATCATTAAGGCACGCTATAAGCGTAAAGCAACAACACCTCTTGGCTCAGTCATCGAGGCAAGCTTTCTCATGAGGAAGCTGCCGTCATGATGCTGATCTGATGCCATCTACACAACATTCAGCGATGCCTCCATATGTCTAGTTCAACATTATTTCAAGACCCTTTACGGGCTTCGCCTGCACCCACTTGTCCCGTAGCTCTGACTTCCACTCCTCCAGCCTGCGTACCTCTCCATCAACCAGAATCTCACTCGCCTGAAGGTCTCTTGACAAGGGCGGAACGATGAGCCAGTCATGGCTAGGCTTGCACACCGAGGTATGACCTGGCTTGAAGTTCTGGCTCTTGATGACGTCTAAGCAGGGCAGGCAGAATTTCAAGTCGATGCAGTACCAGCACACTGCAAACTGGTTGGATGGCTCGAACCTCTTAAGACAGTGGTCGCAAGATATATCGTTGCCTTCCGAGAACATATTGGTCAGGAAGATCTGCTTGCTGCGTCTTCTGGGTGACAGACCGCCGTTCCTGGGTGAGTTCGATTGTCTTCGGTTAGTAGTCAAGCGCCCAGAAAAGTTAGCAGGCAGCGACGGGGGTCTTGTAGACTGCCATATAGCTCGGGCATTGACTTCATCTCCAGCGGCAATCAGAGACCGCCGAAGGTGGCGGATGCTGATTTCGTCATTTTGAGGCTCGTCGTCCTCTAAAAGCTTGAGACTCTCAGAGACCAGGCCTTGGACAAGCTGCCGTGATTCCTTAACTCTGTTGCGCAGACGGTATGCCAGGATCAGGAAGATGGATGCCTCGTTTGAGTCAAAACCAGCCATGCGCAGGGGGACATCCTTGTTCTGGTATTTTCGTTGCTGCTGCATGAGCTTTTCCAATTTCTTGACCCAAAACTCGACGACTCCGGATTGCAACGTCTGGTCAGCATCTTGCGCTTTTAGAAAGTATGCCCTGGCAAGCTGTTTGAATGAAGCAATGTACTCAACCCGGACAGACAGGCTTCCTCTTGCTTTGTACTCGACCAAGCAAACTTTTTCTAGCATGGTAATGACATTATCGTAGTCTTGCGCGGCCATAAGGATGTTGCTGTGTGCATTCTGCAGATAGATTTCTTTCCAGGAATCCTGGGCCTCGTGCGCGGATTCCATGGCAATGCGATAGCGTCCTGCCAACTTGGAAACAGCTGTCTTTCCTGTCCGAGCTGCCGCTTGGGGAAACCAGTCCTTGATGGACTGATCAGGGATCTGAGTCAAGAGGAAATGCACAAAACAAGAGTTTCCTTTGTCCGTATATCGGCAGTCCATCTCATCGAAGAGGCTCATCATCTCTTGAAAGCGGTTATTCTCGGTAAGAACCCCTATGTAGGCGATTTCGGGTTCAAATTCGGGGGCGTAATAGACGTTCTCCATTGCCTTGCGGCAATACTGGATCGATTCGTCAATGTCACCCATGCGGTTGTAGCACTCTGCAATCTGAGCTTGGTTTTTGTAAAGTCTCCATTTGGCAGCCTTGACCTCGTGGTCGGTCTTATAATAGCCCTCTGCCATACGCGTTTTCTCCAACGATTCGCACTCCTGATGAAGCGGCAGAGCTTTTTTGTAGTTGCCATTCATAGCGTGACACAAGCCCATCCGGCCGTAGCTTTCTGCCGTGTTGGAGTCTTTTTTGAAAGCCTCTTCGAAATACTCCAGCGCTTTGGTGTGTTCTCCCAAGTTCAAGAGAGTACTGCCGATTCTCCGGAGCCAATGTCCCGTTGGGGGTTGACTCGCCCAAGCGGCGGCCTGCTCGATCCTCATTTCCAGCGGCACGTCCTGCCAGTGATAGTCGGAATCGGACCACTTCCCGCCCCTCTCCAACAGCGGCAGTGACTGGACGACACCGAAACAGAACAAGGTTGGCATATACACTTCAAATTCTTCGAGGAGCCAAGCCTTGGCGAACGTTCTCCCCATAGGTTCGAGCAATTTCGCAGGGTTGTCTGACGCCGATTCAGTCCACTTCTTTTGCTCTGGAGTGAGAGCGCTTGTAGCCTCGTCATCTTTCAGCCATCGGGAGACAACCTCGATGTTGTGGTCGTTCCAGATGTCTAGACTTTCCTCAAATAGGTTTGTCCAGGTAAGAATGATGGTCGGATCAGTAAGCATGAGGTAGACGCGGCTACCGATGTCGGCCTTTTCAGCTACCGGGGTAGCAGCAATGTCGATGTCGTCCAGGTGCTCTTGCCAGTACCAGGCGGCATATCGCTGCAAAGAAAGTCCCTCCTCGCCAAGAACAAAGTAGGCTGGGTCAGTAAAGATTCGCAAGCAAGTCTTGAGAACGTGCCGTCTCGCATCGGCAAGCTGGAAACCGATGGACGGGTGCTCTTCGTCTACTCTGAGGTCCGTTGACGAGTCTTCTTGGAAGAACTCCCTGACCGAATCATGGAAGAAGTTCACATATGTTGTGTGCTTATTTGATAAATACTGAATGTCTCTCTCCATGTTCAATGGGTCGGGGCTATTTTCCTCGTTGATACCCGTTTCGCTGGAAGCCCACAGACGACGGTTCTCGTGTTTTCGAGCAAGATCAGCTGTCGAGAGTCCATCCTCCCGCTCAAGTGTAAAGAAACAGGAGAATTGGCCCCTCAGCAATTCCTCAAGCCCCAATGGGGCGTCTCCCATCTTAAGGGCCAGAATAGACTCGATCTGCTCAAGCGTCAGGCCCATCTCGGCGACCGAGACCCAGCGCAAAATTTCGTTTAGATCGTCTGCATCTTGCGGGGTGATGGATGCGCTGAAATCCAAGACGGCCTTTGTCAGCATTCCATTCATCTCCTTTGGGTATGCCTTCAGGCTTTCAACAATATTTCTTGGGTGTCTATTCCTGTTGATTTCCGTCAACATGAACTTGGCCAGTACGAAAAGACCGTCGACTTGTTTGATCATGGCATCAATAATGTCTTCCTTTTCTTTTCGTGGGGAGCGTCGGAGAATGCGAGCACGGTTGACGCCCTCGGTGATGTAAGACACAATGTCGGCCCCGTTCCGTTCAGGTATGACATGTAGCGATCGGCCGATTGTGTCATCTCCAATGGCTTCCTGGACATCATCCGTCAGGGTGTTTCGTCCAACCAAGGCGACCTGCACCCGTGTTCCTGTTGCGCGTTGCGACTTGAGAGCTTTCAACAACGACAAGAACTCTCTGACCTCCCTGGGCTCGGCTTCGTCAAGGCCATCCACAAGGAGATAGATGTGCCTCTTCCATTTGTCAGGCTTGCAGGGTTCCACAAGCAATTTTCTGAAAGCGCTTGAAACGGTCTTGATTTCGTCGCTAGAAGAGATGCTCTGGACGAGCTGTTTGCCGTAAAAAACATCTTGCTCACTAATTTGGTATGCCATGTCTTTGAGAGCCCGAATCATGGATCGGGATTCCGGGATGTTCTGGCGGACAAAGACGTATCCCAGCATGCTGTTGGCTTGCTCATCGTTGAGCTTTTCTTGGCCCCACGAGACAAGACGAGATGCCAAATATGACTTTCCTGTGCCGGGGTTTCCAGAGATCCATAGGAAGCGGATCTCGCCAGTCATCCAAGCCTGAAGAGAGGGGTCTTGCAAAATCCATTCGCACGTGCCAGGGGTGCGCGTTCTGTCGAGAGCAGAGTAGTTATCTTCCGGGTAAACGGACGGTCGGAGAATTCTTTTGAGCTTATCCCTGTTGGAGGAGAGAGCCTGCTCCCTTGTCTGGGGCACGCGAGTCTCGGGACGCAAGGTCTGGACGTTGATGTCCACTCTCGACATCATTTCCAGAAGCTTCTCCTCGTTTGAAAGGGATCGCTTGACGCTAGCGCTAGTCTCCGCGATGACCAGGCGCTCTTCCGCTTGTGTTAGCGAAGCCAGCTTCTTCAGGGCCTCGGGTACTTTGCTTTCCTTCCCGAACAGATTCTTCAAGTATGACTTGAAACGGCCACCCCGTATTTCGTGCGCGGCGAGGACGAAGATTTCGAAGATGGTAGCGAGGATGGTGGCAACCTTGTCATGGAGTTCGGATGACATCTTCTGCGATACATAGGATTTCAATCTAGCAGTGAAGTCCTTCATTTGGTCAAACAACTCGATAATGGAATCGTAACATGCCGAAACGTCCTTGGCGGCATTGATGAGGTAGGCGACGGCGGCGAAGATGGTTTGACCAGGTGGGAAAACCTCCTCGGAGGCTCCTGCCAGAGCTTCGCCAACCACCTCGAGCGGCTTGCAAGCGGCCGAGAGACACTCGAAAAGGGTTTGGCGCTTTTCTCGAAAGGTTTGAAACTTTTCATTCTCGCGAGTGATGACGTTGAGGAGGTCGTCGGTGGACCTCATGGGCGGTTCCATGTAGCCCTGAAGATCAAGCCCCTTGGAGTCGGCATACTGTTTCTGGGCATTGGCAAGGATGGCGGCAAATTGTCGATCGATGCTATCGGAGCGCCGCAATGGCGGTTTTGCTCCGTCCATGATGAGGCCGCAACGTCAAAGACGACGATGCGATTGGGGAGGGGTGGGCAGAAGTTGAATGTTTACTTATGCCCAGACTGGTCCCAGACGGCTCCGGAAGAGAGACAAGAACGAGTAGACGGTGGACGAGAAGCTACCAACTGCCCAAAATGTCGAAATCGTGAGTGAGCTAAGGCAGCGGAAGGAGCGCGGGAGCGACCGAGTGGTCACGACTACCTAAGGTAAGGTAAGCACCCAAGATCAGGTAAGGTGGGTGTTGAGCCCTGCGTGAGAGATCGGAAGTGACGAGGGGCAGATCTGCCTCGTAAATCTACATGTACGACCTAAGGTAGGTAAGGTAAGGAACTACAAGGCAGGGAGGGTCCTTGGGCAGCGGCGCACCCAACCTAACCAGTCCGAGGCCAGACAGACAGGTTGTTGTTCAGAGTCTTCAGGCTGTTCAAACTGTGCAGGCCAAGCCAAACAAGGCGAATCCAGGCGGTAAATGCGCGGCAACTATCGCCGCAACGCGTGACACCCCGACGCAGCCCTGCCCAGGTCAGCTCGTCAGCTCATTGGGGGCCAGTGGGTATCGCGGCGAGGCGGCGTATGCATAGAACTCCAGGTAAGGTAAGGTAGCGTAGGATTCACTATGGAACCTCAAAAGACCAGAACTGTGGGGTGTCTGACACCAAGGCTCCCACTGCGAGTGGCTGATTTGCATTTCAGCTTCGGGACGATCAACTTCCCGTTCAAGGACCGGTTCAATGAACCCGTGCGTCTCTCATGAACAGTGTTGAGGAGCCTCATTGTCGTGCTGAATCATGGGGCAGACGCCCTGTCAGGCAGACGAATTTCGTTAACACGCAGGCCGCAGATATAAACATTGAACAATAACAGTGTGGCTTTGGAGGTGGGATGGAAAAAAGATAATCAAGAGTAAGATTCAGGGCGCGACTACGGGGGATGGAGTGGGGGAGGCACAGGCACTAATACAGAGTAACGGTGCCGGGTGGCTGCTGATATAAGCACGGAGTGATCCGAATTCTCGTCCAATGAGCTTGCCATATGCGCCGGAGTGCCGTTCCGGCCTCAATGGACTCTCTGCCACCGGTGCCGTCCTGCGCTTCTGTCCCTGCCCTGCACTGAATGTATCCTCTCGTCTATTCTGCCCACTAGGATACTACTGCTTGAGTAAGCTAAAACTAGTGCAGAGGAAACTGGATTTCTTCAGCACATTTCCGACTCGAATTTACTTGTCTGCGATCCTCGAGGTCTAAACTTGAAGCAGCAAATCGTGTTCTGATATTGCAACACCCGACTTGTGCTGTTGACCCATACACAATCTTCTCACATATACAGTTGAGTATCAGAGAGCTTACAGACTGCGTGATGCCTACATTATGAGGCCGTGTTCATCAACCATCTCCCACCCATCTTATATCAAATGAATTGTTCCGCGGATCCCCCGTCTGCACAAGCCTCAGCAGGCGATGCATCCGGAACGCAAGTACCGAAACCTCCGTGTCTCCGTCAACCCAGGCCGGAACATTTGGAGCTTTCTGAGCTACAACTAGTTTCCGGCGTTTTTATGCGGCTTCAAGCAGTCGTCTTTGAATGGAAGACTGATTCCAAGGCACCGGGTGTTCATGGTGTCCCGCGTCACTACCCTTCCCTCCACCTTATTTCATCCTCGTTCTCTGAACCCCATCTCACGTGGGTCCCCAGACTGGAATTAATCAGCGTTAACTCCAGCGCCCTATGAATTTCCGAGGTTACGATAGCAATTGCAAGATCGATCGCTACCTGTGTTTACTTCTCGTGAAATCAGCCCCGACTTCAGGGCTAATCGAAATTGAATTTGACCCTGGCTGATTCGCTGGGGAGGCTTGCATTGTTGATATGATGAGAAGGTCAGGTCAAGAACGTGGATAAATCATTGATGATACACTGAATGGTTCACGCGATCATGATACTTCTGCCCTCTTCGACCGGAAGAACCCGCTCAATGCTCCCATCAGCTGAGGCAATCCCTTTTCATGGCTGTCACTGTTCATACCGCCTCGAATCCAGCCAGGAAGCTTCCCTCGGATCCTCTCTGTTCCATACCTGCGATCCACGAGAACGATAGCCGCATAGTCCCCCATGTGTCTGATTGCCCTCCCGATGCTTTGATTCACGGCTCGCATACACGCGTTCTCGTAAAAGTCCCTTGCCGCCTGTTTCGCGACCGCCAGTGCCTCGTCTCTCGACATTTTCGTTGTTCCTGCGGGATCGGTAAGTCGTTGAACAGTCGTGGTCTCGATGTACTCCGTCTTGGCCTTCCATTCGGGGGAGTTGATGTTTGGGTACGGCAGGCCCACGATGATGACGCAGCGACCCAGGCGATCGGAAAAGTTGATGCCCTCGCTCATCTTGCCGCCAACAACGCTGAGAAGCAAGGCTCCCCGAGGTCTGGGTGGCGCCCCCGGTTTCGCGGAAGTATCGTCACCCAAGATGGCCTGGCTGTACGCCTCCAGGACCTCGTCGCTGGAGCCCCCTCGGGTTTCCTTGAATGCCTGTTTTCTTTCCTGGAGGCGCTGCCATATTGACTTGGCCTCTCCTGCAGTCCGCGTTTCCCACACTGCAACAACTTCATCAAGGTAGCCATAGCTGGGGAAGAACACGACAACACCGTCAGGGACGACATTGCACATGTTCAAAATGGCCAGACCTAGTTGGCTTACCATGGCCTTATCGGCTCTGCGCTGGAAGCTGAACTCAAATGTCGAATTGGTGTCCCGGTTGGTGCCTGGCTGTGTGCCTGCCAGGGTCCAGACGCAGAGATTAGACGGTGGAATGACGTGCCCACAACTGAGGGTCGTAAGTTTTGACTCTGAAAGATATGGAAAGAGATGGTCCTTGTAGTCATCAAAAGGGGACATAGTGCCGCCTGCGAGAATGACCGCCCTGGCGCTCGTGGCAATCGTCGAGAAAGCGTGCGTTGGTGATAGTAGCAGGTAGGAAACTTGGATATCCGGCGAGTTTGTGGTGACCTTCTCGTAGAATATGCGACCCTCGGAACTAAGATTAGTGAGAGATATCAGGAACGACGATAAAATGTGAAGAACAGGCGTGGATGATCTCGGTGGTGCCTTCACGTGGCCAGCGTCGGCGGCGGTTTCTTCGACGTGGGCCACATAGCTCTCAATCTTGTAGGCCAATTTCGACTCTTGAATGTACTGGATCAGTCGGAACAGGTTGATCTGATCTACTCCTTTGCAGCGGAGGAGGACTTTAGAGTCGACGATACCCTGGGTACTCTGTAATACGTTAGTCCACACAGAGACGAGCCGCCGAACAACAGGACCTGCCTTGAGCTTCGATTGCCCCTCCATCCACTCGCTGAGACCTTCGACAACTCGGCCCACTTGCCCGACCATGACTCGGTTCTCTCCCTTCAATTTCTTGCCGAACTTCTTGACGTAGATGCCAAGCATCTGCCGCGCCCTCCTAAGCTCGCTCAACTTCACCTCGGATGCATAGACGTTGGCTACCGCGTCCATGATGTTATGCGCCTCGTCGACAATGACCACGTTACCCTCCAGCTTGATGCCGAGCGCGTCTCTGGCATTTTTCTGAAGAAGCAAGGGGTATGGCAGAGTGACGATCTCGGCACCTGCAATCGCCGCGCGTGATGCATAGTATGGACAAACAGACAGCTTCTTCCCCAGATGATACAGGTCTTCAATGTCTGGCAATGTGGCGTGGGCAGTGTCCCTAAACTGGTGCGTCTCGGCAATGTTGTCTTCCTTGAGAACGTGGGGGCACTTGTCCTTGGCTTTCGGCTTCTGGAGTTCCGCGCAACGGTCATTGATGGCCGACAAGCTGCCAAGACGCGACACGGAGGGGTTGATGCAGAGTTTCTGGCGTGACGATAGGGGTAGGTGCTTGACCGGCTCTTTGGCCGGCTCTTTGGCAGGTTGGTTGTCTTCACTCTGGCGTTGCACGATCGACTGAGGTACGGACGAGGGGAATGAGGGTCGTCGCAGTTCATGGATGAATTGGGTGAGTTGGGAATGTGTCCTTGAGGTGTAGTATATCTGACAGAAATCATGTTACCAGCGTGCCCAGCAACAACAAGAGGGGCTCTGCGCACCTTGACTCCGTCCGAGACCTCGTCTTCCTCTTGCTGGGCCTTGAGGCTTCCCAAGCCAAATCTTGAAAGAATGTCCTTTGTCTCCTTGCTGAGCCCGCTCATAGCATCGCCATCATCGACTGAGCCAATGGCATCTGACTCATCGAGCAACCATTCGTCGTCCTCCTCGCCATCAAGGGTATGGGGCTTGGATCTCGAGGGGCCATCATCAAAGCGGCGTCGCTTGGCACTGCGAGCTTCAATGGCCTTTTCCTGCAGACGAATCCGTTCCAACTTCTTCTCTCGCTCCTCCCAGGTACGGGCGAGATCATCTCTTTTCCGGCGCAACATCTGCTCCACAATCCAGTCAGGCTCATCCTTGAAGTCGTCAATGTTGACTTTGAGAGACGCCTCGTGTTCCTCAACACGTTGGTTGCGAAGCCACGTCAAAGAGGCGCATATGAGTGAAAGTGATTTACCCTGAAGACAGAGTTAGCACTCAGATGCATGCACTTGTTCTTCATGGCTTCTCACCGTGCCTGTTGGGCTCTCGAGAATGCCGACCTGTCCATTGCCCTGCTGCAACACACCATAGGCGACTTTCATGAAGTCAGTCTGCACATCATAGGGCGTGTAAGGGTGGTTGAAATTAATGCCGTCCGGGATAGTCAAGTCACCGGGAGCCTTGTCCGCCATGACGATATGACATGGGAGCAGGACGGTCAAGCGCCTAGGCTCCTAGAGCTAAGCCGTTGGGAATTTAAATGGGCTTGTCTGATGTCAACAAGTTTACCGCGTCCAAAGTGGAGACTTTGTTGTGAATGATCGCCACCAATCGAAGATGCAGTCGAAGGACAAAGAGCGGTTAGGTATGTTTTCCAGCGCCAACGTTATGGAAAAAAGGACCCATTGAGCAGCTCACCTCGGTGAGAGATGAACAGGGGACTATGCCCGTACCAGAGGATGGTCAGAGAGGTCGGTGAGCGTTGGACCGGGCTGGATGCGGCAGAGTGCGGTAGAGTGGGGCTGCAGCATGGAACGGGGGACGAAGCGAGAATGCCATGCTGATGTAATACAAATCGATCCAACCAAAAGAAAGGCAACCTTAGGGCTGGCTGCCCTCCGCCCCGCCAATTGTCCGAGGCTCTGCCGCCGTGCTGCCACCCCCATCACAAATGTCCTCTCTTGCGAACTTTTTGCGAAAGGAAGTTCCTCAGCGATACTAACCACCAAGTCGACCACTCCCACAGCCGACGCCATGCCTACCCGATTCTCGCGCACCCGCAAGCAGTACGTCTCTCAATCCCGCTCCGCTCCGATTCTATAAGTCTGGTCTCGTTCCTTCTCGGCGGTTTCGTGCGCGCGCAGTCATTTTTTTCAAATGGCTTGCAATTATCGCCGACCGTCGTGAGGGATGGATGGATGAAAAAGAAGGATACAATGTTTTGGCTTTTGCCATGCAGGCGCGATGGTTCAGAGGGGGTATAGCATGTTGAAAACAAGGGCGTCAACATTGCTTCCCCAGCAAAAAGGAGGACCACACTGTCTTTCCCTCTTTCTCTACCCAGAGAATTAGGGAAAGACAGTATGAGCCACCAACTCTGCCATCTGCGATCCTGGGAGAATTGTCTTCGTTTCCAAATGTACCCGGAAGCTGACTTTCTCTTTTCTCTCTGCAGCCGCGGACACGTCTCCGCCGGTCACGGACGTGTTGGCAAGCACCGCAAGCACCCCGGTGGTCGTGGTCTGGCCGGTGGTCAGCACCACCACCGCACTAACCTCGACAAGTACCATCCCGGTATGTCTTCCCTTGCCTTTGGCAATTTACTAAACGGATTGCTAACTAGCTCCCAGGTTACTTCGGTAAGGTTGGTATGCGTTACTTCCACAAGCAGCAAGCGTACGTACTCCATCACCAGACGAACCCATCCAATTTCGTCTCATGCTAACTGTGCGCAGCCACTTCTGGAAGCCCGTCATCAACCTGGACAAGCTCTGGACCCTCGTCCCCGCTGAGAAGCGCGAGGAGTACCTCGCTGGCAAGGGCGACAAGGTCCCCGTCATCGACCTCCTCCCCTTCGGCTACTCCAAGGTCCTCGGCAAGGGCCGCCTCCCCGAGGTCCCCATCGTCGTCAAGGCCCGCTGGGTCTCCAAGCTGGCCGAGAAGAAGATCACTGAGGCCGGCGGTGTCGTTGAGCTCGTCGCATAAGTTCAGTCAATTCAATCATCACACCACCACTTTTCGACGGATGATGTGCAACTTATTACTTGGGAATGATGGCTGCACAGCCACGGATTAAGCGGACGGCGAGCCGCTACTTTGTGTCATCCACAGCCACAGCAAAAGGAAAAAGCTTGCGCTTGGCGGGTACACGGGAAAAGGGCCGAGGAAACGGCTACTTTTTTTATTGCATAATGATCCGACCTCAAGGAGTTGACGAATAAAAAAAAGAAAGGCTCTTCCAAATCAAAAGTTCATGGCGTCGTAGCATCACACTTGATGATATCCCGGGATCTTGTGTTTAGTGGCGTGTCTGGGTTCTGCAAGGCGGACGGGTATGATTTGAAATGGTATTACTCTTTACGTCTACTCGTCTCGTCTGTGAATGTGCTTGAAGCGCTTCCAAACAGTGATTGATGCTTTTCCCACACTCCCTTACTCCTGGATCCCATATGTTCGTCCATCTCCCCGTACAAATACATTACACCCCAAAGTCCTTCATCCTCTCACTGTGGTCCGAGACTGTGCCTCGTTGGTATCGAAATCTTTGTTTAGTGTCAAAACATTATCATTACGCCTCCAGAATATCCATCTCATCATCGTCCTCGATGTCTACCACCTCCACCGACTGCTTCGGCTTTGGCTCCCGGAGGAACTCGTGCTCCAGCGCCTCCTTGGCACTGATGCGTCGAGCAGGATCGAGTTCCATGCAGCGCTCCAAAAAGTCGACAGCCAGCTTCTCCTCGTCGGTCAGGGGGATGCCCGGCTGACCGTCCTTGCCGCCATCGGTACGGCAGGTGGACCAGAGTATGATTTTTCCAAGCGAAAAGCCAGCGCTGCCGACGGTGGGGATGTTAGTCTCAAACATGCAACCGTGCAGGAGGCCTGCCTGCTTCATCCTTTTTACACCAAAGATGGTTGCGATCTCAATCATGGCCTCCACATCGTCAGCGCTATTGAAGAAAGGAAATCGTTTGCTCATGATTGTCAAAAGAATGACACCCGCTGACCAGATGTCAATCTTGGTCGTCTGCTCGGTGCACTTGAACAATACCTCGGGCGCACGGAAACCTCTTGTGCCGGCACGGTTCGCCCTCCTGGACGGCCGAGTATCTGTCTTTGGATATCCCTGCTGAGGCCCATTTTGGGAAGCCGCACTGTTGGTGATTCTCTGTTTGCGGACGTCTTTGCTCTCGTGGCAGAGACACGGTTTGCTGTCGGACCCTTCACGTTCAGCAAGCCCAAAGTCGACTAGCACGCCGCGGCGTGATTGAGGATCGTAGAGAAAGTTTGTTGGTTTTATATCGCGATGAAGGATCTTGTGTTCGTGGACGGCCTTGAGGGCCGTGAACAGGCTGCGGAGGTAGATGGCCATATCTGAGACCTTCATTTGGCGAAAGTAGTCGCGGAAGTCCTCATGACGGAAGTATGGTAGTATAGCAATAACCTGGTCAGTGGACCGGAAGGCTGTGATCAAGGGACACACAGCGGCACAGCTTTTCAAGTCGTGCAAGAGCTCGAGCTCGTTGAGGATGCGGTTGGGGCTCGAGGTAACATAAATCTTCTTGATGGCGACATATCTGGCGCGGCGACGTGGTTCGCGGGTTGCTGATGTATTGCTGGCGTGAGGCTTCAGGGGCGGCGAGGTCCACTTTGCTGCGAGATTGTCCTTCTCTTCAATGTCCCAGCTGTTGTCGTAGAATTCGTACTGAAGGTCTTCTGCCTTGTAGACGGTGGAGAAGGTGCCTAGGAAGAGAGGTCTTGTTAGTGGGAGGTTCGAGTGGACGACATGACAACAGACAGGGTGATGGGGTGACATACCTTCACCAATCCTCTTGATGAGTCGATATTTTTGGGGGAACCCAGGAAAGGTATCTTGTAGGCGGTCCATGTCGCGTTGGACACCTGTGTCAACGACCTCGTCCTCATCGGAGCTCTCGTCGGAGGGTTCTTCAGCATCCTCCTCCTCTTCAACCTCTTCCGTGTGTTGTTCTGACTCGGCCATCATCTCCGTGTCCTCTGTGCGGGCGTGAGGAGGATCTTGGTGGATTTCAAAGTCGTCGCGGCTACGCTTGCGTGTAGCCGTGGCCATGGGGTGCGGCGGTCTCGACTCTGCGGTCATGGGGCGGTGGGCCAATCGCAAGTCTGCCGGGGCGGTAGAGGTGAGTGCCGGGGCATGGAAGGGAGAGTGCGCGCGTGGAGAGTGCGAGACAGTGTCTGGGGATGTGGCTGGAGCAGTGGTTTGAGCCGGGTATGGCTGTGAAGGGTAGCCCGAGGTGTGTGGTTGAGGTGGGTGATGTGAGTGGTGGTGTTGCTGATAGTGCTGGTGTTGTTGTTGTTGTGGTGGTGGTGGTGGTGGTGGAGGAAGAGGGTGTGTAGGACGGCTGTGGTGTTGTGGCGGCGGAGTTGGCGTTGGTGTGGTCGCCCAGTCGTGCCGGTGCCAGGCCTGGACGTCGAGGGTCTGCCCAAAGCGAGTCAATTGATCGATGGCATCCAGATTGGGTTGACCGAGGCCAGCTGAGGAATCTCGCTGGGTGGTGCACTGCGTCATCCGAGGCTTTGGTTATTGGGGGAGCCGTGGGAAGCGGAAGGGAGAGAGAGAGAATATTCGTCGTATTATTCGATCGAGTATGGGACGACGGTTGTCTTCTTCTTTGGGAGGCCTTTGCAGCGTACCGGTACTACTCTGTGCCTAACGGTGGTCTGTCTGTTGAGGTGCGTCTTGAGGTGCGTCTTGGGAGAGGTGACCAAGAGTATTATTGGACGCTTGTGTTTTTCGTCTTTCTTTTTTCTTGCCTCTGGCAGCAGGTGAGGTGGAATCTTTCCTGGAGTCTGGTGCGTCTGGTGCGTCCCATTCGATGCACGTCGGCGGGCTCTTTCTCTCACTTCGTCCTTTGGGTCCCGTCTACGAAGGTACCTGGTGCCTGGTGGAGGGGCACAGCGTCGCCAGTTTGCGGTGCGAAGGTCCCCTGAAGGCGGCGCGCTGACCAATCATTTCGCTTAGACTGACCCCGCACCTTGGAAAAAAAGTCACTCGAGGTGGCAGGCCGCAAAGGAGGGCCACCCGGTCGCGTCGGACCCCAAAAGAAAACAATAAACAAATTCCCACCTTGGTTGCTAGGCGCTTTTTGGTCACAATCTATCCCTACTCCGTACCTTGTTTCCAAATGCCCAGCAAATACATCGTCAACACCACAGGCCGTTTTGCGCTTCCTTCGCCTTTTTTTGCTTCCCCTTCTGACGCAGTGCGTTACTAACCACCAGTAACAGCATACGAGAACACTACGGGCGGCAAGAGAGAGACACTGACCCCTCTTAGCCTCTCTGATTCTATTTCATCCTTCTTATTCTCTTCTTCTTCCCCCCCTCCTCCCCCGCCTCTCGATCGCTTTCCGCCGCTGGGTGCGCACACCTCAACCAGACCGCAGCCATGGACTCGGTCGCATTCGACATCAATGATGCGCTCAAGCATTACATGAGCGACCCGGCCAGCATTCCGACCCCAGAAGCTGATGGCTCCCTCTTCGACTACGAAAATGACCCCGAGGGCCTCACCGCGGCCGTCATCAACCCGGTCCTCAACCCCATTGTTGACGCCGTCGCCGAGAATCCCGAGGCCATCACCCGCAGTGCCCATCTCGACTCGCTGCAGTTCCTGCTAAAGTGCGCACCCATCTCCCCTCATCCCTCAGACCCCTCTCCTTTGTCGTCTTCCTTTTCGTCTTCTTCCAGGCCCGTTCGAGAACGTCATTCTGAACTATTCAACTCCTCCAGGTATACCGCCTTCCTCCCGCCACAGGTTCTTAGTAAGATATTTGACTTGATTATGTCTGGTCTGGCCGCCGAGGGCGATGCGATAAATCACGACCTCGAGTCTCCCGACGAGCAGGAGACACTCGCCCACCACAAGCAGCTCCTTGAGATATACGGTTTCCTCCTGCAATGGACCATCGCCGCTGTCGAGACAAAAGCCGCCGAAAAGTCATCAACAGCGCCAGTCGCCAGGGGCCGCGGCAAGCCAAAGAAGAATGCGTCCAAAGACAAGGAAGGCGTATGGGACTCGGCAACCCAGCTACAGTCCGCTCTCGACATTATGAGCAAAGTCCTCAAGCTGAAGCTGACCAAGATTTTCCTAACAACCTCGGAGAGAGACACCTTCATCGGCCTGTTGACCCGTCCCGTCTACATGGTCCTCGAGAGCGAGCAGCGCGTCAAGAGCACATCCATCCGCATGCACGCTTTCAAGGTGCTCTGCATCGCTGTCAAGCACCACGGCCACGCATACGGTACGTCGTCTCGCGCAGCACCTTCTTGCCAGTTCAAGCTAACGTACACCAGCGGCCCAGATCTCCATTGTCCAGAACCTCACATATTTTGAGCACCTTTCCGAGCCCATGGCCGAGTTCCTTTACATTCTTGCCGAGACCTACGACTACCCTCAGCTTGCCGACGAGATCCTTCGCGAACTCAGTAACAAGGAGTTCAACTCCAACGACACAAAGGGCCCCAAATCCGTCTCTCAATTCATCGTCAAGCTCTCCGAGCTGGCCCCAAGACTGGTCATCAAGCAAATGACCATGCTCGCAAAACAACTAGACAGCGAGGTAATGTGCCCTGCCACATGTCAATAAAGCAATGCTGATAGGTCTAGTCTTACACTCTACGCTGCTCTCTCATTGAGGTCTGCGGGAACATGGTTGCCCACCTGGTCAAGCAGGACGAGCGCGGCGAAAACCACAAGTCTCAGCTCAATGCCTTCTTCGACGTCTTGGAAGAGCGCTTCCTCGACATCAACCCCTACTGCAGGTGCAGAGCAATTCAAGTTTACGTCAAGCTGTGCGACCTCGAGCAAAAGTTTCCCAAACGACGACAACGCGCCGCCGAAATGGCGTGCCGTAGCCTCGAGGACAAGAGTAGTCACGTCAGGAGGAATGCCATCAAGCTTCTTGGCGCTCTGATTAAGACGCATCCCTTCACAGTCATGCACGGCGCTCAACTTTCCCGCAAGGATTGGCAAGGGCGTCTCGATAAAGTGGATGAGGAGCTCAATGCGCTCAAACCGCCTGAAGGCGCTCCAGGACTCGGCGACACGGCCGACACCACTGTCGATCAGCAGCTTCTCGACGACGCGACGCAGATTGAGCAGTCACCCCAAAAACCCATGTCCGACGAGCAAAAGTTCGAGGCGGTCCGCAAGGCCCGCGAGGAGGCCGCCACATCCGAGGCCATCGAAAAGCTCACTCTCACCAAGCGATACTACTCCGAGGCCTTGAAGTTCATTGACGTCCTTCACGAGGCTACTGGCACCGTCTGCCAGCTGCTGGGCTCACGCAACAAGAGCGAGGTCATCGAGGCCATGGACTACTTTGAAGTTGGTGACGCCTACAACATTGAGCAGAACAAGGTCGGTATCCGACGCATGTTGCGTCTCATTTGGACCAAGGGCAACAGCGATGAGGGCAAGGGTGTTCAGAGCCATCTCATCGATGTCTACAAGCGTCTGTTCTTCGAGGCGCCCGATTCGTTCACGTCCAATGATGCGGCAAACTTCATCGCCCGCAATATGATCAGTCTGACGTTCGGCGCAACTCCCGCTGAGTTGACTTCGCTGGAGCAATTGCTCAGCACCATGATGAAGCAAGGCTTGGTTCCCGAAATTGTCATTGCCAAGCTCTGGCAGGTCTACGGCGTGCAGAAGCGCGAGATTTCCAGGACGCAACGCCGCGGTGCCATTATTGTGCTCGGCATGCTGGCGACGGCTAACCCCGAAATTGTTGTCGGAGAGATGGAAACCATGCTGCGCACTGGTTTGGGTTCCCATGGCCGCGCCGATCTTCAGCTGGCCAAGTACACTTGCATCGCCCTTCGCCGAATTAACCCTACTGGTCGTCAAGCAAAGGAGTCTGCCGTCAAGTTCTCCAGACTGCCCAACGACCATGCCGTCTTGTCCAAGTTGGCTTCTATCACCGAGGTTCCATCCGAAAGCAAGGAATGGTATGGTGTTGCGGAGCAGGCGATCAACGCAATCTACGCCATTTCTAAGCACCCCGATACGCTCTGCTCCGACATCATTCGTCATAAGACAAAGCAAGTCTTTGCTGCTCCCCGGTCGCGCTCAGCATCGCAAGCCAGCTCGCAGCCCAGCTCACGACCAGTCTCGCGAGATGAAGCCGAGTCTGTTTCCGTTGACGAAGATGGAAATGAGACTGTTGTTCCTCCAGCATCGCAGCCAAAGAAGCGGGATGCCGCCGTCGGCCTGTCCCAGCTCCTTTTCATCGTTGGTCATGTCGCCATCAAGCAGATTGTGCACCTTGAACTCTGCGAACTCGACTTCAAGCGCCGTAAGCAGGAGCAGGAGAAGGAGAAGACTGCAGACAAGTCCACCGGCCAGGCTGGCAAGAAGGAAGAGCCCGATGATCTGGACTTGATCGGTGGCACGACTGAGGATGACTTCACCGAAGCCATGGCTCACATCCGTGAGCGAGAGCTCCTGTTTGGCCCAGAGTCTCTGCTGGCACAATTTGGACCTCTTGTGTCTGAAATCTGCGCCAACAACACCACGTATGCCGACAAGGGTTTGCAGGCCGCCGCTACGCTCTGTCTCGCCAAGCTTATGTGTGTTAGCTCGGAATACTGCGAAGCTAACCTTCCCCTTCTCATCACTATCATGGAGCGCTCAGCCGACGCAACCGTCCGTTCCAACGCCGTCATCGCTCTGGGCGATATGGCTGTGTGCTTCAACCACCTCATCGACGAGAACACTGACTTCCTGTACCGTCGTCTTGCCGACAAGGATCAGTCTGTCAAGCGCACATGCTTGATGACTCTCACATTCCTCATTCTGGCCGGCCAAGTCAAGGTTAAGGGTCAGCTGGGCGAAATGGCCAAGTGCCTTGAGGACGAGGACCGCCGCATTGCTGATCTGGCGAGGATGTTCTTCACCGAGCTCAGCACCAAGGACAACGCCGTCTACAACCACTTCGTCGACATGTTCTCTCTGCTGTCTGCCGAGAAGAACCTGGAGGAGGAGAGCTTCCGGAGGATCATCCGGTTTCTGCTGGGTTTTGTTGAGAAGGACAAGCACGCCAAGCAGCTGGCTGAGAAGCTTGCCGCCAGGCTCACCCGTAGCGAAACAGAGCGCCAATGGAACGATGTTGCCTTTGCTCTTGGACTGCTGCAGCACAAGAACGAGGACATTACCAAGACTGTCTCCGAGGGCTTCAGGGTTATCCAACTCCAGGCATGAAGGGGCGCGGCAGAGATGCCGTAGGCTGGCCTTATGGCCGTGTAGTACTAAGGTCATGGGTCGGCGTTAATGGTTTGGTTGCTTCTGGTCGTTGGTTGGCTGTCTGACTTTGGGTATACCACTGCATGGATGATGATCCTTAATGAGGTTGATGAATCGATTTCCTTGTTCATTCTTATTACCTAATGACCACATGTTTCTTGGTGACTGTGACTGTTTTACCGGACTAATGTGGCCTTGGAATTGGCTCCTTTCTGAGTATACCTACTAGCCCGGACACTTCAAGCCAGAATTCCTGCGCCCGGAGGTTCCTGCGTCAAGACAAACGCATCCCCTCTATTCGCCTCGGACTGAGCCCCGTTCTTGACGATTCCATTCACCCGGATGACGGACTGATCAAGGCTTGAAACCAATGGGTCCGGCAGGTGTACCTTTCCCTTGCTTCCAGCAGGACTTTCTACCTTCATCCTCAGCATTCCGCTCTCGAACCGCCACTCGACGGTGACGTCTCCAATCACGGTCGGGTACTGTCCTCTGGCCCACTCCAAGCCCAAAGCCTGCAGCTCAACCTTACACTCCGCGCATCTCATTGTAACATGGCTAGGTCCCGAGGACGTATCAACTCAGCTCCGCCGTCGGGCCCGCGGCCTATCCGTGGCATAGGGAGGTGACGATGCCCAGCCTGGAGGTACCGTCTGGGTTGGGCGTCTCCCAGAAGCATCCCATATGGGTTTCAATTTCCTAGCCCAACCATGGGGCCCAGAGCGTCTTGAGGAGCTTCATGGCGGAATCTGAGTCTTAGATGGAGAGCGCGGTGCGGAGGTGGCATGCCGATGCGTCGGGGCTACCTTTCTGAGCGAAGCTGGTTCTGATGCTCTCGGAGAGGGCGTAGGCGATCAGGTCAGGGCTCTAGAGGTTCGCATTGATTGCGGTGTGGAGTTTGTCGAAACAGGTTTGGTACTCTGCGACATTGACGCCCGCGTCTGGGAGAAGGAGGAGGGATTGATAGAGGGAGTAGGCGTACACGACGTCGAAATTTGCCATGACGTCGAGGGAGAGGTCTACGGAGGGCGTGCCAAATGTGCTCGCAAAGGCAGCGTTGAGGGCGACGTCGAGCTCGCCCGTATACGCGATCCTGTCGCGCGGCGAGCGGTCGACGATGGTGTCGGCCCGGTTAGCACCCATCATGAAGTCTGGGAGGAACGAGCGGGTTCTCGGGAGGTTAGTGTAGATTATCTCGCCGGCGAGTGCGCTGACGATGAGGTTGTGGAAGTATTTTGGGTGTCCGAACGAGGCGCCGAAGCCAAAGGAGCCGAAGACGCAGGGGGTTTCGGTTAGGTTGAGGACGGGGAACAAGTTGAGGGTCACAACGACGGGTGCCATGACTACGTCGATGTGGACTGTATACCAGGCTCCAAGGGTGGTGTTTGATGGTAAGAGAGATGTTGCAAGGAGATTATCTAGGCTGGTTGAGCCGGCGTGGGCTGTGACGGTGCGGCTGGATAAGTTGAATGAGATGCAGACGCAGCTATTGAGCGTCTCACAGAGCACAGAGATACCGAAGCCGCCTCTGACAGGTTTGGCTTGGACATCGAGAGGGTAATAGAGGAGCTGAGCGGCAACGGTACCTGCGAGTCCTTGCAGTGTCAGGCTTTCGGCGTAAGTGCCTTCATTCGAGACTTAGAGGGAAAATGGGATGGAGTTCTTGGGGATCTCGGCGACTTTTACCGTTTGTACGCCGGTGCTCCATATCCACTCAAGGTCTTCGTCGGAGCACACAAAGGAACCGAGGTGTCGCGTCAGGGGCGTGGTGGATGTTGTGGACTTCACGCCGATTATGCGTAGTTGGAGGGAATCGGTGGACGAGATTTTGAGCGTCTGGTGACGTAAAACGCCCTGAACGAGGCGGTTTAGGATGAGTGAGGGGTTGGTGATGTTGTACTGATTCACTCTAAAGGTGCCCATTGCCTCAGCGAGAGGCAGAGGTCCATCGCTCTATGTCTTGCTAGTCCTCCATTTCTTTCAGTCGGATTTAGGGGCGTCTATGGACGTATGCTGGTCAACATGTATATGTCGAACGCGGCCTTACTTTCGGCGTAGGAAGCCTCGAAGCTTGAGGCGTCGCCAGAGGCAGAGAAAACCTCAAAAGTATGAATGTCTTTGAAATTCTTGTCATATTCGAGGACTACAATAGAAAGAGCTGCCCATATTGGGCGTGATGGTTGTATTTCCGTTGAAGCCAAAGATGATTGTGTTGTTATTGGCTGGCCTCGTGGTTGATTTCAGTACAAGATGCGGTCTTTCGGGAATGTGCCTGCCATTGACTGAGCTAACGAGGCAAAATAGGATACCAGCTACTCGACCTCCTGTATTAGATGATGTTAGCATGATTGTGGTTTTTATATTAGGTGGGCGGAGATAAGAAAGAGTTTTAACGCCTTTTGAGAAATCAGAGTCAAGATGAAGTAAAAGGGGATATATCGCCTCATTGTCATACAACTCTTTACTCTTCCAATCCCTCTACCGTTTCCAAAATTCAGGCTGTTCCTCTCGCCTCCTGACCAGACTTTGCGAATGAACCAGGCCGGAGTTGACGATCTTGAGTGGATTGACCCGAGACGCGAGGACTTCGGGCTAGCAGTCTCGTACTCACCGAATCCGCGGACCGAGGCCAACGTGCGAAATTTCGTGCGAGGACCGCGGAGCTCTGTGCCGCTTGGGTTCTCGCCTGTCCATAGAGCACGACGACAAGGTATTAATTGCGAAAGTACGAGTAGCTCGCCATTACTTTTTTGTTTAGTAGACGCAGATCGAGACCCTAGAGCCGAAGAGATGTGGTCATAAAACCAACAGAGGTGATTACGCTATTCTTGTCCAGGCATGGTCTTATTGAAGGCATCGTAACTCCAAACATAGCCATGAGCGTGGTATATCTACAGCGCTTTCGTTCTATCACTACCATGTAAGAGTATTCTACTATAACACGTAGCAAAAGTTGCTCAATCATCGCTAGGTTGGAAAAGTTGATGCGTGGACTTCAACAAGCTCTCAATCCGATGACACTCCAAGAGGTACGTCAAAGTCTGGAGGCTTTTGTGCTATTCAAATCAACTCAGACACAGGCACAAAGTAATATAGTCCGATGAGTGATGCAGGAATTGAAACGATGATGGCTTGATTTCAAATTTAGAGAATTGAAAATGGAGTAAATTGCATTTGTCTGTCGCCTTCTTCTCCAAATGGGACGACATACTCCCCTAGCTCAGATCCCCGTCAAATAACTAGCTCCCTGTGCGTCTCGGACCGCAAGGCAAACTCCCTAAACTATCGGTTTAATACTTACAAGGTCGGGCAAGCATGGCGCTCGCGACTTTGCCATAACGTACTCAGTACTGGCAATGGGCGTAGGCGATGGCTGAAATCTAACAGCAAACTGATTCTGAAGCGGCCAACGTGCCTGACGCACAGGTGTCAAGGACAGCAAGGGCCGCTGACTACGGATCGACGTGAGTTGCTTCAACCAGCGGCGATACCGAGAGTCTCTCCGGGTGGGCTCACTAAGGTACATCTGGACTCCTCACAAGTACTTCCGAGAGACGCTCATTAGAGTCCCACGGTCATGATCAGAGAAAACAAGCAGCGTTTGTGCTATTTGCTGCGTCGTCAACAAGACGAGGGCGGAGAGCAACCTGTCAAGGAGGACACATGTCGCCGGTCTCTGGCCGGCACACGCTCGAAGCCATTGCTCTTGCTGGTCTTTGCCATGACAGCCTGATTCAATGCACTGTATTTTGAACTCCTTTCAAAGGCTGCACAATACCGCCATCACTTTCGTCTTCGCTTGTATGGCTCTGCGGTTTGCGCCACCTTCCGTTTGCACGGCCTCTTCTTCACTGCAATATTAACTCATCGCGACGGAATGAGAACACGCAATCATCGAACGCTCATGATCAAGTGTGCCTTGCAGTCTGCCCTATTGCATTCACCTGGCGTACTCCCTGTAGCGGCAATTTCCTATCAAGCCCAGCCGGAGAAGGCGGATTTGTGTCGCCAAAAGAAATCAATACCATCAATTACCCACCGAAATACTCTGCAGTATAATTGTCGGTCCATAGACCACATAGCACGTAGCTTGTGTCTACAAAATGCTCGTAAACGCTGGTCTCATACAAGAAATAGGCCAGCCAACCAGCTTACAGTTGATTTAACAAGTCGTTAATCGACGTGTCAACCTTTGCGCGACGATGGTTGCCGCTGCCAATCATTTGGACTCTGATTCACGTGAGGCGTTCACTTAGTGCTCAACCGGGACAACTGCAAGAATATGTCGATAGCCTCACCTTTGCCTACCTACACTGCATTTTAACCCCCCCCCAAGCGCTTAAAGTGCAGCAAGAAGGGTGGATGGGCACTTGGTGTCAGCATCATTATGCAGAGTCCGGGTCAACTTGCCAGTTCCTTATATTGTAATTTTAATCCCAGCCTGACCCCCCCCACGCCCCCACCCCCCCGCGGAGACCCCCACTGCGTACGCCGTACGCACGCAAACGCGCCAGACGGCGCACGCACTACCAGTACTGAATGCCAGTCGACGATCACTACCGCTGCGCGGGTAGCACATCTGCCCACCCACCCCCTCCTCCCACCCCCCCCCCCAAACGCTTAAAGTGTAATAAGAAGCGTGACGTTGAGCAGACCACCACTTTGCTGGAAAAGGTCTTAGAGAGACGCCTAGCCATCTGCCTGCAGGTCAGCTTGACCCTCTCGTCCATCAGGCGACTGCCCCATTCACTGCAATTTAATCCCCTCCCAAGGGAACATAGACCTGCCAAGCTGCTCCAGGAACCTCGATTTTTTTTGCCCGGATGGTAGCACATCAAATGATTTGTTATCCGGAGTACCCACCACCATGATCTCAAGGCAGCAATGTCGTTTTTCCATTTCGCACAGAGGCTCTGCGCGCTCAGCGAAATGCTCATGGCAGTTTGGATCTCGCTGCAATGGTGGTCCGCCTGATGATTGAACAAGTCATCTTGATTCTCTCCATCCCGAAAAGTATCATATACATACGCCAGCGTTCTGCCAGCTTCTTTTTGCCCTACATCCTCTTCTTGTTCTTCTTCTTCTTCTCCAATATTTCCCCGCTAAACCCTCTCTCTCACCGGATACAAGTATGGAAATCTAGTTCTTGTTCTGCGGTGCAAGAGCAAAGGTGGGGCGGACGAATCTGCGTGTCACCCAGTCAGCCATTTTCTTTCCACTTTCCTTGGACTCACTCCCCTTCCCTACGAAAGAAGAATCAAAGAAGCGCAAGGGATATATCCAACATACCTATCAGAGTGGTAAACCTTGGTGTTCTCGCCCAACAGCTCCTTCTCTCTCGCCTGGTCAGCGTACCACCTTCGGACCTGGTCGCGGTCCTCCTCAGCCTGAAGGAGGGGGATAATGTGAATGCGCGCCCACATCTTTTCTCTCGCCAGCTCGCTGCATCTTGTCAGCATTATCCTCCCAGTGACTGTGCCGCACCATCAGATCGCTCTCCTCTCTCCCTAGGTATATGTGCGTCGTCGCGGGCTTCCGGTAGTCGCCTTGCTCTACTGCTATTTAGCGAGGAGCAGGACTACTTGCCTGCTGGAAACCGGTCGCAACGCCGTTCATTTTCCAGTTGGGAGAGGGATCGTAATCGTCATGTCGGGCGTGGAGGTGTCGCGACGTACTTGGCTTCCCGGATACCCTTGGTCAAGTGGTACCATCCGTATCCCATCACAAGCCCCATACCAATCAGCATCGTGCCGGGGCGGAATCCGCGGGCGGGCAGGTTGCGCTGTTCTCGAATCATCAGCATCGTTCCATCAAAGCTTTGCCCTCTCGATTTCCGTGATCCCGTAGTCCTGAATCTCCCATCCCTAGCAGCCTCTCGTGGTTCCAGCTCGGTATCCTCGGTCGTAAGTCCAATTCGATAGTCAACCGTGTTCAAACCAGATTTTCCGTCTCGCAAGTGCCTCCTCTTGCCATTCCGCTGCAGCCATCGCTGCCTTCCACCCGCTCGACCCGGCAGTCCCATTCCACGTCCTCCTCTTGCGACTCCCTCTCCTCATCCTGCATCCCTCGAAACCTCCAGCGCTCGCCAGAAACGACTCACCTTGTACTGCACAGCCTGGTAGCCCCCCACGGGTGGCATATCCTGAGGCATCCTGTCTCAATCGTTCCTACCGACCCAACGCGGTCGGCTGCGCACGTGGAGGTAGTGGGTATGTAGGTCAATTGCTCCGTCGAATGTCGGGGAGTCAATTGGTGATCCTCGAAAAACCTATCGGTCCGTTCGAAGAATAGAGATCGGGGGTATCGGCGTCGATTCGGCGGGGGTGTGTGGGTTGCGATGCGATATGGCAGTCGTCGAGCTCGAGATTCCGGGGACAAGCTTTGGCCTGGCCAGACGGTGCCTGAGGTGATTGTTTTCGGGTCGATGGTGATTCGCTCAATTGGCCAACCGATTATGTAAGGCAGATAGTGGCGCCTCTCCTTCCACCTTCACCGAGGTATACCCACTTCGGCCTCGGTGAGCAATTGGATTCAAAAAGGCAACTCATAATGTCACTCAAGTTTAAACATGGAGAGGTGGACAGCGTTGATTCATACAATAGGTCGTAAAACTTTCAAGTGGCTAGATATGCTCCAACCCAACACCATATCGTCTATTCGCCGTCCCCAACAAGCAATACTGCACTTGAATCCTACAAATATTTGCACATCTCAACTCCATGCCATGCTTCGCCAACGGAAAGGCTGGGTATAAACCGAATAAACCATAGCCAACCAACTTTTTCTTCCTCACGTACAGGACCTCCGTTCTGAAGTGGTTTTTATATGCATCGTGTCTCTCGCTGCACGGGGGGTTTGGATCACTAGTCCTCTCCGGCGGCTGCGAGCTCGGCCTCGAGATCTGCCTCGAGATCGTCCTCGTCAAAGTCGTCAACTCCGTTCACAGCGGCGCTCTCTGGGACGAGCGAGACGTCGTCCTCGTCGCCCGTAACTTGAGGGGTTGGTAGACTGCTCGACTCATTGTTATCTTCGACGTTGGGGGTCCGCACTGAGCTGAGCTTGGAGGCGCCGCGGCTTTTGGCGATGCGTTGCTTCTTGGACAGTGCGCTTCCTCCTTCGTCGGAAGCCGTGTCGTCGTCCATGGCTTTCCTCTTGGTACCGCCAGTGACAGAATTGGAAGACTCTTGGGATGATGGCAAATCTTCACCGGCATCAGTGTCACCACTGCGGCTTTCCGTATCCGCATCCGAGCTGTCATCATCGCTTCCGAGGAACTCCTTCATCTCATCATCGACGCCTTCCCAGTCAAACGATTTCAAGCCGTCTATGGGGCTCACTTGTCCGTCCTCAAATTCCAGCATCAAGTTTTCTTCGTCTCCGTCCTGATCGCCTTCGTCCTCGTCCGATGCATCCTCGTCTTCCTCGAGCACACGCTGCTCACCCGTTTCGTCAATGATGGTCAAATGCGGCCGTGAATCGTCGCCATCAGCATCGGAAATGGTTTCAGCGTCGGTAGTCTCCGACATGGCCAGCTGGCGGCGGTCTGCAGGGTGAACCTCTACCAGGTAGGGCGCTTCGTCGACACGCTGCCATTGACTGAGGCAATCGGATAGCCAATTTTGGCTGACGATCTTGATGCTCGAAATCTTCGCTGCCTGCCTCACCTTTTGAGTCCGCGGGCGGGATGTAGATATTACGAGATGAGTGACCTGTTTGGACACCCTCGTCGAGATTTGTGCACCGAAGCTCATGGCTTGGATGCCAATCTCGGACTGTAGGACGTCGACACCAAGGGGAACGAGGCCGGACAGGACAATCGTGGTGCCTTCGAGGGTCGAAGCCTTCATCGTATCGAGCACTTCACCGACGTCTGGAACGGCATCGAGATCGATGCCGTCGTCACCCACTTTCTTCCGCGGGGCAGATTGGGTAGGTGCAGCAGCGCGCTTCTCGTCGTATTCGGTGTAAAACTTATGGTGCAGTTGAGTGAGGTGCTGTTGTAGGTACAGCAGCTCAGCATCGTCGTCGCGAAGGACTTGCGATCGATGCTGTACTATCATTATATGTGCGCCGTTCTCGGTTTCCTGTGTAACCTTTTCGTTCTGTTCGTCCTCTTTGTCAAGTGCCTCTTGCATATGGAGAAGCGGCCTTTCCTTGATCTGCTGTTCCAGCAACCTTTCTTGCTCTCCGCTTTGTGCTTCCTGTAGGACCTTGTCGTCGCCGCTGCTCATATTAACCAGTTCGTCAATGGCAGACACCTTGCCATTTGGTTGCTCAGCTGTTGATGGAGCCTCGCTCGTTTGTGATTCGCTTGTGGTTGCTGTTAGTGTTGGCTTCGCTTCGGGTTCGGATGGCGCGGGTAGGATGTCCTGTCTCTTGGGAAGGAAGCTCGAGTTGATGTCGCCAATGCCCTTGAAGAAGTCGTACGGCACAACCTTGATTAGGTTAGGGCGATTGCTCGGCCATACGTCTGCTCTGTCGTCAATGATCACAACCATATTGGTGTTGACCGGGAACAGCCGCTGGAGACTCTTTGAAATCATGCTCCCGTTCTCATCACGGCTGATGACGCGGTTGCCAAACAGCTTCTGTTGAGGATCGACAATCTTGGCAATGTTGAGGGCGTATGCGCGCGTTCCCATTGTGTAGACGTGTAGCTCGTAAAGCTCCGCGACTTTCTCGAGGAACTCGGCCAGGCCAGGTCGCATTTTGATGTAGTACCAACAGCCGGATGTGACCATCCCCCGAGGACCTTCATCGTTGAGCTGGAACTTTTTGACGTCCTTGACAGCGTTGTAATTGGGATTTGACGGGTCCTCCATCCATTCGCCAACAGTAGGCTCTATGCAGGCATGGATGATGGTCTGGTCGAGGTCGACGACGAGACTCAGCTTCCGTTGTCGCAGCAGACGTTTCTGGGTATCGGACTCGGCACGCGCAGCGAGGTCGCCGCTGACCATGAGGCCAGTCTGGTCGTGTGTCATATTGATGGTGGCGCGTTGGGTATCGCGCTCGTTGGTGGCCCAATTAACCTCGGTCATGTCCTTTCCGCAGATGGCGCACAAGCCTTGGAACTGGATCTCGTGGGAGCAGGCCTCTTCGACCATCATACACGGCGCGTCGCGTGTAAATGTCATGCCCTCCTTGAGACGCCATTGCTTGAGGGTGCCCTCGGCAGGACTATCCCAACCAACGACGGTTGTTTCCTCCTCTTGCCATGTGTCGCCAGCGATGGGGTCGCCGACCTCGCGCATCCATTTGAAGGAGTATTCCAGTACGCTCTCCTGTTTTTGGATGGCGTCGCCGGGGTGCTTGAGAAGTTTTGTAATGGTAATCGGGTAGCGCAGTCTCGCGCCGAGTGAAAGTAGCTTGCCCATGATGACGGCAGGCTACTGGAAGGGATGTCTAAAAGTCTGTCGCAGTCAAAGGTCACAGTCAGCGGAGTGGGCTTTGAGAAACGCGTGCGCGCGCAAACGAGGGAAAGAGAAGATGCAAGCAAGGATTGAGATGGGCGTGACACAGGCGCGGTGGGCGCCGGTGGAGAGGTCTTCAATGACGTTTCGAAAGTCGGGGGAAGAGGTGCAACGAACCTAATGAGACTCCCCCAGTAACAATCGGAGAAGGTGCCGGTACGATGGCCAATCCCATTGCCCCGAAGCTGATGAGGGGAGTGTTGTGACGGACACGCAACAGACGGGGAAGCTCTGGAGCGTTGCGTTGGGATGCGAAGTACGGATAGCTGAGGTAGCTATGCAAAGCTTTCGTCGTGGTTGGTAATTGGTACAGGGCGGCAATGAGAGGAAGACACGCGTGGAAGTCGGCAAGGTATTCTTCCTAGCCTTGGTTAGTTATCCTCGAGGGTTACTAGGCGCAATTGAGTTTTTGGTGACGTGACGCAATTGGACGGAATGCCGGAAAATCGCGAGGCAGAGACTTGTCGTGCGAGATATCTGTCTGCTTGACGCGTGCTATCCGTAATGTGGTGGGATGAAGTTGAGCTGGGTCTGATGCGAATCACAAGTCGGCTGCGGTTTGGGCTGCAGCACAGGATGCTGATGCTCTCTCGCTTTGGGGGGTGGGAGCTCGGGGATTTCGAGTGGAGGCGGCAGGTCTGGACCGAACCGTGACGTACACCGCAAACAGGCAGGCGAGGTGAAGGGAAGGTGAAGCACGGTAAAGGAGAACCAACGGGGAAGCCCGGGCGAGGGGTGGGGTCGGCGGTGTCGGGGAGCACTGACCACTCGGGTAAGGTACCTTACCTTAGCTGGAGGCAGGAGCGGGCCCGGATTGATCGGAGTTTCGCAGGAATGCTTTTCCGTGTCTGGTCTTTGAGCGGCGGGTTGAGTGGGGCGCGGTGGTGGGGTCCCGTTGAGTGGGGCAGTTTGTGCCGAGGACTGGCAGCGGAACGGTTTGTGGTAGATAGTGGTGTTGGTGCGTGTACCTATTCTGGCGGGACGAGGTACCTCGGTGTCTTCGGCAGTCCGTTGCTTTGCCAAGGCCTCGAATGTTTGGTAATGGAAGGTTGGGGTACAACAGCAGCAAGTCGATTTGACTTGAGACGTCCGTCTCGGTGATGGTATCGTAGTTGAGTACGGTCCGACTAGGTAGAATTATCCCTTCTTGTAGCACCGTGTCAAGTCGAGCTGGCCGTGTCTGACTGAGCTATGGTGTGATGGGGCATGGGTGACAAGATGTTGATAAGTAGAGCGATGGAGAGGAAAAGGTACAAGCTGCAAGCCGTCGAGGTACAAGGCTTAAGTAGGTGGCGTCACTGCTGGTCGCTGGCAGAGGGGAAAAGGCAGCCTTTTTGGTGTTCGTCAACCACTATCAGCCGAGCCACCCCCTTCTGAAAGAGTGGGATGCGATGGCCTATTTGTACCTGCTGTAGCACCTCCAGCCCGCCCTCCCCAAAGCTCCGTTGCTGATGGCGCCGGCCGGTGTCAATTGGTGGCCGCCTGGCGACCCCTGCATGAGCTTCACCCCCTTGTTCATTCCTTGTTCAATCCCCAACTCTGCCCTCACTCACCCTCACCTCACTGCGCTCTCACTCCTCTCTCACTCCCCGCCATCTGTGTGTCTTTCTCCTGTGCAGCGCCAGTGCATGAGGACTCTCTCATCCCAGCTATGAATGCCTACCCAGATCCATCATCCCACCTCTCCCAGCCAGTCACACCTACTGCTCCCATCACTACCTTACCTAGGTTACAACAGGGAGCATCTTCAAACAACCAAAGATGAGTCACGTGAACGTTAAATAGGTGCCTTGACTTTGGGTTTTCCCAGTATGAGGTCTCCAGCTCCAACCTGTGAGCAGTCTAACGAAGAGTCTTAAGGACGAGTTCACAAAGCCTCATCTATTTTATTTCACCCTTCCCAAAGACTTTCTATACATTACCACAGCTATTCCCACCCTCTGTCACGCACAAAATGGGAATAAGCTCCGCTGTGGAGAGAGAGAGAGAGAGAGAGAGGCAAAATGCCACGGTCGGCAAACACCAGTGACCACCTGCATCAGTGACTCCCTCTCCAAAGTGGCGTGAACTCGGCACCTCACATGAGCAGCAATGCAGCCTCCCACCACCTAACCTCACCCTGCCGACTTACCTTGCTAGATCCTTTTTGTCTCCTGATTCTGTGAACTTGTTCTTCCAGCTTGTCCTTGTGAACAGACTCCCCCTGCCATCCGGCTCCATCAAGTAGCTACCTTCAGCTCCCCTCTCTGCCTCAGCCTCTGCCTCTGCCGGCATTGCCTTGATGCTGTCACCCTGTATGTCTGTTTGTGGTGAGATGCTCCAATCGTGTGATGATCCAGGTAAATCGAGATGCGGGTCAATTAAGCTAGAGTGGAGAGAGCTTCCCCCAGACTTTGCCATGTCTTTTACATTTGTACATGCAACTTCCATTTGTTAGCATCAACAGGACGCAACTGTTCAAAATCATTGTAACCCTACAAACTCCTAGTAGAGCTGCATCCCACATCACATAGCTCTTGGCCGTCCGCATTTCCAGAGTTTACTGCCAAGGAAAATGTCATAATCGAGTATTAATGTACTCTCTATCCATGAGTGCGGGTGCCACTTTGTCCCGTATAGGTTCCCAGAGCCGCCGTTCTGATCACGCCACCACCCCGTAAACCAGTCAGTCGTTCAGTTTCCCCCGTCTCCCACCCCGGACTCCGAACCAGAAAAATCATCTCTTCCCCAGAATCCTCTAGCTAGTCCCTGAAACGCCATGCCAACCAATGTTCATTCATTCCGATAACGTCCTAGAATCCCCGAAGCAATCCCAATCCGATCCCACACTATCCACCTCGGATGCTGGCTTCGGAGTCGAGTCACGTCTGATGCTGTCCCCTAGCGCCTCGCAGAGCAAGTACTGGTCGACCCTCTATGCCACCAGCTGTTGGGAGGGCGAGGGCGAGACCCGCTTTACCCTATTTCCGGGAGGCTTGCCCCCCGGCAGGCCGGGTATTGCCTCCATCTCGGAGAGCTTCTTAGTCGTTACATCTGGGTCGGGTTCGTCGTTTCCTATAAACGTCCAGCTCTCCTCGGCCTCCTCCTCATCATCTTCTTCTGCATGGACATGTTTGCCCGCCTTTCTCTTGATCAGGCTCGTCGCGTACTCCATGTCGCGGTAGAGGCACTGGATCGCATTTTCCACACCACGTTCCTGGTTTGCGTTAGCTTGACAACGAAGCCTCCTGGTTGGATATGGGGATGTCACTTACACTGCGAATCTGCTCACCCAGCACGCGAGCCTTGACAATCATACGGTCGTTGTGCGTAGCTTCCCAAAGCGCGCGGGCAAAAGAGACGGCACCCCATTTCTTCAGGCAAATGCCGACGCCAATGTCCTCGACTCTGCCTCCAAAGAAGAACTGGTCACCAAAGAATGGCCGGATGATGGTCGGGATACCAGCCCGCAAGCTAGCACCCGTTGTGCCGGATCCGCCATGGTGAGCAGCGGCGTCAATCTGGGAGAACAGCCAGTCGTGAGGCGCGCTCTTGATAACGAAAATCTCGGGCGGGATGACTGGCTCGTCCTTTGCGCTCTCCGCGTCACCCTGCTTGGCCACGCGATCCGACCAACCCTTGGACAAGATGCAGCGCACGTCGGCCTTGAGGACTGCGTCAATGACCTCTTGGGTCATCTTGGCGGTGTCGTTCACGATGATGGATCCGAAGCCGACGTACACGAGCTTCTTCTCGTCCGCTCTCGCCTTGGCAATGAAGTCGACGAGTTCTTGAGGCGGCTGGAAATCCGTACCCTCCTCCAAGAACCAGTAACCTGTGACGCGAATCCAGTCTGAAAAGTCCAGAGGCGGTGCGACAACGTACTCGGAGAAGTTGTAGAGGAACGGAACCTTGTTGGGCTGCATCTTCTCGAGGCTGGTGTTGGGCAACTTGAGCGTGACATTGCGCCAGCGGTTGACCTGATGAGCCGTGGCTTTCCAGAAGATGTTGTCAAACATGACGTACGTCATGTAATTGTACGCACCACCCATCTTGTATTCGGGCATAACAAATGCATGAGGGTAGGCTCTGGTCCGGGTCCACGGCATGGTGAAGGCTCTGAAGTAGGGAATTGAGAGCTTCTCAGCAATGTGAATGCCCGCCATAGCACTGGGGCTCTCGATCAGAAGATCAGAGCCTTGGCAAGCCTCCCACGCCGAGACGAGTAACTCATCCAGCCAGCCACGGAACATGGAATTTGCCTCTCGCAAAAAGGCCCAGGTGAATGTACCGTTTTCGATGCAGAGTCTCATGAGTTCACCAGGATCACCATCGACCTTGGCGAATTCGATGCCGTGGCCCTCGATCCAGTCCTTGAACTCGGCGTGAGTAGCAATCCGAGGCTTGTGACCTTCTGCGATCAAGCCTTTGCACAGGGCAATGTATGGCTGAACATCACCACGGGAGCCGATCGTCAAGCAAGTGATCTTCATCGAGTGGGGTGGCTTGAAGTTGAGGAACGAGGCTTTGGGGTCGTCGAACAGGATCGTCGGAGCATCGTTGACGCCTGGGCCGTCCTTTGGCAGGCAGAGTTCGTGATCATGGAATTCCTCGACTTGGCGCGCCTCCTTCAACGCGTCGCGCTCGGCCATGGCGTTCTCCTCTTCTTCCTTCTCGTCCAAGTCCAGGTCTCCCGATTCTTTCAGATAGCGCGTCGTCTCCAGGCTTTGCAGCAACGTCACGGCGCAATCGTCTCTGAGCTCGGCCTGACCAAACTCGAAAAAGACCTCCTCGTGGCCGCGAATGACAACCACCAAGCCAGAGTAGCCAAATCGGAATCCCTTCTCCTTATCCACGTTTTCAATGTCTTTCAAGGGAAGAATGAGCTTGGTCCTCGTTCCCGGTAACAAGCTGCGGAAGCAGAAGGACTTGTCACTAATATAGATCTTGCCGTACAATGGCAACACACGCAAGATGTAGCCGAAATAGGTCGCTTGAAGCTTCTCCGTCTCGGGGAGCGCGAAATGTGCGCGGAATCGATCCATGGAAGTCTGGATCTTGCCCTCTGCATCCTCGTATAGATCTTCATCGTCTGTTTTGATTTCGGGCGGAGCATCATAGTGCTTCCGACCGCCTCGCCACATGCCGGACACCTTTTCTACGTAGCCCATAGATTCCGTTGCTAGCATGGAGCCCAACTTACCACTAGTGCTGTTGAGATACTGGGCGAAGGCGCCCACACGCTGCAAGGGGAAAGTGCCCATCTTGCTGATGCTTTGCAGCGTAGGGGTCACCGGGGGCTTATCGCCGTCATTGATGGAACCAGTCGTTGCAGCATGTTGTCCACTGTACGCGGCCAAAGCCGGAGGGCTCCTATTCTCGCGGCGTTGGTTCTTTTCGAGCTCCGTGCGGGAGGCAGAGGCAGATCGTCGTACTGTGGGATTCTGGAAGACGTCGCTACCACGCAGGATCTGGCTCGCTGAAGGATCCTCGTTCGATGATGCCACCATGCCAGAATAGCTCGGGTCTTCCATAGAAGACTGCACATAGGAGTCAGTGGAGCCTTGCTTGTGCGGCGCATGACGAGAGTCATCGCGACGATTCCTGCTCATCGAGCGCCGATTGCCGCTAAAGCTGCGCCGAGGCGAGGAATCCCGAATGATAGTTGACAGATCCAGACTCCGGCGGCGGAAACCCCGAAAGGCATCGAAACTGGCTCGCGCAGCATCCATACTGGCGCGCGGGCTGAGAGCCGAGGGGCTATGGGGAGACATGGGCGACAGCGTCGCCTTGACGGCATTGGGCAGCTTGGTCGTCCTGAGCATAGGCGGCGCGATCCGTCTACTTGCGCTCATGGAGCTGCGGGCCGAAGCCGGCACTGGCTGCTTCTCCTGCTCCTCCTGCGCTTGCGCTGCTGCTGCCTTGAGAAGGGCCGCATCCTTGGCGCTGGAGGACGCATCCTCAATGAGAATCTTGAGAACGCTGATGGCGTCCTTGCCAAAGCTAAAAAAGGAAAAGAAGTACTCGTCGATGGCGTACGTCTCATCATTGTCAATGACGCGAATCTTGCACGTGTCGGCGAACTCGAGCATCTGGGTATCTTCAATGTCAATGACATTCTCGATGGGCAGCGAGATCTTGACGCTGTCGCCCTCGTTGTGTGAACGGAAGATGACTCTCTGCAGACTCTTGACCCATTCCTTGGCACTGGGAGCGCTATCAGCGCGGAAATGATAGGTTCGATGGTGAGTGACGACGGTAAAGTTGAGGCCATCCTTCTTGTCGTTGACGCTGGCCGAGATACCGTAGCGGAGGTCGATCTGGCCGCTAGGGAAGTAGACATTGGAGGGGTCCTTGTAGTAGGCCAGAACATCGCCCTTGAGGCGGAACCAGTAGCGGTTGTATTTTGGATTGCGCTTGCCGCTCTTGGATAGATAGCCCGACTTGACGACCTCGTGCTGTGGTCTTTATTAGTGTTTACTTGTGGCATTGTGAAGCGGATATGGGGAACACGCACCGCCTTCTTGGGGAGGTAGGCGTAAAAGCAAATGTGCTTTGCCGTGATGTACATGTAGCCCTGGAGTAGTACGCTCTGGAGCAACCAACAAGGGTATTCTGCCGCGTATTAGCTGACTGCGCACACCCTCAGCAGGGCAGTATCCGAAAACATACCCTCAATGACAGCTTCAGGATGGTCGAACTCGAAGATGTCCTGCAGACGGCGAGCCAAGGCATTGGAGTTGGAGCCAGCGGAGTCGCTGTCGGCGAGCTGGTCGCTGGAGCGGCGGTCGACGTCGAAGCTGGGTCTCGCGGACATTTCGGCTTTTGCCTCGAGCATCCTGCTCATTACGGGGGCCAGACGGTGACCGTCTCGGTCGTCGTCTTCTCTTGTATCATCGGCGGGTTGTGACGGAGAGGCTTCGGAGGTGTCGCTAGCTTCCTCTGATGTAGGTTCCAGCTTGGAGGTCTCCTTTTTGGATTTGTGCCGTGGCAGACGGGGGAGCGCCGGTAGCGATCGGAGGAGCTTGGAGCCTGAGATCTTGCGCCGGTGTTTCTCGGTCTTGGCGGAGGAGTCTTTCTTGAGGACGGTCGTCTTTGACATGTCAGAGTCGTTCTGCCGACGCTGTTTGCGATGCAGGAGGTGGCCGATGCCGTGGACCTTGTCGTCTCCCCCGTCCAGGTTATCGGCGCCGTGACGGCGATTGTGTTCGTCCTCGTCAGCGCTCTCTTCGTCGCTGGACTCGAAGCGGTCGTGGAAGTCGACCCGGGAGCCGGCGGCGGCAATGAGACCGAAGATGGACTGGTTCATGTTCATGAACATAGGCGGGCCCTGTGTCGGGACCAAATCCTCCTCTCTGCTATCGTCGCCCTCCTTTAACCTTTCAGGCAATTCCATGGTGGGAGTATTTGGTTCGTGCCGCTTTTTCTGCAGCTTCTTCCCGACGCGCTTCTTGACATCGTCCTCGCCGAAGCTGACGCTCGCGGCGCCAGCTGGAGCCGGCGTGGACATCGCTATCGGGGTGTTCGCTTGGTCGGAGGCAGTCGAGCGAGTGGTAGGTCGAAGACTACCTTTGTGAGGTAAGACTTCGGGTGAGTTCACGACCTCTTTGTCCAGGCGGTATGAGAGGTGGAGAGGCGGGGGGAGGCGAAGGCGAGACGGACGATGCTGCGGCAGCGGAAACGTCGCACTGCGGAGAGAGAAGGGGGGGAGGAAGAAGGAAAATTCGTGTGGCTACAGCGGGTTCATTCGGGCGGCGACGATAAGGTTCGAGCTGCGGAAGGGTTACGGAATAAGGCAGAGGACGAGGCAGCCCGGGGCCAAAGTCTGATGGCGATAAAGTACGCAGTTAGTGTTCAGGTGAGGTAAGGCAAGGAAGGTAGGGTAAGGTATCCGTGGGTTCAGCCGTTGGTTTGGGACGAAGACGGACTGGCGACAGAGACACGGCGACCTTGAAAAATGTAGAGAGAGACAACAGAAGCTGAGGAGGGTGACACAAAGAGCAGAGTTGAAAGGGTTAGGTAAGGCAAAGTAGGTACCTCGGGGAGAAGATGTGGAGAGAGTCAGGTCAAGTCTGAGGACCGAGTAAGGTAGTACCTGATGATAATGACTGGGTTGATCTGATAGGGCAAACAGTCTAGGTAGCAAACGGTTCGAGGAAGATTACAATGCTGCGGCCGAACCCCAGACAACCTGGAAGACGGAGACCGGGGTTGGACGGTTGACAGTTGACAGTCGTCTCCCAGGCCAAGGTACCACGAGACGAGGGTCATGGATGGATGGCTCAAAAAGAGTCAAGTATCTCAAGTATCTCAAGTATCTACAAAGTATCCGTACTAATACCTAGTGTACGGATACGGATACCGGTATACCAAGGTACAAACAGAGTGTGAAAGGCATTGGGGAAAGGCGGCAACTGCAGCAGACAGGGGAAGGAAAGGCCACAGTCAGATGCAAAGCAAAGCAAAGCAAAGCAAAGCCAATGGGAAAGAAAAGCGAATGAGAAGGGAAGCCCACTTGCCGTTCATTTGTCCGGCGCATTCGCACTAGCCAAAGATAACCGGGAGCAGCAGCAGATGCACTCATAACTCATGGCATCGACACGCCAGTCCTCATCAGTCAGAGTGTCTTGCGTGAGTCCAAGGTGAGAAGCCTCCAGGCCATTGTCTTCCAGGTGTGCACTAGCAGCACCTTAGCAGCAGCTGGACTCCCCCAAGTTCTGTGCGCAGCCTGCACGCGATGCTGCGCCAAAAGTACGCGCATTTCTTCCTCTCGTAGTGGATCAGAAAGACATATCCGTATATGATCCATCCATCAGGGGTCCAGTCATCCCTCGCACTCTCTCCCTCTCCCTCTCTGGTTGTCTTCTCATTGGACCGGTGTCTTGGATGAAGTGGGTTCATCTTTTGGTCGCTCCAGTGTCTGATTCCATGCATGAAGCTTGTGATGGCCCTGGCGGATATGTGGCCCCTGCCTGCTTTTGCTTACAGTGTATCCGCACTCAATGAGTAAAAGAGCCCCAATCTGGCCACAGGATGGACTGGAAATTTCGCATTAGGCCTCCTACTTTCAACCTACCTCCTTGAGTCCCTTTGCAGGACATGACGGGAACAAGAGGAGAGGTAACAAACGGCAGAGCAAAAGAACCTTGAAGGGAGCAGCTGGTTCTTCTTGTGTTGCAGATGGCCCAGACCCATAATAAAAGTACAAAAGACATGGAACCTTGGAGGGCGACGGCGCTGCAACCGAGTCCCCTATGGGTCCTCGACATATCCCACTCCTCCCATTGGCCTTTGATTAAGCTTCGTTATCGATAAGCCACTCCCATGACGCCAAACTGCCCCATCCGGGTCCCATCACAAGATCTCGACAAAAGACATGGATTGCCATGTGAGCCGACCACTCCGGGCCAGCCTGACCTCGCTCCCGTCAGACCCGAGGCATACAGCACATTGTCAACGACTGCCCTCATCAGCAGATGCATAGCAAGTCCACTCATCATTCGCCTTCAAAACACGTTGAGTAACACCCAGTGTCCGAATACTACAGCCCAATCCCTCTGTCACTCACCTGAGCTTAGACTCACTCACAGACCCAAATGAGGGCTGAGAGTGAGGGGACCGAGCCTAAACTGACATCAGCCCAGAGTTATGGCAAACGATACTGAACAGGCTCTCTCTCTCTATGCCCGAGCACCCAGATTCGCATCGCGGGGGCATCTCAGATCTAACCCATTCCGGTTCCCCACTTTTGTTGAGAGCCGCCGCCGCCCCCAAGCTTTGAATGTGAAAAACAACATATGGAACAGAAAAACAAACACAACGTCATCGAGTCTCTATAATTGCTGGTGTTTTGGCACAGAATTTTCGAGCAAGACGTAGGTTACATGCTTTGGTGGCCTTGGTAACCTCATCAGTGTCATGCCCCCCAATGAGAAGAGTCACAGTCAAATCCAGTTGTGAATCTGAATGAGCGCGAACCAACATTATCCACAATCATGAGCAGCCAAGCATCTTAGGTTGTATTTCAGCTCCCTTGTAATCGAAAAAAAGACTTCCGGTCTTGCATAGATATGCTTGAAACTTTGTTTCATGACTTACGCAGTAATTAGGCTGGGGAACTCTTTTCTTTTTATACTGAGCTTCAATGTCTCACCTTAAATCAGACTATTCAGTGTCACAACAATCTCCTCATAACACATCGCTACTAAGGTATACGTGGTGTCATCTTTCGTATCCAAGCCATCCTTGTGACTATCACTCCTGTAACAACCTTTTGCTTGAATTGAGACGACATGAGTAGGGCAGGTGCAGGGGTCAAAATGCTGAGGTACAAGGCCCACGTACTTTGGAGGTTCTACATCTTCATCTACTCACACCTACATGAATGGAACTCATCGCAGGAAATCAGCTTGGATTGGCATAGACACCGAGATCCCGATTGAACAAACTGACTGAAGCGGAGATCCGGACCCGAAATGCCGGTCACCGTCGCCGAATACTACTGCGGGGGCGGGGCGTCTGAGCCCGCGAGAGGGGGGGCAAATGACGACGTTGCGTGGTATACAGAACTTGAACCGTTTCTTGTCATCATCTTAACCTTTCCGTTTCAATTGAGCTCCTGCGCTTTAAACTTCACAGCCGTTGCAAATCTCGAGGCCGCCCTTCCAACCCAGAGAACCGCGGATCTACCACTCTACTACGCTTCACGTCCCGCGCGCATTGTAGCATGAGGTATCTGAGATCCCCTCGCGTACTGCTCACCTTGATCACCTTCTTAGCCTATTTGGCGTAGGTGACAGCCTTTTCTCTTTCTGATGATGGAGAAGCTCAAGGCTGGTATAAATGAGAAAGCGCCCAAAGCTGATCCACCTCTCAGTCCCTCATCTCAACAGAGTCCCCCCTTCAACGAGAGCAATCTCCCAGCAAACCGCACATCCGCCGCCTTCCCCCTCCCCGTCCCAACGCTCGACCTTGACTTTCGCATCGTCGTCGACCTCAACCCCCTGATTCCCGTCGGCGTCGGCCCGTTTGGCCAGCGGAACTGGATCTCCTTCTCCGGGGGCGCCTTTTCGGCCAAGTGGGGCAGCGGTACCGTCGTCGCCGGCGGGCAGGACAGTCAGATTGTCGTCAACGAGACGCTGAGTACCGCCGTCGAAACGTCCTACTTGTTGAAGACGGACGATGAGACGCCGGCTTACATCAATGTCAAGACGACGGGCTGGCGGACCGGGCCGAGGGAGGTGATGGAGAGGCTGTTTGACCCGACTAGGGCGAATGATGTCAAGCCGGAGGAGTATAGCTTCCGTTTGAACGTCAAGATGGAGACGGGGGATGAGCGGTACAAGGATACCGTGAACACCGCCATGTGGGTTGGGAGTGGTGCTCGTTTGGGAGCTACGGTCATCTATGATGCTTACCGCGTGGTGTGATTGTGTATTTTAGCATCAAGACGATTACGCCCATCATCAAGAGAACTCAAAATATCGTGTTTATCGGTGTACTTGTGTATGTTCGAACATCAACATAATCAGATCTTGAAACACGCAAGCGCATAGTTGGTGTTTTATATTTTGAATTGATTTGTGTCGTTTAATGAAGTCAATTTGAAAGCCTGTATGAATTGAACACTTAAAGCAATAGAACATCACCGCTACTTGAGCTGAGCTCTGATTTGGAGAAAACGAGTAAGTATTTATAGCAGTCACCTTCACATAAAAAATTGAGAGCAATCTAAAAGTGATAATAGCGAGATGGCGGCCTTTACTTATGCTCCTGTCCTCGCCTCCAAGGCTTCCTCACTAGCAGAATACCTGAGGTAGAGTAGCTTGGCGCTGATTTTACTCCTCGTTGACCCTCTCAAAGACTTTAAAGTCCTCTTACACCGGAATAAGTCCTCAAAGCCACGAGCAAACGTGGGTAGGTGAAGATTGCGAAAGGAGGAGGATCTCCCTCACAAGCATCCGACAGTAGCATGACTGCTTGTTCATCATGACTACAAGATCAAACTCAACGTGAGCGCCCTTGGTGATGAAGTTACGAGATTCAAGCTCCAATTCTGTCAGACATTCAATGGGTGTGGCCACACTTCTCGTAACACCCCGCTTCGTCGCACCTACTCACAACAAGGCAGATAGCAGCAAGTTCGCTTGATACCAACAAATTGGGTTATCACACCCCGGATAGCATCACTGTATTTGCTATGAAATGTCTCTATACAGGGCTGGGTCTGCCACCCGCTTGCTTCCCTCCCAACTTCAAAGACAATCCCATAATGGCACACCTTCCTTTCACCTTTGAGCTGTCATCCTGGGACACAAATGGTTTGGTATCTTGGGAACATAAATTTGTTCAAGTCCAAACGGTCGATGCTTTATAGTATAAGTGACATATCGAAAAGTCCTTTTATCCAATTCTTTTCCAAAATGCCCCGTCATTATCCAACCGGATCGCGGGCCGACATCCTATCAACGGTGTTCAATCCTCGTAACAATGTCCGGGGCTACCAAAGCCGCCGCTCGATGACCACATAGAGCTGATGACATCCACCCATGTACCAAGGCACAAGCAAGCTTAGATTCCTCAACTTCCACTTCCAGAATCTTCCAGAGTCCTTTTGCAGAACCTGCGGCATAATGCATACCCTGCGGCAGTACTGACCTCCTATCCCCCAACGCCACGCAACGCAAAATGATATACCTTTCCCATAATCCCTCCGTCGCACAAAATGAGGTCCAAAGTAAACGCGTCTCGTACCTACGCTTCCAGGCTCACATCCACAGGCAGAGCTTTCCACTGGCGGTACCACCCATAACCCAGTCCATCGTGGGGTGGAAATGGGCGACAGCAGGTACAGCCGAGATACCATCTCCGCCTAGCTGCGCAAGCTGCTCTCCATTAGCAGCGTAAACGTCGACGAATCGGTTCATATTGCCGATGGCAAACTTTTGGATGCCATCCTTTGGTCGCTTCTGCCACTGAGGCTTCAAAATGGTAACCCAACGTCCCGTCTGGTTGTTATGCTTGACGATATGCTTTGGCTCCATCTCGGTGGTCTTGTTCCAGTCGGCGCGGTCGGCCCAGTCGTAAATTTTGATAGTATCATCGTAGGATGACGTGGCAACGTGGCCGCCGGGGCTCCAGGAGGCGTGAGATACGGAGAGGCGGGAGTTGTGCTCATAGAGCATGGCGGGGTGTCTCATTTCACCCTTTCCGGTGATCTTCCGTAGGTCCCAGATCTTAACGGTCCTATCGAGAGACGCGGTGGCCAGAAGGTGCGGCTCCCGCGGGTTCAGGGAGAATCCTCCAATCTTATTGTCGGATAACTGCCACATCTCCATGGACTTGGGGTCGCGAATGTCGACCTTTCCAACGGCGCCGTTCAGAGTTGAGAAGTAGATGACGTTCTTATCTGTAAAGGGTACATCAATGGCGGACAGGGGGATGTCCTCGTTCTTATCCTTGGGCTCCCAGATGGGCACACACATGTCCTTCTCGAGGTCGAGAACGCGGATAGTGGAGTCGTAGGACGAGGTATAAACTTTCTGCTGCTCGAAAGGAGAAACAATGATGGTCGTGATCGTACGAGTGTGAATCTTGTAGGCACCGATTTTTGGATCGAACCATCCGTCCTCGTCGTCCTCATTCTCCGGAGGGCCGTCCTGCGAGGCGTCGAAAACCCCTAGTGCGCCTTCCTTATCACCGGCGAACACTAGAGCTTTCTCCTCGGTTGGGTGGAAGGTGGCAGCGTAAATGCGCAATGGGCAAATTTTGATATCTGGAAACTTGTGAGCAATTACCACGGGTTAGGAACACACACATAATCTGGCCTACCCTGGGGACTCCACTTCTCGTAGAGCTCCAACTTGCCCATCTTCTGACGCAGCTCCTTCAGGTCCTTATCCGACGTGTTTTCCACGTCCTCGTCGGTGAAGGTGGGAACACCGGGCTGGGCGCCGCGGGGGACCAGTGCACTCAAACCGCTGATTCCGTTATTGAACTTCTTGCCATCGACGGCGATGTCCCCCAAACTAAGGTTTCCACCGATTCTCGTCTTTTTGGCCTTTTCCTGTGCCGCCTTCTCCTCGACTTCGACCTCATACTTGCGCTTCAGCGTTTCGTTGTCCGCGTCAAAGCCTGCGACGCGAGCACTTCGACGGACTGGGCCACTCGGGGCGACGGGCTCCTTCTTTACGGGGGTAGACCGAGACTTCGGGGCGGGCTTGGGCTTGGGCTTGGGCGGCATAATCTTATTAGATGCTTTGGCAAGGTCGTCAAGCATAGTCTTGTTCTTGGCTATGTTTGCAAGTCGCATCTTCTCGAAGGCGCTCATCCCCTGCTCCTCCTCGGCTTTGACCTTGGTGCGAGCCATGATTGCGGTTGTTGGGATTCCAGCACCGAATCTGAACGGGAAGAGGTAATCGTATGCGACACAATGGCGATCGACCCGAGACAAGATGACTTATTCGGATCGAGAATCTCGAGGTGGTTGAGGTGGTTGTGATTGCGATTTGTGCCAGGTGGCGGTCGTGATTATTGGTAAGGTAGCGAGTGCTGTTCACGATGGAGTTGAGCAGGGTCGAAGAGCGGATGAAGAGGAAGGGTGCGACTTACGGTGGGAATTGCAACTCTAGAATCGCAAATGCAGTGCCAAACTCAAGGTTGGCGTGTCGCAATTGCGAGCCGTGGCCGAGAGGTGGAATTGTGAGGACGAAAAGAATTAAAGAATGAAAATCCAAAAAAATATTAAAGAGGCAGTCCGAGATCCGGGGAGGAGTGAATCACCACGCCGGGAAGGGGCGCGCTGGAGGCGAATCTGCCTAATTGACGGGACCGAAAGCGCGTCGCAACGCGTCCAGCTCCTCGGTGCTACAGCGAAGGTACAGGGGGTTTAATGTCTATTACGTCAGCCAATAGCGCCGTGTCGGTCCCTGCATGGCCCCAGCTCCCCTGTCGCGTTCGCTTGGATTTTTGGATGGAAATTTTGTCGGATCTGCAAATCTGCTGATGCTGGTGCTGCCTCTGCAACTTTGACTATCGCAAAGTGCACATAGCTTGCGCTTCCAACCCAACGCAATGTCTACAACATTGACACCCTTCCTATACCAAACGAGGACCATCCTCAGGGCCTCCGTGTCGGTTCGGTCCCTGTCGACAACCGCAAGCCGGCTCCAAGCTCACCCCCGAACCCGCGGCGAGCAGAGCATCCCCTTCGAGTGGGATGGCCCGGTCGAAGAGCGAGCCGACATCCCCAGCGGTCCAGACGGCGAGAGAAAGTCCACCATTACGCCGACCGAGAGACACATCTTTCGCGGCATCTTCGACGACATTGCGAAGCGCGGCGGCCACCCCCCGCCACAAACTCCCCAAGACGCTGTAGACGCCGCCGCCGCCGCCTCCTCTCAAGTCGAACCCGAGTCCGGATCTCGCGATGCCATCCTGCGCAAATACCCCCTTGCTCTGCGCCGCGCCGCCGAGGTTGCCCTTGGGATGCGCCAAGTGCAAGGCGACCAAATAAACTCCTCGCGCATCTCCTTCAAGCCGGAAGAGGAGCTCGAAGCAGATTTGGAAGAGGCCGCTAAGCTAGATGCCGCGCGGAGGGATGCCCGCGCCCAAGAGGCTGTCCGCCTGCAGGCCCTTCTGGACCAGTGCAACACCGATGTTGAGGTCTGGACCGTTTTGGAGCGCGACGTCTTCTCCATGGTCGCAAGGCTGGGTATCTCCGAGGACAAGCCCGAGCCGGATCCGGAAAAGAAGGCCAAGTCGGCGCAGAAGAGGTCGTCCAAAAAGACCCAGCCGAGCCACAGCGTGGACGCCCTCAGCATGGACTCCCACGGCCCGCTGTACTCGATGCACCTCCTCCAGGGCCTCAAGACCCTCGACCAGTCCTTTGCGCGGTCCTCCCCACTGGCGTTGAACGTCCTCCCGCGCGTAAAGGACCTCGGGCTAGCCTCGTACGTCCTCGGCGTCTCGACGCCATTCTACAACGAGCTGGCCTCCATTCTCTGGTACCGCCACGGGGACACGCAGGCTGTGCTGGCCGTGCTGGACGAGATGCAGTTCGCGGGTCTCTTCTACGACATGCAGACGCTGCGCCTCGTCGATGCCATTGAGCTGGCCCTAGACTCCTTCCGGGGCGGCAAGCTGGGCGTCTTCTCCAAGGCTATTGGCACCATGCCGGGCTACAATCTCGATGTCAAATCCAAGGTGGCGCGTTACGCGCGGAGGGTTCGCCATAGCATCAGGGAGCAGACGGGCAGTGCGCGATACTAGATCGCCCGGTGTAGGACGCAATAACTGCTGTCAAGAGAGGCTGCTTGTTCAAGACACTGTAACATATCTGTAATCATAACACTCTGCATAGCGAATCCTCGTCAGGATTGGAACCATGGAAAGGTGCATGGCGCTCCTGGCTCACAAAAGTAATCCAAAACAACACAAGCCCCAGAATTTCGACCCCGTATCCATGCCATTCAGGAATCTCGATGTTGGCTGAGACATGATAAGCAGACATACACGCTTTGCGATATTCTCTCTAGGACGACAAGAGGATCCATTCCTCTGGCTTCCCAAGCGGGCTGCCGGACTTAAAGACGGACTTCAGACAGACTTTCTGGGCTTCAAAGAAGATCGGTAGTACCGAAGAATTTTAAGCCTTCGGGAACTAAACAAGTGTCTTCACCCCCACGCCCTGAACCCATTCCTGAGCAACTTTCTCCAGGTGTCTTTGTTCTCAGCCCTAGATGCCAAGCCAGCCTTCACCCCCTCCTAGGATTCCACATGAGTGAAAAGAACGCTTGGTCTGGTTGACTGTTATGAGCCAAAGCGTCCGACAGTCGTGCTGTCGGAGGGGGCTTATCAAGTTATCTGGCCTTTTGTCCGCTCCATGGAATTGCCATAGACGGTGCAAAACTGCCAGGGGAGAAGGCTTCATCCATTGACGGCTACTTCTTGGATCTCAGATATGCGCTGGGATCGCTGGATGGGCTAGCCTCATCTAAGGTAGGTTCTGTGTGGACAACTGCCTAGTGCAAGTTTCTGAATGTAATCGTGTGAGCTCGTTTTATCGCCGGTCGCTGCTGTCAAAGACCACACGTGCTATTTTCGCCGCTTCACTGGATGGATGGTTTGAAAGCTTCTGGCCGCGTTTGAACTCGTCTGGTTTGTCGGGCAATACTAAGTGAATGTCCATAATGGACTCATTCCTTGGATGAAAGCCATGCAGAATTGTCTTGTTAGGATGCTGACGTCTTTTGACCACATGTCGCTTTCCACGACGACTTGACCTCAACAGCATAGAAAACGACACGAGGGAGGGACATCTGAGGCGAGACTTCACGTCAGCTGAAGGATCGTAGAGTTTTCATACGGCAATCTGCCAGGCGAATCAACGTCAATCTCGTATGAAGATGAGTGGCTAAGCTCGCTGGCCGGGGAATAGACGGGCGCGCGGTGCCTCGATAAGGTTATGCAGTCGGAGAGTCAACTTGGGAGGCAGTCGGATCTTCCATCAGGCATAATAGTGAGAGGTCAATGCGAATAACAGAAAGGCTGCAAATGCACCGGCAGAACTACATCTTGCGCGGAAGAATGAGTGACCCACCTCTGGAATTACCAATTACTTTGAATGTCAGTCGTTGCTACCTGTGATTCATGTATGTATTTACATAGATAGATACAAGGTATTTAAATACCTGCTTTAAAGTGCTCACACAGGTAGGTGGTATATGTAGTTGGTGACGTAAATAGTACATTGAACTCATCCATAAATAAGTTGAGAAGTAGCAAGAAGCATGTTTTGATTGCGAGTGAACGCTACCTACTTACTTACCTACCGGTGAAAGATGTTCGACCTGAGTTTACGGTCCTCATTTACAGTTGAGAAAGAAACACTCTATCTGCTATTACCATCTGTTCATTACCCCCCCATTGACAGCATCGAAATGCGAATTGACTTGCTCATTCCATTACGAAACTCATTTTAAACAAGATGACGACTGACTGACTGAAACGACCTTTTGGTTGCCTCATTATCGTTAATGACGACGATGGCAAACAGCAAGGTACACTACATACGTGCAAATACATGCATGATCTGAAGCTGACTGAAAGAAAGACCAAAAACAAAACGAAACGAGCTGCGGCTGATGGACCGCGAAATTGGGCTATGAGCAAAAGATGAAGTTGCGGCCAGTGTGGATTGAACACACGACCTTCAGATTAATTGAATGAAGTTTCTAGGGTTGAGAACCCACTTCAGTCTGACGCTCTCCCAACTGAGCTATGTCCGCCGCTATCTTCGTGATCCACCGTCAGGTGGCACTGCTATGAATCCTCGACCACGCGAAAAGCTGGCGTTGATCGTGCGTGCATTTCAACAATTGCAAGTTCTAGAACAATCCATCAACAGTACAAACGGATCAGAAACCTACGGCCAGAGTCATAAAGGTTATGTGGTAGGTAGACCCAGGACAGATGCGTGCTTCTCGTGAAATGGCAAACTGGCCGCGCTGTTTGTTAATACGAGTCATCCTGAGACATCAGCAAGGAGATCGATCAAAGCTTCGGCCTCAAAAAGGTACACTTTATTATGCCCAATTTCCCAATGCTCAGTAGAAGATGACTCCCTCGGCGTCGCTAGCTGATGCGGCCACAATGCCTCCATGGCTTGGTTGAAGTTTAGAAAAAGAAAAAAAAAACCTGCTTTTCATGTCGCAGAGTCATGACCATATGAACATCCTAATCACTCACATGCAGTACCTCCCAGCCGTCTAAGTCTCCCCCCTGGTCCGGTTCCCCCCAAAACCCCACTGTCTTGCTTCTTTACCATCCACGCGTGGCCAGCTTCTCCTCCGTCTTCAGGCTGTCGCAGTTGATGCCAACCATGGCCTCGCCAAGTCCCTCACTGCACTCGGCGAGGACCTTGGCGTCCTTGTAATGCGTTGTCGCTCTCACAATGGCCTTGGCGCGCTTGGCCGGGTCGCCAGACTTGAAGATGCCGCTGCCGACAAAGACGCCGTCGCAGCCGAGCTGCATCATCAGCGCCGCGTCCGCCGGGGTGGCGACACCGCCGGCGGCGAAGTTGACGACGGGAAGACGACCGAGCTCGGCCGTCTGCTGGAGGAGTGTGGGGTCGACCTCGAGCTCTCTCGCCAGGGCGCGGATGCCCAGGACGCCCTCGGTCTGAAGAACTCCCTTGGCGCGGGCAATATCTCGGGTGACCTGCTTGACGTGGGTGACGGCCTCGACGACGTCGCCGGTGCCGGCCTCACCCTTGGTGCGGATCATGGCGGCGCCCTCTGCGATTCTGCGCAGGGCCTCGCCGAGGTTGCGGCAGCCGCAGACAAAGGGAGCCTTGAAGTCGGCCTTTTCCACGTGGTAGACCTTGTCGGCCGGGGTGAGGACCTCGCTCTCGTCAATGTAGTCGACGCCGAGGGCCTCGAGGATCTGGCACTCAACAAAGTGGCCGATGCGGGCCTTGGCCATGACGGGGATGGTGACGGCGTTCTGGATCTCCTTGATGACGGCAGGGTCGGACATGCGCGCGACGCCGCCGTCCTTGCGGATGTCAGCCGGTACGCGCTCCAGGGCCATGACGGCACAGGCGCCGGCCTCTTCGGCGATGCGGGCCTGGGCCGCGTCGGTCACGTCCATGATGACACCTCCCTTGAGCATCTGGGCGAGTCCGGCCTTGACGGCAAAGGTGTTCTTGGCATCGCCGTTGGTGCCGTTAGGCTTGGTCGCGTCGTTGTTGGTCATTGTGACTAGAGTTGTAATGCGACTTCCGGGGCGTATCTATGAGATAGATGAACCGCTATGAGATGAGCGATGATAGTGAATTGGAGGTGTGAAGGTACAGAAGGCCTGAGTGAAAGAGTCGGGAATAGAACGGCTCCGGTAGTGAGGGGTATCTTTTTTTTTTATTTTCAATCAATCAGAGAGAAAGAAGGGCCTCAAAATGGCTAATGATGATTCAAGATGCTCCGCTTCACGATGGGTCTGGTTGTTTGTCATGAAATCCGGGGAAAAGGGGTCTACAAGAAAGATGAAGACGGATTGGAGGGGGGGCAAATATGTATATGGCGGCGACGACAACTCGATGATGACACGGAATGTTCAACGGGGTAACCAAGATTGGATGAAGAGAAAAATTTTTATACTTCTGCTGTACCGAGTCATCCCGTCTTTTCCGCGGATCTTCCCAAAGTTCCATCTGCTTGGAGAACAAGACCAAAGGGACGCCAGCGGCCAGCCAGAAAACCCCTCCGCCTTGGCGAGCCGAGCAAAGCAGCGCGTGGCCCGCGACTGAGTCGGCGGCGACACTTGGCCGTAAGGAAGGGGAACCGCTAGGGCCGAGCTTACCACCCGGCAGTCTGCAGATAATAGTCATGGGTAGACTGCGACTCTGCAAGATGGATGATGTGGGTTGCGGGCACGGGCATGAGGGGGACGGATCAGGGCCCGATCTCGGAAAGGCAAGATACGGTTACTCCGGGGCCCAGTACAAGAGCAACCTTAATGAAATGGCAGTGTCATCGAAGTATCCCGCGGGAGTCGTAGACCGTAGTGGGCGCGGAGGGCGGTCCATTCCTGCGCACCAGTGTTTGAACGGGTGGCGGAGTCTGACGGTAAGACGGGCTCAGTCGCACAGATGTGGAAGTCTGGGATCCTGGACACGCTGGAACTATTTCCTGATGAGGAGAAAGATGAGGATTCCGTGATGTGGGACGTCTACGTTGTATCGATGAATCACGACCCGACATATTCTCTTCATCATGGGTCACTCTGGCAATGCGCGCATATAGTGTATGTACAACGTAATTGCATGCCACCCTGGTAGCCACCCGGCGAGGCAACGGCTTCCATGTTTGGTGACAAGTGTCTACCGACAGTCAAACATGCTCCTAGCGGCGGCGACAGTTGCAAAAGACTGAAGGGCGGGCAGAGAGCGGTTGTCATCGGATGTAGATCCGAGCGACCACCTCAATCCCTCCTACAAACCCGCCAGTGCCGCCCTACCGCTCTCTTCAGTCTTTTCCGCACGGGACAGTAGCCAGATCGCCCCATCTTCTTCCGTCCGAGCTGCAGAGTCAAGCTGGAAAAAGCTTCGTATGCATGGAATCTTCTCTCGCCGCCGCTCCATGCAGTTGCATCGCCTACCTCTCCATCTGGCGGGCGCCTTTCCATGTCCCGTTGCTCCGCCAGTCATTGACATTAACCAGCCAGCAACGAACGACATCTGCATGGATCTTTGGTCTACCAGTGTAGCCAGTTCGCGCCGTTTACGCCCTTTGCGCCCACAGCGACGGGACATTCCTGGTCTACACTCTGCACAGCGGAGCAAGTTGGCGGCGAGCTACTAGCAAGCCGCCATTGCTTTACCTAGGCCGAGGACACTCTGACTGAACCGCTGATTACTGCACACCGCGGGCAAGATAAAGTTCCTTACTTTACGTTAGCTAGCAAGGGTCTTCAACAAGCCGTTATCGCCAAGGCCGACGAAGCAACCCCCAAATCCCCGTTATCCTAATTACCCTCCGCATATCCGTACGTACTCGTAGTCTGCAACCTTTTGCTCCTGTGCACCGGTCCGGGGCGTGGTGTCCGAGGTCTCTGCCTGTGTTCATGACTCAAACGCGACATTTGGAACCTTTTGCGACTCTGCCCATCATTCTCAAGAACTCTGCTGAACGCCATCAGCTACAGCTTCCTCAACCTCACAACCTTTTTCTCAAAATGTCTCCCCTCACCGTCGGTGTGCTGGCTCTTCAGGGCGGCTTCCACGAACATGTCGAGCTCGTGCGGAAGGCCGCCGCCTACCTCGCTACCGCCCAGTCTTCGTCGCCAAGCCCGGGACCCGACATCGCCGCCATCGAGGTCCGCACCGAGGCAGAGCTCCGAAGCTGCGGTGCCCTCATCATTCCGGGCGGAGAGAGCACCACAATCTCCTTCATCGCGGTGCAGTCTGGGTTGATGGAGCCTCTAAAGGAATTCGTCAAGTAAGCCACCTCACCATGAACGAACCCGACTTTGCTTCCATGATGTCATTTGCAAGATTGGGAAAAATTCCACACTGCAGGATTTTCTCTCTCATTGCCATCATCCCCCTCACTTTTCTCGAATTTCTTGGAGAGTTTTCTGGTGAGACAACGTCTAACTCGTATCCTCTTTTTAGAGTCGACCGTAAGCCAGTCTGGGGAACCTGCGCTGGCGCCATTCTTCTCGCTGATGAGGCAAATGCCACCAAGAAGGGCGGCCAAGAGCTCATCGGCGGGCTGGGCGTGCGCGTCCACCGCAACCACTTTGGTCGACAGATTGAGAGCTTCGTAGCGGACCTAGACCTGCCCTTCCTGACGCAGGGCGACGGCAATACGAAAACGGCATCCTCCCCTTACCCCGGCGTCTTCATCCGCGCCCCAATTGTAGAGGAGATCCTCTACATGGAGTCCGAGGCGGCCGGCAAGCCGTCTTCCTCGGCTGTCGAGGTCCTTGCTGTTCTGCCGGGGCGAAAGAGCAAGGCCGCCGCGGGCGTCAGCCAGAGCACTGCGGACGACTCGGTTGGTGACATTGTTGCTGTGAGGCAGCAGAACATCTTTGCCACGAGTTTCCACCCCGAGCTGACTGACGACGTCCGCATCCACGTGTGGTGGTTGGAGCAGGTGATGCAGGCCGTGGCACCGACATCATCCGCATGAGCGCGGTGCTGAATACTCAGAGCAAAGTGATGTCACAACGCATATTTTGCAAAAGGAGAAAAAGACACTCACACGAAGCCATTGACGAAGGGGTCAACCGAGGGCGTACCGTCTTTGCGTCGACGTTGAGGGGTGGCATATGCCACAGATTGCCACGAAATGCCACCACAGATGCCACTGGGGCCGACGGTTCCAAGTCACATCACATCACATTTCACATCCCACTCGGCTGGCAACGATTAGGTATCAAAGAGAGATTCATAACTTGCATCACGCACAGACGCAACGGGAGGAGATTTGCAGATCTTAGTGCTGGTAGCAACGGGTGGGCAGAGAGTTTGCATAGCGCTGCCTTTGTCGTTGGAATGAGGAGAAATGGGCTAGTGACATCCGTGGCTTGCACGGAATTTGGACCTCCCGCCAATCCCAGACACATAGTCAGATCATGCGAGCCCCCTCGGCTCGCCTGCGAGTACGGGCCGGTAAGCAAAGTGCGAGATAATACGTACTGGTCCCGCGGGAGGAGGGTTGGCAACAGTGTGGGTAAAGACAGAATTTAGAATAGAGCAGACGGAATCGAATATGATCAGCAGACCTAGTTCAGCCGCCGACAGACATCCAGTCAGCAGGGTCCAAGATGGCCTCAACGAATGCAGACATTTCCAAGACTGATGTGCAGATCCAGGACCAAGGATGAGGTCGAACCTTGACCTCATCTTTGGTTCCAGCTGTGCCCATGTCCGTGATCCTGGGATGGTTCCTGGGGTGGGCACGGGGTGTGCCTTGACATTGGGACCTGATAGACAGGGCCGTGATGAAAAGATCTTCAGCAATGACTTGCAGACAAGACCCGTCGACGCATAATTTTTTTGAAAATAGGGAACATGGCTTGGAGGCGCAGATCATTCTCAATTCTTCCAACAGGAGAGGAAAATTGCCAGACCCATCAAGGTGGTGAGCTTTTCGACCCCTGGAATTTGCGTGTAACCCCAAAATGGGACCGACATCAAGGGGACATGCATGATCTGATTGCTACCCGCAGTGCTAGCAGCTTGGGTTCTAGTTTACCAGAAAAGAGCACTTCGGATGGGTCGGATTTAGAATGATAATAATTCCATTACACTGTCAGCGGCATTGGCGTGAGGGTTCAACTCCCAACAAGGTAGCCAAGGAAGATGAAGAATGCACAGAGAATCTGAAATGGACTGGGAGAACCACAAAATTGTATGTTTTTGCTGGATTTTAGGGTGGAAGGGGTAGTTGGATTTCATTAAGTGTGTGAATCTCTATCTACTAGATGGAACTACTAGTTGGTAAAGAATTTGAAAGTCCTCTTGGGATGATATGATGAAGTATGTACCAGACTGGAGTAAGTTTATACAATGAATCAAAAAGGAAACCCTCATAGGTTCGTATTGAATACAAGTGGTATCAAGTGTGGTCCGTAGAAGTAAAGCAAAATCATCCGCAGGCTACAAGTTCATGAATCTTCATGGCCATCAACATCATCCACAATCTGCGACACACTCCACGCTCTCGACCCGCTCGCTTATGAAGACATGATCAACAAGAGAACAAATGCGCTGACGCAAAGAACAAGAGATTTGTCTGAAGAGACTATGTGTCCGGCACCGCTGTTGAAGCTGCCAGGACGGAATGACTCGTTGGCATCGGCAGTGACGGTTGCCGTCGACTTCTCAGTCATTGTGACTGTGGCTGTCTGTGTAACCGGCTCGGCGAAGAGGCCCCCATCAATGGTGGAAACACGTCCAGGGACGTTTGTGATTTGTGGCAAGCAGGGCTCGCTCGCGCAGGTCCTGATAATGGTGCGGGTCGTGGTCAAACCGGGCTCGGTGACGGTCTCGAGGAAGGTCGATGTGACGACGGCATCAGTCGCTTGAGGAACAGTGAGAACGGCACTGAAGGGTATTGGGCAGTCGGTGCAGGTGGCTTGGGTTGTGGTGAAGCCGGGAGGGAGCGCACTCCCGGATGGCTGGCATCCTGTGATGCCGGTACAGGTTTGGGTGATGGTGTACGTCTCTGGCCTCAGACCCTGAGAGCACTCTGGGCAGAAGGTGGGATAGACTGTGGTATAGACTGCCGTGAAGGGGTCATTGTTGTTGGTGCCTGTGGGTGCGGCCTGCTGAGGGAGGAAATAGATCGAGATCGGCTCGACCCTGGTAACGGTGAGAGCATCTAACGTTGTGGTGGAGGAACAATCCTCTTGTCTGCGGAAGACCCTTGCGCCAGATGCAACGGCAGCGAATGCGAATATGAGTTGCAACATTTTTGTAAGAGGCAGAGCTGAAGTTGGTGTCGCAATTGGATTCAGGGTCAAGAATGGCAAGAATCTCGAGCGGGAGAAGGAATGCGGACAAACTCTATATCAGGACATCTTGATCTCCAGATGGACCGATATCGTATGCCTCCTTCCCGCCGGCCGCCAAGCCGTTTCTCGACCCTGACGTCCATCTCCGGAACGTCATGTCTACTCGGGCGTCAACTCTATTGTCCGCCAACCCCCTTGGGACTGGAAAGACGCCCCTCCGAGGGCTCCCAAGGGATCCCAAGGGCTTTCTTAGGCCGGAAAAGACGCAATTCCCACAAAGCCCTGGTTGGACAGTATGGGGGTTTGCTGAGCAGAGCGGCTGAATGCGAACTCGCCAAGGTCTTTGTGACTGCAATCGTGGAGCTTTCTGCCCAGAAGCTCCAATGCCTGGCCTCGCCCAGCGCCACGTCCGGGTGCGGCCGTGAGAGGATCTCTGTAGTCAGTCGGGTAGACAGGTAGGGATAGCTTCAACTGTCACGGGCCGTCCTGTTCAGAGCCAAGGTTAACCGGATCCGAACAAGAGCTTAGATCGGAAATAAAAAAAAAATAAAAAATGTCAAAGCTCCGTGGGAACGGTGAGATTGAGTTCAAGGGTCTAGGCTCTTTGAAGGGGTGTCTTAGTTTAGACGGGCTGACCAACCGCGACGGCTCCCCCGGGGGAAATCGCGCCAACTGTTGCGTAGATCTCGCATTCCCGTCTTTAGTTACGGCCTAGCTCTGCTAGTGTGTTATGTGACAACAACCCTCTTTTCCTGGTGCTACACCCCCCTTTCGGGACAGAGGACCTCCGTCTCGCCGTCCTGCTCCTCTCACGTTCGTTTCCGGGCTGTGGCGGTGATATTATCCAAAGTGGCCCAGAGCAGATGAAAGAGGCGACCGAGAGAGAGACCGCCACACAAGTCCACAGCCAGCAACGGCTCGGCTACGTGAACGCCTCTAGCTAGGGAGCTAGGATGCATTTGTTCAAGATGAACTTCAGCTGCCTTGGCCGTCTCGCACTTTAATGCGTCTGACGACCTCCCACTGGCACAATATGAATGGCCCACCAGCAACGCCACGTGAACGCTTTCGTACGATGTGCTGCAAGTCATCCAAGACTTGGCGGCAGCTAGCGGAGAGAGCTTCTGCTAGGCCCTAGGTTGCTAAGCACGGGAGCAAATCCCCCTCCCTCATTAGGAAGACCCGCAAGGCATAGGGTCAGGCGGATGTTGACATCCCAACCGTCATCGTCTTGCGGGCTCGGAATCTGAGATGGGGAAAGTCTAATACTAGTACGGATACACACCTTGGCCATGGTGTTGTGCATACCTAGGGCCTCACCCAACACCCACCCACCGCTGACGCTACTGATGACAACAATGTGATTGTAAAAATGCGGGCTCTGAGCAGTTCTGTCAGGCCCGCCGGGCGCGGAAATTCCGCCATGAGCTCCCGAAGCGGCTCTAGTTCTCTCTCGGTTGACGGTCTTGTCTTAGATCTCCAAAAACGCCAGGCTCCCTTCTCACCAATCGCCTCTGAACAGCATCACGTCTTTGGCCGGAACGAGCAGAACTCGGCCAAAACCAGTCACAGAGTAGGTAACCATGAAGTCAGGCAAGGCATCGATCCTCCTGTTTTCGAATGAGATGGCTCTGGCTTCTGCCGTATTCTCGACGAGAGGCACTCGGCCCGGTACGAGTCTCGCCACAGGAGTTTCGCCATCTCTCCCTCTCTCTCTCTCTGTCTCTCTCTCTCTGTCTCTCCTTCATTCGCCTCTCTTGCTCCCGATATCAACCCATTATACATCTCGTCATAACTTGATGCTGCAATCGAGCTCGAGATAGCGTATCCATCAATCCCATAGAGACATTGTGCGAGCCAACTTGGCATGCGCCCAGGGCTGAAGCCAGATCCGCCATCGTCCGCATAGGAACGACATTCCACACATCTGAGCCATTCCGTTGGACAGGAACGCACCAGTCTCACGGCAACAAACTGCAGCAAAACCTCCCCATTAAAACAATCGAGCCATCTTCGTCTACCATTGTACAGAAACTTATCAAGTATTTGTTTCACGGCGTCCACTTACTTTGAGGCTTTCTCTTGTGGCCTTTTCCCCCTTTTCCCTCTTCCCGTTGAAACAGCGGCGCCTCCCGTCATCCTCGAGAGATGCCACTGCATGGTCAATAGCGACCAGATAGGTTCTTGTATAACTCTATCTATATCCGAAAGGAAACAAGACAAAGATCGTCTCTGATTACGCAGCAACAACGCTTACACATCCGAGGTAACCTTGCTGCTGCTCGGCTTCCAGACCTGGTGTCTTGGACGGTCTTGAGACTATCGTGCTGGGATCACGCAGCAGCGCTTCACTATCATGAAGTTCACCACCACCTTGGGCCTGTTGGCCGCCGCCAGCCATTACTGGCGTGCCGTCGCCCTGCCTCAGTTCCCCGATAATCCTGTCTGCGCTGCCGGCATCACATCTGTCGAAGTACAGCCGGTGCAGTTCATCGTCAGGCAGCCCATCTACATCAGCGCCTTCCTGCCAGTCAACACCGTCCTGGTTCTTGATGATGGGCTGACCCTCACCATCACCAACGCGCCCCTTACCTTGGTCACCGAGATCGACAAGCTGGGAACACTGACTTCCCAAGTCACCAGGTGAGATATCCATGATTTTCACCAAGACTTCATATATACATACGTAAGCTAACTTGACTGCTTAGAATCATCGATCAGGTCTCATCTATCCCGAACGCCTATGTGACCATCACAAGAGGTGGCCAGGCTGGATCAGAGGCAAGCACAATTACAATCTTCCCCTCGGGCCCTGATGGCGTAGGAACCTACTTGGTCTTCACACCCTTTGCCATCACTGCCGCCACCACTGGCAGCAGTGTCCCAGAAACAGCCACTGTCGCGGGCACTCCTCTCGACGCAAGTCGTTTGGTGACCCAGTCTGCGCCAGGCCTGAGCAGCATCATCAACCCCGGACCGAGCCCTGCCTCAGCTCCGGTAACAGTCGCTGCTACGGCGTCTGGTGCCGGGGCTCTGCCTCAGATCTTTGCTACTGTCAACGTCGGTGGTGCCTCGGGAGTGCCCAGGAATTTTACCGTCATCGACTCGACTGGATCTGCGGGTACGGTCTTTGCGCAGACGTTTGACAGCTTCTCAATCACCGTCACTGGTCCTCAGAACGTCATCACTGTATTTGGTAACGCCGGTGTTACGCCCGCTGCTATCACTTTGCCCAGCAATAGGCTTGTTTCGCAGACCGGGGCAAATAACGGAGTCCTCCAGATCATTCAGACGGCCGGCGGCGAGGCCGACTTCCTTGCTAGACTCACTACCGTCAGCATTGCGGGCCAAAACGGCCAGACGGGAACCTTTACACTTATTCCCACGGCCGGTAGTGTTGGTGCGGTCATCGTACAGACTGCGGCACCGGCTCTGGCTGGCATCTTCCAGACGATCAGCGTTCCCGGAGCTACGCCAACCACGCTTTCCATCCCGGCACCCCAAGGACAAACTGGAACAGTCATTGTGCAGACCACGAATGGCTTCACCGGCCCTGCTGCTGGTCCGTTCACAACCGTTACCGTCGGCGGAGGCCAGGGCGCAAGCCCCGCGACTGTCACGATTCCTCCCGCTGCCGGTGCCACGGACGGCCTCTTCACCGTTCTCATCCAGAGACCGGATCCTGCGGCCTTCTCCGGGCCTTACCGAACAATCACGGCCGGTGGCAACACCGGAGGCTCACCCGTCACAATCACGGTTCCTCCCACCGGCACGGGTCAGACCGGCACAGTCGTGGTCCAGCCTGCCATCACCCCCTTTACGGGCCCTTTCACAACAATCACAACCGATGGCAACACCGGGTCCCTCCCAGTTTCACTCACTATTGTGCCTGCCGGTAACCCGACTCTGGGCACCATCATTGTTCAGACTCCGTCAATCACTGCTCGGCCAGCCCTCTTCAGAACTTTGGCGGCGCTCCCAATTGCCGGCCTCGGTGCCACAATCACTTTGCCTGTGGTCGGCAGCTCTGCCACCGGCGTCGGAACTATTGTGGTGGCCATAGGACTGGGCGGAAATGACCCGGCCACGACAGCACCAGCTGCTTTGGCTGCTAACCTCGTCACCATTCGAGGCAACTATAACGGTTCGAATCCGTTGACTCTGACACTGCCTTCTCAAGGCAATAATCCGGTTGCCACCATTGTCGAGCAGCTGCCCGTTGGATTCAGCGCGGGAGTCTCGATTGGAAACCCTGCGGCAACTTCGGTAGTCCCTCCCATCACGAACCCGGTTCCTCAACCCAATGTTTCTCCTCAACCCAATGTGCCGAGTGTGCCTGCGGCAAACCCGGCTTCTAACGGAGGAATTCTCCCTCAGGTCCTCACAAGCGGCTACTCTGGATCTGTACCGACTACGGTCACGCTGCCTCCTATCGGAACCCAGACAGCTTCGCAAGTCTTGGTCCTCACGCCACTGACCAACGCTGCCGGTTCCGCCGCGCCTGTTCCTGCAGGCCCTGCCGCGACTGTTGCTCCTCAAGTGATCAACACCATCACTACTGGATTCGCGGGTTCTCTACCCACTACCATTACAGTACTTCCGGAGGGCCTTGCATCTACTGCTCCTGTGGTATTGGTTTTGACCCCGGACCCAGCTGCTCCGACGGCGGCGGCGTCCCAAGGGGCTTTGCCGGGTTCCTTCACAACCTTTACCGGGCCACTTGTTGGATCAACTCCCACCACCCTCACCATTCCTCCCGTGGGAACCAACACAGTTGGTACCGTCGTGGTCTTGGGCAACCCCCTGGCCACTGCTCCTGCTCCTGCTCAGCCAGGTCAGACCCAGACACAGGCCCCTGGTGTCGGCGGAGTTCCATCCAGTCTCGCACCTGGAGCTCTTGGTGCCTTCACCACCATCCAGAGCGGGTTCAATGGTCTCCAGCCCTCGACCTTCACCGTTCCTCCTGCTGTCAGCGGCGCTCTTGGAACGGTTGTCGTCTTGACTCCTACTAACCCAGCTGCTCCCCAACTGACACTCCCTGCCGGAGTGCCTTTCGTGACGGTAACAACTGCTGGTAATGTCCCCGCCGTGCTAACCAATGTGTTGCTTCCCACGGGGACAAACACTCTAGGAACTGTTCTCGTCCAGACCCCTACTAACATAGCTGCCCCTCAACTCACTCTGCCTGCTGGAGTCCCATTCACGACGGTGACGACGGCAGGAAACATCCCTGCTGCACTAACCAACGTGATTTTGCCAACTGGAACAAATACTCTGGGAACGGTCCTCATCCAGACACCCGCCACTCCAGCTGCTTCTCAGCTGAACCTCCCCTCTGGAGTGCCGTTTGTGACGGTCACAACACCAGCCAATGTTCCAACCGTGTTGACCAATGTGTTATTGCCTTCGGGAACGAACACTGTTGGCACTGTCCTTGTCCAGGTGCCTTCGTCCTTGTTCACGGCTCTGCCAACCGGTGCTGCCACCGCCCCCGGCGCAGTCAACCCTGGCTCTTTGGTGCTTCCTGGACTCACCATTCCGCCAATCTCCATCAACCTGCCCACCATCATTCTGTCTATCCCTAGTCTCAGCCTGGGTGCCTTCATCACATTGACCCAGCCTGGACCGGTAGCAACAACAGCCGTGCTCCCTCCCTCCGGCACCAACTCGGTGGGCCTCGTGATTATCCAGACACCGACTGTCGCCGCGACTGCCGCTCCAGGCGCTGGTGTCTTCACGACTCTCTTCCAAGGCTTCTCCGGATCTGTGCCGCTGACTACGACCCTGGCACCGACCGGAACAAACACCCTTGGCGTTGTCTTGATCCAGACGCCAACGGTCTCGGTCGACGTCAACATTCTCCAGACCACCACGATTGGCTTCACCGGATCACTCCCCACTACCATCACCGTGCAGCCCTCTTCAGGTGGCTCTGGTCTCGTGGTCGTTCAGACCCCGTTTACGAACCCCTCGGTTTCGGCGACTAACGCGGCAAGCATCTTCACCACTACCACCCAGGGCTTCACTGGAATTGCGCCTACTACGATTACATTCTTCCCTGGTGGGACCAACACAGTTGGCACGGTGGTTGTTCAGACACCAATCTTCTCTGGAGGCGTGGTGGTGCCGTCCATCTCGTTGGGTCTGCCGCAGATCCAGGTCACCATCTCCATCGGCGGACCTATTGCGGCGACATCCACCATCTTGCCTTCTGGCACCAACACTATCGGAACCGTGGTTGTCCAGACTCCCACAGCTCCTGGAGGCTCGCCCCCGGCGGTCACCACGCCCACCGGCTTTGTGGTTGTTACGACTGGTTATACGGGGACTACACCGACGACCTTCACTCTGCCACCATCCGGCACTCAGCCCGGGGTTATAGTCGTCCAGACTCCCACTACCGGAGCTGCGGTGGCTCCGAACAGCTTCATCACGGCTGTCACTGGCTTCACCGGAACCACGCCGACGACGGTGACGATCCTGCCTACGGGCACCAACTCGGTTGGCATCGTCCTGATCCAGACTCCCACCCAGTTCAGCACTACCGTTCTCATTAGCATCAGCGGCGACCCGCCTCCGCCTACTGTCCCGAGTGGCTTCATTCTCACCACGACGGTTGGCACCGGCACTCTGCCCACCACGGTTACGTTCCCTCCTTCGGGCACCAACCCGGGCAGCGTGGTTGTCCAGACCCCGTCTGTGGGAACAGCGGCTCCTGGCGTCACCAGTGCTTTGCCCAATGTCATTGTCACGAGTGGCTTCGCCGGCTCTGCTACGTCGACCCTCACGCTGACTCCCTCCGCCGCCGGCAATCCCACGACTTTGATCATCCTGACGCCTACTTCTGCTGCTGCTCCTTCAGCCACGGTTTCTCCAGCCTCGTTCATTACTCTTACGACTGGATTCTTCGGCTCCGGCGTGGCAACCACGACTTTAGCACCAGTGAACGCCGGCGACCCGGGAACCGTCATTATTCAGACACCGCTGCCCACGTCTGGTCTTTCGTTCCTCACCACGACTGTTGGCTTCACGGGATCTGTTCCGACTACCGCCACGGTCTTTCCATCTGGAACCCAGACTGTTGGAGCCATCATCATCCAGACTCCTATCGGAAGTCCTCAGGTCACGAATGTCGCCCCTACACCTACGACCCCTGGTTTCTCGTTCATTACCGTTCAGACTGGTTACTCTGGCACCGGAACTCAGATCACCACGATTCTGCCCACTGTGAGTGGCAGTGTCGGTCTTGTTCTTATCCAGACTCCCACTGTTGGCCAGGACCCGGCAACTTCTAGCCCTACCATCAACATCCCAACCTCAGGGGCAGTCACAACTCCGACCGTCGCACCCGCATCACTCGTGACACTCATCAGCACTTACACTGGATCAGTTCCCTCGACCACTACGCTCGCCCCCGCCGGCACTGACAGCCTGGGCACAGTCATCGTTCTTCTTCCAAGCGCGACGGCAACTCCGGGAACCACTCCTGGCGCTGGCTTTGCGACGCTCATCAGCACCTACACCGGATCTGTGCCCTCGACTTCGACTATTCTTCCCACTGGAACAAACTCCCTGGGAACCATCGTCGTCTTGGTCCCAAGCTCGACTCTCAGCGCTGGTGTGCCGGCCATCACGTCTTCTCCCGGTGCGGTTTTTGCCACTCTCACTTCTACATACGGAGGCTCGGCTACTTCATTCCTGACTCTTCCGCCATCGGGAACGGGCTCAACTGGTACCCTCGTCGTCCTCGTTCCAAGCAATGTCCTGGCCTCTCCAACAGCCACGCCCGCCTTCCCTCTCACCACAGTTACATCGACTTATGGCGGCTCCATTGTGTCAACGGCGATCGCTTCACCCGTCAACCCTGGAGATCCTGGCACCCTCATTGTCTTGGTCCCAAGTAACGTTGCCAGCCCTACCGGTGGCGCTACTCCTACTGTCGGCAACAACTTGCTCACAACATTGCTGTCAACCTATACTGGCTCAGTTCCCTTGACTACCACTGTCGCCCCCGTCAACTCGAACGATCCTGGAACGGTCATCGTTCTCGTCCCGAGTGCAACAAGTGCAGCAGGCGCGGCAACGCCCACCGTCGGTGTTGTCATCACCAGTTTCTACAGCGGCTTGGTGCCTTCGACATCGGTGCTACCCCCTGGTCCCTCTGGTGAACCTGGTGCCACCGTCATCTTCCTACCCAGCAGCTCCGGCCTGCCAACCGTCACTACATCGGCTTTGGCTGCCGGTCTCTACACGAGCACATATGGAGGTTCGGTTACTCTCACGTCCACGCTCCCCGTTGGACCTTCTGGAGGGCCTGGCGCTACCGTCATTTTCGTTCCCAGCATCACTGCTGCGACCACCCCCGCGACCACTGCCCTGGCCGGAGTTCTCACGAGCTTCTACAGTGGACTGGTGCCGTCAACTTCTGTTTTGCCTCCCGGTCCCTCCGGTGAGCCGGGTGCTACGATCATCTTCCTCCCTAGCAACACGGCCACGCCGTCTGCTACGGTGCCCACTGTTGGCGGCTTGTTCACCAGCTTCTACAGCGGTTCCGTCACCCTCACATCTACGTTGCCGACTGGTCCCTTGGGCGAGCCGGGTGCGACTATTATTCTCATCCCGACTCCTACTGCCACCCCGGCTCTGCCGAATGTCTTGACCAGTACGTACGGAGGCTCAGTCACGTTGACCTCGATCTTGCCCACCGGCTCCAATGGAGACCCTGGGCAAACCGTCATCTTTGTGCCGAGCGTCACCGGTGCTCCTACTACTACTGGTGCGCCATCTCTGCCAAATGTCCTGACCAGCACATATGGAGGCTCAGTTACTCTGACAACGGTTCTCCCTGTTGGCCCGTCTGGAGATCCTGCTACGGTCATCTTTGTCCCGAGCGTGACTGGCACCCCCAGCAATACTGGTGCTGCAGGTCTTCCCAACGTTCTGACTAGCACCTATGGAGGATCAGTTATCTTGACCTCAGTCTTGCCAACTGGGCCATCGGGTGAGCCGGCGCAGACAATCATCTTTGTGCCGAGCACCACCGGAGCTCCAGGTCTGCCCAACATTCTGACCAGTACCTATGGAGGATCAGTCACTTTGACAACGGTCCTTCCAGTTGGCCCCTCTGGAGATCCTGCTACTGTCATCTTCGTCCCGAGCGTGACTGGCACTCCCAGCAACACTGGTGCTGCAGGTCTGCCCAACATTCTGACCAGCACTTATGGAGGATCAGTCACTTTGACAACAGTCCTTCCAGTTGGCCCCTCTGGAGATCCCGCGACTGTCATCTTTGTCCCGAGCGTGACTGGCGCTCCCAGCAACACTGGCGCTACGGGTCTGCCAAATGTTTTGACCAGTGTTTACGATGGATCAGTTACTCTGACTTCTGTCATTTCTACTGGCTCTGTGGGAGATCCTCTGCAGACGATTATTTTCGTCCCAAGTGCTCCTGGAGCCCCCAGCACCACTGGTGCTCCAGGTCTGCCCAATGTTTTGACCAGCACCTACGGAGGCTCAGTCACTTTGACATCAGTACTGCCAGTTGGCCCGTCTGGAGATCCTGCAACTGTCATCTTTGTGCCAGGCGCCTCGAGCGTCACTGCGGCTCCTACGTTGCCCAACATCCTGACCCAGACCTATGGCGGCTCAGTCACTTTGACCACCGTCCTCCCCACAGGATCTTTGGGAGATCCTGGTGTGACTGTGATCTTTGTCCCTTCTGCCCCAGGCGCCCCTTCAGTCACTCCTACTCAGTCCCTAGGAAACGTGCTGACCAGCACGTACGACGGATCGGTCACTCTGACCACCACTTTACCAGTTGGCCCCTCGGGAGATATTGCCACTGTCATCTTGGTCCCAAGCAACACCCTGGTGCCAACCAGCACCGCAGCGGCAGGCCTTCCCAACATCCTGACCCAGACCTACGGTGGATCTGTGACGTTGACGTCGGTACTTCCTACGGGTCCTTCAGGAGAGCCTGGTGCGACGGTTATCTTCATCCCCGGCGCTCCAAGTGCGACACCAACTGTTCCCTCAGTCGGCGGCGTTTTGACCAGCGTCTACGGTGGCTCAGTCACTTTGACGACTACCTTGCCCATCGGTCCATCGGGCGATCCTGCAACCGTCGTCTTGGTGCCATCTTCGACTGGAGCTGGTCTGCCCAACATTCTCACACAGACATACGGCGGATCGGTGACTTTGACGACGGTCCTCCCCACGGGCCCTTCAGGAGAACCTGGCGCGACAGTCATTTTTGTTCCAAGCACCCCGATCGCCACACCGACGGTCACTCCTGGAGGCATTCTGACCAGTGTCTACGGTGGATCAGTTACTCTGACGACCACCTTGCCCGTCGGTCCGTCTGGTGATATTGCTACTGTCATTCTGGTACCGAGCAGTACAGGAGATCCGGGTCTTCCCAACATCCTTACACAGACGTACGGAGGTTCGATTACCCTCACTACCACCCTGCCACCTGGCCCGTCTGGAGAGCCCGGTGCAACGGTCATCTTCGTACCAAGTTCCCCGATCGCCACACCGACGATTGCTCCTGGCGGCGTGTTGACCAGCATATATGATGGCTCAGTCACGTTGACGACGACTCTACCTCCCGGGCCCTCTGGCGAGCCTGGTGCCACTGTGATTTTGATTCCTACTACGACTGGGGTCCCATCCTTGCCTAACGTTCTCACCTCAACGTACGATGGATCTGTCACTCTGACCACGACTCTCCCAGTTGGACCTTCTGGAGACCCGGCGACCGTGATCCTGGTGCCGAGCCAGACCGCGGCTCCCGCTGTACCAAGCAATCTTTTCACCAGCACCTACGATGGGTCAGTCACATTGACTACGACCTTGCCTATCGGCACCGTGGTTTTGGTACCTAGTCAGACTGCGGCTCCTGGCCTCCCTAATATTCTCACTTCTACGTACGGAGGATCGGTCACTCTGACTACTACCTTGCCGGTCGGCCCTTCAGGGGATATTGCCACAGTCATTCTCGTCCCAAGCCAGACCGCCGCTCCCGGCCTCCCGAGTGTCTTGACTTCGACGTACGGTGGTTCGGTCACTCTCACGACAACCTTGCCGGTTGGGCCTTCAGGGGATATTGCGACTGTCATCTTGGTGCCCAGTCAAACTGCGGCTCCTGGACTGCCAAACGTCCTGACCAGCACTTATGGCGGATCGGCTACTCTCACAACTGTATTGCCAGTTGGTCCTTCTGGTGACCCAGAGACTGTAATCTTGGTACCGAGCCAGACCGGCGCTGGTGGTCTGCCCAACATCTTGACCAGCACGTATGGTGGATCGGTCACCCTGACTACCACATTGCCCGTCGGCCCCTCTGGTGATATCGCGACAGTCATTTTGGTACCCAGCGTAACAGCTGATCCTGGCCTGCCAAACATTCTGACTAGCACGTATGGCGGATCGATCACGTTGACTACGGCTCTGCCTGTTGGTCCTTCTGGAGATCCCGTCACGGTGATCCTCGTGCCAAGCCAGACTACGGCACCTGGTCTGCCCAACTTATTGACTAGCACCTATGGCGGCTCAATTACTTTGACCACCACATTGCCGGTCGGCCCCTCTGGAGATGTAGCGACTGTTATTTTGGTTCCTAGCCAGACTGCTGACCCCGGTTTCCCGAACATCTTGACGAGCACTTATGGAGGTTCTGTCACTCTGACCACAACCCTCCCAGTTGGGCCATCCGGCGATATCGCAACAGTGATCCTCGTCCCCGGTGCTTCCAGCCAAACAGCCGCGCCTAGTTTGCCCAACGTTCTCACCAGCACGTATGGCGGCTCGGTCACTCTCACGACAACTCTGCCAATTGGCCCCTCGGGTGACCCGGCGACTGTTGTGTTGGTTCCCAGTACCATTCCAAGCCAAACAGGCGCGACTGGTTCCAATGTTTTGACTAGTGTATACGGAGGCTCCGTAACCTTGACGACCATTCTGACAATTGGACCGTCTGGGGACCCCGCCACAGTTATCTTGGTGCCCAGCTCCGTGTCGAACGGTGCTGGCCTCCCCAACGTGCTCACGAGCACTTATGATGGTTCAGTCACTCTTACGACAACACTGCCTATCGGACCTTCTGGTGATCCAGCAACTGTCATTTTGGTCCCCAGCGTTGTTCCTTCAACTACGGCGGCGCCTGGCCTTCCTAATGTGCTGACAAGCACATACGGAGGCTCAGTGACTCTCACGACGATCTTGCCCGTCGGGCCATCTGGAGACCCGGCTACTGTTATTCTGGTGCCTAGCTCTGGTTCAACCGGTGCCGGTCTCCCTAACGTCCTTACGAGCACCTACGATGGTTCAGTCACTCTCACAACCACACTCCCCATTGGGCCGTCGGGTGATCCAGCAACTGTCATTCTGGTCCCAAGCAATACTCTTTCCATCACGGCTGCTCCCGGCCTTCCCAACGTGCTGACAAGCACATACGGAGGCTCGGTCACTCTTACGACGGTTTTGCCTCTTGGACCGTCTGGAGATCCGGCTACTATTATCCTGGTACCAAGCAGCGCCATCCCTCCGCTCATCGATATCTCCATCGGTATCAACCTTCCGGGCCTGTTCACTAGCACATATGGGGGTTCATCCACAGTGACAACAGTTCTCCCGGTTGGCCCGTCTGGAGATCCCGCTACTGTTATCCTGGTGCCCAGCAACCCTCCACTTATTGACATCTCGATCGGCATCAACCTTCCAGGCTTGTTCACCAGCACATATGGAGGTTCGTCCACTGCGACCACAGTCCTGCCTATTGGACCGTCCGGTGATCCGGCGACGGTTATTCTGGTACCTAGCAGTGTCCCTACTATTACGGCTGGGTCTGGATTGCCTAATATCCTCACAAGCACATACGCCGGCTCCGTCACTTTGACGACTGTACTGCCGGTTGGCCCATCTGGTGATCCAGCCACAGTCATCCTGGTGCCCGGTAGTAGTATCACGGACGCCTCGGGACTGCCTAATGTACTTACAAGCACATACGCCGGCTCCGTCACGCTCACTACTGTACTGCCGGTTGGCCCCTCTGGTGACCCGGCCACAATCATCCTGGTTCCTGGTGTTACTGCGACTGATGCTACTGGATTGCCTAACCTTCTCACGAGCACTTATGGCGGTTCTGTGACCCTAACAACAGTCCTCCCGGCTGGCCCTTCCGGCGACCCGGCGACAATTGTGTTAGTTCCCAGTGCCACTATTACCGATGATCCGGGACTGCCCACTCTTCTCACGAGTACATATGGTGGCTCGGTCACGCTCACTACCGTGCTCCCGGCCGGCCCCTCCGGCGATCCGGCTACAATCGTCCTGGTTCCGGGAGCTTCCACCACGGATGCTCCTGGACTCCCGAATGTGCTTACCAGCACCTACAGCGGCTCAGTTACTCTCACCACAGTGTTACCCATTGGACCTTCTGGGGATCCGGCCACGATTATTCTGGTACCTGGTGCGACGAGTGCTGGTGCTGGTGGTCTTCCCAACATCCTCACCAGCACATACGATGGCTCGGTGACGCTTACGACCACTTTGCCCATCGGACCCTCAGGCGACCCGGCAACTGTCGTGTTGGTGCCGTCTTCGATCGGTGCTGGCTTGCCCAATATTCTTACCAGCACTTACGACGGATCGGTCACCTTGACAACTACTTTGCCCATTGGACCCTCGGGTGACCCGGCGACGGTTGTGCTGGTGCCGTCTTCGATTGGTGCCGGTCTGCCCAACGTTCTTACCAGCACCTACGACGGGTCGGTCACTCTCACAACCACCTTGCCCATCGGCCCCTCTGGCGACCCGGCCACGGTCATTCTTGTACCTGGCGCGAGCAACACTGGCGCTCCTGGTCTTCCGAACATTTTGACCAGCACGTACGACGGATCTGTCACGCTCACCACCACCCTTCCCATTGGTCCCTCAGGAGACCCAGCTACTGTCGTCCTTGTTCCGAGCACTGTCCCGAGCGTCTCGGCGCCTGGACTTCCCAACGTCCTGACTTCAACATACGATGGTTCCGTCACCCTCACCACCACTCTGCCTATCGGTCCTTCGGGTGATCCAGCAACCGTGGTTCTCGTACCGAGTGTTGTTCCCAGTATCACTGCGCCTGGCCTTCCTAATGTTCTGACTTCAACATATGATGGCCCCGTCACTTTGACCACTACTCTGCCTATCGGTCCCTCGGGTGATCCAGCAACGGTGGTCCTTGTGCCGAGTGTTGTTCCCAGCATCACTGCGCCTGGCCTTCCTAATGTACTCACGTCTACTTACGATGGTTCTGTCACATTGACGACGATCTTGCCCATTGGCCCCTCGGGCGATCCGGCAACGGTCGTTCTCGTACCCAGTGTCACTGTTCCAACAGTTCCCGGTCTTCTCACGTCTACTTACGATGGCTCTATCACTATTACGACGACGCTGCCGATTGGGCCCTCTGGCGACCCAACAGCCGTTGTCTTGGTTCCAGGTGTTACGGCCCCGGCAATTCCCAATGTGCTGACCAGCACCTACGATGGCTCTGTCACCTTGACCACCACTCTGCCCATTGGACCTTCGGGAGACCCTGCAACCGTGGTCTTGGTCCCAAGCATCCCCGGCTCTCCAGCACTGCCCAACGTCTTGACCAGCACGTACGACGGATCTGTCACTCTCACAACCACGTTGCCTGCTGGGCCGACACTTGTATTGGTTCCAAGCGCCACCAATGTGGGAGCTGGTCTCTTCACCAGCACGTACGACGGCTCAGTCACACTGACGACTACTCTCCCCGTTGGCCCTTCAGGCGAGCCTGGAGCTACCATCATCTTGGTTCCCACAGTCTCTGCTACTGGTCTTCCCAACCTCTTCACGAGCACATATGACGGATCGGTCACTCTTACGACTACGCTTCCTGCTGGTCCCTCTGGTGAACCTGGCGCGACCATCATCTTGATTCCAACGAGCTCAGCTGGAGGACTTCCCAACCTCTTCACGAGCACATACGATGGCTCGGTGACATTGACGACGACCCTCCCGGCTGGTCCATCTGGAGAACCTGGACCTACTGTTGTCCTGGTCCCGGGCCTGACATCTGCTCTGCCAACGTCTGCCCTGCCAAACTTCTTCACCAGCACGTACGACGGGTCCATCACTCTCACCACCACCCTGCCTGCCGGTCCATCTGGCGAGCCTGGACCGACAGTTATTCTCGTCCCTGGGGCTACATCAGCGTTGCCTAATCTGTTTACGAGCACTTATGGCGGGTCTATCACCTTAACTACCACTCTCCCTGCTGGTCCATCAGGGGAACCTGGACCTACCGTTGTTCTGGTCCCTGGTCTCACTTCCGCTCTGCCAACTTCTGCTCTGCCAAACTTCTTTACCAGCACATACGATGGGTCTATCACGCTCACCACCACCCTTCCCGCCGGCCCGTCCGGCGACCCCGGTGCAACCGTGGTGTTGGTCCCTGGCCTCACGAGTGCTCTGCCAAATGTCTTCACCAGCACGTACGACGGATCCATTACGCTCACAACCACGCTTCCAGCTGGTCCATCTGGCGAGCCTGGTCCGACGGTCGTTCTGGTACCTGGCTTGACTTCGGCATTGCCCAACTTCTTCACCAGCACTTATGCCGGATCCATCACTCTTACTACCACGCTTCCAGCTGGACCCTCTGGAGAGCCTGGTCCCACCGTCGTCCTGGTTCCTGGCGCTACTTCCGCGCTTGGAAGCTTCTTGACGAGCACATATGACGGCTCGGTCACTCTCACAACCACTCTTCCGGTTGGACCTTCAGGTGAGCCTGGTTCGACTATCGTCTTGGTACCAAGTCTTACTGGTGCCATTACCACGCCTACTGCGGACTTGAACATCCTGACTAGCACATACGATGGATCGATTACCCTCACCACGACTCTTCCCGCCGGTCCTTCGGGAGACCCTGGTGCCACGGTCATCTTGGTCCCGAGCATCACTGGAGCTTTGACTACTCCCACGGCGGCCTTGCCAAACGTGTTGACCAGCACCTACGACGGTTCGGTCACCTTGACCACCACTCTCCCAGCAGGACCCTCGGGACAACCTGGGGATGTCGTCGTCCTTGTTCCGAGCTCTGCGCTTGACACGGCCAGCAGCCTCATCTCATTCGCCACCGTCACGAGCACCTACAGTGGCTTGGTTCCGTCCATCACGACCATCCTGCCTACCGGCACCGATGGCCTCGGCACCATTATCATTCTGGAGCCCACATCCGCTCTTGGTGCTTCTCCTGGTCAATTCATTACGCTCACCAGCGGCTACTCCGGCGCCGTGCCCTCAACCTCGACTATTCTGCCCACAGGTACTGAAACTGTTGGGGCTGTTGTTATCTTGGTGCCTACGAGCACTGCGGGCATCAGCTTCACCACTATTACCAGCGCTTACTCGGGTGCCATCCCATCAGTAACGACCATCTTCCCGAGCGGATCCGACACTCAGGGAACTGTCATCGTCTTGAACCCCATCACGATAGACACCCCGGGCATTACCATCACGAGACCGTACACCGGCTCCGAGACTTTGACGTCCACGATTCTGCCCGCGGTCTCTGGAGATCCAGCGACCGTCATCGTGCTGGATCCCGCTCTGCTCATCACGACCTCCAACATTGGCTCTTTCACGACCCTCACAAGCGGATACGACGGCTCCGTTGTTGTTACGTCCACCATTCCGCCCGTGGGTACCGATGGACTCGGAACAGTCATCGTTCTGCAGCCCACTGGCTCCGCCACCGTGCCGAGCGTCACCGTGTCGTATACGACCATCATCAGCACCTACGCGGGCTCGTTGCTGGCGACCTCGACCCAGCCTCCTGCCGGCACTGACGCTGTTGGAACCGTCATCCTGCTGGTTCCCAGCTCGAGCGTTCAAATTCCTGGCGTCTCTTCCTACACCACCATTACCAGCACATACACCGGCTTGTTGCCTTCCTTTTCCACAGCAGCTCCCGCTGGAACTGATACCGTTGGCACCATCATCTTCTTCGAGCCAGAGGTTACTGCAACTTCGGGCTTGCCCTTCACCACCATTTTCAGTGGATATGATGGATCCATCGTCCAGACTTCCACCATTGCTCCTGGTGCTCCTGGACAGACTGGTACTGTCGTCATTCTTCAGCCCAGCTCAGTCCTCACCGCACTGCCGACATCGTCTCCTAGTCCTGATGGAATCAGCTACACCACCATCTTTAGCACTTACACTGGCGACGTTCCCCTCACGACAACTCTCGCTCCGGCGAGCGGCGACCCTGCCAACATTGGCACCGTCATCGTCCAGTTGCCCAATGTCCTGGCTACTTCCAGCCCGACCGTCAGCGTCAGCATCACATACACCACCATTGTCAGCTTCTTCTCGGGATCTGCTCCGATCACCACCACGATCGACCCCGCCGTTGGAGGCAGCATTGGTACTGTTGTTGTCCAAGTTCCTCTTACCACCTCGGATCTCCTGGCTTCGCCCGGCATCTTCTACACGACCATTGTGAGCAGCTACTCGGGATCGGTCACTTTGACAACGACCATCCCTCCCGCTGCCACAGACCCTGCCGGCCTGGCAACTGGAACGGTAATCATCCAGGTTCCAAACTCTCAGATTTCTGCTACCAGCACGTCTGGCGGTGCTCTGGCGGCCTCTTTCACCACGATCTTCAGCACCTATCCGGGATCCGTCACGCTGACCACGACTCTGCCTCCTGCTGCCACAGATCCGGCTGGCCTCGGCACGGTCATCGTCCAGATCCCAGATACTGGAATCATCCCAACCGCCACCAGCGCCTTGGCTGCTTCGTTTACCACAATCTTCAGCACTTACCCGGGATCCGTTACTTTGGCCACCACTTTGCCTCCTGCTGCCACAGACCCCGCGGGTCTCGGCACCGTCATCATCCAGATCCCCGATACTGGAGTCATTCCCACGGCTACGAGTGCTCTGGGCGCGTTATTCACAACAGTGTTTACTACCTACCCTGGCTCGGTCACTTTGACGTCTACGATTCCTGCAGTGGACCCCACGGGTCTTGGAACGGTTGTCATTCAGGTCCCCGACATTCTGGGTACGTCGAGCCTCCCCACTGGCAGTCTCACCGTCTCGCCGGGCAGCTTCTTCACGACGCTCTTCAGCACCTACGATGGATCAGTCACTTTGACCACCACTATCCCCCCCGCAGCGACCGATCCTTCCGGTCTTGCCACGGTCATTATACAAGTCCCCAGCAACACGCTCAACACGAACGGCGTTTCCTACACCACGGTCACCAGCGCGTACACAGGACTCATCCCTCAGACTACAACCGTGGCTCCCGGCGCCCCTGGCGATCTCGGAACCGTCATCATCCAGGTTCCTACTAGCTCGGTCAGCGTGGATATCATTTCTTACGTGACCGTCACGAGCAGTGGCTTCACCGGCCTGGCCACGTTGACTACTACACTTCCGCCCGCCAACCCCGGAGACCCTGGCACTGTTGTCATTCAGATTCCAAGTGCCACCAGCGCTCTTGGTGCTCTGTACACAACCGTAACCAGCGGATACCCTGGATCCGTTCTCACAACAGAGACCGGCATCCTGACCGGAGTCGATGGCCTCGTCACTGTTGTCGTTCTGTCACCGACTGGCACTGCCGTGTCTCTGCCCACCGTCACAGGAAGCCCTGGTTTGTTCATCACTCTCACCACGGGATACGATGGATCTGTCATCGCCACGTCCACTGGGTCCGTTACCGGTGTGGATGGCCTTGTTACCGTCGTTATCCAGACTCCCACCAACGCAATCACGTCGCCCACGGCCACGGCCACAATTCCTGGTCTCTCGTACACCACCGTTACCAGCGGATACGGTGGCTCGCTCTTGCAAACGCTCATTGGCACCGTAACCGGCGCGGATGGACTGGCTACTGTGGTCATCCAGACTCCCACTATTGGCGTTACGTCGCCTTCAGCCACCATTCCTGGACTTTCTTACACGACGGTCACTAGCGGATACGGCGGCTCTCTTCTGCAGACCCTCATCGGCTCTGTTACGGGAGCAGATGGTCTCGCGACTATTGTTATTCAGACACCTACGCTGGGAGTCACTTCTCCCTCAGCCACCATTCCTGGACTCTCGTATACTACAGTTACCAGCGGCTACGGCGGATCTCTCATCCAGACCTTCATTGGAAGTCAGACTGGACCCGACGGGCTTGCTACGGTTGTCATTCAGACACCCACGATTGCCATCACCTCGCCAACGGCTACAATTCCTGGCCTTTCCTACACCACCGTTACAAGTGGCTACGATGGATCTCTTCTCCAGACTCTCATCGGAACCGTGACTGGTGCAGACGGCTTGGCCACGGTTGTTATTCAGACTCCTACCCTGGCGCTTACCTCACCAAGCGCCACGATCCCCGGCCTTTCCTACACCACCGTCACGAGCGGCTACGCTGGGTCTCTACCCCAGACCCTCATTGGTACCGCTACTGGCGCAGATGGCCTTGCCACGGTTGTGATCCAAATTCCTACAGCTTCCATCACGTCCAGCCCGTCCATCTCAGCGCCGGTTTCGTACACCACGGTCACGAGCGGCTATGGAGGCTCCTTCATCCAGACTCTCATCGGATCTCTCCCAGGCATCGACGGCTACATCACGGTGGTCGTCAACATCCCAACCGGCACGGCATCGCTGCCCACGGCCACGCTGCCAGGCGTCTCCTACACCACTGTCACGAGCGGCTATGATGGCTCCCTTCTTCAGACGCTCATCGGCTCAGTCACTGGCGCAGACGGCCTTGCTACGGTTGTGGTTCAGGTCCCTACTGCCACGGCCACGACCACGCCCGCGATCTCGGTCACTCAGTCCATCATCTCGTACATCACCGTCACGACTGGGTACTCTGGCGTCTCGACCCTGTTCCAGACCCTCGCTCCCGCAGCCTCCGGTCTGCCGGGCACCGTCTTCATCCAGGTCCCGACCGCCATTCCTTCGTCGACGCCTTCGCTCACCATTTCCGACGGCACATCGTACACCACTATTACCAGTTTCATCACGGCTTCCGCGACCCAGATCTCGACTCTGGTACCCTCGCGGAGCGGCGATGTCGTCACTGTTCTTTTCGGGGTTCCCCGCCGGTTGTTCGTCGTCACGACCACGATTCCGGGCCTCAGTGTCACGGCCACTTCGACCTTACCCATGGGCACCGATGGTATTCAGACGGTCATGATCCAAGTTCCGGGCGCGCCGACGGCGTCTCCTACGATTGGAGGCATCACAACCATCTTCAGCACCTATACCGGCTCCGTCACTCTCATCCAGACACAGACTCCCGCACAGCCCGGAGATCCCACGACGGTTCTCGTCAATCTCCCCGGCGTCTTTGCCGAGGTCACTTCGACTCGCTTCGGCGCCCCGTCGGCGGGCACCACCACAATTGCCCCTGTTGGTACCGGACTCCCAGCGACGGTCATCATCGATGTCCCCGGTATCTTCTCAACGGTCACGAGCGGATACTCTGGTCTTATCCCGGCAACGACCACCATTCTGCCATCGGATCCCACCGGGGTTGGTCTGGTCATCATCCAGACCCCGACCATCTCGACTGGCTTGCCGTCGATTACGCCCTCTACAGTCTTCACCACCGCGCCTGGAACTGGCTCGCTCCTGGCCACTGCCACGATCACCGGCCCTGATGGAGTGGTTTCCGTCATTGTCCAGACCCCGACGGCTGTTGGGCAAGTCCTATCTACGATATTCACCACCCAGCCAGGAACTGGACTGCTGCCGGCTACCACAACCGTCACTGGCCCCGATGGCATCGTCTCCGTCATTCTGCAAACGCCTACGCTCCCCTCAGGGGCTGGACCGACTACGGTCTTCACCACAGTCCCCGGAAGCGCCGCCCTCCCGGCCACCACCACCATCACTGGAGCGGATGGAGTCGTCTCCGTCATCTTCTTGGAGCCAACCACCTCCGGCCAGAGCCCAACCATCCCTACCACGGTCTTCACTACCATTGTGGGAACCGGTGCTCTCCCCGTCACTACTACGGCCAGCGGCCTCGATGGAATCGTCTCCGTCGTTGTCGAGCTTCCAAGCACGACCCTGCCCCCTGGAGTCACGCCCTCGACCATATTCACCACTGTTCCCGGCACCGGATCTCTCCCTGCCACGGCAACCGTTACCGGACTGGATGGCATCGTCTCGGTCATCATCTCGGAGCCCACGTCAAGCCTGGCTGGCCTCTTCACCACCATCACCACTGGAGGACCGGTTGCTGCGACCAGCACCATTCTGCCCAACGTCATTGGCGGCGTTGGCACGGTTGTTGTGCAGACGCCAACCTTCACCGCCAGCCCCGGCGCCTTCTTCACGACGCTCACATCTGGTGGCCCAGTCGCTTCGACCTTTACCATCCCGGCCGCTGATCCCACTGGCCTCGGCACCGTTGTCATCCAGACACCGACTGCTCTTCTCGCGTCTTACACGACTCTCACCATCACCGGCTCCATTGCAACGACCTTCTCGGTCCCTCCTGTGGGTTCTGGCCTTGGAACCGTCATTGTGCAGCTTCCAGAGCCTACTGGTACGTCCGCTTCGCTGCCGTCCGTCACATACACAACAGTTACCTCTGTCGGAAGCCCTACGACCTTCACCATCCAGCCTGCTTCCCTTGGTGATCCAGGAACGGTGGTCGTGCAGCAGCCTTCCATCACATCCGCACCCACTTCGATCCTCAGCCGTGACCTCACAACCATCTTTTCCCCCTACACCGGAACGACTCGTATCACCACCACCATTTTGGTCAGCATCAGTGGCGACCCGACTCTGCCTGGTACGGTCATTGTCTACGTGCCTCTCACAGAGACGAGCAGTTCCGTTGCTGCGCCCACAATCACCAGCGGTATCTCGTACATTACTCTCATTACAGGCGTTCCTGGCACCTTCATCGGCACCCAGACGACCACCCTGCCCGCTGGACCTGGCGGATCTGCCACCGTCCTCCTCCAGACGGCCCTTCCTCTTGCCACCTCCAGCCCAAGCGTTACTGTATCGTACACGACAATCGTCACGGGCATCATCGGCACCTTTGCTGGTCTTCAGACATCCACTCTTCCAGCAGGGCCCGATGGACTCGCAACGGTTCTCGTCCAGAGCGCCATTCCGTCTGCCAGTGTTTCCTTCACCACGCTTCTGACTGGAGTTCCTGGCACGTTCCTCGGAACCCAAGCGACGACCTTGCCCGTGGGCACAAACGGCATTGCAACCGTCCTTCTACAAACTGCTCTGCCGACCGCAAGCCCGGTCTCGTACACCACAATCTTCTCTGGTGTCCCCGGCACTTTCACAGGATCGCAAACCACCACGTTGCCCGCCGGCCCCGACGGTCTCGCTACCGTCGTCGTGCAGAGCGCCCTCCCCACGACGGGCGTCTCTTACACGACGCTCTTTACCGGCGTACCCGGCACATTCATCGGGGTTCAGACGACCACGTTGCCTGCCGGCCCAGGAGGGTTGGTCACCGTGCTTGTCCAGAGCGCGATTCCAACGGCGAGTGCTTCATACACGACTTTGCTCACCGGCATCCCTGGAACTTTCCTGGGCTCGCAAACGAGCACTCTTCCGGTTGGACCTGACGGAGTTGCTACTGTGATTATCCAAACCGCGCTACCTACCGCCAGTCCGACATCGTTCACCACCTTATTCAGCGGCATCCCGGGCACTTTCATTGGACCTCAGACGAGCACATTGCCTGTTGGATCCAATGGCATCGCCACGGTGGTTATCCAGACTGCTCTGCCCACAGGCATCCCAACGTCGTACACGACTCTGTTCTCTGGCATTCCTGGCACGTTTATCGCGCCTCTGACGACAACTTTGCCTGCTGGAACCGACGGCATCGCGACTGTGATCATCCAAACCGCTTTGCCAACAGCCAGTCCTCTCTCATATACCACGGTATTCAGCGGAATCCCCGGCACTTTCTTGGGTGCTCAGACGACTACCCTTCCCGCTGGCTCTGGTGGCCTGGCAACTGTTCTCATTCAGACAGCTTTGCCAACGTCAAGCCCTCTGTCGTACACGACGGTGCTCACGGGTGTTCCAGGAACTTTCCTCGGTGCGCAGACTTCTACACTCCCCGCGGGTACCAACGGAATCGCGACTGTGGTCATCCAGACTGCTCTCCCGACAGCCAGCCCTGTGTCATACACGACTCGCTTCACGGGAATTCCAGGTACTTTCTTGGGTTCACAGACGTCCACACTTCCTGCTGGCGCCGACGGTCTCGCAACTGTCATCATCCAGACGGCCCTCCCAACCGGCAGCCCAGTCTCGTACACCACGTTGTTCACTGGCGTTCCGGGCACGTTCCTTGGCTCACAGACGACTACGTTGCCTGCTGGCCTCGATGGGCTCGCGACGGTCATTGTGCAGACCGCCCTCCCCACAGCAAGCCCCGTCTCGTACACCACCTTGCTCACAGGGATACCAGGAACTTTCTTGGGTGCGCAGACAACCACTTTGCCAGCCGGCCCCGATGGTCTCGCCACGGTCATCATCCAGACTGCCGTTCCCACAGTTCAACCCGCGTCCTATGTCACGATTGTCACGGGCATTCCGGGCACCTTCACCGGCACCTTGGCCTCGACACTTCCCGCGGGAACCAACGGCGTTGGCACCGTCATCCTCCAGACCGCTGTTCCCACGCCGACTTCGAGCAGCGCTGGTGTCACTTACACGACGATCTTGACTGGAGTCCCTGGCATCTTCACAGGCACCCAGACGACTACCCTGCCCATCGTCACCGGAACTGTTGGCACCGTTCTCTTGGAGACCGCACTCGCAACTCCAAGCCCGGTCCTCTCCTACGTCACCTTGTTGACTGGTATTCCGGGAACTTTCATCGGCACGCAGGCGACTACGCTGCCCATCGGCACCGGCAGCATCGGAACAGTTCTCTTGCAGACCGCTCTCCCTTCTGCCACGTCGTCACCTACCAGCAGCATCAGCATCACGTACATCACCATTGTCACCGGTATCTTGGGCAGCTTCACCGGCACTCAGACGAGCACCCTGCCCATCCCGTCCATCGGCATCGGCATCGGCATCACGGCGACCGTCGTCCTGCAGACCGCCATTCCCACATCGGCAGTACAATCGTACACGACCATCGTATCCGGCGTCCCCGGCAGCTTCACCGGCACACAGACCACGACCCTCCCTGGTATCGGTCTCGATGGCTTGGCTACCGTGGTTCTCCAAACTGCCCTTCCCGCAGTCACCTCGTACACGACCCTCGTTACGGGCGTTCCGGGATCCTTCACTGGTACCCAGACAACAACTTTGCCGGGCATTGGAACCAACGGTCTCGGCACCGTCGTCCTGCAGACGGCTCTTCCCACAACTTCTGCCGTCTCGTACACAACCATCTTCAGTGGCATATTTGGCACGTTTACCGGAACTCAGACGACCACATTGCCTGGAATCGGCACCAACGGTCTTGGTACTGTTGTCTTGCAAACGGCTGTCCCCTCGACGACTGCCGCATCCTACACCACAATCATCACGGGCATCCCAGGCACATTCATCGGCACGCAGACTTCCACACTTCCTGGAACTGGTGTCAATGGCCTTGGAACAGTCGTCCTCCAGACTGCTCTGCCCGCTGCCACCTCGTACACCACGATCTTCAGTGGAATCGTTGGAACCTTTACGGGAACCCAGACAACCACCCTACCTGGCACTGGTATCAATGGCCTCGGAACGGTTGTCCTCCAGACAGCTTTACCCGCTGCCACATCGTATACCACAATCTTCAGCGGAATCGTTGGGACGTTCACTGGAACCCAGACAACCACCTTACCTGGTACTGGCATCGATGGTCTCGGAACTGTCGTTCTGCAAACTCCCATTCCCACCACGAGTCTGTCGTACACCACCTTGGTCACCGGCATCGCTGGAAGCTTCCTCGGCACCCAGACGACCACTCTGCCTGTCGTCGGCACCGGCAACGTGGCCACCGTTCTTCTCCAGACTGCTCTCCCGAGCGTCTCTTACACGACAGTTCTCACAGGCATCCCTGGCACATTTATCGGAACGCAGACCAGCACTTTGCCTGTTGTCGGCACCAATGGTCTGGCGACGGTCGTGCTCCAGACTGCACTTCCCTCCATCTCCTACACGACGCTCCTCACAGGAATCCCCGGCAACTTTGCTGGATCTCAGACGACCACTCTCCCAGTTGTCGGCACGGGCAACATCGCGACCGTTCTCATTCAGACTGCTCTGCCATCGGTCAGCAGCACGTCTTCAAGTTCGTCGGTTATCGTGATCAACACGTCCTACGTCACCATTGTTACGGGCATCTTTGGCACGTTCTCAGGCACCCAGACCACCACTTTGCCGGCCGCCGCCACGGCTCCCGGACTCGTCACCGTCGTCCTCCAGACGGCCATCCCCAGCCCCGGCACGACCTCGTATACCACGATCCTTACCGGAGTCACTGGAACGAGCTTCCCTGGAACGAGAGCAACGACCCTGCCGGTCATCGGCACGCTTGGAACAGTCTTGTTGGAGACGGCCATTCCAGATGTCCCGACAACCTCCTACACGACAATCCTCACTGGCATTGCCGGCGAGACCTTTGTCGGCACCCGGGCCACCACTCTTCCTGTTGTTGGAAGTGTCGGAACCGTCTTGTTGGAGACTGCCATCCCGGCCGCCACCTCGTACATCACGATTCCCACGGGAGTCGCAGGCGCCACGTTCACCGGCATACAACTGTCCACTTTGCCTGTCACGGGAACCATCGGTACCGTCCTTCAACAGACAGCTCTTCCGGCTGTTACTTCGTACATTACTATTCCTACGGGAGTCGTTGGCGCCACCTTCACCGGTATCCAGCTTTCGACGCTGCCGGTTACTGGCACCATTGGTACTGTGCTTCAACAGACGGCTCTTCCGGCCGCCACTTCTTACATCACAGTCCCGACAGGAATTTTGGGAGCTACATTCCTCGGAACGCAGCTTTCCACCCTTCCTGTCACCGGCACTATTGGCACCGTCCTCCAACAAACCGCCATCCCGCTTGTCACTTCGTACGTCACGATCCCAACAGGAGTCTTGGGAGCTACATTCCTCGGAACGCAGCTTTCTACTTTACCAGTCACTGGAACGATAGGTACTGTCCTCCAGCAGACAGCTATTCCCAACCCAGTCACATCTTATGTTACAATTCCCACGGGAGTTTTGGGAGCTTCATTCCTCGGAACGCAGTTGTCCACCTTGCCCGTGACGGGCACTATCGGGACGGTTCTGCAACAAACGGCTATTCCCAACCCGGTCACGTCATATATCACGATTCCCACGGGGGTTTTGGGAGCCACATTCCTCGGAACGCAGTTGTCTACCTTGCCTGTTACCGGTACCGTTGGGACGGTTCTGCAACAGACTGCCATCCCCAACCCCGTCACCTCCTACATCACGATTCCCACAGGCGTTCTCGGGGCCACATTCCTCGGGACTCAATTGTCGACCTTGCCAGTCACTGGTACGATCGGCACGGTGCTTCAGCAGACTGCCATTCCCAACCCGGTCACGTCATATATCACGATTCCTACTGGAGTTCTCGGAGCCACGTTCCTCGGCACCCAGCTCTCAACTCTCCCGGTTACAGGCACCGTCGGAACCGTTCTTCAGCAGACCGCAATTCCCAACCCGGTTACTTCGTACATTACCATCCCAACTGGCATCCTTGGAGCCACGTTCCTCGGAACTCAGCTCTCGACGCTGCCAGTCACAGGCACGCTTGGAACGGTCCTTCAACAGACTGCCATTCCCAACCCGGTTACTTCGTACATTACTATCCCAACTGGCATCCTTGGAGCCACGTTCCTCGGAACTCAACTCTCAACGCTGCCGGTCACGGGCACGCTTGGAACGGTTCTTCAGCAGACCGCAATTCCCAACCCGGTCACCTCGTACACCACAGTGGTCACCGGCGTCTCTGGCACCTTTGCTGGTACGCAGACAACGACCCTCCCGGTCACCGGAACCATTGGGACCGTTCTGTTGGAGACCGCTGTGCCACCGGCAGCCGTCACCTCGTACACGACAATCTTCACCGGTATCACGGGCACTTTCAGCGGCGTCCAGACAACAACGCCTCCTTTCACCGGCTCCATTGGCACCGTCTTGATTCAAACGGCCTTGCCCGCCGCCCCGGTGACTTCCTACACAACGATTCTCACTGGTATTCCAGGAAACTTTGCCGGCCTCCAGACAACCACTTTGCCATTCACTGGCACCATTGGAACCGTCCTGGTCCAATCGGCTCTCCCCGCTGCAACGTCGTACACGACGATCCCAACAGGTATCGCCGGCACGTTCCTCGGCACCTCCACCATCACCCTCCCAGCTACTGGCACCTTGGGCACCGTTTTATTGCAGACTGCCATTCCTACCATTTCGACGTCGTATGTCACCGTCGTCACTGGCATCACTGGGACCTTCGCCGGCACCCAGACTTCCACCTTGCCAGCTACCGGAACCATTGGCACGGTACTCCTCCAGACTGCCATTCCCCCTTTGTCTACGGGATACACCACGATCTTGTCCGGGATCGTTGGCACTTTCACTGGCACCCAGACCACGACACTTCCAGTCACCGGAACCCTTGGCACTGTCGTCCTTCAGACGGCCGTACCGCCAGCCACGTCCTACACGACCATCGTCACCGGCGTCTTTGGAACCTTCCTTGGAACCTCGGCAACCACCTTGCCGGCAACTGGGACTATCGGTACGGTCCTCCTCCAGACCGCAATTCCGATTTCCTACACGACCCTCCTCACTGGAGTCGCAGGCAACTTCCTCGGTACCCAGACGTCGACCATTCCCGCCGTTGGTGGTCTCGGAACTGTTCTGCTCCAGACCGCTCTGCCCACTGGTTATCTCACCGTTACCAGCGGAATCACCGGCAGCTTCACTGGCACTCAGACAACCACCTTGCCGGCCGTCGGAGGTGGTCTCGGAACCGTGGTACTCCAGACTGCTATTCCCAGCTCGGTCATCGTTTCTTACACGACTATCATTACTGGCGTCATTGGAACTTTCACTGGTACCTCGGTGACCACCCTCCCAGCCACCGGAAGCGTTGGCACCGTCTTGTTGGAGACGGCCATCCCGCCCATCTCCTACATCACCGTCACCAGTGGTGTAGTTGGCAGCTTCACCGGGACCCAGACCGTTACCCTTCCAACAACAGGAGCCGGCCAGAGCATTGGCACTGTCGTTCTCCAAACCGCGGTCCCCGCCATCTCGTATGTCACCATTCCGACTGGCGTCACTGGCACGTTCACAGGCACTTCCACAGTCACCTTGCCTACTACCGGCCCAGGCCAGACAGTGGGCACCGTCCTTCTGCAGACTGCTCTCCCAGTCATTTCCTACGTGACGATTCCCACTGGCGCAACGGGAACCTTCACAGGAACCCGCCTCAGCACCCTTCCAGTCACCGGTTCTGTCGGTACTGTGCTCGCTCAGACCGCCCTCCCGGTTATCTCGTACGTCACGATTCCCACGGGAGTCACGGGAACTTTCACCGGCACGCAAACAACCACGCTGCCGATTACGGGATCCATTGGTACTGTGCTCTTGGCAACCGCGTTGCCAGTCATCTCTTATATCACGATTCCAACTGGCATTACTGGAACTTTTGCGGGCACGCAACTATCGACTCTGCCTGTTTCCGGCACTATTGGAACCGTCCTGGCACAGACTGCCCTGCCTTCCATCTCGTACATCACTATCCCGACCGGGGTCACGGGAACTTTTGCCGGTACCCAACTTTCAACTCTGCCAGTCTCTGGTACAATTGGAACCGTTCTTGCTCAGACCGCTCTTCCCCCCATCTCGTACGTGACTATCCCGACTGGGGTCACAGGAACTTTCGCTGGCACTCAATTGTCAACTTTACCGGTTACAGGCACTATCGGGACTGTCCTTGCCCAGACTGCTCTCCCTTCCGTGTCATATCTCACCATTCCTACTGGCGTTACTGGAACGTTTACAGGTACCCAACTGTCAACTTTGCCCGTTTCTGGAACAATCGGAACTGTTCTGGCACAGACCGCTCTCCCAGTCATCTCCTACATCACCGTCCCGACAGGAGTCACTGGCACTTTCACTGGCACCCAATTCTCAACATTGCCAGCCGTTGGAAGTGTGGCCACAGTTTTGGCGCAGACAGCCCTTCCAATTATCTCGTACGTCACTGTTCCAACAGGAGTCACTGGCACTTTCACTGGCACCCAATTCTCAACATTGCCAGCCGTTGGAAGTGTGGCCACAGTTTTGGCACAGACCGCTCTTCCAGTTATCTCGTATACTACCGTCCCGACCGGGGTTACCGGCACCTTTACCGGCACACGTTTGTCTACGTTACCGGCCGTTGGAAGCGTGGCTACAGTCCTGGCGCAGACAGCCCTTCCAGTTATCTCGTACGTCACTGTTCCAACAGGACTCACAGGCACCTTCACCGGCACGCAATTCTCAACCCTCCCGGCCGTTGGCAGCGTTGCCACAGTCCTTGCCCAGACTGCCTTGCCCGTGGTATCCTACGTCACGGTGCCCACAGGAGTCACCGGCACCTTCACTGGCACGCAATTCTCGACTTTGCCAGCCGTTGGAAGCGTTGCTACTGTTCTTGCTCAGACCGCTTTGCCCGTTATTTCCTATATTACGGTGCCTACAGGCGTCACTGGCACCTTTACGGGAACTCAGTTTTCAACCTTGCCGGCAGTCGGAAGCGTGGCTACGGTTCTTGCCCAGACTGCCTTGCCCGTCGTTTCCTACGTTACTGTTCCTACGGGTGTCACTGGTACCTTTACTGGAACACAGCTATCTACCCTTCCCGCCGTCGGAAGCGTCGCCACGGTTCTCGCTCAAACTGCCTTGCCCGTATTATCATACGTCACCGTACCCACGGGAGTCACCGGTACCTTCACGGGAACGCAACTGTCCACCTTACCCGCCGTTGGCAGCTTGGTCACGGTACTCGCACAAACCGCTTTGCCGCAGATCTTCTACACGACGGTTCCCTCCGGCGTCCCGGGCTCCTTTGCCGGGACTTCGTTGGTCACCCTCTCCGGCACTGGAGCCACTAGGACAGTCGTGGCACAGACTGCCATTCCGTACACGACAGTTGTCACCGGAGTTTCTGGAACCTTTACGGGAACCTCACTCTCTACCATCGGAAACACGGTTCTCGCGCAGACAGCCTTGCCGCAAATCTTCTATACGACCATCCCATCAGGCGTGCCAGGCACCTTTGCTGGAACGTCTTTGGTCACTCTCACGGGCACTGGACCTACTCAGACAGTCGTTGCTCAGACGGCCATCCCTTACACGACAGTCGTCACGGGAGTCACTGGAACCTTTACCGGAACCTCACTCAGCACCATTGGAAACACGGTTCTCGCTCAAACAGCTCTGCCGCAAATCTTCTACACCACGGTACCTTCGGGCATCCCGGGCACATTTGCCGGCACCTCTCTCACTACCCTCGCGGGTACCGGAGCAACGAGAACGGTTCTCGCTCAAACCGCCGTGCCGTACACCACAATTCTTACGGGCGTCTCGGGCACCTTCACTGGCACTTCAGTCACGACGATTGGCAACACGGTCGTCCAGCAGACCGCGCTCCCCACAAGCACATCGTATACCACGATCCTCACGGGTGTCACTGGCACCTTTACCGGTACGCGGGCTACAACTATTGGAAACACGGTAGTGCAACAAACGGCGCTCGTCTCGGCAAGTCGCGTCGTCACCAGCTCATACCAACCCTCCGGCTGCGTACCGACGCCCACCGCCGCCTCTGCCCCGTCTTGTGTACCATCTGCGGTCACTTTGCCGTCCCCCTGCGCCACTCTCACGGGCATCCTCCTGGCATCGTACTCCCAGGCGACACTTAATGGCTGTAGTGCAGCCTTGGGTGCAACTGCCAACATCGCAGGCGTTAACGACTGTCTCAACTTGACAACGATTGGTCTTCTCGGCAGCGTATTGGGATACAACTCTGCCAGATGCGTCCAGTCTGCCCTGACGGGCAAGTGTCTCACCAGACTTCCGACGGTGTGCGCCAACCTCGCGGCATCCAGCCAGACCGTTGCCACCGTCCAAGCCAACGCCGGTCTCTGTCTCGCCAACCTTGGAGTCTTTGGTACCATCACGACAGCCGGCAACTGCGTCGCTTCGAGCTTCATCAACCAAGGCGGGACGGCTGTCCTCGGCTGTTTCGAAAGTGCACTCGGATTGCCAGTCGGTCAAACGGTCGCCAATTTGGCGACTACAGTGTTATGTCCTTCCGGCACAGCTTGTGCAAGGGCTCCAGCAGCCTGCGGCAATCTTTTGGATATCACGCTCTCCACGTCTGATATACAGGCCAATCTCAACCTCTGTCAGGCAGGCCTGGTCGTCAGCGCCCTGGGGTCGACGGTATCGAACCTGGCAACCGGCTTGGGCTGTACGCTCGGCAGCGTTACCGGCCTTGTGGGCAGTCTACTCGGAGCACAAACACAGTCGTACGCGCAGTGTATCCAGAACCAGCTGGCCTCGCAGTGTATCACGTCGTTACCCCAGAGCTGTGTCAGCCTGGGAGTCGACGCGACTGGCGGCGTGGCAGCAACGGTCAGCGCACCAAACCTCATCTCCTGTGTAACTTCGCTCGGCCTCTTGTCGAATGGCATCGCCTCGGATTGTTTGAACCTGTCCTTGACGGGCCCCAACATTGTGGCTTGCCTGAACCTGCGCCTCTTTGGCGTTGCCACAGTAACCGTGGCCGCCAAATAGTCAGATCAATGCTTCTACAGCATAAAGTCCTTTCTTTCTTCTGTCGGGTTTTCCTATGTTTGATGGCGTTGCGGAAAAAAACTTGAAATTGTCTTACTACAGTATGGATATCTCACCTCTAGCCTTTCTTTGTTCAGAAACTCGCTGGTTTCTTCTGCGCAAGTCGCGATGCAGGACGTTTCTTTAAAGCGAACACAAGACTGATAATCATGTAATACGTAATATCAATAATACCTTCCTTTGTTCAAGAATAATCGGAGTTTACCTGAATCGCATTGTGACAAGAATGCAGATTGAGACGAGAGAACCAGGTGATGTCTAGAAAAGCCATGTCCCGGACGTGATCAGCAGGAGCTTCATAGCGCCATCGATTGCTCTTCCATGGCTGAAAACTAATCCCACCCAGGGCTACCGTCTGGCCTAGCTGTTTGTGGCTGTTGGTGCAACGTTGGATCGATCTGAACTTCCAGGGCTTGATTGTTGCTGGAAGAAACACACAACTCTTCTTGCTGATCTCATTCTCCCCATGGCCGATTACATGTGGATCTGAAAGGAACGAAAGCGAGCATGGCCAAGAAGAAGCTGAGGCCTTGATAACATGCTCGAAACCCGGGGCTCCAAACCAGCCGGCAGCCTGGTCGGGGCGGGAGACGGGGGGTCGTCGGGCCTTGACGCAAATCCGGGTTGGCTCCCCGGCGATATTACCCCAAGAACTCCTTGCTTTGAGGTTTAGACTCTCTCGCAGTGTGGCTCCCACGCGTTGCCTGGGTTGGCCCCCTGGCCGAGACGGGGGTTCGTGCTGATGCAAGGTTTAATGAGGGGGCAACATGTTGCTTCTCACGCCCCGAACGCCGAAGGAAGGCGAAGGAACCCAGATATGATTGCTGAAAGCCTTGACAGAAGGAAATCAGCATGGTGACTGACTGTGGGTGAGGCGGCGTGCTTGGGGTTGATTGCGCCGCTTTCTTATCTAATTAAGAGTTGGGCTTAGGTTAGCCCGAGTTCGTGTTGGCTGAGGCGTCATTTGGACTCTGGAGGCGAACATATTAGCATTAGGCCCCCCTTTCTACCGCTCATGATGCGACGCCTAGTTCCTTTGCTTTCTTCTTTACTTGTTTGTGACTTTGTACATATGCTGTCGCTGCGTCGCGAGTTGATGGAATAGTCCTCACCACGCCCTGCCTCATGTGCGACGAGAAGGTTTTGTCACCTCGTTGCGTCCACTCATTCAGACCTAGCCAGCTTCTGTCCTGATTCTTACTTTTGCATTTATTCGCGTTACTTTGGTTTTCAGGGGACTCCATCTGTTCGTACCCATCCCGAGCTGGCCAAAGCACTCGCCATTGCAACCCGAAAACATCTTCGCCGATCTTACCCCTAAAGCCGCAGTCAATAATCCAACGATGCTCCCCTTCTCGAACCAGCGCCAATACTCCCAAGACGACGCGGGAGAAGCCGATCCGGAATCAGACCATCTCATCCCCGCGAAGAAGCGCAGGCACCGCGTACGCGTCCAAGGCCGACTCGCCGTCGTCCGCAGCGTGTCCACAGTGAATTTACGACCCACGCCGTCAGTGGCCCCAGAGCTGCCGTCCCCAGTTGTCGGAAATGGGCCGGCAGCCCCAGCGAATCCAAAATTCGAGTCGGGCGTGGCTGGGAGCACAGTGGCGCCGGTGCGGAGGAGGAAGAGCCTGGATGATGCCAGCAGCGACACCGAGGAGGACGATGTCAAGGAGACTGCGGTGAGAGACCGTCAATTTCGAGGATACGGGATTGGAGGTGCTGGAAACATTAGTAAGTTTACTCCGTCTCAATGTCTCAGCTGCGTTGCGTCTCGAATAGTTCCTGACTGCTTCTTCACCAGGACGTCCGACCGAAGTCTACGGCTCCGCCAAGTCGAGCTCCTCATCGTCTCGATTCTCCATATTTCCTTCCTCTGGGCCCTCGGACGATTCGGACAGGAGAAATTGGAGCTTGAAGGACCTGTTCGCCCGGACGGGCGACCGCAAAGGAAAAGGGGCTGCTTGAAGCCTTGACCAGACCTGTAGGCACCGGATGCACAGCTGCAGTCTGCAGCTTGCAGCTTGCATGCCATTTTTGTTAGGACGAATGGTCACACAACAGCTGGGCCGATTGAGTTTCAACAAGGGACTGGAAGCTTGCCTTCGAGAGCAACGTGAACGGTGTGGAACATGTGGGATTCTTTGGGTTGCACGCGCGGTCCAAGACACTTGACGCCCAAGCAGCAGACGGAACGGCCGGGGGTCCATTTACAACGACACATTGGCATCCCTTGCTTGTGCATCAATCATCCCGCGCGCGAGCATCGTCCCTACGAGGCCCTCTGCCGTTGTTCGGCGCCGACATGAGAGTGTGGTAGGCCCATCCACTCGTTGCTTGTGTCTCGTCTGTGGACAACTCGACCGCAGTGTGGGAGGCAGAGCTGGCTGGAAACTTTGAGATATACAGCCTGCCGCGTCGAAGGAATCGTCTGCAAATCAAGTCAAGCTGCACTCATGCACATGTCTGATGATTCGCTCGCACAAGTCCCCCGCCAGAGGCTCGTGTCACCGTCTAGGTCATCAAGAATCCATTGAATAGCAAGGTCACCAATGAGACTCCCGCAAGTGGCAGCCATACGGGCGTCAGCTTACGTGCATACATCATCTTCTTCCTCTTGTTCAAAGATGTCGGATTCACACCGACTGACAAGCGCGTGAAGCGTATACAAGGCAGGCCAATGATGGTGCCATTCCTTCTTTCGATGTGTGCCCCAACATTGCCAGCAAACCTTGAATGTGAAGTGCTCTAGAGGACAAACCGCGCGTTAACCCCCACATCAGATATGAGAATTGCTTTTCGATACGACCAACCCGATGCCCTCGTTCCATCGGGTCCCTCAATGCTGGTCGCCGCAACATCGGACGTGCCTTGGGGGTTGATCGTCATAGGAGGATTATCGAGAGGCGTTGATCTTCGGCTTCTATCCGGTGACGGCTCATATCTCGGCACGCGCATGGCCGCAAGCCTGGAGCTTTCAGCAAAGGACCGGTTCGTCGAGTGGTTTGACTTACATCATCGAGGATACTAGCAGTGCTAGCCTTAATCCACGGCCGCACTAGCTCGTTTGTTCTGGACGTCGCGCTGACGGGCTGAGACACATCTGCAAGGACCCCTGATCCTGCAGTGTCTGTCCGTCCTGGGTCAAGGCGTCGTACTTGGCTTGCATGTATGGACCACGATAATCAGAGAGAATGACACCAATGGGCTTACATGCCGCCGGTAAGACCCTAGAACAACGCCGTTTGAATCCTCTGCAAATGGACACACAGAGATTGTATGTACGATATCTCACAATGACTCGCTGGTGTACGACGGAAAGATACGATATGAGTGCATTTCGATTCGCCCTTTGACGGTTCCACGCGGCAAGCACGAGGCTTAGGAAGACGGCCGCTTGACAGGCTAAAATCTGTTGTCAGATTTCCTCTTCGCAATGCGGCCTGTGATAACCCGGTGCTAAACGATCCCAGCCACTCATCGCGTGAACAGCGCGCGTCCGGATGCAAATCACACAGAGAGGAGTGACGGCCTCGTGGCAGGTCGAAACTCCCCGCGTATTGCTCCTTTATCAGCTGTTTCCTTATTCCATATAAAACCTCGAATGATGTCCCCCATTGCTCTATATTGGAACACCTTGTCCGTCCCTTCACTCATACCAACCACCCACGATAAAACACCAAAAGAGACAGATCAACCGAAATCATGACACTATCAGGAGACTCTGTAGCCAAGGCTGCCGAAGCAGCGGTCAACAATGGTGTTAGTGACGGCAACAAGAAACGCCCTTACCTTCTGTTCTGCGCGGCACCCGCGACAGGACACACGAATCCTCTCCTTCTGATCGCAGCGGAGATGATTCAACGCGGTTTTGAAGGTACCTTCATCACCGGCGATGAGTTCCACCCTCAGATCAAGCGCCTCGGCGCCCAACACGTTGCCATTCCGCCAATGATTAGTCCCGAGATTGCTGCCATTCGCGAAAAACTCCCCGTTGGCATCCCTCGTCTCATATTCGATCTCAGCAACGTCTTCATCAAGTCTGTGACACCTCACTTCCGCATTCTGATGGATACTCTTGAGAAGATCCGCGTGGAACACCCTGACAAGCAAGTCGTCATTGTCCACGAGACGCTCTACATGGGCCTCGGTCCGATGATGTTTGGCGCGCCTTTGCCCAAGGGTTACACTACGCGACCACCCGTCATCGACATCAACATTGTTCCCCTCGTCACCACGAGCATCGATACCGCGCCGTTTGGCCCGGGTCTGCCTCCCGACTCGACCGAGTCCGGCCGCGGGCGGAACAAGCTGCTCAATGAAATGTTCTTCAGCCCGATGGGCCCATTTGGTGCGGCAGCAACGGAGTACAGCGAGGTTGTCAAGTCGCTCGGCGGTACACGCGAGCTGTCTCCCGCCTTGTTCGAAGTATGGCAGACCAGCTACGACGTGACCCTACAAATGTGTTCGCCCAGCCTCGAGTACCCCAGATCAGATCTTCACAAAACCATCAGGTATGCAGGGTGTTTGCCACCCAAGCCCATCGACCCGAATTACAAGTATCCGGTATGGTGGGATGAGATCACGGCCGGAAACAAGAAGATTGTTGGCGTTGCGCAGGGCACCATCGCCACCGACTACACGGATCTCATCATCCCCACGATACAAGGCTTGGCCCACCGCGACGACATCATCCTCGTCGCCATCTTGGGCGTCAAGGGTGCGACGCTACCCGAGGAGCTCACGATCCCGGCCAACACCAAGGTCATCGACTTCCTCTCGTACGATGCCCTGCTCAAGCACGCAGACGTCTGGGTCCTCAATGCCGGGTACGGCGGCTACTTGCACGGCATTGTAAATGGTGTCCCCATGGTTCTTGGCGGCGATACCGAAGACAAGCCCGAGATTGCGATGCGTGGGCAGTGGTCCGGAGTGGCATACAACCTCAAGACTGGACGCCCGACGTCACAACAGGTCCTTGAGGGTGTCGAGGATGTGCTTGTCAACGACAAGTACAAGAAGCGGGTAATGGAAATCAAGAAGGAGAACGAAGACATGAAGGCTCTTGACTTTGTTGAGAAGCACATCTGGGAATATGCCGATTCAGCATAGAGCGTGGCATCTTACGAATTTTTTTCAGTGAGACAGATGTACTCAGAGTACATGTATGAATGAATTAAGTTATATCAAATCTACTGTGTCCGGCAATACTGAATCATCCACCTCATCGCGATCCTCTAATCTTCTAGACAGATATCTCGACCACCGGGTTCAACAACCTCTTCCTTATGGCCTGTGACAAGGAGACCTCGACCTTTTCAGACGCCACAACATTGATGAGGACCTGGGCTATGCCGTCACTGATCTTACACTTTTTCCAAGACAGTCCTCTTTCATCACCCTATGAGCATCTTTCCATCCGCAGGATACAACTATGCAGGCAGGCGGCTGGGGGGCAATGCAAGAAACCCCAATCAAAGAGGCCAGGCTTCCCAACCGAAGCTGCAGATCTGCGGGAGGCCGGCCAGACATCATGTGCACAGACCGCTTTTCGCCGTCGACAAACTCTCGCAGGTGAAGGCTAAAAGTGAAGCTTTCACCAGTACTTTCACCAGTAGAATATTGTCCGTCTCCGAATCATCTAACAGGCAACTACGTATTAGAGAAAGGCACATATAGCTAGGCGACTATTAGACACCACCTTGTCACTCCTCTTCATCCTCAGCTCTTCCGAACAATACAGCCATCACATCAAATAGAGTCAAATCTTCAGAAGTGGCGTTGCAGCACTCGCTACCATGTCCCTCCGTCAGTATCTCATCAAGCCCATGGAGATCGATGCCACCAATGGCCATGACCATACCCACACCGTCGTCTTCCTCCACCGCTTCCCGGAGTCCACCACCGAAGAGGAGCTTTGTCGCAAAGTACTATCAGAGAAGCTCACCATGAACCACAAGACCCTCCGCGAACAGTTTCCCTCGGTCCGCTGGGTCTTCCCCTATGCCAAAGCCCATGCGCGTCCCTGGAACAATCTGTCACCCGAAGACAGAGCCGCAGTCGGCATGAACATGGGCCGTCTCCCCTACATTACCCAAATCATACTTCAAGAGTCAGATAAAGTCGGTGGTCTCGATCGTATCATCCTCGGCGGAATGGGGGAAACTGCCGAGGCAGCTCACGAAGCCATGACGTCCTTTCCCGAGTGTAAGATGGACGCCTACGACGACATTGATGAAACGACATTGTTCCTTCAAAAGACATTCCACACCCGTTGGACGAGTCTCGAACAACTGAAGCTTGCTGGCTTCGTCGGCATGCACACCCAGGACCCCGAGATGACCCGCGATGTCAAAAGCAGGGCCATCTTGTCAAAAGAGGCATCTACCACCAAGAAGATCAACGCCACCCTCGTCGCGCAAACACCACACAGATTCATCAACGGCGGGTACAAGGTCCAAACCAAGACGTGGGATGGCAAGCGCATCGACGACTTTGCCGACTTCCTCGTTGCCATCGGCGTAGTGCGCAGCCGTGATGCCCAGAAGAGGAGCAACGAGACCCTCATTCCCAAGGAGCGCGCTCCGGTCAAGAAGTGGGATCCCCGGGACACCCTCAGCGACGCGCAGAAATACGCTCAAGAGATCCTGGAACAGAAGAAGGAAGAGGCAGAGATCAAGCAAAAGCTACTCATGCGCATTGAAGCTGACAAGGTGGAGCGCAAGATTATCCAGGCGCGTGAGAAGGCGAGGCGAGGCACACTCAACAGCAAGAATTACTGGCTGAAGCCCGAGGACTCCGTCAACGTTCTCGGCGGTCACGGCCGCCGCGACAATCTTCCTGGGGAAGAGGCCCAGGCACATAATCCTTCGTTCCACGAGTCAAACCTGCCTGGCATTGAGCCATCCAGCAGTGAAGCTCTCGTCTCCGACCAAGCTTTTGGCGAGGTCGTTCCCATACGAACATGAAGCATAATTTAACTTGACATTAACATCGAAACGGGAGATCTCAGAGCAAGCCAGCTTAAAATCAAGCGAGCTTGTGCAAATGCCACCAAGCCGACGAGGGGTGTGGCCAGACAGGAAACGTCCCTCGTGACTCCTGCGAAATGAGCATCGCCGTTGTAAGGTCGGAGGAGAAATAGGAGCTCGAGAGCTGGACTGGTCCCTGGAAGAGAATTTGAATAAAATTTGGGACACTAGCAAGAGAGAACAGGAGGAACAAACGAGACCTCGTCTTTTGGGCCCTCCTATTCACGCTGGAACGGAGATATCAAGCGCACGGATGGCTGCCTTGGAATTGGTTCCACCCAAGCAATACTATCCTTATGATAAGGCGATGGATGCGTGGTATCAGGTCAAGGGGCTCGCATGATGGGTTGATGAGGACGAGAGTACACTTGCTTGAAAGAATAGTAATTCCGCAGGGCTCACAAAAAGCCCAGCAAACTCGTAAACGATAAGTTCGCATGACAAATTATGCTTCCGATTATACCACATATGGTTCATATTTACAGCAATTTTGGTGTATCTCAAGATAAAAATCACAATCATGAACGATGGAACACGCCCCGAGTATCACAAGCCATAACAAGCAACACATATCGCAACCAGTGAGATGCGAGGTTTCGCACCCGGACTCGGTCAAAGACTCCTACTCCCTGACGCCCTCGATGAGGTTCTTCACTCCTTCACCCCTTGCAGTCTTGTCCCAGGCCAAGGTGGCTGTCTCGAACGGGGTCACACTGGATAACAAGGCCTTTGGCTTTACCCGGCCCTCCGCAATCAGCGACAAGGCCAACTCATAGTCTCCCGATGCGTATCGAAAGCAGCCCCTGACTCTGAGTTCCTTTTCGGACAACACCAGCATGGGAACTTCAGGTTTGGCTTTTCCCAATCCCGCCTGGACATAGCTCCCGCCGGATTTCAACAGAAAGATTCCCGTCTGGATGGACGACTGTGCCCCCGACGCTTCAATGACAACATCCACGCCACCGGCGATGCCAACTGTGTCTAGCAGTTTCGTGGCGACCTCTTCACTGGTGGTGCCGGGCTCTACCAGAAACGTTTGGCAGTCGAGGAATGTGTGCGCAAAATCCAGCTTTTGCTGCACAATATCGACCAGGATGACGCGCCGAGCACCAAACGCTTTGGCCACGGCGGCGCAAAGCAATCCAATCGTCCCACACCCCGTCACGACGACGTCTTGGCCATACTTGATCTCGGCCAGACGCGTCGCGTGAACGGCGACGGCGGTTGGTTCGACGACGACCGCCTCCTGGAGGCTCACCTCGTCGGGCACTTTGTAGACAAAGTCTTCCGGCACGACAAAATACTTTGTCAAGGCGCCGTGAGAGTCCGGCGGGGCGGCGGCGAACCGCATGTCCGAGCAGAGGTTGTAGACCCCGTCTTTGCAGTTCTTGCAACGCCGGCACGGAAATCCGGGCTCGATTGCCACGTTATCGCCGACTTTGACGGATGTCACGCCGGAACCGATGGCGTCAATGGTACCAGAGGCTTCATGGCCCATGACTATGGGCTTCTCATTGCTGACTTTGCGCTGGAATCCTCCCTCTTTCCAAAAGTGCACCTGGGACTTTGGTCAATGCCAAGTGAATTTGTCTCATTGAAGGGATGATGGACGTACGTCGCTGCCACAAACGCCCACGTATCGGATCCTGACAATGACGTCGTGTTCGTTCTCGAGAGTAGGAGCAGGCCGGTCCACAATCTTGGCCGAGCCTGGACCGTACAAAAGCCAGGAGGGATTCTGCATCCCCGCGGTCGTCATCTTTGATATCACAGTTATGGCGGTCGGTAATGAACGGCGAGGTTGAATCAAGAAAGGTTCACGACATCGATAACAAACTTTGTGGGGGTTTCGGGTGATTTATATCCAAATAGTGTTTCTCTCCTAAGCTTGTTTGCACCAAAATACTCCAGACGTGGGAGAAGCTCTTCTCCTCATATGAAGTACCCCAATATCATCGGTCGAGTGCCACTCGGGGGAGGCCTCAATCAGTGACGTATCGGCTTTTCATGGATGGAGAAATGTTCGAAGATGAAGAATGCATCGCATCTCACGCCCCGACTATGGCTTTGGATTTGTAGGGCGCGCAAAACTATGTCTAGGTTGGTGGTGATGGTTGTCCCACGCTGGAGTCAAATTGCTTCTCCAAAACACGCCGCGGCCCACGTAAACAGCTATAAAGCGTTAAAAAAGAATATGAATAAAACGAGGGCATCGGCGAGCACGAGATGACCCTCGCGCCCCGCCGACCGTGTCGCGCCGTCATGCAGCAAGCCACTTTGGTGCTTCCGCCTGCAGCTCATTTCCCCCCAAGCGGACTTCGCAATAGTCCGCGAGAGTTGGGCAGTCAAGGCAGCGTTGATGAGGGGTAATCGATATCGGACAAGTCCGGTCGTCTTCTCAATTTCATTGGCCATGACGGGTGTGTATGACGTGCCCGTCAACCAACATGATGCAGGCGACGGCGGGCTGTCTTTTGCGGTTTCGGCAATCAGAGTCCAGGATTCTGCATTGGTTCTCTGAACTTTGGACCTGATCGTCAGAACTACCCCGATACGGACTATTGTCCCCCAATCACGTTTGGCGGACTTTAAAGCCCGACATCGTCTTTCCAGTCCGCTTCGCAACATGGAGCTGTAGCTGGCTAAACCCCAAGATATAGACTCATCATGACGAAGAACGACTATATTATCAAACTCCCGACCCTTAGGCAACCTACCTCGGAGGCACCCGAAAACGCACCAGCAATCGTCAAGACCTGGACAGATGCGTTTGAAAAAGTGCTTGCGAACAACGTGAAGGATGGCCTCTCGACAGTGTTCCGCAAAGACGCCTGGACCAGAGACTTCCTCGGCCTCTCGTGGGACTTTCGAACCATCAACGGCCTCGACGAGATTACGGCTTTTTTCAAGGAAAACCAGCCCCGGGCTGGTCTCTGTCATATCGTGCCCCGAGAAAATGGCGCTTTCAAGCCGTCGTTCGGGAACCCGGCACCCGGTGTTCACTGGGTGGAGAGCATGTTTGACTTTGAATCCAGCGTTGGCCGCGGCAAGGGTATGGTGAGGCTGGCGTTGGAAGCGGATGATTCCTGGAAAGCGTTCGCGATCAACTTCACTCTGCAAGAGATCAAGGGGTTCGAGGAGAAGGTGGGAGTCAATAGGCCTACGGGCCATGTGGATGCCAAAGGCGGCAATTGGAAGGAGAGACGTGAAAGACAGGTGGAATTCGTCGATGAAGATCCTACGGTCTTGGTCATTGGCGCTGGTGAGTTGCGAATCCTCAATACCGGGGGGCCATGAGTTGCTAAATATTGTGTCTTGTCAGGTCACGCAGGTATTAACATTGGCGTTCGACTACGGAATCTCGGCATCCCGACGTTGATGATTGATCGTAATGAACGTGTCGGAGACAGCTGGCGGAAACGTTATAGAGTCAGTCTCTCGAATAATTTCACCAGCCTTCCGACTGTGTGGTGAAACGGACGCTGACTAGATGTCTTGTCGCTGCTCAAATACAGACTCTCATGACCCATGACCCGATCCAGTATTGCCATCTTCCTTTCATCCCCTTCCCGGCGAACTGGGTACAGTTCATGCCAAAAGACAAACTGGCAGACTGGTTGGAATCGTACGCAAAGATGATGGAACTCAACATCTGGACCAGCACCAATATCGAAGAGACCAGCTACGACGAGCAGGAAAAGACCTGGACTGTGAAACTTCGTCGGGCAGATGGCACCCTCCGCATCCTCAAGCCTCGACACATTGTTCTGGCTACAGGCCAAGCCGGCGACCCCATCACGCCCACCTTTCCCGGACAGGATGATTTCAAGGGCGTGGTGTATCACGGCAGCCAGCACCAAGACGCCTCCCTCGTCGACAACCTCTCCAGCAAGAAGGTCCTCGTCGTAGGCTCCGGCAACTCGAGTCACGACATCTGCCAGAACTTTTACGAAAACGGCGCAGCGCAGGTGACGATGATCCAAAGAGGCGGCACCTATGTCATTACAGCGAACAAGGGAATCTTTGTGATGCATAAAGGCATGTACGAGGAAGGCGGGCCACCGACCGAAGACTGCGATATCGTGGCCCAGAGCTTGCCGCTTCCTGTGCAATTCGCATTAAGTGCACACGGCACCAAGTCCATTACCGCCGTGGACCAGGAATTGCTCGACGGCCTGAGCAAGGCGGGCTTCAAGCTCGATTTTGGGCCGGATGGAAGCGGTATCTACCGCAAGTACGTTACGCGCGGCGGGGGTTACTACATTGACGTGGGTTGCAGCCAGCTCATCGTGGACGGGAAGGTCAAGGTTCATCATAGCCCTCGGGGGATATCCGGCTTCACGCCCGCCGGTCTGACACTGGCGGATGGCACCACGTTGGATGCCGACATTGTTGTGCTGGCGACGGGATACGATGGCATGCGGTCGAGCACGCGCAACATTCTGGGGGACAAGGTGGCAGATCGGGTCAAGGAGTGCTGGGGCCTCGATGAGCAGGGCGAAATCAACTCGGTCAGTCCTCTTTGCGAATGGCCAAAAGCTTTGAGCAAGCATGCTAACCTCGGGGCAGATCTGGAGAAGCAGTGGGCATCCACGGTTCTATTATATGGGTGGGAATCTTGCCCTTTGCCGCTCTTACTCGCGTCTTTTAGCTCTGCAGATCAAGGCGGTAGAAGAGGGTCTCTTTGTCGAGACGTAGAGAAGCAGCTAGACAGGGAGTAAATGGCGGCACGATTGACTCGTGTAACAAGACTCTTGTAACAAAACGCTGTTCATATCTCCATCGCCCAAACTCGCAACTTCTTTGTGAACATCAAGTGATAGCTACTGAAGATCCCAAAACCATCTCAGAAAGCGCCTTTACCCGGGCGGATCCTCTACGCCCCTCAGTAAAACTAGCCGCCTCGAGAATATCGTCGCCCGCGCCGCGTATGACCTTGATCATCTCATCGCAGCTAGCCAGGCAAAATCCCGCGGCTTCTTTCCAGGTCTGGTCGCTCGCTATGTCGTCAACGGGGAAGATGAGTCTTTGGTAGAAGGAGATGACTGAGTTGTGGACTATGCAATGGACGAGGATGGTGTTTGGGTCATGTGATGCTGCTCCATGAAAGAGATCGGTGCATGGGAGTGATTCTACCGTCAGCATCTGCTCAAAGTCTCTATACTAGGCCGTCGACCTTTTGTAGACGAAGCTGCAGTCCATATTTTTCACCGTTGCAGGGCCGATGCTGCACGACGTCGTGTCGCGCTACTGCTGTAAAAAAAGTGATGAACATGCCACGTCTCATTCGTCGCGAGCCGGACGAAAAGAGCAAGCGACGACGGCGCTTCCTAGTCGCCAAACTGGTACATGGATACGATAGAGCCTGGAAACTGCCAGATTTCTTCGTCTCATGGCAAGCTAGCTGCCGGTTAGGGCTTTGAGACTCAGCGACCGGAAATGTGTGGCGTTGAAGCAGTTTGGCTTTTGGCAGTGGCATACATTTTGCATAGGGGTGACATTGTAAAATTCAACCATTGTTCCGCTTCTAAACTCGGAAAAGGCCAGAATGAGTAGGGCTGGGAGAGCGTGGAGAGATAGGTGATGGATTGCGGCTAGTGTGACCTGATCTGCCAAAAGATGCAGTTCGTTATGAGATGGATTGTGCCCGGCGTCGTCGTCATGGAAGGTATCCTTATCCGCAGCAGTGGTAGTCAAGGTGATGGCTTTGAGAACATTATAAACTGGTGCTTCGGGCTGCCCGGAATACTATTACCATGATTCGATCATGGTGGGCTCGTGTAGTATAGGAACCATGAGTAATGTTATTGAAACCAGGTATCGCAGGCTTTAGTGGCTTCATCCTGTCATGGCGCTCTGGGACAAATGATTGGAATTACTAGCGACACACTGCTACCCTTGTCTGGTCCGCTTGATATTGAGAGTTGGGAACCATCGTCAGTTGCTCTTGGTGGTGCAGTCGGCTTCTAGAGTCTTCCGAGTCAACGTCCCTCTTGAAAGGTCGAAGCTCTCTCTTAAGGCCGTCTAGGCACTCCTCTAGCTTTTCCACATAGCCGACGCGGAACCCTGGCGTCTTCCGAGGTGCAGAATATTCGCATTAATAGCCACACTTGGAGCAGGATCCGCAGATTAGTCGACGGTGGCCACATCGAATTTGCGCTGTTTACAAACCAAACCACTTTCCAAAGGTGGCCAAGTCCATGGTAGCAGTTCATACTCAGACTACAGGGAAAAGCAAAGGTCACGCCGTATGACGGAGGTTCGGTGCTCTCGGGGATGGGGTTATCTAGATGTTCTCCCGCTCGGCTCGGCCCAGATCTCACTCAGTACAAGCAGTGCGAGAGTCAAGGAACAATGCGAGATATTTTGTCTATTTGCAGGAGATTGACAGACTACTTACTGCCTAGTAATCGTTATGAAATAATACACAGCGGACCACGTTCGCAACGCGAATTTCTCCGCACCGGGTGACTTGTGCCGATGCGGGGCCGACGAGAGATATGGAATATTGGCCGCTCGGCGTCATATCTTTCCGATCGTCTGCTTGAGATATCTTGTACAAGCCAGCATTGGACACGCACGCCTACTGCTATGGGTGAATGCATAGACAAGGCTGCGTTTCATGGTTGAGTGAATCTTCATGTTGGAAAGACGGATTAGTTGCCAAGCAATTGATTAGACATCATTATTATAAGAGTCTCTGGCCCCCTTAGACCACCAGTCTCTCTACCTCGCTTGCGAAGCCATTTTATAAACGAGGTCCTCTTTTGTCTTTTCTTCCCTCCCGAAGTGAGAATTTCAATGCTGAAAAAAACACATGATACATCCCTGTTGGATGCCATTGCCATCCCCAAAAGTGGACTCGACATCCTGTCACGCCGTCTCCGTCGGACTATAACTCCAAGTAAATGTGCAGATACCACGGTTATTGGGCGTCACCGTGGAAGGATGGCCCAGGTGGATGCTCATCAAATGTTTCCAGCAAAACCACCCTGCGCAGCAAAACGCTGTTGATAGTCCCGCAGATGAGCCCAATTGCGCATCTCCTCTTCTTCATCGTGCGGTGTCATATTCTCCCCGGCCATGCTGCTGCCGCTCGGGCCAGTTCCTTCAAGCTTGAGGAGGACGTCGATAAGCTTCACAAGCGCTTCCTCTGACTTCATAGCCACCGGACCTTTTCGCTCTGGGGCGTCGTTCAGAAGGGTCGAAGCAACCTGCCGAACCTTGTTGATGAGAGACCCGCCGTTGGGCTCGAGGTTGCGTTGCGAGATGGAGCCCAAGACGTGGAGTAGATTTTGTACGATAAGCTCCCGCTCAGCCGTCATTAGCTCAAAGACTCGGGCCTCGTCTGCATCCTCGGCCCCCTTGGCGGCTTGTTCTTCGGCGCTTTCCCCAACCTGCTCCTCTTTATTCGGATCGGACATGTGGACGTCGCGTAAGTTGAAGTACAGCTCGACGTAAAATGAGCGCGTAGCCAATTGAGAAATGTAGATGTTGGCCTTTTGAATCTCGTACTGAAGCTGCCGTCGGCGTTGGGGGTGGTTCTTAATCACATTGCGAACATCGTTGGGAGGCTGGCTGTTGGGGTAGGCGGGAGGCACGTATTGGAGGTCGGCATCTTCAAGGGTGCCAAAGCCGCTCGATTGGTCGTGAGAGGCACTGAGCTGAAGTTCCGGCGGGAGTCGGTCGATGATGTCCTTGGCGGCGATGAGAGCATCTCTCAGCAGAGACCTTTGATCGAGCCACGGAAGCGTGCTCATCCCGTAAACGAGCTCAACGCTGACAATGGCGTTCATGGTGGTGTAAATGTCGACGGCAAATCGGAAACCAGTGAGGAGGGTGACGGAGCTTTCCGGTGGAAAGACGATTTCGTTGGCCATGATGTACAGATCATCGACATTCTCGGGCAGGGCCGGATATGGCAATCCGGGGGTCGAAGGGGCGATGACCAAGTCGGCATGCGAGGCACCTAGTTGCGAAAATGACCTACAAAGTGTGAGTGGACATGTGTGTCACGACAACTGATAAAGAGACTCACCTGACGCCGAGCAGAAGACACCAAAAGATGCGCTTGCCGATCTGATCCTTGATATGGTGGAAAGGGAGGGGGTCGGACGAGCAGTTGTCGTTGCCAAAGGTGGGGAGCTCATGGGGATGTTTTGGCCGGTGAAAGCCAAGCTCTCGAATGAGAGATAGACACTCGGACATGAAGTAGCGGAAGCGGTTCACCTGGAACGTGTAGCCTGCCGCGAGTCCGAGAAAGTAGCTGGTAGCGGCATCATCCAACGTCTTCTGCTTCAGTGCCCAGCGCGCTCCTCGCGTATCCAAGGCAATATCTCGACATTTCTCAATCATGACTATCGCCCTCGGGAATAGGTGAGTGCTGTGCTGCGTCTTGAGATGCTGCCGGGCACTCCGGGGGAAGGAAGACACTAGAGCGGCAATCATGGCGGACAACAGACCGAGGAACTCGGGGTTCGTCCTGTCCTCTCTGTTGGCAAAGGAGTGCCTGAAGGTCGGTTCGTGTGGAAAGGGGGCGAGCGGATGGATGTAGGTGAAGAAGTCGTCGATCAAGAGCTCGAGGATGGGTAAGGGGGCGATGTTCTCGGCATCCAAACGTCCTGGTCCCTCTGCTATGGACACGAGGGCCTGGGCAGCGTTGTGGGGTGATGGTGAGGGCGTAACGGCGGCGCCATACGAGGTGAAGGCAGCCGTGGCAGGCGACAGGCCAGGCGATAGGCCAGGCTCGATCCTCTGCCTTCGAGCGGCCCTGGCAGCCTCGGCGTGCTTATTCGGGGGTCCTCGCCTTTTCAGTTCTCGGTTGAAGGTGCATTCGACGTTGAGTTCGGAGCATGGTCTACACGGCGGACCAGACTCATCGCACTTGACCTTGCGTTGGGAGCACATGTCACAGGCGCGTCGGAGGCGGGTCAGCTTCGGGTTGACGGTCGGGTCTCGTGGCATGGACGGCATCGGGGCGGCGAAGGCGTGAGGGAAGGCGGACATGGCGCTCTGCGACACGGCACCGAGTGGGCCATTGGCAACTAGGGGAGACACAGGCGGAGGGCCTGCGACTGTTGAGGTATGGGTGGCCTGTGGAGGAAGGTGGTGAGGCGGCGCCTGGGACGGGGTGTGCGGAGGAGGCGGAGGCTGGTGTTGTAGTTGTTGTTGATGCTGGACTTGGTCCTGCTCGACAGCTGAGGGTATCGCCAGCTGCTCCTGCTCCAGCTGTTGTTGTTGTTGTTGCTGCTGCTGCTCTTCGATAGGCTGGGCATCGTGCTGCTGTTGATGTATCTGCTGCTCGTCGGCGGCGGTGACAGCAGCGGCGGCAGTGCTCAGATGATGCTGGACATGCTGGATGGCGGCCGCGGCAGCTGCATCCGAGGCAGCTTGAAGGACCTGGAGTCCATTGCTGGCATACGCGTGGGCAGTGGCTTGCTGGGAAGCAGTCGGCGATGCGGGGGGGTCGGAATGAGGGTCGGGCTGATGATCCGTCTGCTGCTGCAGCTCTTCTGGCTGCGGCTCCTGGTCGGCCAAGGACGATGACATGTCGAGAAAAAAGAGCAAAGCCCGGCGATGGCCCCGTTGGTGTTATCCCTCCTAAGGCGATGGGCGGTGCTGGGTCGCAATGGCTGATTGTCGGAGAAGCTCCGGCTGGGATTCGGGACGGCCTGAGTGTGTGTGCGTCCAAAGTGGGTGTGCGGAGGCACTGGAGGTTGTGGTGTTGGGGCTGATAGGCCTCGAATAGAGTGGAGGGCGGTGAGCGATGGGATGACGGGAGGCTCTACTGCAGGTGTTTGTCGCACGGTCACACGCAGGTGGGGTTTGATGGGGTTATGCACGTGAAAGAGAGGGTGGGGCCCTTCGTAAGCGACCAACTTCGCACGGCTCATTTTCTGCCTCCCTAAAGGGGTTTAGCGCAATTCCGGGACCGGGTCCACTTCTATCCTGGGAATCCGGAGGGCCAGAGAAAAAGGAAGGTACCCAAGGTGAGGAAGGTGAGGAAGGTGAGAAAGGTACCAGTAGTCATTTGGTTGGAATGTCTCGCTGACACATTCCGATTCTCACGAGCATCTCAGCACTTCCACAAGGTGCCTAGCACGTACCTCAGGTACCTTGGGTACACAAGTACCTGAGACAGAGTCCACCCTTTAACCCTACTATCTAGGTAGATTTTCTAGTATTCTTTGAAAGAAAACATTCCTCAGGGTTCATACCTAGCTAGAGATGAGACAACAATCGACTATAGAACAGTTGGGATTTGCCGTTCAATTGATAGCAAGCACAAAACCATGTACTGGAATCACAATATGAACATGGCAATCAAGAACACCTTCGCCAAGCTTGTAAACCAAAGTAGTAGGAACTCCGGCAGTAGCTTACTACGTTCATTGCCCTTTGGATCGACATCCTCACCCCGAAGTCTTTGGTTAATATGTCGCCGGTGCTTGGTATTCATGTAATTACATGTCTACTTTTAATCCGAGTCCTCATAAGGAGCCCCAGGGCGACCAGGTTCGCGCGAAAATCAAGAGCTCTGGAGGCAAGGCCTCGACTGCACAGCAATAAGATTAGCAATGTCCTCTGAATACACTGAAATATGGTGTGGTGAGCATTGAGAAAGCTCCAAAAAAAGCCGAGATCCTCGGCTTCATGCTCCCAACCTCTCTTATCATGTTGATCTTTCTCAAACTCAATCCACCTCCTCCATTCACCGTCGCCGGTCTCTCTGAAATTCGCCAAGGTCGTCAAAGATATGAACGGAATCAGACATTCCGGTCTTTTATGTTCAAAGTCCCATTAGAGGCATCTTTTGGGTGCTGTTCCCTACAGCAGATGGAGTGTCTGCAGTGTCTCGTCTAGCGACCAGTCTAGCGAATAGTCCAGCGACCAGTCTGGTGCCGGCAGGTCGCAATTAAGCAATGCTGCATTCTCGCGGCATGGTTGGGCCACCAAGAGCCAATTCAATGTCGACCTCTAATAAAAGAGTTATTGGCGTTGGATCAAAGTCGTTTATCCAATAATCAATCACATTCCGCTTACCCCACCTCTGCTAATCGGACGCGACTGGTCAGCGCCGCTTCACCCATTCCTCATTTTGCATCGTGTGTGGTGGAATGATGGATGGTTGTCCGAGACCCTTCTTGTGGCTAATATAAATGCCGGCCTTTCAGCAGAATTACCCCAGACTAAGGTATCATCCCAGTCCGAGTATGGCAAGTGCTTCTGCCCGAATGGTAACGTCAACGGCGCGTCTTGTGGAAGTATGAAGAGGGATTCGTCGCATTTGAGCCGAAATCAGGCTCACTCAGGACGGCAGCATCGGAGACAGCACGCTGGCGACGGCATCATGATTAAGTCTCATCATTTTGGAATCCAGAAGCCTTGAAGAAAGGCAGATACTCGCAACGGCGGTTAAAAAGTCTTGTTGGTAGGTATAATTGCGCGGGCAGTGTTGATCCAGTGCCTCGGATTTCTGTTGGATTTGTTTGTGAGGTGTTGTGGAGACGGCAGACCAGGAATGCTTTTAAAAAGAAGACTCAGATTCCACGAGGAGGCTAGAGTATAGGTCTTCTTGCTAGCTTGACTGCCGAGAACCCCTAAGCTTGCCGCTTCCTATAAGCGGGCGGCTATTGTGCATCTTAACCGTAGCACTATCCGCGAGGCTTCTTCCGCAACACTTTTTGGGACATCTTTGTCACCAAAATGCTCTCGACAAGCACAATCAGGCTTAGGACGATCTGGAACACATTCCAGCCATCCTATCTACCAACACAATGCCCCAAGACATATAAGCCTACCAAGAGACTTGGAAGCGGGTGCTTAATCCGTATTGGCATCACTGACCTTGGATACGTCGAGCTTGGTAGATATTAGGCCTGGTTTTGAACTACGAGAAGCCGTCATCGTGGGTCATAGTTGGACTAGCTCCTAACAAATTGAACCTCGCAGAGTGAGCACGTTGGGAATATAGTAGATATAGTAGAGAAAAAGAAACCCTCAAGGAGTTGGTAAAAGACAGCCTTGATTGAAAACTGGCACACCTGAAGGCTGTAATATGACACCGGCACCGAATATCCCTTCCAGTGCAGTACACCCCGTGTTCGTGGCCTCGAGGATACACTTCGCCGCCCCCGCACCTGCGACAACATGAGGATTAATTGAAATTTAGATTGCCTCGGGCGATTCATAGAATGCTTTGCTACTTGATTGGGGATACTCTGGGTGCCAGTGGTAAGCTCATAGCTTTCCCTAATGCCCTGTTGATGACCTCTAGGTTCCAATTCGGACGGATCCATCCTCTTTGTTGCCTGACGGATGGATACCTCCGTCAAAGAGACATTGAACATCCCACCGGACCACCGAGCATGGGATTTTCGGCGCGCTTCACGGTGATCAAATCCCTTGCTTGGTATTGAGGTCTTCGTCAACACTACGAACGGAACCTAGTCCTCCTTGAGTGAGTGATCGCCAAGGTCTATCAATCCAGATGATGGACTATAAGAAGCCCTCCAGAATCATGCAAGATGTCGTGAAAGTTCTCAGCTTCCTCGTCAGCCAGAACATCCCCATCTGTTGGTATCCCATCTCAATATGCGTTCGCTCTCCATTCTCCTCGCTGCCATCAGCGCCGTGTCCGCACAGCAGGCCGGCACTCTGCAGACCGAAACCCACCCCAAGTTGACCTGGCAAAAGTGCACCGCCTCCAGCTGCACCAACGTCAACGGCGAGGTCGTCATTGACCACAACTGGCGATGGCTACACGATGCCTCCGGCACCAACTGCTACGACGGCAACAAGTGGACAAGTGCGTGCAGCACCGCTACCGACTGCGCGTCCAAGTGCTCCCTCGAGGGCGCCGACTACTCCGCCACCTACGGTGTGACCACCTCGGGCAACGCGCTCAGCTTGAAGTTTGTCACGCAGCACGCCTACGGTAAGAACATTGGCTCTCGTCACTATCTCATGAACAGCGCCACAAAGTATGAAATGTTCACCTTGACTGGCAATGAGCTGGCTTTCGACGTCGACCTGTCCCAGGTTGATTGCGGCTTGAACGGTGCCCTGTACTTTGTTCAGGTGAGTAGGCGGTCCTCGGGCATATTTGCAATGTCTGAAAAGGCCTCTGTAAATATACCAGGTACTAACCTGTCATTAGATGGACGAGGATGGCGGCACGGCCAAGTACTCTACCAACAAGGCCGGCGCCAAGTACGGCACCGGATACTGCGACGCCCAGTGTGCTCGTGATCTCAAGTTCGTCGGCGGCAAGGCCAACATTGAGGGCTGGGTTCCTTCATCCAACGATGCCAACGCTGGTGTCGGCCCCTACGGTGCTTGCTGTGCCGAGATGGATGTCTGGGGTATGCAAGCATGCCACTTCCTTTCCGTCTTTTTGCGTCGTTTCGTTTTCGCTGACCGGCAACAGAGTCCAACTCTCACTCGTTCGCCGTGACTCCCCACGCGTGCACGAACAACGCGTACCACGTCTGCGAGAAGTCAGGCTGCGGCGGTACCTACTCTGAGGATCGGTTCGCCGGCGACTGCGATGCCAACGGATGTGACTTCAACCCCTACCGCATGGGTGTCACTGGCTTCTACGGCAAGGGCAAGACGGTGGACACCTCCAAAAAGTTCACGTAAGTCATCCTGCTGTTGACCAGCGTGGCCGGCCGACGGACCCCACTATGCTTCCCAAGAGTTATTCGAGATGGATAAGACCGTGACACAGTAGCTGATCGTGAACATCCAGCGTCGTCACCCAGTTCTCTACCAACAAGGTCGCGCAGTACTTTGTCCAGAACGGCGCCAAGATCAATATGCCCAACTCGACCATCAGCGGCGTATCGGGCAACGCCGTCACCCCCGAGTTCTGCACCGCCCAGTTCAAGGCCTTTGGCGACCGCGACCGCTTTTCCGAGGTCGGAGGCTTCTCCAAGCTGAACTCGGCCCTCGGCGGCAAGTGGGTGCTCGTCATGTCGCTCTGGGACGACCACTACGCCAACATGCTCTGGCTTGACTCCGTCTACCCTCCCGAGAAGGCCGGCCAGCCAGGCGCTGCCCGAGGAGACTGTCCCACCACCTCCGGCGTCCCGGCCGAGGTTGAGAACAGCCTTGCCAGCGTGAGTATTCCTCGATATTCCTTTGGACTTTCGTAGAGAATGGAATCGGGTCCTCTGCGCAGATAAGGAGCTGATAATAAACTCTTGTAGGCCACCGTTACTTACTCCAATATCCGCTTCGGACCCATTGGCTCGACTGTCAAATAAGTATATCTCGAGAATCTAACCGCTCGTCTAGAGTGCGTGGTGTACGTATCTCTTGCTGAGGTTGGGGTTCTTCATGTTCCTGCAAAGTGGACGGCGAGACGATGACAAGCCCACAAGCAAACTGGGTCCTCTAAGACAAATGCAGCGTGCTTGTCTTTACCGCCACAATATTGCCATCTGCCTTGTAGTGTTCCGTGTTTCTCTTCGTAACTAGTCGTTTATTTTTCCAATTGACGTCTTTCTTGCTCGTTCATCGCGTCTGGTGCTTTGCCTGGCGACATCGCCTCGTCGGATTCTTGACTACACGGAACCTGTCAATCAGGGAACCAAAGCAAAACAAGGCGGATGATACTCTCGGAGACTTCCGTTGGGCGAGCCTTTTTCTCGTGGTAAAACTTACCCGCTTCTTCCCAAGACAGAACTAGTATCGAGAGCTGGTGGCAAATAAGAATACGACAAGCCTTGCATGAAGTCGAGGCGCAAGACCTAAACTTTGTAGGAATATTCAGTATCAGCTTCAAAAGACGCAAGATGACAGCCTTGTCTAGATTGCTAATAAAGGAATCACGGACAATATCCCTTCACGTCGAAGCCCTCCCCCCCCTATTACAATTACCATGTACTTTAGGTTTGCAAGGCTTTAATACGAGATAGAAGGATCCCCCTGCTCCAGCTCCAGCTCCTCGGCCCGGCCTGGCCACCCGCTGGTTTGGCCGCGCCCACCATTCTAGGCGCAAAATCGCAACGAGACTTTCAGTATTGAGATGGTGTGACCAGGCTCATCAGATGGAGCTCTATCCAATGAGAGGCCATGGCACTCACACCGCAACGGACTCCTCCAATCTCCTCAGAGCGCCCAAACTCTCATGATGGAGGCACGCACCAATCATCTGGGGTCATTTTTCGGCCCCAGCTCCAGTGACGCATCCCAACCGTCACGGCTCGGCCAAAATCCGGCAGAAATGTGAGGGAAAAAAACAGCCCGTGATCCCTCCGTAAGTGACAGTTTGGTGATAGAGTTTGTGGCACATGCAAGACATATCCGTCTAATCCACTTGCCCTACCTATGCCGGGGTGAGCTTGCTCTGTTGCTTAAATGCATAACAGCTATCATGCCAAATAGGAGTCGACCGGAGTCGACCGTCTGAAGACCGTCGCATATGGGGTGTAAAGCACCAGGAGAGCCGTAATCTGCGCGAGAGATGCCATGGCGTAATAAGGCAGCATCCGAACAACGAGCTCCTGGATAAGGTATGCATGGATGGAGTCTGCCGACCCTCAGGGTCCGGGAATTGCGGCGGAGGTTACACGCGTTGGCCTCCAGAGCCGCTGATAACCTCAAGAACCACACGGGGACCCTCTATGTCACAATTGCTATGTGCCGTAGTTGTCGAAGGGGGAATAGACGTGGTCTAGTTCTGACTCCAGTCTTCCTCTAGAGTGAATTATCGCCACAGAGAGAAATCTCGATAATCGTTGGGCGATACCATGACCACCTCTTCTGCTCTTTGTTCCTTGGAATTTTGCCAAAAGGCGACCGTATGCTCTTCACCATTGACAGGCATGACAATGCCTCATTGTTAATCATCTATGAGTCAAATGTGTCAATTCGGGGCAAAGGACAAGCCAGCACGTATCCTGACGACTGCAGACCTACTTCAACGCAGCAACTCACGTCCGAGCAGCCCGCCATGGCCGGCTAACCAAATACTTGTGCAATAAAGGTATTCGATGCCAGTTAGACGTTTTCATCTGCTAAAGCCGGCTTCCACACATCTCCCGGCTGTCCAGTGCCAGACATGCCAGCGTACCTCGCCAGTGATTTGCTTGCCAACATGACTATCCCTAACACGATTTATCACCCTTGTTGTGGTGACACACTCTCCTATCAGCTTCTGTGCTAACATAAAAGAACCATGCAGTGGTGATCGTCATTCCTACCAGGGCCGTGAAAGCTCCGTGTTTGTGACCGGAGAGGGGAGATATACCATCTCTCGCCATCATCTGACGAAACAGTTTGTTTCTTTGCATTTGATTTCGACATCCGTTTCAACGGCCAACCGTATATCAAATCCTTTCGTACCTTACGCTCAGACGCATATGATCAAACTGACGTTTGACTGGAATGGAATGGAATACATGATAGGTCGTACAGCCTGCTGCCAAGGGCTAGACTATTTAGTTCGTGGCTTATGGTCAACAAATTGCAGACGGCTACCCTCGACAAGCTACTTCATCATCAAAGATTCATGCCGGCGGCCATCATCATGACTCTAGAAAGCGCCCCCAGGTGACTGCCGTCCAGATCTCACTAAGACACGGCAGCAACAAATCTGCTTATGCATCGAATTACGAGCCAGGTGATCACCTATGGCCTTGATGCGATTGCACGCCCAACCTTTGGCAACATGGTCGGCCTAAACGAGTTGTCTGTTGGGAAAGTGGAGAGGGGTTGCACATTATCTGTCTCGGAGGATACCGGGCCAAATAGGGGCAAATTTTATGGTCCAGCGCGAGGGCTGCATCCTGACCGACTGAATCCTATACGGACCGGCCGACTAGTTTTTGTTGTTAAATCCAATTCACTTGTACGCGAAAAGGAGACGGAATAAAGTGCTTCGAGTCTCGCCGGCAGTCCGAAGTGCAAGGAGGACGTCTGATACTGACTTCCAGACCTTGACGGTGTCCCATCTCTCTCTTATCTGTGTCTGGAACAGAAAGTAATCGAGATTGTGAAGGAGCTCTCAATAGATGCCTGGCGATGCGCTCTCGGCCCCTGACGAGGCCCTGGACTAACCCAGCGAGTAATGGGATCAGATTGTTTCAGAATGAAAAAAACGGCCTGTTCGAGTGGGAGGCGCGTGTCTTCCTCGTATTCGTGGGCTGAGAAAGCTTCCTCAAGGGTGTGCGGAGGATTGCCACATCTTCATCGGTATTTTGTATCTTGGACCATCGGTTACCCTTTCCCCCTCTGGCGCTCGTTTATTAGACTGAGGTGGCAGCATGTTGGATAGCCGTTTGGCTATCTCCTGGAACTCAGAGCTTTATCCCAATCGGTGACCCCTGACTTCAAAGAGATTTCGTCATTCGACTCGGCAGACTACTACTTGGAAGTAGAGCCCCCCTTCAGTACACAAGTATGTTCCAGCATCTGGCTGCGACATCAAAACTTGACGGCATGACAGAGCCCAAGACGACCAGATCGGACGAGCCATCCCGGCCCTTCCGCGCCTGGTCTACGCCTTCTCGAGCAATCCTCTGTTTGTCGAGATTCACTTCGCATATAGCGATCGTAGCCTCGATGGTCTCAAAGAACACACGATATCCATAAACACTTTTCTGAACATGACAGACGCTAAGCGTTGGAGTGAGCGGCTCTATCTTGACTGCAGTACTAGTGTAAAATGGCGTGTATTCTGGAGGTGGCAAAACAAAAGACTTGAGGAACTGCAGACTACATGTAGAGATGAGTAGGTAGGAAAACACGTCAATCAGGTTTGTGCTACCCTCGTACGGAGACACGGAAACAAGGCGGAGCACCAGGGTCACTTTGGGGTCGGCTACTTGTGCCTGAGACTTGATGCCCGCATAGAAATCCGCTTCCGCAGTTCTTTAAGTGACTGAGATCGGATCCGCTGAGACTTTGGGTAGTTGCTGTTCCAGTATCCTATCTTTCTGAAGTTTTTTAGATGATCCTGAACATCTGATTTGTGGTGGATTTGATAATGCTACCAGCCTGTATTGCACAATGAATCGCGGAGCTATTCGTAGAGCCATCTCAAAACAAAGTTAACGGCGATGGCGAAAGCCCCAGCCTGACAATGAACCAAGCTCCCGTCAGAAATTTGAAATGGAAGCGTGCTGGTTTCGTCAGAAAAGTTTTATGCCCAGTTACAAGTAGCCTATGGTTCGGACAACTGCCAATGCGCCAGGTGGTAGTAGTCACGGACTAATGCATGGAGGTGACCACGACCGACCGTGGGGCGCTTTCGAAAAGAAACACTTGGCCTTCTTCTTGCCACGCGTTCGACAATTCGGCAGTCGCTTGACCGGTGCGGCCAGCTCAATCCCCAACTTGCGAGGGGCTGATCCCTTGTTAGATTTCCAAGGACCCCTCAAGACTGCAGACAGGTAAAGGGTACGCTGGAGGGCCAGAGAGAATCGTGACTAGGGCTTCTCTTATGCTTTTACAATGAAACCCCTGATATTTTGGTCCTGAGAGACCCCCGAGATGCAGTATGGAGACGCTGTAGTTGAATGGCATGCTGAGCTTGTAGGGCTTCTTATTACACTGAATAGCTGCACACGGCACCGACCACACTATCTTGGCACAGCTGAACGTCGGACCTCAGGAAAGGAGGAAAGGTTCTCAGGCTGGCCGAGTTGTGTGGCTCTCCCGCTAGTGTGGTGAATACACGCCATTGAGAAGGCGGCCATGGCGTAGGGGAGAAGCCACATCTTCAGACTTGTGAGCTCCGGCTGACGGGTTGAAGACCGCCCTTGTAATTCACAGCTTGGCGGAGGAAATCGGGTTGACTTCAGGTGACAAGGAGGTGCGGATGGCTGCAAAGAACTCTATTCCGGTCAGGTCTATGTCCGGGAGTCTCTCTGAAATGGCATCTGAAATAAAGTGTGTGTTGATCAGTATCGCAACTGGGCGTTGGAGGTTTGACCCCGAACACAACCAGTCTGACAGAGTTATCCTGCCTGGTTGCGGTCTATTCACAGCAGTACCACTTCGATCTGGCTCCCCGGTTACCACGTACGAAGTACTACCAACATGGGATGGGGAAATGTGATGAATCGAGGGGGTCGCCTCATCAGTACAAGTACTATAGTTTTGAGACACGCCCCTACATGTAGGTAAAGGGGCTTATAATGTTTGCCCTATCTACCAGACCAGATCACTATGGAGATTTTTAGTTCCGCGATGTGCGCGGTCCGTCGTGGACCACGATGGGCCTTGGACACACCAAGCGAGTGCTCACGCTACGGCTTCTGTTTCTCTTCGGCTATAGGTTCCAAGGCTGAACAACGTCTGAAATCCACCAGGAGTGCAGCTCGTTTCTCAACGGAAACTTGTCTGAGCTGAGAGCGCTGGCGATGTCGGATATATTGATGTTATGGCAGACGAGGAGCGGCTTGGCTTTGAAAACATGCACCTAGTCGAGGGCAACCCTCCGGTTCATCGCAAGCACAATACTGTAGCAGAGCAACATCTGAGTGGACAGACAGGTCCAAGTTCAAGTCCCGCAGCACCATCTCGAGTCGAAGGTCCCTGTTCAACCTGCCACGCTACATGACTACTTGCAGTGGGACGACTGTTTCTTCGACGCTAATAACGGACCACTTGAACTACATTTCAGGGCGTGAAATAGGCGGCTGCGAAATGACTAGCACTCCAAAGGGGCCATTGAGTCGCCAGGGCAAGTTCATGTCCTCGCCGTCCCGACCAGTGCGGACGGGAATCCTTCGCGAACAGGGATGGCACCACGCCTGTGGGGTGTATCAATAGGGTACCGTGGCCGAGAAGAGAGATATGCAGTGGCCTAGAGATGCTGCTGGAATATCCGTACTGATTCCACTCAATGACCAGCTATAAATACTCTTCCGGAATGGATACCGAAAAGAGCCTTACGATTTTACTGTTCTCACTCTTTTGTTTCATCTTGACTCGATGACGGGCTCGCAGCAGGACGACGACCTGAGGGACGCCCCGAACCCGGATATTCCTGTGGCAACAACCAGCTTCAGGCGCCTCTTACCGGCCGGCACTGGCCCTCGCGTTGTCTCGACGGAACGCCTCTTTCGACGGCAGAGACAGACTGTTCCGGCGGCTTGCTTGGAGTGCCGCAGGCGAAAAGTTAAGGTAAGAAACGCTATCGAATTCGCCCCAAAGAGGAAAAAATAGAGAAACTCACCCTGACTCCAACTACCCCTAACGAGAAAAATACCTTTTGTCAGGACCAGATGTAACCCAGCGACAGTACTTATTCAAGTCGTTGACAACGCTGTCGGACAGGTGGGGCAAAGTGGCAAAATGAATTGTCAAATCATACATGGATTAGACAGTTAACCGTCAACCTTTTCCCCTCTTCGTCCGTCCCGGCCCCTTTTTGCCCAGCCAGACACCCGTCACCTCGATCCTACAAGTCAACTTTAACTGATGATTGGTATACATAACAACAGTGTTCCGCAACTCGACCGATCTGCTCGCGTTGTTCGATTCAAAATGTTGAATGCGAGTGGGACACGGAGCCCGAGACGACTCGCCGGCGAGCCATTGTCAACCGGCTCGAAGAACTCGAAAAAGAAAACAACGATCTCCACGAATTGATCAGGGACCTTTCTTCACGGCCTGAAGCAGAGGCAAACGAAATATTCAATCGACTACGAGCGACGGGCGACGCGTTTCACGTTTTGGACCTCGTCCGGGTGGGGGACCTCCTCCTCGGGAGACAACCAAACGAGGCTGAAAGTTCCAGTGAGAGGAGGACAAAATCGAGTCCGGTATCTTCCAAGTCGAATTCTGTTAAAGAAACCGCCGACATGAACGCGCTACATCGAGAAGATTGATCGATTCGAATCATGCACGCGCGCTTGAGACGTGGTGAAAACCTCGTCTCCTAGGCCACGGCCACAACTTCCATCAACCGATTTTGTTTTGCAACACAGCCATCGACAAAACCACAAGTAAAGGAATCTCCTACAATCTCTAGACGCTGGAGAAGAAAAAAAAAACCAGGCTGCGCCAGTTCCGGTGCGGTGAGGACTCCCTTTTAATACCGCGACGCGCGACTCACGTGGTGTGACTGCCGTGGACTGACGCTGACAGACTTAGCTATGGTGCAGAAGCTTTGTTCGAGAGATGACTAGTCGTTCTACTGGATGTCCGAAAAGCCGAAACCGGATCTCAGCAAGAAACGCATAACTTGCTAGTTGTCGAGAAGTCTGCCGCGGCACCCGGCAAATCCTTGGTGACACTGTGTGGACGTTAGCTTCCTTGAACTTAGGACAACTTTTACTCGGATGATCCAATGGGCACCGCGGATACTAGCTTCAGATTTGGCTTGCGGCTGTGACGCCACTGACGACGCAAGAATTCCAACGGCAAAGCCAAAGTCGTAGAGTTGCGTGGAACAGACAGACTGGTAAGTGCTCTTTCCGCCCTGGCTTTGTGCCCAATTGTTGTTCCAGACCTAGATTGCTGAATTGTTTCTTGCATAGTCGGACGAATAGTCGGAAACTTTCCGGAAGAAGTATACCCAGTTGGTACAGACAAATCGACACCGAATGAGATCAGGCCATATTCCCCGACGTCATGGTGACGAAACTCGGACCTACACGGGCCATACGAAGATGAATAGTGAGGCGGCCGACGAAGAAAATAACGGAGGGAGGGTGAGAGGGCAAAAATGCCACCACTGGAACCAGAGGATTATGCGTGGACCTTGGACTTTAGGGTGAGCTATCGCATCTGTCTGCTTTACGCTAGACTGGATCGTCGCCCTTTATTTGTAAAGACGGCATCCGTCCGTGCAAAATCGTCCATTCCTATATTATACCCTACTGCGGAAACACTCTGAGAGGCTAGCAACGAACTACTAGAGTGGCTAATCGACCTGCATGATACGTCTGTACTGGGTTTCGCCTAGCCCCTCTTTCTACTTCTGGGAAGCTAAGGGTTGAAACCTAGATCGCTAGGACTCTACAGGTGGCGACATGGCGACCGAGCGCGACCTCGATGGGGGAGTCAGACTGTCTAGCATATTCCTTGACATGGAATTCAAGGAGGCTGATGGTAGGGCTGAACTTTTGGCAACCTTGAACGTCCCCTTTCAAGACGAGGGCGAAGAAAGATCGAGCATCAAAGCGGCGAAGGACTTTGACCAAACACGTTTACCCAGTAGGGAGGGCCTCATCAGTTTAAAGACTGGTAGAAGCACGTCAGTCAGTCTACAAAGTCAGTGGAGATGGAGTTGGTTCCGATAGACAGCCTCATCGACAGGTCTCAGTCGAAACCCCGCATCCTTGTCTTCAACCCCATCCGCCATGCACTGGAAGAGCGTGAAGCCCAACGGTTGGTGACCAACTCCAAAGGGGTCACTAGCACGTCGCGAGACGAGTTCTTCAACAACTCGCGCAACAACTATCAGTTGAAGCAATCTTCAGAGTCTTTCTAACGGAGCTGCTATTCGTGTCCTCCAGCTACCAAATAACAAGGAGTAGAAGCTCAATGGTTTACAGGTTGCAGGAAAGTTCGACGAGAATTCGTCAAACCATTTTCCTCCGTCACTGAAGTACATTTGCCATACCGACGCTGGGTACGATCAGATCGATATCAACGCCTGCACACGCCGCGACATCATCGTCACGTACGCGCCCTATCCGGTCACCAATGCCACCGCTGATCCGACTATTTTCCTCCACTTCGCAGCAGCCGCCGGCTGAACCCTGCTTTCAACATCCTACGCATTCTACAGAGCGGAACTTCAAAGAAGGTCTCGTCTTGTCCCATAACCCCTAGGCAAGACGTTGGGAACCCTTGGCATGGGCTGTATCGGCCGAGCTGTCAAGCGCCGTGCCAAACCCGTCGGGCTAGAGATGATGTATCACAGCCGGAAGCCGCTGCCAGACGAGCTACTTCAGATTGTTCTTACGCCCCCGCCGACGAACTTTTCAGCACGAGTGACATTACCTCCGTCCACGTCCCGCTGTCAGCTGGCACCCCGCATATGATCGTCTTGAATGAGGGTATCGTCGCTGCGGTTGGACTGGATGTCTATGAAAAGGAGCCACTTGTCGACGAGCGGCTGGTTAAGAACCATTAAGCATTGCTCGTGCCTCATCTGGGAAAGCATACAGTTGAGACACTCGGTCAGGTGGAGTCACTGGCCGTTGGGAACGCGCGGCGGAGTGTTTGCAGGGAGAGACTATCGACGGTGTTTCCTAGCAGGCCAAGAACTATGAGCATTCTTCATAGGAGCGAAGGTAGACTGAAGCGGTCCACGGGCCATGCAAGTTCATGAAGCAAGCCTGCCATTTCCAACTATGTCCACTGTGCCGTGATTCCCGGATTGGCCGTACCCCGTCGCCAGCGAGATCGGCGTGGGGCAGTTGATAACTGCCCGCTTCCCAGTTTCCGTGTTGTTTCCTTTGCCGGCGGTTCATATATTACGCGCGCTCGGTCACGGCGTTCGTCTCTTAAGCCTTCCACTGGCTTGTCTCATCACGGCCAATTGGACCCGATCTCGGCAAGAAGCAAACTTATCTGTCAATGAACATGGTGGACCACAGTATCAAGAAGACAACTCGTAGTCGTGGGGCGTGCTTGACCTTGAAAGCGCGAGAACACAAGGTGGGCTGAGAAGACCGTCTCACCATTACACGCGGCAAAGGTTGGTCGACTATGATATTGTCAATCAACAGTGTAGTGGAGAGAGGTAAGGTCATTCAAGTGGACTTGTGCCTTTCCAAGGCTCATCGTTATCGACCGAAACGCGCACAATGCAGTGTCAACAATGTCTTGTGCCAGTGGCCTGAACAGGGGAAGCGGTAAGTCTTGAATGATAATCATTGAATTTAGCCTGTTCCTGTTCCCTAGCCTTGTCTTTGATATGTGAATGGGTAAGTTGGTCTGATATGGTTCTCTCGATTCAGCTTTCGAAACTAACATGGCCACGAACTGGTATAGAGGCTGGGACCTCCGAAGGTACATTTTCACCATGGAAAAGCGATTGACAGAGACTAAACAAGTTCTTGAAGCTTTGCTAGCTCACATATCAGGGGGCTAGCTGGCATCAGCATTTTATGATCTCCGTGCAACTAGCCGCCTATCAACCACTCACAGCCCTGCGACAAACAGCGGAACATCGATAGAGGTGGTAAAAGGTCTCAAGTTCGGCCCCGTCTACTGGGCCAACTATCCTCTCGACTTGGCAGGGGTGGTTCAACGTTGGTGGGCAGATCGAACATCAGTAGACGCGAACAAAATGCCCAATCGAGATCCTCAGGCATCCGAGACTGCCGGAACAAACGACACACCGACTGATTACACAAGATGTAGTGATGAGAATTGCGGAGATGAAGATGTTGAGGAGTCTGAGGACATGATGCGATCAGAAAGTATCGAAGAAGGTGATACCCCCAAAATAGACTCAGATATGTCTGGAGCTTTGGAGCAGGACGTTCCTTATCTTGAAGACTTGGGAGTAGGAGCTTCTGGCCCGCCAGCAGAAGCGGGAACGGTCCCGAGAAGCAGGCTCGATGTGGGAACGGATGGAAGGCGGCAGGCACTACGGCCGCACATTTTAGAAAGTTAAGAATTCGCGTTCCTCTAGTAGCTGGAGTTGTCCAGGCCACTTTTGAGACTCCCTGTAGACGTAGGCGAGAATAGTAGATTGGTGAACAGATTGTTGCTGACCAGGAATGTTCCCGTAAATAACACTAAGTGGAATTCCTATGACGTCTGAAAAGGCTTTGTAGGTACATGTATGGTGTCCCGCGTGGCTGCAGCCTGACGTGAATTCTCAACCCGTAGAATCAACTACCTAGTTATACTCAGCTTGAATAAACATGTGTGAAGGACGGATATCTTCGGCAGACTGCTCACCCGGGCCGCTCAGCTACGGGGTAAATATAATTCCGCCACACCCCACCGTTGAGTTGCACTGGCACATGCGCGTTTTTGACGACATTACTCCCATTCGCCGCTTTCCGAAAGCAAACAGCGCCGACGGAGCGTGGCTTAGCTTGTCAGCAACTGAGCGGCAGGTCTTTTGACAATGGCGCCAGAAATCGGAAGTCTCACAGCCCTTACCAAGGGGGAAAAGTCAGTCCCTTGGCAGGTCTTCCGGCGTCTTCATCGTCAACACCGTCAAGAGAGCCTTTTTGACAACGATGATTGGCGTCACACTGCCGGAGTTTATACCAAAAATGACCCATCTCCTGAGGATTGCATAGTAGGCGGCAACGACCGGACTAGTCAAGAGTCTCCGGAGATGAGACCGGGATGCGACAGTAGTGGAAGGCCGAACCACGAATCGGATGTTAATACCTTGCCACTTTCATTGGGCATGGATGTCACGAATGATATGAATTCTTTGCCTGACTATCTGATTGCCAGTGACCCCTTCCTTGCATATTTCCGAATATGGCATCCTTTGATCCCCTTTCTGCAAGGTCGAGAATGTCTGGCTGATTTGGAAAAATTTTCCTTATCTGACTTCCACAGACGGAGTTCAAGATCACACTGTCAATTTATCATTTTCATGTTGCAGCTTGAATATTGCCAAGCTTTAAACATATGGGTCCGTTGATATGAGGTCGGCAGTCATACGTTCGCATTCAGACCTCTTACCGATACTAAGTATATTGGCTCTCCGAGGCGACACAATCTCTATCCAAGCGTTGCTAGCATCTCAAGTCTACCTCCTTTTCACAATGTCGCTCCGTTATGAATAGTGTCTAAGCGGCTTGCTATTCAAGTGAATATTTCAATCGGGCATGCATAGGTGCCCTGTCCAGTACGACCACCTGTCTTCGGATGAGCGTTCAGTGCGCAAACGCATCTTTTGGAGCTTCTTGTCCTCGACCATTTCAGCAGCTAGTGGCTGCGGTATCCGAATGGCATTCAAGACTCAGACATCGACGTACGTCCGCCCGGGCAGCAAGACCTCCAGGAACCAGTTGCAAAGCCATCGCATCTCGATGGACAAGTGGTAACCACCATCTTACACCTCCCCGCAAACCACTACGAACACCTGACTGACATCATCCCCAACAGGTCGGACTCAGAGCATGCAGACCTCGCCCGAGATAGAACAAGAGCAAGGCCGACACGCGATGGTCAGTGCTGATGCGATGGCGCCAAGCACGACCCAAGGCTGCCGCGATCCTTCGTCACCACCGAGAAACACAAGCTGTTCTGGAACATCATGTTCAGCATTCACAACTAGTGGAGAGAGTTCTTGAAATCTTCCACAAATTCATTCATGCCGGAGAAATGGACAACAAAATGGTTCTCTTTCTGAGAGTGGATGTTACCACCCATGGCAATGACCTCACATAACCACGCTTCAGTCCAACCTTGCACGACATACCACAACTGGCTCCCGATCCCACCGGTCTTCCTTTCGTCAGCTACTATTATACCGTGATTCTCCTTAACCATCCCTATCTTTCGTTGGACTCGAAGCGTGCAAAGTTTCGTGATGCTTTGCAGACTTGTACCACCGCTGCCCACGCAATCATTCGCACGATTGAGCAGTATTCCGACTGGTGAAGCCCTTCATTTTGGCATGGGTATATGTTAGCTGTATGGATGAGCGGTCTTGTTTTGGCTCCAGCAACTCGGCTCCGGCAGCTCGGCTCAAGGCCTGCACTTTTGTCAACTGTACCAAACTAAACTTGTGGACTTTTCCAACCATTTACTAACGAGGCAACAGAGGTATTAACACCTCGCTTCAATTGTTAAACAAGTTAAGAAGGCGACGTGCAATGTCGAGACATTGCAGGGAAGTACCGTCTGTGCTACGTCAGGGTATTGAAGAAGGTCCCAGAACGCACGACCGAGCTCGAACCAAAACCATTGAGGAGTCAGATCATGAAGACAATTCTCGCTCTACACATGATTCTGACAATGCTGTGAAGAAGCATATGAAGCGGAGCATGAGAAGGGCAACAGGTATTGACGATTCTGGACGCCAAGGTCAAGCTACACAGCTTGATCAATGCCTCCAATGCGTCAACCCCCAATATCAAACACGATCCAGGGCGCTCAAACTCCACTGCCATCTCAACGGTTTACCGAGGGGGGTTTCATTTCCAGTATTCATGAAAGTCAGAGAGTATCTTTTCAACTTCGAGACACCCGACTACAACCCAAACAGCCCCCGACCTAATCAAAACCAACTTCGCCATGCAGATGCCAGCCATCTTTTCTCGCCGTCTGACTTGAACCTCCGAATAACATGCCATCCATGGGGTCCTACTTCGCTCCTATAGCCACCATAGTCCCAAACCGCAACAGGAACCTATGGAATCAACCCGTGGGCATACAATTCGGAGTTGCTGACAACATTATTGACATGTTTGATGGAGTTACGTGGGAGCTCCTTTTTAGATGTTGTAAACGATGCAGGTGCAAACAGCCATCGTACATGTTAAGAGCCAAAACATCATCATTTAAGGGTTTAGGGGTGGCCTTCCCCTCGGAGGTTACGTGGCTATGAGAAGCCATTAAAACTAGTCGGGAAGCTCGGCCGCCTTATTTCAAGCCACAAGGCTTGACTTGATTAGATCATCGAATGCTACCGGTCAGTGCGCGACAAAATAAAGGTGGAACTCAATAGGGAGTTGAATGTCTGGATTAAAGAAATTCTCAATTTTTATAGAAGCAGGCTTCACTGCGCCTGCAACTGAATGAAGTCCTCTCCTTTTGATTTTCCCTCTTGGCTCACCAACTCAACTGCTACCTTCAAAAGACCCTTCTCGTAGTCGGAAAAACATCTGATGGGATGCGCAATTTCGTTACTGTTAGGCCCGAGGGTGACAAGCACAGCAAAGTAGTTGACCCCATCGCGGACAACAGTCTCGTCTACTTGCAGTCCAGGGAGGTAGACAAAGGCAGGGGTCCACAACACAACTCTGACCTTGAGAATTGCTTAAGAAAAGCTGTCAAGATAGTTCAATGAGTGAGTGGTTGCGAAAAGAAAACAGATGGTTCACGTGTAAAGACTTACCGAAAATCAGCGTACGCCATGCACGTCGTCGCGGAACTAGCACCGGCCTTGGCTTTCGCAATTTCATCTCCACCGAATTGGAATTCTGTTGGTTGTCAGTCAGCTTGTGACTTACTTGGCTTCAATGTCATTGAACGTGCTGTTTGTGATAGACTCGATTTGCTGTTGGTCTAGCTGAACCGAATGCTCGGATTGGCTGATCATTGACAGAATTGTTGATCCCGAATGTCCACCAATAACAGGCATCTTAAGACTCTGCGAGCTAAATTGCCAAGGATATTAGCAAGAAATTTGGATCCGCGCAGAGTATCCAGTGTTGTGATGCCGAATCGGCGCTTAGGGTCAAAATTTCCGTGCTTCTTCTGGACTTCAGCAACGATGGGGACGGTGCTGTTAACTGGATTGGCAATAATACTTACCAATGCTTTGTGATTGAACTGAGCAACTGCGGCAGTCGACTCTACGATGATGACAGCTTTGATTTTAACCAAATCTGAAAGCACTTGAGCTCAAAGAGAAACGTGATCTCGGGGTTGATAGTCTTCTCATCTCGAGTCACGTCCGGCTTCCGAGCGATTTCGACAGAAATCAACACGACCCCTGCTGCGGTAAGTGACTTTTGGAGCCCATTATTCTTGGGAAGGTAGCCCTTCATGATTGAAGGGGTATCAAAGAAATCCAGATCGATGGCCACGCCGACGGCGTGTACCACATCGTAAAGTCTCAAATCCGTCACGAGGAGGGACTTTGAGGGAACTACCCGCAAGGCCGTTATCCAAGGGACTGCCATGACCAGATTCGGCGTTGATAGGAGTCCTTCGTTGTGCCTTCGATCTCGCTCACAGCCTCCTTCGAAAGCTTCTTCCAAGTGCTACTGAGAGCAAAGGCATCAGCGTTACCATGACTTACTAGGACTCTCGCATTGTGGAGATGACCAAGAACTACGGAGACGCCAAGGTCGACAAGTATCATATCGACATCTTGACTGCCCACTTCGTACAATGCCCAGACGTCTTTGACGTTGTCGTTGGGAGTAACCTCTTTGGCGATCTTCTCTCCGACTTGGGCCCTGCTTGCACGAGTGCTATCGCCATCGCCCCTTCTCAACCCTGACGTAAAATTTCCTAGCTTATTCGGATCAGTGCACGGCAGCGCCCGCGAAGTTGTTGGGAAATATGTTGCTTATCCTGTTGGCATGATATGGGCTGGTCAGTAGCTATTTCAACACTTTGGCTTCAAGGATGCAGCAGACCCGGCGTTGAAGGCTATTTAAAATGTTCTGGAACGCGCAGAAGCCTCTATTTTGACGCCGGAAATGAAGGGTTTGGACAGTACGGAGGCGTTGGTGCAGCTATTGAAACAGAAATTGCGGCACTAGGCTACTAGCAGAGTCGAAGTAAACATGTATTTTCAAGTTCTATTTTATAGGCTGGAATGCGTGCTGGCAACTGGATAGATTCTGGACTGATTGATTTAACCGAGAGATTCTTAGCTCACCAATATGGTCAATATCACTGAAGAGTCACGGAGATGAAGGAAATCAGCCGTCAGGTTTCGACTCTCAAAACAACCGAGTGCGAGATACAGATAGAGCAGTGAGAGTTATATGTAGCTTTTTCAATGTGAAGTATTCTCATGTAATTGCAATATACGTGTCAATTGGTCAGCTCCTACACAGTGAGTGAATTTAAGAAACACCAGACTTGACAGCTAGGTGGATTTTCAACAACCGAGAATTTCGTTCCTCGCTTGCCATCTTGATAATTCCGTTGTGTCTAGGCCTCTTCCATGAGGTGGCAACGACAATTCTCGGACTGTGTCCCTAGTCTCTCGATATTCAAGCATTTGCAGATGTTTATTTCGCAAGTAACTTCGCAAGTTACAACAAGACCAGACGGCTATTCATCGAGAGAATCTTGCCGGGCACACGGCATCGGCCGTCCTCGCCCCCCGGGCCAATCGCAGGCTACAAGCATGATCCCACACGCTGGGCTGTTTAGTATACTGCGTTCTACTGACAAACTTGCAAAGCCATCAAATCCTATGCCGTGAACAACGTGCTCCAAGTGTTGTTATTGAGTACCCTGAATCGGAGCTGATACTCGGCCGAGAGACGGAGCCGCTGAGCGCCCCCTGTATCGGAGGGGGCAGAAGTATTTGTCTAATTTCCGGGGCAGTTCCTCTTTTCTTGAGATGCAACAGTGATTTCCATCTTCCAACATATCCCTGAATTCATTTGTTTTGCCTCTCTGAGCTGCTTTCAGGCGCTTTATGGGTGTTACCCACTCCTGCGTGGTGATCGTTTTTCTCTTCGTCGCTCACTTAGCAACAGCCCAGCTACCAGCCAACGCAGTCGAGATTGATCTCGTATTCCCTCGCGCGGATTTCACCGGGACGTGGCTCGACCGCTCTGGGCATGATCAACTACCCATCTTTGACGACGTATCATAGCCTCTATGATAGGAAGTACGATGATCCGGTCACCTCGCCACAGTCCTGTGCAGTCACGACAAATGTCACCTTCATAGCCGAGCCGTGTATGGCAACAGTCAACGAACAGTCAACGAGGCGCAGGCTACGACTATCTCCAGTCAGTTTCATTGGGGGGCCTACGCGACTGGGTCGGCCACAGCGTCGGTGACAGGATCCGCCACAGCTGCCCAGCACACGTTCAACAGGAGTCTGATCTGGGCCATCGTGTCGGTCGTTGTTCTGTTCGGCGCTTATGTAGCTCAATGACAGGCCCTATGCTATGCCATGTACATCAGATTCTCAAAGCGTGCCTGTTGACGATTGACCACGCTTCCGAACTACCTATTATGTACATGGTCAATGATGCTTTCCCACTCTTAATGCCTTCCCCGGTTGGAGGAGAAAAGTCCCGCTGTCAACAAACATATTTATCCCAGCAGCCCACGTCCTAACTGGGCAAAGATCAAAGAGATCGTATGCATGCTGCAGGGTGAGTGGGGATTTAAGCGGAAACGCGACGGGGCAGACGGAAGCCCACGGATCAGAGCCTAGATCGGGATAGCCTGCATCCACGCGGAACTTGAGGATCTAGACAGAGATTGAGGCTCACTAGTGTTCACCATGGATCTGACTCGATCAGCCCGCCGTCGAGTTCGAATTTGGCTAAAAAATTTCATCATAATCTAGCATCGGGGAGATCGAGACAACATGAAGACTCCGACCTTTTCCAAGAAAAGAAACTTCGAAATCGCGCTTGAAGCAGCCATAACGCAAGATCTTCTCCATTTTGGGTGTCGAGTGGATCTCAACTTGCTTTTTGGAAACTCAAATACTGTTGGCCAAGACGGCTGAGGTGCTTCCAGCCGGAGAAGATGCCGAATTAGCCATTGCCTGCATCGAGTCTCATGTAGTCATTTATGACCATGTGTCAAAAGAAACAATCACCCAACTTTACGTGCGGCGCAGGAGATGACTTTCTTCAGAATTCCGTGGCGACAGGGAAGCGACATCGGGTTCTCATGCGGCCGTGACATTGCTTTTGCCTTGAGGAGCGCGTGTCAGCGGGACATGGTGCCTTTCTCGATCGTACATAGTAGATCACTCATGACACCCCCGAGCCTTTTCTCGAGGTTCATGATCTTTTCGCAGATTCTTTCAATCCAAAACTCGCATCAGGTTCCATCAATACTAATGGCGGCATCTGATGGATATCCCCTCAATACCCGATGACCCGAGCAGCCTCCCCTTGACGGGGACGTCGGCCTTCGTCGGACAGCCTCCCGCAACCCAGAATGATTATTTCATCGTCAAGGGTCTCTTTCGTATGCTCGGAATGACGACAGCCAACCCGATGACGGGCTATTTCCTCGCCGCCAAGCCGCCTCCCGGTTATGCCCACGAGACTAAACTGCCCGGCGTTTTGACGGGCCTCATCTTTGTCATAGTGGCCGTTGTTGCCCCCACAGCCGCAAGAGTATGGCTGAGATTGCGAAGAGGTTCAGTCAAGCAGTTCGGTTGGGATGACTGGGCCATCATCGCTGCTGCGGTACGTTCCAACCAGCGAGTAGCGCGCCCATGATACCTGTACTGATCGTACTCGGTACAGCTTCTAGCTCTCGTGTATCCGATCGCACAAATTCATTCCCTCGCAGTCGGCGCAGCTGCCCTACATACATGGGAAGTCACTTACGAGCAATACAACATCGGAATGTTGGGGGCCACGGTTTGCAAGACAACATTCTTCGTCGCTGTGGGCATGATAAAGCTCTCAATAGCAATATTCCTCCGAAGACTAGCGGACCGTCTCCCTAGGTGGTGGCGGATCGCATGCGATATCTTCATCGGATCAACTGTCGCATATATCCTGCTCGCTATCTTTCTCAACGTCTTTGCATGCAATCCGCCGGCAGCACAATGGGATTTGGCTTTCCGTGGCAGGCGAGAGCCTGCTCCTTCGTGTATCGGCCAGGGTGTTGAATCAAAGATTCTGACTGGTTTCCATGTGGCTCAGGGGCTTACTTTGCTGTCAGCACCTGTTGTGATCTTGTGGAAGATTCGCATGCAAACGACAAAGAAGACTCGACTATTCGCTATCTGGACGATAGGTGGTCTGGCAGTTTTGGCAGGCTTGCTCCATCAAATCCTTCCTACCATCACAAACGACTTCACGTGGAACTATACAGAAGCTCTGATATGGGCATGCTTGGACCTATCGTTAGGTGTTGTGACAGCCTCACTACCGGTGCTGGATAGTTTGGTGGAGGAGTATTGGAGAAGGGCAAAGAGCACCGTAGTCAAGACATATGGTGGGAGCAATTCATCACCATCACGAACGAGCGAAGATAGCGCATGGCTATACAGCAAGACTGCGGGTACGGACAAAAGTAGGAAGCATGCGGCAAGACCTCCTATATCCAACATCACACAGGCCATGGACCGCTCAGAGTCCAGGGAGAGCATTGTCAAGAAGGAGGAAGTTCACGAGACCCAAAGTTGTGCGATTGAGATGGGAATTTTGTGCACTCAGGAAATCGAGGTGCATGTCTCTGAGGCGGAGGATGTTGAAAATGGGCGGGCAGAAAGTCGAGGTCCAAGGTCGCCGTCACCGTTCTACCACAACCGGCCAGAATGGCACGATGACTCTCATAAGTTTTAAAATATTAATATTAGACACATGGCAGTTTAGATGTGCTCAACGGATTGATGTGATAAGATGTATTGACTGCTGCAGCTAACCGAGAACAACAATGGTTGACGACCATTGCTCCAAGTCAACCCAGTTTTGAATCAATATATCTTATGATGGGCTCTATGTATGTTGGATTCATGGGCATTTCAGCGTTGTTGTATCAATTAGTTCACAAGCAACGATACACCCTGCAAAGCTAACATGATGGAGTGATCAACTTAGCACGGAAGCACAAGTAATTGCTCACGGTTGAGACACTGAGCATCATCATACTATGGTAATGAAACCTCTCCGTTATGTCACCCCCCTGCCTAAACCCCAGTCAAACACCAATGACAAGGACCATGCCTTACTGCCTTTCAACATGAACATAACCACCAACTCATCAAGCACTAACAGACAGATCAAAAGCCACCGTTGGGGTGGATGAGGACCTTCGTGTAGCCGTCAATTCTCTTATCAAATTTCTCATACGCGACTTCGGCGTCGTCGATGTTGATCTCGTGCGAGACGACGAAGCTGGGTTTGGCCCTGCCTGCAATGATCAAATCACGCAGGTATCGGTTGTAGGCCTTGACATTGCACTGTCCAGTCCCAAGGGAGAGTCCCTTCTCAAAGAGCTTACCGAAGCTCAGGCTGATCATTCCCTTTGCCGAGGCATCATCTGACGCACCAGGGTCGCTATCAAAGAAGTTTCGTCAGTATTGCGTACAAAGTAGTATTCGAAGAAAGGGTGTATCGTACCTGGGAACGTAAAGTCCCGGGACACCAAGTCCGCCACATGCTCGCGTGACCTTGATCATGTTTTCCAAAACGATATTGGGCTGCTCCGTGTTTCCACCGGCGCTCACAGCCTGGTACCCGACCGCATCCACTGAGCGGTCGACTTCTCCGCCGTTGATTTTCTTGATCTGCTCAACAGCATCACCTTTGGTGAAGTCTACTGGTGTGCATCCGATCTTTTCGGCGGCCTGAAGGCGCTCGGGAACGCGATCGACCACGAAGACTCTTGATGCACCACGGAGAACTGCAGAGTAAGCAGCCATCAGACCGACAGGACCGGCGCCGAAAACCGCGACGCTCTCACCGGGCCTGAAGCCCGACAGCTCGATGCCATGCCAGCCAGTGGGGAAGATATCTACGAGGATTGCTTAGTAAAGCTGAGGGAGTTCCGTAGAAGAGAGATGCGCACCCGCAAGCAAAATGAAATCTGACTCAAATTCCTTGCCAGCTGGAAGCTTGAGGGCGTTGAAGTCGGCGTAAGGCACTCGGATATATTGCGCCTGACCCCCAGGGTATGGTCCCATGGCAACGTATCCTTGCTTGCATGTCAGCTCCGATCCTTGAATCTGGAAAGTGACTACTTACCGTAAGCACCACCGGCGAACCCAGGGTTCACACCAGTGCAAAATGCCGTCCGTCCTTCTTCGCAGTTGTGGCAGCGGCCGTCGGCGACGTTGAAGGGCATGACGACCCGGTCTCCTTTCTTGAGGAGAGTGACACCGGCTCCAAGCTCCTCAACGATTCCCATGTTTTCGTGACCTATAAACTTGAGTTTACGAGCCCGGCGAAACATCAGCAAACCTACCAAACGTGATGCCTGCCTCGGCAGCAGTCCTTCCCTCGTACATGCTGCGAATGGTGAGCAAAGGCGTACTGACAAGCAGACTTGCACCGATCGGAAGACTCACTGTAGGTCTGAGCCGCAGATGGCAGCCTGTGTCTATGATTAGCTGGAGGATTCGCGGAGGTCAGCCGGCAGGGTCGGGACTGAGGTTCATCTCACGGTGGTAACTTTGACAATGACATCGTCGGGATGTTGGATTCTAGGCAACGATACTTCCGAGACCTTGACCTTGTAAGGTCCTTGGTAGTTTACAGCTTTCATAGTTGGGGACGACATGATGGCGAGTATCTGTGTAAAAGGCTTTGACGATTGAGGACGAAGCACAGGATCAACAGCGCTTTGGGGCAGCAACTATGATATTTATCCCATGAACCCCTCACAAAACCATCTACCGAGCGAACCAACCACTAAGAATAGCTTCCCCATCACTCAGGATGCCCCGGATGACCGGCTCCCACTGAAGGACCGTCATCGCCGCGGGATGTCCTTTTAGAAAGAGGTAGTGAACTGCGCCGCTGCGGGGTAGTGCGGGAAACTTTCCCCAAGACGCGGGGATGCCGCCGCGATCCATTTCGGGACCGGCATGTTTGGGAACTGGTCTGCGCTGGTCGATACTAGAGCAGGCGGGAGGATGGCCGGGGGAACTCATGTTTGCTCCCGAGTGGATAAAGATGAACCCCGAACCCCCGAGACTTTAGCTTCAAGCGTCTCTCATCGGCGAATTACTGCCTTTTGTTGAATGCGGGGGAGTAAGATTCAACATGGTCCTTACCTGAGCTAAATCTGACGCTGGTGAAGCTGTTGCCCCAGTTGCGCCGGCCCACGAGAGCTCCCCCGCCGCTGTGATACGACTGCGGGTGGTACACACAGGATCCATCTGTCTTACCCCAAGTTTTATTTTTGTATGACGTATTTGGAGAATAAGAGGGTCCTTTGAGGGATGTGGTTTGGAGAGGAGCCGGGAAGTAAAGTACAGACGAACGGAATGTGCAGGAAATTAACTTTGCTCCGCAATTCTCGCCGAACATTTCTCTTCTGGACCTGATCCAGCAACATGTCCGACGCAGTGGAACTAGAGATATGCAGCCGGGGCTCTGCAAGGACTTGCGCTCGTTGCCGCAAGATAGCCAAGTGACATGAACTCCACGACGTGTATCTTGCAGGATTCGATGAGCTGCTTATGATAATCGTCACGTTGACACCTTCCGATTGCGCCGCTTGGCTGCATTATCATGGCATGAGGCTGCATCCAAGCCTCCTTGACTCAATTTTTATCTCCTTCTTCCCCTTATCAATGATGCAACTCAGACGGAGACAACACCGCTATGAGCGAGGGTGTTCGCACTGCCCGTTCCGGAATTTCCAACGACGACACCCTTGAACCCAAGCTCATTCGACCTTTCTACAACAGCCGCCGCATTATCAAGAGGACACAATGCCTGCAGATACGCAACAAGTCCAGCGACGTGAGCCATTGTCATGGGTGTACTCGGAGGCATCGAGGCCTACCCAGGCCCCCTCCAAAGCGAAGAGATATCAAGGTCAGGCGCAAAGAAGTTGACGTCGGGGCCAAAGTTGCTGCCCACATGCACTTTCTACTCAATGTGGAGTCACTACAATATTGAAGTTGAGATATCAAAACGCGTAATAAAAGAGTCTAGGCTCCGCTGACAGGCATTCAAGAAAATTAGTGCCAAGGCTCGCCATATATCCCACGAAGATTTTGTTGTGGCCTTGGCTTCATTTCTTGCAGACTTCATATAAAATGGAGATTTCGTTGATTGACCTGCAATGTTGCACTTAATTTTTGGGGGACAAGGGGAGTACGGTCAGTACCCAGTAAGATGAAAGCAGTGGAGATTTGAAAGGGACTCTTCACTAAAGTCCCTCGCCTACGCGAGCAAGTTGAAGTACCAATGTTAAACATGTTCCCCAACGATGCGAAAGCGCATCAAGCTCACGCAAGTTTCCATGGTCATTTGTAACGTTTTTTTCATGAGATTTCTATATTCTCTAGTTGATAAAGTTCCAGCATTGCGACTGGTAGATTGGCACATCGACTTCATACAATTTCTTAGTGTAGAATTGTGTAACGTAGGCATCAACGCCCAAGTGAAACGTGCTTGCAAACCAAGCGCCATTTTTGCACTGATCCCCGGTAGGCTTTGCAAAGATAATACCACTGGCGCTAGTGTAATTGAAATCAACGTCCACAGCAAAGGCGTTGATAACCTGGGGCTTCGCCTCGACTCCAGCAGACATGTCGAGGAGACCGTTGAAGAGCTTGACTCCCAGGGCGACGCTTAGGTCAGCAAATGGATTCAATTGAAGCTCTACTTGAGCGTTGATGTCGGTGGTGACATTGGTTTGCGGCTTCCAGCCTGTGGTAGAGGTCTTCGCGGAGTCCAGAAAGTCAAGGTGAACTTGAGAATCGGCAATAGTTGAAACGACGTCCACGGAAGCCTTGACAACACCGGATGCAGCCAATTCGATACCCAGGCCGAAGTTGACCATGGGGCCGACATCAATGATGCCGGGGATAGTGAAGGCAGAGACAGATACGGACAGAGGGTTGTAATTGTACAAGTCAGTCGAGTACTTGGCGTTGACCTCAGCCGAGATGTTCAGGTTCAAAGCAGATGAGTATTCGACATCAATGTAGAACTCATCTACCTTGAACTTCCAGAAGTTGTAGTGGACGTGGCCCGCCAAGGTGACTGTACTTTCGAGCTTGGCCTCGTTGGCGACGATGGTCAAGGGGTCCGTTGCAACGAGTGTGGACCCAGAAAGGTCGGCAGAGATGGTTCCAGAGAGACCTTTTTTGGTGGTAGCAGTGCCTGTGTGTTGAAAGTCGATGACGGCATCATTCATCTGATCACTGATCTCTGCTTTGGTGGAAGAAGCAGCTAGTTTCAATGTGGTGTTGTCGAAGGTGTAGTTCTGGACGACATAAATGCCGCGCTCGTCCTCACTGTCGCAAGTCCCGTTGTGGTTCGTGATGATGATGAAGTCCTTGGCTGGCCACGCACCCAGGCACGTGTTGTAATCTTCGGGAGCGCTGAATTTGAGAACTACTCCAGTAGCTGAGCACTCTATATCAGTGATTGTGTCGATGTTCTCCAACAAGACGGCCGGCTGTTTCATCGTGGCCCGAACGAGAGCGTTGGCAGCGTTAGGTCCTTCATAGGGCAGGGTGACATTGATCTTGGGAGTGAACTTGGCTGGCCCAAGGGGTACAGCCGGAACGGAAGTTTGCCGTCTCAGGATTGGGCGAAGAATAGCTTTGCTAGGCAAAGCGGCAGCTAAGCTGGAGCCAAAAAGTGCCTGGAAGGCTAAAAGAGTGGAAATTGGGAGTCTCATGGCAGGAGCAAGGCGAGTGAATGCGAGAAAGAAGGTGATTAAGAAGAGTGAAATGAGTGGAGGGCCGAAGAGCTCTAGGAGGCTAGTAAAAGATTGATGATTTTGTTCCTGATGGACAGCAAAAACGCTTCTTACTTGGCCACATCTTGTGCTTTATATATTGGAATAGACTGGAGCCGTTCAGAAACCATTTGAGAAATCCGCAGTGCACCATCTCAAGCATTGCTCGAAGACCCTTGAGCTAAAAAAGGATCAGAGTCCACTCCAGACGCCGTGGGTCAGGGCTCGGTACTTCGCCGCAGCGTGGCAGCTGAGCTCAGACGCGTGAAGTGGGACTTTGATATAGAATAGAGTGAGCGAGGGGGGAAACATCGAGCCCACTACTCTCAGCTGAGTACAATGTATGTTTACTCTTGTGTACCCGTAGTGTGCACCTTTTCAAGGTAGTATCCACTGCTGGTACATATAACTTTAAGCACTGCCGCCGGCAAGGGAAGAAGGGAAACATTGCTGAAAACCCATGGACTGACACAGAAGCATTCGATGGCCAAATCTAAACAGGTCATCATTGCTGTGATTTGAACTTTGAAACCCAAGTGCTCCTGGTTCCCTTAAAATGGTTGGAATTCCATTGAGTGAGGAACTTGGAAAGATAAGCTCGAGGCTCGAGGCTCGTGATTAAATCGGCCAACGTCCAGATGTGCTTAATACTCAAAAAAGTGGACGCACCCTTGGAGCTCGCTGTCGGTTTTCAACCCTATGTCTACCTCAAGCTGGGGATTTCGCGGAGAAGGCCCCCAATTCGGAAACATCCGATCGATCACGAGTCAGGACGCAAACCCAGGTTCCCAGCACAGTTTCAATCCAAAGACGTTATTTCGATTCGAAGATATTTCTTTGCGGCCACTCGCTGTCTGTCTTTATTCACAAACCTTCACACGGTTTCAATTCCCTTGCCATGTGCCAGTGAATTTTGGCTTCTCTTGAAGACCTGTGTCTCTCACACCCATGTAAGTGTTGTTCATTCTGATGTGCTAATGAGCCACGGTTCATGGCCTGTCGTCGGTCTGGCCGAGACTTGATGACAAGGATAGCGTTGTCTTTCCTAGACTTATTTCTCAACCTGGGAGACCCCTATCTTTTTAACCCCACACTTGGCCAGAGTTTCTGCTATCAGCGGTAGTCTCCCCCTGTTTTGGCCCCTGGAGACCTCACAGGCTGAGCCTATCTCAACGGATGACCAGAAGGTGATCTGTGTTGCCTGGGGTTGAATAGTGTAAACGCAAGGGTCCAAGCCTGGCTGGAGTCGCATTATTAACCCCTGTAAGTTATTAAATAATGCTCAAGGCATCGCCTGGACTACAAGGGGTCAGTTAGCCCTCTTTCCCTTCCTGCAGGTAAAGAAACCCATCAAGAATGCTGAGTGACAAAACCCTCATTCACAAGTGTTAATAGCACGTTGAATAGCGAAAAGAAGAAATAACAAGGCTTCAGTCTAAATTTGAACTTGAAGCTTCAAAACAGCGGATAGGAAGCAGAAAATTCCATTGTCTCCCATATGATACTAACGAAAGGCAAGGAAAGCTTGCGCGAGCAACAACGAAAGTCCTAAATTTTGTTTCGTCATCGAGGCAAGATTTAAAGAATAAGTGACAGCTTGCCTTATCCGTCCAAGTCTCGATCCTTCGGCTATAAACGGCCGCAGCCATTAGCTCCTGTCTCTTGTTGTCATTAGATGACGCGATGCGATCCGATTATCATCGCATACTATCCAGATCTGATTTATAAGCTGAAAAATCCCCTCACGGCAGATAAAATTCCAGTAAACGCCAGTCTCTTGACAGAGTACAAAAAGGGTTCCTATATGTGTTTATCAGACGGAAGTCGAACGTTAATTGAAAGTCCATCTTCAACAATATGACGCGCCTATCCTTCGTCCAGGTGAGCGACGGGGCTAAGCTCCACGTCAAAGTCCTTGGTGACAATGATGCAACCAAGCCTCTGTTAATAGTCTTACATGGCGCACCTGGCTTGTCCGATCATAGAGAGCCGGCCTCGTCTTTCGGGTTCCTGGCATCTGACTTCCGAGTTCTAGTCTATGATGCGAGAGGCAGCGGCAACAGCGACTTGAAGCCACCATACACTGATGAACGATGGGTGACAGATGTGGACGAATTGAGGTGAGTATTGATCGACCTCTTGGTTTAGCACCTTTGTGATGACGCGGCTGACCTCTCTCGATTCAGGGCCTGGTCGGGCGCAGAGAGATTCGTTCTGGCTGGGGGCTCCTACGGAGGTTTTGTCGCCTTGCAGTATGCCATAGCACATCCCGATCGTCTACTGGCCCTCATTCTGAGAGATACATGGGCATATGGCCTCCGTGGAACTTTCAACTTCATCAAAACTGTGCTTACCAGCGATCGCATCAAGCCGGATGCGGATCGACAAGTCCGACTCCATAGCGGCAACATTCGGGACAACGAGGACTTTGCTGCTTCCTTTGCGGAAATTGTTGACATCTACACACCGAAAGACGATTCCGCGATTGTAGATTCACGAGAGGCTATCTTTGAGGGCAACATTGCCGACGAGTATAACCTGCATTACGAGACGCATAATTTCGCCTTTTCTCACAACCTTCCTCGTTTTGATGTGCGATCACAATTGCAGGACATCACTGCGCCAACGCTCATTGCGACTGGAAGACATGATGTCGTTGTTCCCTTCGAATATGGGGAAGAAATCAGCAAAGGCATCCCAATCAGCGACCTCGTCATCTTTGAGAAGTCCGGGCATAGTCCGCCAACTGACGAGCCAGAAGCTTTCCGTGAGACAGTCTCACGTTTTCTTTCGAGATGGCTCAAGTGAAATCTCAAAAGGTTGCGCAGTATGGATTTATTCAAACACTGTAGAAGCAACATGTTGCTAGAATTGAGTCTTAAACGTCTTTGGCTCCTGAAACCTAAATCCTTTTTCTGCCCCCCTCCCCTCCCCCCTTTTGTTTTGTTTCGAAACTACCTAGGTTGAAAAGGTGTCCTTGACAAGCTTGCCCTGCACATAAACCTGACCAATATTGCGGTCATCTCCTGTCATCAAGAACTTCTCAAAAATCGTTCGAAGATTGTCCGTTTCTTCTCGGACAGTCATCACACCAAATGCTTCATCAAGTGAGCTTGTAACCAGTATCGCGTCAAAAGCCTTGCCCACAGCAAAGTTCCCGATCTTATCTTCAAGACAACACACCTGGGCACCGCCTAGAGTTGAGAGATAGAACACCTCGTCAAGAGACAGTGCTTTGTCTGTGCCGCCTGACATGACTTCGCGCGCGTTCGAAGCTATGATTGCCTGCCGGATGCTATCCAGCATGCTTGATGAGAAGCCGCCCCCGCTATCAGTGCCCAGACCGACTTTGATCCCTTTGGACAGGAACTGACGTATGGATGCTGCCATGAAGCCTCCTCCAACCGTCATGTTCGAGATTGGGCAGTGTGCAACTCCACACTGGAGCTTCTCGATCTTGTCCATCTCGTACTCATTCATGAAGGTGCAATGCGCAAGAATCGAACGCTGGTTCAGGAGCCCATAGTGTTGGTAGAGGTCTGCCTCGCTGGAGAACTGCGGGAAAAGCTCCCTGGTCGCCTTGATTTCCTGTTCCGCTTCGTTGAAATGCGTTTGGATTGCCAGCTCTGGGTCTTTGGCGGCCATCTCACCAAGCCCTTTGAGCAATTTGGGAGTGCAACAAATAGCGAATCTTGGAGTCAAGACAGGCCGAACCAGCTGTCCGGTCGGGTCGATCTGACGGATATGGTTCACGCATTCCACCGTTTCCTTCAAAGATGATTCAGCGGACTCATCATGAAGATAGCTTGGCGCGTTGCGATCCATGTTGCATTTTCCTACGAATGCCCTCTGATGCAGCTGATGGCAGATATCTGCTAGAATCTGCGTGGCCTCGGCGTGTTTAGATCCGTAGTAGGAAGCGGTAGTGATGCCTTGCTTGAGAAAGCCCTTGACGCAACTTTCGTAGACCTTACGAGCGTATACAGGATCTGAGAAGCGAGCTTCGTGGGGAAAGGTGACTTGATCGAGCCAGTCCAGTATATGGAGGCCCTGGCCCTGGCCCCTCATTGCCCATTGAGGAGCGTGGTTGTGCGTGTCGATGAAGCCGGGCGATAGGAATTGGCCTTTGGGAAGAACACTGACTTCAGAATCGCTAGGAAGTTTCTTCGACAGCTCTTCAGCGGAGATTTGGGGGTAGAAGTGAGAAATCAGTCCATCAGATCCGACGACTATCCCAGCGTTCTCGAGTATCTCGACTTGATTCGGGCCAAGCGAGTGAATGACCGCGCCTTGGAATGCTATTACCATGCTGGAGATATTCGTTGGTATATCTGGCAAGGGGCTAGTAGCAAATTCCGGTGAGCTTGCTGGGCCGATTGACTAGACTTGACGACAGAGAAGGATGTGGTGATGATACCAAATGGAATCTAATGCCAGCAACGTGAGGGGATATTGGCGAACTCAAGGTACGTATCTTCTTGTGGAGACACGAGTGCCTTGGTTTCCTTATCTTATCGTCTCAGACTCTCCTCGGTTGAGTTCGGGTGAGTTTCTATTGTGTCTAACTCGTCGTCGACATATCATTCCTTTGTCTCATTTCCGCTCGAGGCCAACACGTCTTTGTCAATCCAATAACCCTGTTTCAAATCAATAATCGCGGCATAGAATCCAATTCGCTATTTTCTCGAGCTGCAGCAATCAGAATCCACATGATAAGCTCTCACAATAGAGTTCCGTTGCGGTTCCCTCCCTTACACAGCCCGGGCTGGACGCGTCGCAGTTCACCTTCGAAGAGATCCTCCGGTCGTTGGGAAATATGTCTTCAAATACCTCATCGTCATTTCGCAAGACTCAACGCGCGCCGCGAAGCTGCCGATCTTGCGCTGCTCGGAAAGTCAAGTGCGATAAGCGGCTACCATGCTCAACTTGCATTCGTAACGGTATACCTGAATCATGTTCCCGCGAGCTGGTGATTGTGCGGGGTGAAATTACAAGGTCGCTTCACGTCCATCACTAGGATACCTTTTATTTGGTCACTGACATATTTCATTGCGTAGAGGAAAAGATCCTGTGAAGTTGGCGACGTACGATGAGTTAGTCCAAGAGAATGAGCGACTGAAGATAGCTCTCGAAGCATCCGCTCAAGTCTGCCATACTTCTCATCCATCGCTTCGAAAGCCAAGGACTGCACAAAATATTTTAGAATGCCATGATCCTCTAGAAGAAATGGTGTTCAAGTCTCCTCTACTTTCGCAAGTGTCCAGACATCGCCAAAGTTGGGTTGGGATTGATGTACCTTGTCGGGAAGCTAGCGAGCTGCTAATCGCCTATGACAAGAAGTGGAATTCTTGGGTTCATTATGCCCTCGAATATCCCGATTTCGGCAGGGAACATGGCCAATTCATGGACTCCCTGGAAAGCGGTGGCATCTTGTCAGACTGCGATCCAGGTTGGCTATCAGTGTATTTCAGTGTCATCACGGTCAGTCGTGACCTGAATCAATCCTTCAGAAATCTCGTCACTGACACAATCGCCTTCAATAGGCCGCTCTGTTGATGATGGAAGACGAGGAAGCTCGCGAGATACTTCCTACAGGTAAAACCACATCCATCATTAGTTAGCTTCTGGTGCACACGTCTGATTGTGTCTACGCGATCTCAGGAGACCTTGAAAATATTCTACGACAGTGGTACAAGGCGGCCTTATTCTGTCTCGAAGAAGCAGACTACATGAGAACCAGCACAGTTCGCCCTGTTCAGGCGATCGCAGTACTTGGCATGTGCTTTCACAACTTTGGTGATTCCGGTCTATATCGTCATCTCTGGAGTTGCGCAATACGGATCGCGCGGAATCTCGGGCTCGACGGCTCTCGGGCTACAAACCCCTGTTCAGAGCTGGGTGTCGAGGCTCAAAGACGTCTATGGTGGACCTTGGTCATCTGCGAATGGTACATTTGTGTTGCGGCTTGCCCCGAAGCTGTAACGATTGAGGCTAATCCATCATTCAGGCTCGCGGTTCCTTACTACGTGCCACAAGTCGACGAAGGAGATTTTGATGTTCCACTTCCCACGATCGATCCCGAGACTGAGGGTGCCCAACCGGTGCTGTATCACATTTTCATGGCACGGACCTCGACTGTTTATCACAGATTTAGGTCAGCGCTGCGAGAAGGCACACGGTCAGTTTCCGAGGTCGTTCGTCTAGCCGATGATGAACTAGCAGAGGTCATCAACACCCTGCCAGCCCACCTTCAGCCTGATGGAGGCAAGAATGAGGAGATGCAGGAGTTAGAGCTCGTTCATCCCTGGATCAAATGGCAGCGATTCGACATCAGCCTCGTACTTCTCCATCATCGAATGCGCATCAACCGTTCTCTGCAAAAGCAATGGTTAGCAGTCCCTGGCCCGTATGATTGGGCACGAGCTGTGTGTATTCGCTCTGCCATGGACATTATTTGGATAACTCACAACTGGGATCAACCAGTCGCAATGCGACGACAGTGGTAAGTGCCAGAAGCCTTTACTTGTTGAAGAGGCTCACTCATTATCAAGGGCATTGTCGATGCATATTTTCGTGGCCGCTATTTTTCTTCTCAGAGAATCCCACAGAGCCCAGGCTGGTGCTGAGGTTGATTTCACTGATGAAGTGCAGCTCGCCATCGAATATCTCGACGCGGTCAAGTCGCGGAACGCAATAGCTGAGAGAGCTGTTGCCATCCTAAGGTCCTCACTTGACGCAATAGATACGGAGACGGTCATTCCTTGACGTAGTATTTCGCAGGTATCAGCCTAGTCCTATCGAATTTACAACCCAAATCCAAAAGCTCGCTTTGCGTCGGCGCTCAAGCCTTCCAGTCCCACGTATCCCTTCAGCGTCTTTTCGTTCAAGTCGTTTCCTTGTTGCTGATCCGGCGGTGGTCTTCCGGCCAGAGTGTCGGAAAGTTGCTTCTTCACATATTTCTTGTTGTTTGCCGTGGTGGGACATGCGGCAATGTATAAAACAGATGCGTTCTCTGATCCCTCGTGAACTGGGTCGACTGCATGGCAAACCTGCGTCATGGTTAGTTGTTGCTGGCCCCGAGCCACAAACAGTATGAACCTACATCAGCGTGCCACCAAACAGTATCACCTGGCTCCATCTTTGGCACATGGATCAGGCACTCTTCTAGCCTCAGGTGTGGATGAGACAAACGACTGAGCCGTTGGCTCTGGGTCTTGAAAGTTCCAGGGAAGTTGCTGGAAGACTCATCAAGAGTCCATTTAGTCGCATCCATCACATCCACACAGTCCGCCGGAGGCTTGAAGAACGGTCTCAGCAACATGTATGATACGACAGTGGCAACATTGGGGTAGACGAGGAGCGTCCCTTCGTTCGGGGCTGTTCGTGTTAAGGCAGTCCATCCTTGGAAAGAGCGAAAGACGGATGAATGAGCGACACCGGGATAAAAGTCTTGATTAGCGGCTTTTCGTACGCTGAGGTCGTAGGGGTCGTGTCGCTCAGGTTTGCCGGAGAAGATGTTGCCATACACCTCTCTGTATGCCGTATCTGCCCAACGAGCCAGGCTCCCAGCGTCGATATGCGGCCCAAGTCCAAGGAACTCTTGCCGCGGAGGTCTGTCACGTACTCCGTCGTAATAAACCAAAGGATCTGAGTACGTATCGTCGCCGTTGTCATCGTGCCACAGTTGGTTCAAGAGGTGTTGGAGTTGAAGTTGATTCGGGTGTGATCTAAGGGTGTTCTGGGTCGGCGAGTCGTACAGCATCAATATTGAAGGGGTTTCTTTTGGCCATCCCTGGATCTTCTGTTTGTTATCGGCGACGTAGCGTTTGAGGTCTGCGTAATGTTGAGTTGCCTCTGGTTTGGGAATCACCCCACGAACAACAAAGGTGCCGACTCTCTTCACCTCGTCCCTTTCGGTTTCCGTGAAGCCCTTGTCAAGAAGCGTGTAAGCATCGAAGACGGGAATGATGGTACGACCTTTGCCGACTATCTCATCGGTGACAGCCTTGAGCTGTTCACAGACTCGAAGCCAACTGTCTCTCAGAGCCTCGCCACCATACTGAGATATGATGGCCTTCTTGGTGTTGAGGAAGTCCGGGTCTTTCAGTTCATGGGTATCTTTGCTGGTGTACTCCGGCCACGCTGGCCAGTCTCGGACGCTTCCGGGCATGCTGAAATGGAACGTTTTGTCACCTTCAAGATCTCAAGTGAGCTGGGCCTGAACTGTGTTAGCGGTCAATAGCTTGCGCAATGCCACCTTAAGTAGCTTATCAACGGCCGCCCGTCATACCGCAACCCCATTGTGCTTTGCACAGCCCCTGGACGGCCGATACCTGGTCGCGCCTCAGACCTGGCCAGTGATCTCTATTATCGTGTCTCGCCCGAGCTCGCCCGAGCTCGCCCGAGTGATTAAACTCATATGAAAGGTCGTATTTCCCCGCGATGGCAACTTTAGATAGTGCCCATGTTTTAGCCGGTTGTTACGAAGTGGACCGGCGATAGGCTCGCCCGAGCTCGCCCGAAGCCTCGACACAGCCAATCAACTTGGAGAGATCAGAGATCACCACGACTCGCAATTTGTTGGATATAAGGGGGTCCAGAAAACCATACTACAACGTCGAATGATTACGAATAGAAATCAGGCGATTTTCTTCTGAAAATATAGCAAGACATACAGAATAACATGGGCTTCGAGCGTAGACATGTGTCCAGGTTGGTACCGGCCAACTTGAGGGTGTTGTCTCCTTTGCTCCTTGCAGTAGCTATTGTCAATTCGGCAGTAAGTGTAGCACCATGACATGAAGATATGGGAAGTCCACTAACCATGAGCTAACAGACCCTCGGATACGATGCTTCGGTCATGAACGGCCTCCTTATCCTTCCCTCATACACTAAATATTTCCACTTGACTCCTGCATTAGAGGGACTCAATAACGCTGCATCATGGATGGGGGGCATTTTGGGAGCATTCTTGATGCAACCGATTCCCGATTACTTTGGACGTCGCCGAGCTATCGTGGTTGCGTCAGTCATTACAGTCGTCGGCATCATTCTCCAAGCCGCAGCTCAGAACATCGCCATGTTCGTTATCGCTAGAATCATTGTTGGCATCGGCTCTGCAATCAGCAATGGTTCTGCTCCAACCCTACTAGGAGAGCTTTTGCCTGCTCGAAAGCGCGGCCGCATTCTTGGCCTCTTCTTTTCGTGCTTCTATGTGGGGAGCTTGGCCTCGGCCATTGTCAACTACGGCAGCCAAAATATCCAAAGCACCTGGTCCTGGCGTCTTCCCTCTCTACTGCAGTTTGTACCTAGCTTTTTGGCAGTGATTCTGGTACCGTTCGTTCCGGAGTCACCGCGATGGCTGATTTCAAAAGGCCGTGATGACGAAGCTCTTGAAGTTCTTGTCATCATGCAAGGCAAGGGCGTCGAAGACATCCAACAAGGTCAGGAGAGCTTGCATGAGATCAGAGCCATCATGAAAAAGGAGGAAGAGGAATATCCTAGGAACCCGTGGAGAGAAATTATGTCCACGCCTGCCAATCGGAAACGTCTCGCGATTCTTTGCTCATTCGGCCCCATGATTAACATGTTTGGCAACTTTATCATTTCGTAGGTACTGCCCATACCTAAGTACTGTACTTAAAGATGCAATGTTCTTGAGCTTACCTGATATTAGATCTTACCTCACCAAAATCCTGACTCAAGCCGGCATCAGAGACACAGTGAAGCAGACGCAGATCCAGGTCATTCTGAATTGTTGGTCCTTTGCTGTCGCGGTCTTTGGCAGCTTCATGCTCGACATATTGGGCAGGAGGAAGCAGACCTTCATTGGCGTGGGCGGTATGATTGCTATGCTCTACATCGTTGGTGGTCTAATCAAAAGTGAGTATCAGACGCGAAACGCCCACTGTCAACCGTAAGCTGAAGAGCAAACGACTGACGTCTGAATAGCGTATGGAGAAAGCACCAATCAATCTGGAATCTATGGCACAATTGCAGTCATCTTCCTATTTCAGGGGTTCTATGCCTTTTCCATCACACCAATGACCAGTCTATATCCCACAGAAGTCTCGCAGTACAAACTTCGGGCTACAGGAATCGCCATTTTCCGCATGTTGGACTCTGGATTTGGGTCAGTTTATGGCATTATTTGCACTGAAATTCCCTACTAACGCAAAACACATAGACTGCTGGCTTCATTTACAATGGCATACGCCATGGCAGATTTGGGATGGAAGTTTTACTTCATCAATGCTTCCTGGAATGTGGTTTTCCTCGTCATAGCATATTTCACGTTTGTGGAGACTAAGGGACTCAAGCTGGAAGAAGTTGCTGCGAAGTTTGAAGGACCCAGAATACTGGAAGCGAGCATGGAAGATTCGGCCTCGCAGGATATTGCAGTCACTGCGAAAGGGATGCAAAGTTTCGATGCAAAATCCATGTAGGCGTTACAGGGCACATGAGCTATGTATGAAAGGATACTATGACAAGCTGTCATCTTAGAAAAATGAGAGATCGGGTATCCCGCCCAAATATCTTTTTGTCGCTTGACAGTTGAGCCCCCTCACTGTCCTTCTACTTGAGCAAGGACCGCGTCCATCTCATCGAGCGTTGGAAGATTGACAACCATTAGATAAAGAGCGTCCTGTCGCATCAATTTCTTCAGCGGCCGGTTCCTTTTCCGCTTCTCGCGAGCCTCCCTTCCGAATTTCCGCTCTACACCTGAGTCTTCAAAGCGTTGCTGCCGTCTCTGCTGCAGACGTCGAATTGGTCCCTTGGCCCGATCAGTCGAATTGGAAGCCTTTGATTCTTCTTCTTCAGGCGAGTTTGTTGGCATGAGCTTCGATTCAGGGTGTTCTTTCGTGAACCTGTCCGTAGCCCTTCGGTCGTAGTACTTTGAGACAGACTCTCCGAACTTCTTCACCAGATTCTGCTTTTGTCCCTCGTCCACCTCATCGAGTTGCGGGAAGACAAGCGGCGCTGGCTCAGGAATCTCAGCCTCGCTTGTTGTCGTGCTGGATGATGAGTGCAGCACCTTCTTCCATTTGCTCTGGGTTTTGCTGTCTTCCACGGCTTTGGCGATGTTTGACGCCAGATCAATGTTCTCTATGACTTCGCTGCTAGACGGTTTGTATTTGACGACAAGAGTAAACAGGCCTCGGGGTTTGAAGAAGTTCTCGTTCATGACGTCGAGGTAGTTGTTCTGCTTGTAGTTCACGTAGCCCCTGCGAGACGTCTCGAGCCCCGTCTGAACCGCGAACGTCACGAGCGTTGCGATGGGCGAGAACCCGCCAACGGCGATGTGAGCGAGATCTGCGGCCATAACGCCGGCATTCAAGACCTCGAACCAAGGGTTTGCTTTGATGCTACTTTCGAACCCGTCGAGGAACTCGAGCCAGGTAGGCTGGTCAATGCCGCATTCTTCGAGGACCGGGGCGTAAGCTCGCACGAAACCTCGGTGCCTGGCCTCGGGACGACGTTGAGGGAGTATTACAGGCATCGGCAGGCAATGACTTTCGCTTGCAAGGTTGGAGGCCTGTAATGGTGGGTGCTGAACGAGAAATTGTTGCAGCATTCTCTCAGTATCCGCCTCATGTTGATTGGTATTGGTCTGCGATTGAAGCTGTTGAGCTTCGTCCAGGGTAAGTGTCCAATCTTCATCAACTTCCGGATCATCCTCTGTCGCTTGCTGTTGGACTATCGTTGAAGGACCAGAGAGGCCTGATTGCCCTTGTTCATTTTGTTGAATAGACACATTGCTTTCCTGTTGCGCTGCTGGCTGCTGTTTTCGATCTGACTGGTATTTCTTCGCAGCATCGACAGCCCCTCCGACAATTTTCGAGATCGGCCCGCGGCGGTTTAGCATGTTCGCGGCGGACTCGGGCACGGAGGATAAGACTCGGGGAACAACGATTTCAATCAGAGACCAAACAACGGTTAAGCAAGCTCTAAGTTGGGCAGTCTCTCACTAGGAAGCCGGGAGAAACCTAGAAAGCCACCTGCCTTCAAAATAACACAAATTTCAAAGGGGCGATCATTCTCTGTGACTGGATGTGGCTCTCAGCGACAGCCTTTACAACTCACCAAGCTGACGAGAGAGTTTAGCGTAGGATTTCAGGCGGGGTAATCGTGCGAAAATCCCCCAATTGTATGGACGCGGCCTGGGGCGCAAGCCACCTCCAGCCGCTTCTGAGTTCTGGCATGAGGGCATGCCATCGACGACCTCAAGAGTATCAGATGCTGGCCCAAGAAGATTATCCTTCGTCTACAGGTGTTGCAAACCTGAAGACCGAAACAACTGCCAGTGACAAAAACTGTATCCGTACGTAGTTCAAGAGAGTGTGTTCGGAGAAAAGAAGATTGGGGTGGTGCCGCTGATCAGGAACAGCGGATGAGCCCATTCGGCAGGGTACATGGGTCAATGTCTTTGTACTGGCGAGGCCATGCCGGCAGAACCGATCGCAGAAGCAAGGGAGTGGGAAAACTTGCGGCAGGCAATTATAACATGGTCATGAAGAACGGTATTGTCTTTGGGTGATCTCCAAGGCTAAGTCACAGATGCACTGGCGGTTCTGTTGAAAACTTCAAATCCAAGGTATCATTAGGAAAGATTCAGCTTTCAAAGGCAAAACTAACACACAGTAGCTTGTTTGCCTGCGTGTTGGTTGCACATCCACGTCATAATTGGGCTTTACCTACACTCAAATTGCCATCGGCTATTGTCGTCTGAGCCCCCTTTTTTGCTAATCTCTTGACCTCACAAACGGCCAGGCAATCGTTGGCCGTGCCATTTCCAGCATTTGATTGATTTCAGCAAATGAGATGCCCTCGGCGCATCAGCCGGTGCCATTGACTGGGCCACAAGCGTCAGAACCGTCGTCTAGGAAATCTGCACCCAGCAGATCCCCCTCCATCAGCAACGCCACATATGATAGCCACTGTGGCACCAGCTAAACCTGTATTTCCTGGGGTAACGTAACCGTGTGGCGGGTGTTTCTCGTGGCGCCCCTCCTAAATGACGACTGCCAATGGAGGCACATCCCACAACGCCAGTGGGGAGCCCGTTTCCTGTTTTGCATTGGCGAAGTGGGGCGGATCGGATTAACGTCTGTACGCTTCGGCTGTTTGCCGGACCCCGCTATCCGGGCATAGTTGCTGACGTAAGAGCGACTTCATAACCGCGTAGGAATAAATCA